ATGGTACCTTTGTGAAAGGTTTTCCTTCCTATCCAGCAGAAGCTACCATCGTCCGCTTAACTCTTGAAAATATTCCATTCCTCCCAGCCATCCAGTTGAAAGAGGAAATGGCTGCTCGTCTTTCGTGCTTTGGAGAAGTTCTAGATCATGGCATCTCGAGAACTGATGGCATCTTTCATGGTGAAGGGTATGCTACCTTGAATCTAAATTTGTCGGTTACGCCTGAAAATAAATGTATGGAATCCCACGCAGATGGATCGGAGTGTTCCGGGTGTGATCCACGGGATAATGAACAGAGAAAAGTACTCCTACAATGGGATAAGATGTCTGACTTCTGTCGTAACTGTCAGAGCTCAGACCATTGTCGAGCTGATTGTCCCGACTACAAGAAATGGTACGCTGCTACCATTGCAATGAGACTGGCCATGTTATGCGTAACTGCAGTCGTAATGGATCAATTGACTCCGCTCCCAGCAAGGTCCGTGCAGTGGAGAGATCCTCAAGTCAGCCAAAACCTAGAAAAGGGACAAACAAAGATTCTACTGCCTCACCCAAGGCTGCTCCTAAGAAACCAATGACACAAGAAAATTCCCCTGCTGGCTCTCTAGTTCCTCAAGGCTACAAGAATAATGAAAGAGATGCAACGGTTGCTCTCAATGGTAAAAAACAGTGTTGAAGAGGACACCACTATGAATGAAAGCAACCTTAATCCGGTAAATGATTCTGATGCGTTAAAGACTATCTCAAAAGACATAGTAATGGAGGATATTGTGATCTCTTCTCCATCTCGATTTACAGATTTGGAGACTCATGATAATGTCAAAAAGATGGGTAAGTTCAATGGAACTGATGATATAAGTGCTGCTCGACGACAAGCTGCAGCTTCAGCTGCCTCACAACAAAATGAATTGAGTGAAAAGGTTAATGTAAAAGCTAATGTGCGTCAGCCTGATTTAATGGGCCAACAATCACTTCAACCTCTACATTAATTATGAATATTAAACATCATACAGTTAAAATCGCCACACCCATTAGATACCTCAGAACTTTAGGATATGACATCCTGGTGCTACAAGAAACTCATGCTTCAGATACTACTATTATAGATTTACTTAACACCCATTTTAACTGCAAGTCGAGCATTTGGACTCGACATTGCGGCATCATATCACTCTCTCATCACTTTACAATTACACCTGTTTCGGAAGGAATTGATAATGGTCGATACATATTGGCTGATATCCACTTAACTTGGGATTTGGAACAGTCGTCTACTGTGGCATCTATAGCAACAATTTTAAATATCTATGGTCGTTCAGCGCTTCATTCTGATCGAACAGCACTCTATACTGAGCTCCTTGATATTCCAATTGTCAAGGACACTATTATCAATACACATAACACAATATTCATTATGGGAGATTTCAACTATCAATATAAAGATCGCCGTTTAGATGGTACTTTACTGTGTGCGCCTCCTGAATAGACAGATTTACTGGATGACTATTACATTGATATCTTTGGGAATGAAAAGCAGATTACTTGGCATAGTGGCAGCAACTCAGGAATCTTGGATTATATTTTTTGCATTCAAAGTTCGTTGCACACTATAATTGGTAGAAAAACGGCCTTTTCAGTGAATATCGACTAGTAAAATGGTACCTCTTTTTACATTATTTGATGCACAAAATGTGCACGAGTAAGATTCACAATAGTACATAATACTTCTGAGGCTAAAGAGGGTATCTTTAAGCATCACTGTCTGTGTATGTCTTTTATCATGAGATTATGTAGTCCATTTAAGGCATATCTAACCACACAGAGCTTGAGTTTATAGTTATAATATTTATTCAACTCATCTATCCTAGCATATGCATATATTTACAGCAGTTTCTCGTTATTGCGTTCTGCATATTTTTAATATTAAATACGATACTTATTTAAAAAAGAGAGTACCGTTGTATTCATTCTAAAAAATAAATAGTGCCGATCTTTGATTTCACTTCATTTAGAAGTTATTCGCAGGAACAGCTGTGTGAAGGCAATCGAATTGCACTTCTATACCCTATCAAACTTCTGCAATTTGACAGTTTTGTCAGATCTCCAGAGACACTCCCGTCACAAAAACAAACAGTCATTGTCATTGCTAACTGGCGACAACATCTATACAATTCCTCATCAAAATGCCATAACATCTGACAAAAAAGCGTAGTCTTTAATTGTAACAAGCACACAGGATCCAGTGCATACACTTATATACATAAAGGGAAAACTTACCTCAAAAGCATCAAGTTAGAACACGGCATCAGAACACAACAATACAGGGCCACCACCAAAGAAACAAGAGAACAATACTAAAAATTGATGCCAGCTATTTCTTAAACAACCATTTTGCTGTAAAAATTGGTAATTTTGCGAACAAAAATTGTACGTTTTGTAATTAACTTTTCCGCCATAGTGTTAGAGGTGTTATCAGTATTAATGGGCAAGCAGTTGAAGCTATTTTTGATACCGGTGCAAGCGTATAAGTTATTTCCAAGACTTTAGTAGACTCGTTGGGTCTGACTCCAAATGGTGATAGTCTTCACTTGATTGGTTTTAACAACAAGAAGTCAAGCACTAAAAGTGAAGTGGTCATGGATGTGCCTATTTGTGTTGCCGGTAAATTGCGTCCTGATCATATGTGCGTCTCGGATAACGGACAAGATGACAAGCTGTGTCTCTTGGGTGTACCATGGATTCAGGCTTATGGTGTAGAGATTAATTTGTCGGATTCGTCTATTAGAGTTCCTTCTACTAGTGGCTCTGTTCGTCTTCAGTGTTATACGACACACCTACCTGCTGTTTCGGAGGTGGATAAAAAGGTCTATCATGTGACTATTTCCCAAAAATACACTGAGTCTTTGGATGAAGGTCTGGCTGGTGAGGGTGATCTACCTTTGGAGAAGCCTAAGGATTTTACGGCAGCAAATATTACTGAAGGTCTACCTAAATTGTTAGTGCCAGTGGTGGACAAATACAAGGTCTGTTTCTCGGAGGTGTCTGGCTTATCTAGGATAAAGGGCTACCAGATGGATATATATCTGAAGGAAGGTGCAGTGCCAATCAAGTCCAAGGCGTTTAGGTTGAGTTGGGAAGATCAAGAAATCATGGATCAATACGTCGATGAGATGCTTGAACTCGATTTGATAGAAGAAGCTACTGGTATTTTCTCTTCACCGTCATTCTTGGTAGATAAGCGTGATAACACTAAGCGTTGTGTGATCGATTATCGTAAGCTTAATAAGATGATCCTATGTACCAATTTTCCTACTCCTACCGTGGCTGAATTAACCGAGGCCGTTGCTGGCGCTACAGTATTCTCTTCGTGTGATTGTACTTCTGGATATCATCAGTTGTCACTTAATCCAGAACATGCCGAGTACACGGCATTTGTCACAAAACGTGGGGCTTTTCGTTACAAGGTTCTACCAATGGGTATTACTTCTGGGGTATCTGAATTCCAACGAGTGGTGTCTGATATATTTAAAGCTTATATTGGTAAATTTGTTTTGGTTTTTCTTGATGACTTGTTGATTTATAGCAAGAATATGGAAGAACATGCAAAGCATCTGGAATTGGTATTTGAAGCCTGTCAAGCGGCAAATTTGAAGTTGAAACGGAAGAAGTGTTTCTTCGGGCAAGAATCTACAGAATATTTGGGTCATGTCTTATCTGCTAGAGGTGCTATGCCAGGTCCTAGAAACTTGGACAAGATCAAGTCCTTTGAGCGTCCTACGAACCCGTCCATGTTGCGCAGTTTCTTGGGTCTCTGCAACTACTTTCGTAAATATGTGGAAGGCTTCGCTTCTATTGCATCTAGTCTGACAAGGTTGACAAGGACGAATGTTAAATACGTTTGGGGTCCTGAGCAAGAAGAGGCTTTTGAAAGGCTTAAAGAGGCATTATGTTCGTCTGCTGTTTGTTTGGCGTATCCCGATAGGGATCGTGCTTTTGTTCTATACGTTGATGCCAGTTGTTGTGATGTAAGAGAGAAGATAAAAACAAAGAAGTCGATTAGAACTTGTATAGGTTTATTATCCAAAAATATATATCTATTTTCTAGCTCTTCATTCTCTAGGTATTTGTACATGAAGAGATGTCGGAGTAAGTATTAGTAGAGTTCATGCAAATCACTGAGTCTCTATTATCATAGACTACTTTAAATTAACTAAATAATGTAAATTATGGATTTCGGTTATGAGTCTTGATCTATTAAAAGATCCATTGTCTTATTCAGCACAAGAGGTTTTTTTATGTCTATTTCTGATGTAAATTGATTATGATATATTTTAGTATGTAACTGAAGACTTATTTAATGTTCAGATCATCACAGTTGGATTACTCCCCTTTAAATAATCTGGTCTTATTATTTAATTGTATCTTACTATGGCTATTACCTTTGCTTGGTTTTTATCTCTGTATTATTTCTTAACGGATGGTACCTTTCCTAATGATGCTGGTGTTAGTGTCAAAAAGAAGATAAAGTATCAAGCAAGTCGTCTCTATTTGGATGATGATGGTCGTCTACTGGACAAGAAATCAAATCGTGAAGTTCTTCATGAAGGAAACGCTCTTGAGGTGGTGACTAGAATTCATCAAGAAGGACATTTGGGTATACTAAATACACTGGATAAAGTTGTACGGTTTTACTTGTTGAAAGATGCAAGGAACATTGTCGCTACGGTGGTCCATGGTTGTGAGTGTTGTGAACATATAGAATCTATATGCATATGATGATCTGAACATTAAATAAGTCTTCAGTTACATACTAAAATATATCATAATCAATTTACATCAGAAATAGACATAAAAAAACCTCTTGTGCTGAATAAGACAATGGATCTTTTAATAGATCAAGACTCATAACCGAAATCCATAATTTACATTATTTAGTTAATTTAAAGTAGTCTATGATAATAGAGACTCAGTGATTTGCATGAACTCTACTAATACTTACTCCGACATCTCTTCATGTACAAATACCTAGAGAATGAAGAGCTAGAAAATAGATATATATTTTTGGATAATAAACCTATACAAGTTCTAATCGACTTCTTTGTTTTTATCTTCTCTCTTACATCACAACACTATTTATTCAGATCCAAATATTCCAATTGAAGATGTCAAGTTTTCTACTGAAGAAATAAAAAATCGTAGGGATCGAGAAATGCAAGCAAAAAGAAACTCAACGGCAGAAATAGCTTTATTGCTAAAAGAAAAAATGCTACAGATGAACACTGTTGCGTTAATAACTGACTCGGATCTTGAAGCTATAACAAAGAAAAGAAAATTTGCTTCAAAAAGTTGGTTTTTGTTTATTCAGATAAGAAGTCTAGGCTGTTGTTCAATCTATCAGTTAAATATGGTAATACAGTTGCTGACTTGTTTTGAGCCTGTCTTTGATCTTGAGCAGAAAAAAATGCAAGAGTTGCTGCTTCTGTTCGGTTTTTGTACCAGCCCTTGTGTAGGTTTAAGTATAGGAATAAAATGCGATGTGTATAGACTTACTTTTACAAATTGTCTAGGTAATCTTATGTCCCACATTAAGAAAGCCGCAAGGCTGAACCTTGTTGAAAGAGAGAAAAAAGTTTTGGCACCTGTGAAAAGTGTTTTTTTAATGGCTTCGAATATGGGACTATTGAAAAGTTAGGAGGATGTTTGTAAGTGATAAGGGCGATACATACTATGATTGATGATCTTGTTTCGAGATGAATAATGATCGAGTTTCATCATACTTTGCGTCAGGAAGTGCAAGTTGTACAGATTCACACAACATTGAATTTGTTTTACAATATTGTTGCCGTCTTGTTGGTCAGGAAATGTAGTCGCGAGACGTTTAACTATTTTTTCCAGCATGATCGTCCTTTCTTTTTTTGTTTTTTTAACAATCCATTATTAAAAGACATAAATACCGAAATAGGCGTTACTCAAAGCTGTTTTCTTGTTTCTAAAATAACCTAATTTATTTCTCGTTAGTGACAAAGAGAGAATTTATGATGAGCTGAATTTTCCAACAAGATATAACAAAAGCTGTTGCAGTATATGGGCTCTCTGTGATCGTAATGTGGGATGTTGTTTCTACGAGGAAAATAATAAATGTAATAGAGGATAAACAAGCTTTGTCAAAATACAAATCTAATCACTTATTTCAGTATCCTTTTGCTAATGTCGCTTCGGTTTCCACAAAAAAGTTGAAGGACGATCCTGTGTTGGTAGATATGTTTTGTTAGTGAAAGAAATATAAAATTTCTTAGTAAATGTTCGGGTAGTGCGGATGCTTTTGATATGACGAAGAAAGTGAGAGACTCCTGTTTTGTTGGTTTAGCGGCCATAACTTGTTTTTTGGCGTTTTTACATAATCGTTTCAGGGGTTGATTGTTTTAGCCTAACTTGAACCCAAGAGAATTGATAAGAAAATACAAATCGGATGTTCCAGTATATGTTATAAGGTTTTTCGGGTGTATGTAAATTGGAATGAACAAACATTGTTTGACATGAGAAGAAACTAAATGAAAGGTTACGTTGGCGTAAAAAAAAGGGACACGGCCTTGCGAGCTATGTGAGAATCAACACTGTAGTTCCAAACAGTCGCGTTTTGCCACGTCTGCCAGTTAAGGGGAGTCGTACAGTGAAGGCGAATAAAAAGAGTAAAAAAGTTCATTTATTTTCATTTATTTTTATTTTTTCTTGATGGCTGACTTCAACGCTCAAATTCGCTATTTTATCCAAGTTACTAAAATTCCCTATTTAATTCTTTTTATCATGGATTTTCGTAATGAGATTGAAACTGTCGTTGATGGTGATAGCATTCGAAGCTTTAAAGCTAACCTTGTAAAACTCTACAGTGATATGTATGTAGAAGTAAAGGGTTGTCCCCTACCGTCTAAGTTACATGACGATGTTCAATGGTGCGTATACGAAAAGCTCTTTCGAGCTGTTGAAAGAAAAAAGAAATTGGTATGTATATCGTATGTAGTCTTATAAGGGTGATTGATTTTTTAAAAAATTCAGGTTGATGGTACTTTCAGCAGTAGCAATGGCTCACCGGAAATTGGAGGTGTGAAAAGATTGTTGGATGAGATGAGCATCATGGATTGGATGATTCCCGAACCTGTCGAGGATAGCCTTGTTATTGGAGATGACAAGCTTAATTTCAATAAGGTGTTTTTCCAGTATCAAAAAGATTGTCTCTCCAAGTTTCAAATAGAACAATTCTACAACTGGAGAACAGATATTCAAAAGCTTTTGTAAGTAAAAAATGAGAACTTGGAATGTCGTTTTCTAATAAGAAATAGGTCCTTGTCTTCCATTGTTTTCCTTGATGGCGTTAGAGGTGTGTGTGATTATCTTGAAAATGACACATACCAATCCCTGTATCACTTGATGTCATCCGAATTCCGTGAAACAACTGAAATGTCGCGTAAAACGTTGGGTTGTTTACAAGATATTATTTGGGAGTATCAAAAAGATTTCGATCATTGTGGCCACAATGCTAAAAGTAGCAGAAGTTTATGAAAAGTATAAGACTGACAAAGTAGTACTTTGCATACTTGAAGTAATCCTTGCATTGTATGTATTGTGGTTCTCTGTGGTATAATGTCTTTTATATCAACTAGTTTCACAGATTGCCTGAAATGACAGTTCAAAATACGAAAAGGTCTGAAATGCATGTACAATGTAGTTACGTACAATTTTTGATAAAATGAAAAAAATAAATGTTAACAATATTTTTCTTCACCTTATTCTGTTTCATATTATCAATGTCGTCGGTGATTAAAACTCTAAACCACATAATTAAGTTTAATAAAAGCTCAAGCAATTTCAATTTGACTTGAATACTCTAAAACTCAAACTCTAGAGTGTTTGACTCCCCTCACTGTCTTCATTCCAGTGTTCTTTTTTCAAGAGAAAAATCAGTTTTATTAACGCTTTAACTTAAGTTATCTCTTCTTCATTTGATGATACGTAATGGAAAGTGATCTAGCATCCTTGTAATGCGTGTAGTGCCCGTTGGTACGTCCTTCATCGAAACACTTTTTTCAGTCCATGCGTTTGTGATCCTTCATCCAGACCGTAACAAATTCATCAACTATATCCATATCACGTTTTTTTCCTTGAGGCTTGATTTGTTGCAATACTTCAACTGCTTGCTTTCCGGCTGTTGGAGTCACTCCATCGGGAAGATCTGGAGGAGGAGGTAGGGCAGTTACTGAAGTGCTTGAGGATTGCTGTTGGTACTTGTACAAACATGTACTCATATACACCAAACCTGCACGAGCATAGTCCATCGCGCGTGTCGACGACGGGCCATCTTCATTTATAGCTTCAATTATTCGTTCAAATTGTGTTTTGGTTTGATTGCAAACATTCATGAAAACATCAATAGTGGCATCATAAATACGTATTTCATGATCGACTGTTTCTTTCGCGATGGCATATAATAATTTTACTGTGGGGTCGTCCCTGTACTCAAGACCAAGAAGGGAACATTGCTGCTCTGTGAGCACATACTCCAGCGCGACCATAGGATGAAGAGGCTCGTGAAGATGATTTGCAATGGTTGATGGAGTCAAAATGAGATGTTGCTGTGCCCAGTACTGACACGGTAATTGTTTGAGAAATTCGCCTTTTTCAGTATCACCTACAAGCAGCATGGACATAAATTCAGAAGTATTCCAAACACCATGAATACTATCACCACATACTTGTCCAACGCGATGAATATAACATGGCATTTCTATCAGAGTTTAGTTTTTATCAGCTCTAGGGTACTTTTTGAATTACTTTTTTCTTCCCAGAGATAATCCAAGAGTTTCTCAACAATGTACTTTGATTGACCATAGCCCAATAAAGATGTAGCCTGACGAGGATCAAGAGGCATCGATATTTCAGGTACCACTTCGCCATAACTAAAGCTGGTACTAACACTAGAAATAAAATGCAAATGAATAGGCGAGATTCGATCTTGATGAGCAAACTTGACTAAATGATAAAATCCTTCAATACATTCTTTTTCGTACATCTGTACCGTCTTGTAAAAGTCTAGCATCCAGCCACACGCTTGGATCATTGTCACTTCAGCTGTTAATCAGATAAGTAAGTACTTTGTCATTCAATTCCAACGCTTCAAAGCGACTTGAGTTCAAGAGTAAAGAAGTGTCCAAATGACGTGCACGAAATGATTTCATCACTCGTTCTTGAGCACTAGTAGGGTTATCTTGACGAACAAGTGGATATACTTTTTTGAATTAGCCTGTATTTAGTAATAAATCATGCAACAAGAAAGCGCCCAAAGGTCCAGTAGCTCCTGTCAAAAGTACAACATGTCTCTTTCCTTGTTTGGGTATGTCCTTGTTAGCGCGCTCGATAAATCTGTCAAGGATAGTCTTGGTTGTCTTAAAGGTATCGGTTTTTTCAATCTTCTTACCAACGACGGCATCAATCATGCTTGAGATAGAGGTATGCTCATAAATAAATTCTTGAGGTACAAAAGTAACTCCTTGCACCATCTTTTTTCTTAACTGAATAGCTGTTAATGAAGTAAACCCTTGATCAAACAAAGATCTTTCTATATCAATTGATTCCATGCGAGTGTTGAGCAAGTCAGCAACCCAACCGCATACACTAGTCACAAATGCATCTTTGGAAAAGTCCTTAGCATTCAAAGGTGCTGCCTTACTGTCAAACAGATGCGAGTACAATGTCTCAATGACATCTTTGAACTGAGTGTCTACCTTGGAGCGAGAAACCGAGCCTTTATCGGTCACAGGCAAATGACGATCAGCGGGAAGAATTGCAGTCATTTCAGGCAGAACCATACTATGGTTTGGTGCACTTTTGTTTGCTGCAGCAACAAAAGTACGAACCAGACAATTAACATCAGCAAAACATGTACTTACTCATGGCTCAATTTACCTGAGTCCAAAATCGTTTGTTTATCGTATCCTTTGGCAAACTCTTGACCCACTTCAACTAAGAGACCTGTAAATGTCTCGTTGTGGCCAAAGACAACACATTGAGAAACAAATGGACTTTCTCGAATGGCTAATTCCATAGGCACAGGGTTTGTCTTTTCACCATTGGCCCTACATACAATGAATGAAAGATACATACTTCAATTTCCTTACATGATCAGAGTATCGTCTGCTCTTCCACTATAACAAAACCCATATGGATATTTGCTCTTATAGAACAGATCCTTAGTAGCATAATCTCCATTTTCTCTGTTTGAAACACCCGTGGCAAGGTAAGGACAGTTCGCCTTAACAATTGATTGAACTCTTTGATCATCAAAAGGTTCCATATAACAATACTTTCTTTGAGAAGCTACCAGGAAGAGTACATCGTCATCATGCTCATCGACATCGAAATTGATCACCATCAAAAATAGGCATTCTATGTGATAAATGGGTCAGGGTCGATCATGCAGTGCTATTATCTGCACTTACCAGGCATGCCATAAATAGTGCCAAGTTTCAAGTTGTGTTTCTTATAATATTGAAACAAATAAGGTGGAATGACACAGCCTCCAGTTCTATTATCAACGTTTTAAGCTATGATTTTTTTTTTTTTTTTTTTAGAACGACTTACTCAAAGAAAATCACATTCTTTTGAAAAGATTCAATATCGTTTGTTTCCTTCTTATACACAGCAAGTTTCTCTAAAATCCAAAGAGGCGCAGTCACTGCTACTTCTTTTTCCTGCTTGATATACTTAACTATGGCTTTAGAAGAAGCAGAATAATGATTCAAATAAGAGTGGCATCCTCCAACAATAAAGAAGCGAAACACATTGATCACACCTCCTGCATGAAAACTATGACATTGCATTAATTGTTACACTTTTCTTACATAAAGCTTACATGGGAAAAATGCACATATTTTTAGACTTTTCTGTAGGACACACACCGAGATGATTTCTTGATTGGTGATTGACAATGACAGCTTGACAGATAAACAACATGTATCTGTTGTTTAAATGAACAGGCTTTGGAAAAGCAGTTGTTCCTGAACTAACAAAGCATAAAATATCATATCAAACTCGAATCAATACTGTACCTATGAACAATGACGCCCGTGTTTCCTAACTCGTCTGCTGTATGGACCTTGAATTTCTCCATCATGGCCATTTCTTGTTCCTGTGTCGTAGGTTCAAGTAAGGCTGAGTGATCCAAAATAGGAAAGGGATAAACAGGCACACTTGAAATCAAATCAGCATACAAATGACCAGCAAATACGACCTTGGTTTGAGTCATGCCAATTAAGCTCTCTGCGGCTTCTGCGGAATTTCTTCATGAGATTAGCATGGTCTTGCATTTCAACTTAAGTAACGCACAAAGCAAAAAAAAAATCCACACAGTGTGAATGCATGATACCCACAGTGATATCTTTGGTCAGCACAAAATGGGATTGTTCTTGCATTGTCTTGTAGAGAGTATAAGCCAGTCTGGAAGTAAGCCAGTCTAATTGACCGTAACCTAAGGATTTCCATGTATCATCGTCAAGTTGAAATTCCACACTGGCATTATTTTCAAATTGCTCTGATTTTGCTTGAAGAAAACCAGAAAGGGTATGATATGCAAAGTATTTCTCGGGCTCACCTTCAGGAGGATCAGGATAAGTATAAGAAGCTTGGTTCATGTCTTGTTCACTTAACATTGTTGTTTCTAAACTAGAAAAAAAAAGTGAGTGAAAAATAAGCTTTGTTTATATCTGCTATTAATCAAAGATCAGCACATGTGACTTGATGAAAGGAGGTGATGTTTATTTACAAGTGAATAAAAAAAAAGACACGGTTCAAGATTCAATCGTATCATAAAAAAAACCAGAACCTAAGCCTGGAGGCACAGGAGGTACTTCAATTGCATGGTGGGGTATTTCTACACGGTCACCTGCAATCTGTAGTAATTTCACTTTGACACCCACTTCTGTTAATGTATGAAACAATTCAGCTGTCTCTTTAGAAGTAAATCGTTTGTCTAACAGCATACTGAACCCATCCTTCCATTCTGCTGCTTGTGTAGGAGTAGCGCAATAGAATTCAGCCAACACAGTATTCTTGTCTGTATAGAGTGCAAAGGATAGATTGGCAGTACTTCCACTAGAGTGCAGCACAGGATTACCTGCACTATCCATCAACGTCGTATGAAACACTTGCGAAGTTGACAAACTTGTTTTTCGGATAGCACGAATTTCACTCACTGAACCAAGGTCAATTCGATGTGGTAGTTTTTCATAGGATTTAAGAATAGGCGCAATCTTTTCAGAAAAATCGCCATACATGATAGATCGTTTAGATCGACTGAGCTTATAGTATCGCCATCGTCTGTTCGTTGTATTGCCCCCTAATGTCGTGGCTGTACCAACTGGTACAGTAGGAGATAAAAGGGGACTACTGCTTGCACTATTACCATTGTTGTTGGCTATCACGGACATTCTTTGGCTTGAGGATGGAGAAGGAAACCATGCACCTTCTAATAAACAACTAATACGTTGTTTCTTGATAAATTCATAAGACTGTTTAGATAGTCGAGTACGTAAATTACTATAGACATATTCAGCATTCATTTCACCTATAGAATATTATACCTAATAGCATCTCTGCCTAATAAATCGTCTGCCCATTCGAGTTCTTTCAGTCTACGATCTTTGATTTGTTGATAAGGTGTACCAAACATGCTTCTATCAAATTCACTGATGTCTCTTGAGCTACTGTTGAATGCAAAATGCAATTGACTTCGAACAAGTGCTTCTACTTTAGAGAAGTCAAACGTGGTTGCTTCCATATCATGAAATATACGAAAATAAGTCTGTAATGTGGTTGAATGGACATGATTAAAATCAAGAATCAAAGGTTGGAATTCAGCAATAGCATCTATAGATTCTTTTTCTGTCAGTCACTCTTATTTAGTTGTCTACAAGGGCATCACTTACTGCTGGTGGATGTGATATGCCAATGACTACATAACAAATCTGTCACTTCAATACTTGCTCTGGCAAATGGACACCGTTTGTTTTCTGGGCGATGGATTTGTTCAAGGATCATTTTAGCATACAAGTCTTTGTTATTGATCACAAAAAAGTGCATTTCTTCTAAACCAAAGACACCTGTTCTTGCAAATTCACGTTGAGGTACTTCTGTCTAATGATTTTATGAGTCCCTTTTTTTTTTTTTGTTTAGCAGCCAAAATAAGTCTTACTGTAAATCCAATCTTTTTCCATTTTTTGGTGTCCAAACTATCCAATTTCTCCACATTGGATGCCTCCCAAATGTCTTTGAGCATATTACTGTGCTGAGGGTTATGCATAGAGACTGCAATGCTATGTCTCTTTCTGATGTTCTCAATATATACGGCTTGATATTCAACGATCAATAACTTGAGTTCGGCTGATGGGTGATTATTCATTAATCTCTAAATAATACCAAGGTCATTAATGTCACACATAATCCCTTTTTTTCTTTACCAGCACGTTCTTTTTCAGATTGGAATGATTGTAAGTCATAGACAATGCACTTCTGTATTCATCTGTAACATATTTCATCATGGCAGTCAATAAAGACATACTGGTAGTAGACAACAGATATTCCTGACTCAAGAGTCTATCTACCAAGACTGTTATTAATGTGGGTGCTTGTTCCATGGCTCGATGAAGTGTTGGGTATCCATAGCAACGAATTTTGATAGTCTCATCTGTATTCTGCTCATTCGCACAGACGAGTTTAAGCAAGATAGCAATGGCTGGTCGAGCAATGGTAGCCAATTGTTCAGTCACAACTACCTGAGCAATGCGAGCAATAAATTCATCTTCTAATGATTCCCAGCCAGTATTGTGTTCCATTAATGATAAGAATGAATTGAGTGCATAAGCCAGTGTATTTCCAGTAGAATTAATCACAATATCACATAAAGAAGCTAATCCTCCTCTTTCCAAGAACTCAGTAGCAAATTCTTTTTCCTTACTTTTACTTTAGTGAAATGTGCAAGAACAAACACAACTTACTTTTAAGTAACCTTGTAAAGAAAAAGTGGCAATCTTGAGCGACTTGTCATCTTTGGGTGTCATTGGTTGATTAGCACTTTCAGATAAACTGAATCCCGAAGATATTCGCTTCACTGCTTCTTGTGCTGTTGGCTTTATATCGAGATCATAAGCGTGTGACATGGGAACAATAAGGAAAGAAAGAAGAAGAAAAAAAGAGAAATCACTGGACCAACTTAGTTTTATAGTCATGCTATATCCACGTGACACGAATGAACATCATTTTAAAAAAGCTAAACAGCAGAAAAATTTTATCTTTTTCCCACTTTTTTCTAGTTTTGGTTTTATTCATGAGTACGCTTATTATTGATGCTGATCACAATGACGATCTTTTACACATCAACAAGGTAGAAGACTATCAGTTAAGTTTTGATATGGACGACTTGTTTTCTCCTTCAACAGCGATAGACTGTAGAAGACTATCTTCAAGTTCAAATGAAGAGTTTGATATTAAAGCACCACCACCTTCGCCGCAAGCGCAACCTATGCTTGACATGCTATTTTCTCAGAAATTAAATGCTTCACTGGAACGCTTAGTAGAGAAAACAATGAATCCATTAGAACATGCACAAACACTGGATAGATTACTACGAAAGACACTCAAGAATGAAAAGACAGGCATTGGAAAGAAACATAAGAGATCTACTTCTCTGTCTATATCTGATAACAGAAAGAGCTGGCAAGCAAAAGCAGCTAATCAAAGGCTTAAAAATATAGCCAAAGCAACAGAACATTCAGAGAAGTTAAAGACACATTGTCTGACAGAAGAAGAAACAGCTGTGATGATTAATGAATTAAGGGAAATGGGATTGTAATTAATTGTATAATGATATGTATTAAATAAATAAAATAGTGCTTATTTTTAATAAAAAAAAAGTGAGAAAATGATCTAAATAGTGTATGAATTAATAAAGAAGACCTATTCTAATTTACTATCATGTCAAATTATCTTGGATTTTGGTTTATACGCATTCAAGTACTGCTGTTGATTGAGACACAAGATAGGCGTTGGCCTTAGGATATTAAGTTTTTACAGTCTAGTGACAAAGGAATTCTTATTGTTATCTGAAATAGACAAGCTAATGTCTGTGCACTGTAAGACAAGAAGGTCTAATTTAAGTTTAGTTGACTGAAACAGGGAAATAAAGTTCGACCTATATTTGCCGCAACCCAGCATGGAAAAAAACTCTAATGGTAACCGTACTTAGATCAAGTGGCTACCAGGGTTCTGTAATGCAGTTTTGAGCTGACTAGATCACTAAACAACAACATATTAATCTCTAAATAGCCATTGCACTATAGATACATAATTCAGTACTTGGAAAGCGTCAGCCACATATAAAGAGAAGAATTGTCATTCTCAAGCATTGAAACTAACACAAGTATAAGACTATCTACTAGTTCTTTAAAAGCATCACTGAATAGTGAAATAATAGGCACATTGCATCAAGTGTTTTCTAGTTCCGGTTGGCATCATGAGCAGTTCATCACGATTAGTATTTGAGTGCCAATATTAAAGTCCGTTGATTCCAAGTGGTGTACTTCTTAATTCCAAAGTGGAATCGTGCATTTATAGTACATTAAGGCTTCGCTTTTTTTATAGTCTACAATGCTTTGCTAATACATCCATTGCTTCAAAGATCGTTCCAAAGACACTATTCTTGCTCAGGGATGTTCTGTATATAGAATGAAGAAAGAGCATAATAGGCTTGAGACTTGGGTTGTTGGTTTTCACTTGAAGGGTGTACATCATCATAGCATATAGGTACTTTCGAATTCATTTCTGCTGCTCATAGTTAAGTAGAGGTCCTTGTTAAGCAAACGCGTTTAGTAGTTCTAGGCAGATAGAAGACATATCTGTTAACTTGCGATTTCTTCTTATCGACAATACACTGGTAGATAATTGAGTTTAAGGTTGAAAATACAGCTTTTGGTAGTGGTGTCAGTTTGAATACATGCTACACTTTTTGAGTATGATTGTGGTGGCTACATTTGTTCTACAGTACATGGAAATGTTTCTCATTTTAAAAAAGACACTTGAGCTCTGACTCTTCCGGTCATTTCAGCTATAAAATCATCTCTCGGTTATTTTGTTACGTATATTAGATGACTCAGGTATTTGATATAGTCAGCATTGCTATAGTCGTATCACTTCATACATTTTTGAATGTATGGCTTTAATCTCACCCCAAAAAATATATCCTCTTTACCTCCATATAGTGTGAAGTCTATGGATTTTTCATAGTTTGTCTTCGTGCTTGAGACTTGACTGTATGTCTTGAAGTATTCTTCCATCTTTATATATTCTGATTTAGATTTAACAGATATGATGATTTCATCTGCATACGCTATGATCTTGGCAGGTGGTAGTGAAGTAAGTTGAACAGTTGTTTGATCTAATGATTTGGTAGCTTAGACTGAATATCCAGAGATGTTTTTATGATTGATAATTGATAGAAAGAATGGATCTATAGCAAGATTGAAAAGTGCTGGTGGCATAGAATCTCCTTGCCTTGGTCCTCTTTGCTGTTTCACTAGATCGGATAGAGACCCATTCATGATGATAAATATTTCATTGTCAAAGAGAAAATTATGTATGAATCTAACGAATTGATTATGAAAGCCAATCTTCAATAGTATTTGTGCAAGACAGTGTGGATAATCTCTGTCATAAGCCTTTTTATTATCAAGCATCACTCCAACATATTCTTCAAATACTTTGTTGTTTCCTGCTTTGGTCATTTTGGTATTGTCGATTATCATTCTAAGTGTCGAATCTTGGTCTCCGATGCAGTACCCTAACACAAATTCAATTTGGAATTTGGTAATAAGCCGATTGGCAATTTCTAGTATTCTTGCATTTATTAGCCTGGTGAAAACTTTACAGTCTGTACTTATCAGTTTGATTGGCCTTCAATTTCCTAAGTCTGGTGAGTCTTCTTTTTTTGGTAGCAATACAACACACGCTTACTACCATGATATTAATGACTTTCTTAGTTTGATAGCATTATTGTAAACGTATGTTATGATATCTCAGCAACTCAGTTGGTTAATAACAATATTGAGTATCTCATATGGGATGTCATCAAAATCTGGACTATTTTTACGTGGACTTCTTTGTGTACCTAGTATAATGTCTTCGTAGTAATTTTCTTCAATCAAACTGTCATTCTCATCTTTAGACACGACCTTATTGAATTGGCTTAGCATAGCTTCTAAACTATTTATAACAATTCTCTCATTCTTCTATTTTTGAATACCTTGGCATCCTTTAGGTTTAAGGCATTGTTAAAGTTGATTATTGAGCAATGTTGTGTTCAGATCGCTTGATGATAGTTGGACTTGAATTTCATGTCTTTATGCTTTCTTCAAAGGTGAGAGATGGTATATTGGTTACTTGGCATAGAAGCACATTCAATTTCTTGCTCTTCAGTGAAACAAGTGTTTGTATGTAGTCGTTTTTTCTTTTTTATCATTTTAACTCCATTTTTTTTTTTTTTTTCATTTTTCTAATTTTAATTTTATTCTTTTAAAATTAAAGACATCACAGCGTAAGCGATAGAAGAAAATTTCCATCAAAAGTATAAGAATTCCTCACTCATTGAAGAAAAATCTTGGTCAAATTTTCACTCAAATATAGAAAAAAAATGCAATCGCTTACGCTGTGGCAAGAGTGTATTTTCTACCCTAAAAACAATTATATTTTCTAGAAATGTTCCTCTGTTGACACAGATAGCATACTTGCGCATTGATATTGATTTTGTCAACTTTATAATCGAAGTTTGTTAATTTATTAATTGTACAGAAAAGATCCTTTTGAACACATGGCCTAATATGGCCTTTGACTGCTCGGACTCAACCAATTCATAAAAATGACTGTACTAAGCTAAAAATACCTTAAGAAAACAACAGCAGAAAAGGAATAGAGAGGAGAGTGTTGATCTAATATTGTGCCGGCATGGGTTTGTAGTCAGAGAAGATATGAAAGCATTTGATTAGATGTCGGATAAAAGCGAATGTATATAGGCCCATTTGGTACTTTAATTAAGTAAAGAGAAGTTAGTCTTGAGTATCTTTGTGAGGAAACAATCCACAAATCTCTAAAAGACAAAGAGCTTGGTCAAAGGCACTTTTATATTCTCTCAAGCTATCTTAAGCGGTGTCTAAGGGCAACTCTTGGCCTTGGAGAAGCTCCTTGATGCATGTTTAGAGCGCTTTTCTGGAAGTAGTAGTCAGAGCAATTAGGTAATAATTGACTAGATCAGTTGGATTGCCTCTCTCATGAATCGGGACTACTTGTACGACTTGTCAACAGTGAGGCGTGTATGGTCAACACCAACACCAACACAAATCAAAAATACGAAAAATCAGGGGATCACTAGAATATGTGATATCTATATACAAATTAAAGCTAGAGCTATAAAAAGGCCACGGTAGTAGCCGTAGATGTCAGGAACTTCTCATGAATGCAATGGATTTACAGAAAAATATGTGCATTTTAACATCCGCTAACATTTATGCCGACATGGCAAGTATGCCAATTGTGTACTCAAAAAAATATTTTTGAGAAAAAAATAGAAACCACTACTTTAAAATAAATCAAAATTATTTTCTACAATGACAAAAAAAAAGTAAAAAATTCTTAATTTTCTGTTTTAAATTAATAAAAAAAAGTAAAAAATTCTTAATTTTTTGTTTTAAATTAATAAAAAAAAAGCTTGTTTTTCAATTTTTCTGTTCTAAATTAATGAACAAATCTACCAGATGTTGATTTTGTTTTTTTTTAATTTAAACAGATATTACTACTTGGTAGATTTGTTCATTAATTTAGAACAGAAAAATTGAAAAACAAGCTTTTTTTTTATTAATTTAAAACAAAAAATTAAGAATTTTTTACTTTTTTTTATTAATTTAAAACAGAAAATTAAGAATTTTTTACTTTTTTTTTGTCATTGTAGAAAATAATTTTGATTTATTTTAAAGTAGTGGTTTCTATTTTTTTCTCAAAAATATTTTTTTGAGTACACAATTGGCATACTTGCCATGTCGGCATAAATGTTAGCGGACTTCAAGTTAATTAAATATTCTGATACTACTGTTTCATTTGTCGACTCTTTACAACTCGCAGCTCTGACTGTATTAGTCACTAGAGTGTCAACTAAGAAATTTTGGTTAAATTGTCAGAGTACTATATCTGCCCCGGAGCGCTTGCAAGCCATTTCTAGAGCCTTTTGGGCTGAGGTTTGGAGTTAGTCTCTGCAGCCAGTGGCTCGTAATATGATGTATTTGCCGTTGGTTTCGAAACCATCCTCCAGAAAACTTCTCTATTACATAATTCCTAATAAGTTCCCCTCACCTCTTTATTCCATTTGCAAACTCCACCCTGAGACGTTTTTCTGGAATAATCTTATTTTCAAGTTTTTATGGCCTACAGCCACTGTAGAGGATGTTATATAAGCACTTCTTATACTAGGCTTCTCCAAAATAGATTACTCACAGAAGAAGAACTTAAAACCATTAACATTGTCATTACCGCCCTTTCGCAAGTCTGGATATAGTAATTTCGTTCACAAAAAAAAACACTTGTTATAGAGGTAGTAGGTGGTTCGATTAAGAGGGGCTTTAATCTTTTAATTTAAGGAAATTTGTGTCTACATTGCCCTAGAGACTATGATCATTTATATGTGAGTTGCCTTAAATCTAGTGAGGATATTAATATTCCTTTCATTAGTGACATCTAGTAGAGATTGTGTTGTTTAATTGGGATTAACAGTTTCTCCGAGCATAATTAGCTTATTAGGTTCATGTCTTTGTTTGGTAATACATATTATTATTGTTTGCTCTCAATAAGATTTGTCAAAAGTCTATTAATGGTCTGTGGGTAATATACCGTATAAGCTCATTGGGTCCGAGGGAGTATTATTTCTGTTATTATTGAATTGATGTATGTAGTTCCTTACATTGGAAAGCACACTAGAGATTTGTCTTTGATAGTATCCCCTTTAATGCCTACTCTACCCTACAACAAACACGTACTGCTTTATAGCTGCTTGCAGATGAAAAGCAAGTGCGCGCAAGGCTGTAATCCTTCTCTCACTTTCACCTACTCATAGCAGTGGCCTGTTTTTGATTTTATTTTATTAGTTTACTTGACACATATTAGTTTGATATAATTCTTGATGAATTGCACTCGCCTCTTGAGTGCCGTTGGGTCATCTTTACGCGGAGCAAAAATAGAAATCTTGATTTTCTGTTAACATTTTTGGTTTTTTTTGTCTTGACAATATTTTTCTTTTCAATAATTATATTTATACAAACAAAAGTTTGGTTGATTTCTGATATTTCAACAGCAAACGTTTTAATAGTACTATTTTGAATAGCTATTGTATTATACAAACATAGATATGCAATACTTAGATACGCATTACACTTGTAACCAACTCTACAAAACACATGCTAAATAACAAATATGCATTGAACATGTTATATCTAAAACATATACTTTCTCTTCCGCATATAGATAAGTTACAACCTCCGTTCTAACACATCTTAAACATAGATGTTGTAAAACAATGGACAGGCTAAACATGAAAGTACTTCCGATTGCCAAGCAAAATATGTACTCGTATAATAATTACTTGTCACTCAAAGTAATGATGATCGTATACAAACACTTCTGCAATTCCGTGTTGTCTATTCTCGTTTTACAAATACTCAGAATGAGTATGCAGTTTTTGCATGAAGATGGACAAGGACGTGTTATTGATGAAAATGAAGTTGGGCCTATGGATCTTGTTGTTGACGAGGAGTTTTTGTTGCTGAGACAATAAGCGTTCATACTCGATGATCAATGAGTATATCTTTAGAAAGACCTTATAGTTCCGTAGTACATCCAGTTATTGATGAAATGGACAATGAATATGTTGCTATGAAGCTATGCAGTAGCAGACGCTATACATCTTACACTCATGAGGACAGAACTCAATCTTTTCGTTTATTTTCTAGCAAATACTTGGATGCGTCTGCTGCTGGAGACAATTAGGTATTCATATCCGAACAGCGCAAAGATGAGTCAAATGTTATTACGAGGGCCCTGAAAGCACTTTCGAGAAGAAAAATTCAGGCTCGCATTGTATTTTTGGAGCATGAGCAGTTTCTTTTAAATTACTTTGATGAGAATCATTCTGCTGCTATGTTTCTTGTAGCACCATTTATAGGCTCATGACAACTGGGTGCAATTCCAACCTGTAGAAAGAAATAGCAAAGAAAAAACCCAGCAAATATACGATTGAGTACAAAAGTAGCAGCAAACTGTCTTGAATTTCATGACAAATTGCGTCTTTCTTGATGAACCACCCTTTCATATCTATTTGAAACGAGACATGACTTGGTCAAAGAAGGGAGCTCCTGCAATAGCTACATTACTCACAAATAAAGCGAATGCAACATCAGTTTTGGGTGCAATATCTGCAACTGATTCAATCAATGTCAGTTTGAGAGTTACAAAGCATATAAAAAAGAGAAAGCTTGGGCTTATAGCTAATGTTTATAGCGTAGGAACAGTGACAGGACATTATCTGAGCTTTTTGAAGGCCTCACTTTATGAAATGGACAATTGCCTATTAATGAAGAGACATTATCTTGTCATAGATAATGCTTCTATACATAGCTCAGTTGGTACAGGAAGATATATTCACATTCGAGGATATTGATATGTTTATCTTCCTCCGTACTCTTCTGAGCAGTTCTGATCAGTTGTTAAGAGTAAATTTAAACTTAACAAATTCTTGGAAAAAGAAACGCCAATCACTAGAATAAGCGAAGCTTGTCAAAGGTTATGCAGCTTTACAAAAAAATCACTGTTTGTTTAAGCTACTTCACAACCAATTTAAACTGCCTGCAGGTATTTCAACCAAGAAAACCCATGTAGCAATTGTGTTAATTTATTTTTATTCAATAATAGTTTCCACACTAACATCCACCTAGCTTTAACACTGGCACTAACGAATGGTGTTACTTTGCATATTCTCATCCACCTTTGCCAGCTCATTTATGACATAACTTAAGTGATTTGAATCTCGTTGACAATAGGGGCAGATAATTTATAACATACAGATACAAAGACTTTGTCCATCAATCGCTGGTCTGCTGAGATGCATGGCTTTAGGGGAGGTATTCAACTACCTCCTTGAATCTTTATAAATATTTTCCTCATACTGGCCAATGTCTGTCTCCCTTCTCTTCTGTTCTCTTTCTTATAACCTAATGCAAGTAGCAATATAAATATATTTATATATCTTATGCTCTGCTTAATTTCTAGAATTTAATTTTTTGCTTATTGAATACTTTATTTTTTCAATAAAGTGTATTAGTAATGGTAAACTAAAGGATTATACATTTACTTAATGATATTTTTATCCTTCATAACATAAAAAGAGCGAAAAAACACTCACTCGTCCAAATCATTCTTTCTTCGTTTTGATTGTTGAGCAAAAACTTGATGTTTCGCGTTGAGCACTGCTTATCGAATGATGTAGGGCTCTTATCAGCAAACAAATCCGAATAGATCCATACTTTGAAAGAATACTGTTGATAGTATAGCTTTCTTAAGAATCATTCTCTGTTAGACATGTTCAAACCGAAATTCGCAGAGTACCAGATAGAAGGACAATAACTAAAGAACACTCTTTCCACTCTATTGTCCACTTCAGAAAGCAACCAATTTCGTATTATTATGCAGTTCCTCAAAGAACAAGAAGTGATTGGGACCATTTCATGAATACAAAAATATTATGTATTGTTTATCATGCAAAGAAAGCAGTAATTTATCAAATGTATGTGAATTGAAGACAAATGATTTATTTGTATAAAGAAAGAACATCGCAAAAAAAAAAAAAATAAAAATAAAAAAAAGATAAAAAGGATAGAGACACTGAAAAACTATTAGCAGCTATGTTTTCAAAATGTATACATTTATACTTCTTTTTGGAGTGAACAGAATATTCGCCATTAAAGAAATAGAAATACAGTTATGCATTTTTATATTTTTTAGGACCGCCCTTTCGTTAACCACAGTTTTATGAACCACCACCTCTCTAGCCACAATTATATGAACCATCCCTCTCGAGCCGTTACTCTGCAAAGTCCAGTTTGAACATATTTGATAAAGAGTAGTCTCCAAGAAAAAAAAAGGAAGTAGTACATAAGAAGTCTGATAATTCTTTGACCTCTATTCACAGCAATGGCTTGATCTTTTTTAAGCTATTTTTTTATTATCGTCATATCATTGTTTTTTAGTTTAACATATATGATTAATCATTGTGTTCACCTCTTGATTTTCGTTAATGCATTTCTACCTGGAAACATAAACAGGAGGGAGGGGGCATAAAAAGTATCATATTCGCATATAGGTCTTCATAGGCTCATAATAATAATAATAATAATAATAATAATAATAAAGAAACTACTACCAGTGTTCACTAAGTACACGTTCCAAAACATCTCTGTCTTCTCTTTTATCAGGTTCTCTAAATTGTCGGTTAGCATCCATCGAAACACCAGCTGGCATAGGTGCATTATGATAAAAATAGTTTTCATTTTCACCTAATTCTTCTGGTTCACCAACAAGTTGATTTGGGTCGTACATAATGCTTTGTTTTGACTGAACAGTTGTAGGCGAATGTTGCTCTAGCAAACTCATGGTGGCCGACGGTAAATAATCTAACTTTTGTGTTGGTGAGGCAAATGAGTGTATGGGTGAATCTACAGCTGTTGTATAGGAGCGTTTAATTTTCGTAGGTGTTGTACAAGTTCCTTCCTCTGTATGCAAATAGTTTGCTTCTTGTTGCTCTAATTGATACCTGAATGATTTCAATTCGTGTATAATCATCGACTTCAGGTCTTGGTCGCTATTGTTGTTTTCGAAACTATAGTATTCATAGGGCAAAACGGCAGGAGGAGTCAGTGATTCTTCAGCTGGATCTGAAAATGGTTGAACAAATGGGTGTTTGAGTGCTTCTTTCACCGTAAGGCGCTTAGCTGGATCCAAGCATAAAAGTTGTCTTAGTAAATCAAGTGATTCTTCTGTCGCTGTAGGAAAAAGTGCATTGAAGTCTACAGGTTCAGTAGGAGGAGGTAAACCATCAGTAGTACAAAGGCTCTTTAGGTGTGCAGACACAGCTTCTGAAGGATCCCAGAATGAGATGTCATTGGGTAAACCCAAAGTGCCAAGAATTTTATACAATTGATCGACATGATCACGGCCTTGAAAAAGGACTTTCCGACCTAGAATTTCACCCAGGATACAGCCTACAGACCAAATGTCGACTATATAAAAAAAGAACAGGTTAAAAATAAATCACGCTCATGGTTACACCATAAAGGTTATACATACTTGCTTTACTGTAATTGTGATTACTGACCATGATTTCTGGTGCACGATACCATCTTGTTGTCACATATTCTGTCAAATAAGACTTTGTGTCTGCTTGATCAAATGCTCTTGCCATACCAAAGTCACAAATTCGAATATCACAATCCTTGTTGACTAGAATGTTGGCTATCAATGGATAAGTATGCTAGCATTGACGTTTGTTTTTTTTTATTACCAGGCTTCAGATCACGATGAATGACGTTGGCACTATGTATGTAATTGAGGCCAGACAGCAATTGATACAAAAACCATTGACCATGGACTGTGTCAAGTGGCTGTTGTGAGTGAATAACGTCATGAAGACTTGCGTCCATACAACCAAAGACCAAATAGATTTCTTCAAGGCCAGGAATCATATCCATATCAAACAATTGAATAATTCTAGGGTGGTTGTTGAATAAACGAAGTAATTTCATTTCCCTGAGGCAGCGTTTGGTAACTAATTTCTTGTCAAATACTCGGTGCATTTTCTTGATTGCACAAAATTGTTGATATTGCTGATCAAACGCAGAGCAGACTGTGCCATAAGCACCAGAGCCTACTTTACGAATAATTCTATATCTGGCATTGACTGTGAAAGTTTCGTGTTTATTGTCCCTAGAAATTGGGACTGTCACGTATTGTTGTGCCATACAATAGATGAACCAAAAAGGGGAAGAAGAATGAACAAGGTGTTTGAGCAAAGAACGTTTATATAGTTATGAAAAAAAAGTTTTGTATGGCCAAGCCACTATACACATCAAAGGACATGAGCGCCGTGTAAGCATACGCCATATATTGAGGCGGGAACCAGAACGACTGATAAGAACGTGGCGTATTCATAATATTGTAATAAAAGTCGTGTTACATTAAATTATGTCTACGGCTAAACAATTAAGAAATGCATTATCAATTTATTTAATTGGCGGACAAAAAGAAAGAGGCAAAACTAAACGCGCTCACGGATATTTGAATTAAAACAGAAATTTTTGTTTAAGCCCTCTTTTCTGCCATACACAAAAGAAAGGCTCATTGTTGCTGCGGTTAGGGCAAAATAAGTGTCAAAGAGGTAGTACGCCTCAAAGAAGGAAATCAAACCTAAAATGAGCAATACAATCATTTCCTTGTTGGATTTTAGCAGACAACTTTTAACATGAAATAGAAATATTTTTATTGTTGATGTCTTGTCTTTGCTTTCTCTTTAGCTTGAGATATAAGTGGATCCAATTGATCTTTTTCAGCCAAATTACGCAACAAGTTATAAATGATAGGTATAAAGTTATGCTTTCTTAGCAGGTTTTCTCTCTGTATGTATATATATATGTATATATATATGTTATTCTATTTTAATAAACAAAATCTACTTACATGCCACTTTTCTCGTTTATTTTTTTCTTGGTGCAACATTTGTTCATACATAGCACGGTCTTGGTTAGCTTTGTTTCTTGCCTGGACATCATCTTCAGGCAAAGACAACAAGATGCCATCTGTTTCCTCTATCATTTCTTCCAATTTTTCAACTCTGTCCTTGATCAATGCCATCAAACTAAAGTGAAGTTCAGAAGCACCATATCCTTCCATACGATGTTTGATTGCTTCATTTGCTTTTTGTACCCAATCATGATCATCACAAGGACCCAAATTGATTGGGCCTGCACTTAAACCATCTAATTCATACAGTGCACCATGGATAGGTGTAAAAGCAATAAAATGGTATACATCTTGATCCTTAGAGTCATTTGTATCCACTATTTCGTTCACGAAAGGATCTGAACGAGCAAAACTGTTGTGTACTGAACGAATCAAATCACTATTAGAGATAGCCATGCCTTTCAACTTGGGCACGTATTAGTTTGCCTGTATCTTGTTTAACTGTACATACATCAGGAGGGAAATCACTTGTGAATTCCTTAAAGTTTCTTAATTCTTGACCAATCTCAATATCATCTCTGTTTAACAAGATCGACAGAATAGCTTGTGTTGCACATGCGTTGTTGATGACTTGATTAGCAAAAAAGACATGCTCTGCATTATAGTCTACTTCAGGCAATGGAGTCTGTTGGTTTTTTTTGTTTTGCCATTTGAACAAAAATACAAGACCATATATATGACTATGGATGGTTAAGAGTCAGATTGTTCATGTGTAAAATTACCCTAAATCAGTTGTGAATTCAGGATCTAAGCTATAAATCTCTTCCATTTGAACACCTTGGCAACCCATGCCAGAGATCAATTCCGTAAATACACCTATTTGAATAAGACTAGGCCGAATTTTACGAAAACATCATACCTGGATCACTTTCAATTAAACACCAATCACCAGCTTCTGTCATTATCGTAATTCAAACAACAAGAAAAAGAGAGAAATAGAACGCGCGTGTTCAACTGCGCGCGTATGACGTGCTTTCAAATTTCAAAAATAAACTTTTTTCTTTATTTTTTACGTGTTTTGACATGAAGAACCTTTTAAGAGACACATCTAAACTTATATCTTCTGATATTGATCGATCACAAATCATAAAATCAAAAAGAAGAACACGTCAACCTGTTCATTATGGAGAAGACGAGCTAGAAAAACAAAGCCTCGAACAGCAAGTGACAGCAAAGCCAGGGCCTAAGAAAGCCGAGAAAGCAGCAACCAAGTCAACTAAAAAACCAACTCACCCGTCCACCAAGAAACCATCGACACCGAGTAAGAAGCGCAAAATGTCTTGTTCTGCATCTGAAGAAAGTTCTTCAGATCAGGATGAATCTGGATCAGAAGCTGAACCCGAATCAGAGTCAGAGTCAGAGTCAGATGAAGACGATTTCATGGAGGAGGAAGAAAAGGAAGAAAAGAAGCCCAAATCAAAATACCTAGCCTCTGTCCGTAAAAGAGCGGTCAAGAAAGCAATACCTACTACACCTACAAAGCGAAAGCCTTCTTTGGCCAACCGTACTATACATAGAGTCAACCGAGCCATTCCAGTTCTACCCTTACGCCAAGTCAATGCACGAGATACATCAAATATGACAGCTTATGAACTAGCAAGAGAAAGATTACATGTATCTTCTGTGCCTGATTCATTACCTTGTCGTGAAGATGAATTTTTTACCATCATGGGTTATGTTGAAAGCGCCATTCAAGAAGCCACTGGTGCTTGTGTATATATCTCGGGTGTGCCAGGCACAGGAAAGACAGCAACCACACTAGAAGTCATTCGACACTTACAACATCAAGCAGAAGTAGAAAAGACAATTCCCGAATTTGATTTTGTAGAAATTAATGGTATGAAATTAACAGATCCAAATCAAGCGTATAGTATCTTATGGGAATGCATGGATCAACAAAAAAAGAGATATACTGCTGCTCATGCTTTACAGTTGCTTGAAGCCAAATTCTCTAAACAAAATCAAGATCAAAAGACAACTGTGGTGCTGATGGATGAACTTGATTTACTGGTAACCAAGAAACAGACAGTTATGTACAATTTTTTTGATTGGCCCAGTCGTCCTCGTTCGAAACTGATTGTGATTGCGATAGCCAATACGATGGATTTACCAGAACGTATCATGAGTAATAAGGTGGCGAGTCGAATGGGTCTGACACGTATCACATTTGAAGCTTATCGATATGACCAACTCTATCAAATTGTTCAATCCAGACTAGAAGGCATTGATGCTTTTGCCAAAGAAGCTGTGGAATTTGCAGCACGTAAAGTAAGTGCTGTCAGTGGTGATGCTCGTCGTGCCTTGGATATCTGTCGACGTGCAGTTGAGATTGTCGAGACCAAATTAGCAGATCAAAAACACGTCACAATCAGCATTGTGGACCAAGCCATTAAGGAGATGTTTACCTCGCCTTCTGTTGCTTTCATTCAATCCTGTTCTCTGCATCAAAAGATCTTTTTGGTAGCTTGTATGCATCGGTCACGTGCTATAGGCTTAGCTGAAGTTGAATTTGGGGATGTGGCCCACTATCATGTCCAGACTTGCAAGTGGCATAATATTGAACCACCGAATACCAGTGATTTGATGCGAGTATGTGAATCTTTAGGTCAAACAAGAGCCTTGATGATGGAAAACGGAAGAATGGATATTTGTATGCGATTGTCTCTTAATTTAGTTGAACAAGATATCATTATGGCATGTAAAGCAGACAAATTGATTAATCGGTTATTACAGCATTTACCTCAAACAGATTGATCTCATTACACAAAAAGCTTAAATTGCATATAAAACTTGTTTTTTTTTCTTTGTTTCCTTTTCTCTCTATTTCTTTCTTTCTTTCTTTCTTTCTTTCTCTCTTTCTTTCTTTCTTTCTCTTCAATATGCTTAAATCATCAAAAAAATCAGATTCTTTGCACTTATCTTCAAATAGTGGTTATGAGTCTGATTCCTCTGAAGAAGGAAGACAAACACTTCCAAACCAAAAACTAGGCTTACGAGTCATAAATGCAGAAATTAGTGACGAAGAGGACTCAGCAAGTATAAATAAAGATTTAATAACACAAAGGCCTATTTCTCCACCCCTTACTGCATCACCTCCTTCTTTTCCTTCAACTGGAAACACCCCTCCATCTCCTCCTGTTCGAGCACAAAGAAAGACATCTTCTCTAGAAGGTAATACACTGCGTTACAAGCAAGATGTAACCTCGGATAACAAAGTAAGAAATTAAGGCAAGTTTCCATACCTCTCATACACTTATAGACCACACTCTCCCGTACTTCTTCACGAGCCAATTCTGAGAAGACAGGTTCAATAAGGACATCCACACAAATGGCAATGGACTATGCAAATCAAAATACGTCCAAATATTCCAAAGTGTCATATCATTTAACCCATGATCCCACAGCCATTAAGCGGTACCGAGAAATGGCAGAAAAGACACGAGACACAACCACACAATTGGTGTTTGCTAAATACCTGTTGGAAACAGCCAATGCGTTTTACCCCAATAATGATGTGAACGCACCACCTAAAATTGTCGGAAGTATGTGGGGAGTGGGCACAAAGGATACACAACGTCCAGAACCTTTTATTGTGGTACCTGTACCAGAAGATGCCTTGTCATCCAATTCTATATCGAACAGTGGTACTTACTCCACGCAACTCACAACAGCAACGACGATAGTGTTAAAGCAACAAGCGTATATCAACACCAACCATCCTAAAATAGCACCTGTGGGTGTGAATGAACCTCAACTAAAGAAACGAAAAGTATTGGAAGATGAAGGAATCAAATGGACTAAGCGACTCGCTAAAGCACAAGTACCAGAAGCATGTTATATGGAAGCAAGATGGATGGATCTGGAAGTGTATGGGTTTAAAAAGAACAAGGCAAGGTCGTTTGAGTTACATTTAATTGCTGCTAAAGCAGGTATTCCTGAATCCATGTTTGCAGCAGCTAAACATCTCGAAAAAGAAAACCAAGAACCAGCTACTGTATTAAAATACTATAGAGCCTCTGCTGACAAGGGATATGTTGATGCTGTTTATGCAAGTTGAGACAATTGACAAAGAAAAAGTATTGACAGCTCCTATAGAAAATGGCTACACTTGTGTTACAAGGCAAATTAGGGTTAAAACAAAGTCTAGTAGAGGGACTCAAATTGATGCACAAGGCATGTACGCTTTGTAATCAAGATTTCCATGAACCATTGTATACATTCGCATTGATGCTTACAAATGATTATCCTCAAACCGACTTTCCAAGGTAAGATAGACATACAACCTATAGAAACTAATTTTTTTTTGGAAAAAAAAAGTGCTTTAACAGAGCCTTATGGTGGCAAAGAAGCTGCTATACTCTATCTTGAAAGAGCAGCCAGTTTCAATAATTACGATGCACAGAGCAGATTAGGTTCTATTTATGAACATGGCTTATATGGCGAATCCATGAATTTCGCTCGTGCGTTTGATTATTATGAAGCAGCTGCCATGAATGGAAATCCAAAAGCCATGTTGGGTCTCTGTCGTCTTAACAATCGAGGAAGTCATGGACCAGGTGATAAAGATGAGGGCGAACGACTAGAAAATGATGTCTCTGGTTGGTTAGCAGCAACACCAGTGAATGAAGATTTGGCTTTCTCTTGGTGTGAGAAAGCTGCCGAAGCTAATTTACCTGATGCATTTGCACTTCTGGGGTAAAGAGAGGGTTCCAAGATGATTTTATTTCTAGTAAATTGTGGCTCACACTTCTTTTTTTCAATTAGGTGGTTTTATGAAAGTGGTTTTGGTACACCGAGGGATTTTAGTAAAGCAGAAGAATACTATCAATTAGCAGCAAAAGCAGGAGATAAGAGCGCAAGATCAAGGTTACAGGATACAAACAAATCAATCACAAAACAACAGCATGAAGTTATAAATAAAAACCCAACTAACTCATCACCAAAAAAGCAATTAGAGGATAAGAAAAAGAACACTTGTTTTTGCATGTAAAAAAAAATAAAATAAAATAAAAGACTCATTGTGACACATAACTCGGATGATTAAAACCTGGGGTACAAAACTAAAGAGAAAAAAACGTCCTTTTATCTTTTTTTTTTTTTTTTTTTTTTTTTTTTTACTTGTATGAATATTACGCATAGAATAAACAGGTCCTCACTTTATGTTTGGACCCACAAGTTATGTAAGAGAGGTTTTAGAGCAACAACCGTAAGTGTCAAGTTTTTATAAAATAGACTGTATTTACATATAGACAGGATAATCCAGAACAAAAAGAAGTGAGAGTAAGGATACATATGTCAAAAAAAAAGGTGACAAACAAAAAAAAATGATTAGGAACTTCTCGTGAGTTTAATGGGTACAGGGCCTAGTAAACGAGAACTTCGACATTTCTTAAAGCGCTTTGATCCTCAAGAACCCAAATCCACCAACATTTCACTTAAGGACCTTTCGTCACAACCCATCGCTTCGCCTAAAGAATACGTCAATGCTCTGTTAGCGCCCTCTTATCATCAACTTGCATTGACAAAAATAGAAGGCCCATTTGAAAAATCAGACTGGCAAAATGTAGCCAATACACTCCACAAACTTCAAAAACTAGGTCTGTCTTCCATTGTGGTACCTGACAATCCATCTTGGACTAGTGAAAAGTCGGCTGGAAATGAACTTGTTAAACAAATGTTGAGAGAAAGTATGGCATTGGTTGAATCGATTGATCAAGCAGGCGGCCGTGCTCGATTGATTTATGGTTCTGCACTTGAGCGATCATTGAATGGCAATATTGAAATTAACCTTGACTTTATTTTGTCTGCATTAAACAATAACCAGATCCCCATCTTGGTACCTACTTTGACAGAACACGATGGTCAGCTTGTACCAGTCAAGGCTAACCAAGCCCTGGTGGCATTGACACAGCGTCTGGCTAATCAAGCAGTAGATCCTAAACTTGTGCCATCTAAAATTGTAGTCATCAATAAAGAAGGAGGTATACCCAATCATGCATTGCCTGGTACAGCGCACAGTCTAGTGAATGTACAAGAAGAATACGAAGATATCGAGAAAGCCTTTTCAACCCATGAAACATGGAAACAAAGTCATCCCAACACCATGCAAGACTTGACCATGATACGAGACTGTCTTGATCAATTACCGACTGCTTCCTCTGCTATTATTGTGCCTACTTCTTCCTTACCATCTGCCTTAATCACCAATCTCGTGACAGACAAACCTCTGTATTCTTCTTCTCTGCCTGTCACTCATGCTGCTCAGATCAACCAAAAAAAGACAACGGTACTACGTCATGGTATCAAGATCAATACGTTTCATGATCTAGGCGACTTGAACCTGAATCGATTAACGAGTTTATTAGAAGCTAGTTTTCAACGCAAGGTTAATACAGAGGCATTCTACAGTCGACTGGATAAAGTATTAGCAGGAGCCATTATTGCAGGTGATTATGAAGGTGCTGTGATCATGACAGATGAAAAACCTGATCCTTCTAGTTCAAGATCGCATGCTTATCTTGACAAATTTGCGATTGCACCTTCAAGCCAGGGGATTGGGTTGACTGATATTCTATGGAAGCGGATGTGTGATAATTATCCTGAACTACTTTGGCGAAGTCGTAAAGATAATGGTGTCAATAAATGGTAAGACAGATCTATAGATACTTGTAATTCATTCCTTCTTTTTCTATGATATAGGTATTTTGAAAGATCGAATGGGTTTATAAGACTAAAGGATAGTAATTGGGTCTTATTTTGGCATGGTGCAGAAGGTCATAAGCATGCTCAAGATTACGCCAAGATTACCATGTCCATTCCACCATCATTTATGGCATAGTCTTTTTTTGATTATTTAAGCACATTTAGCTTACTTAAGCAGCTGGATTACATAAGCTATGCGGGCAATTAAAAATAAATCATTATGAATGTAAACGATTAAGAAAAGAACCAGTTTGATTGCTGCCGATCATCGTATGCTTGTTCAATCATCTTTAATTCGTTACCATATAAGAAGAAGAAAATAATTCTCTTTGAGTCTTGTCAATATTTCTTTATAAAATGCTTTAAATCTATACAAAATTGAATTCTCGGTAGGATTCTTTAAAGACAAGAATAATGCGTTACCCAAAAAAAGTAAAAAAGCAGTCATCTTTTTGAAAACGTATATAAACAAGGAAGCTCTGTTTCTTTTTCTTGTTTTTCTTTTTTCTTAAAAAAAAAAAGTAGTATCATGTCACCTTCTAAACACATTGTCAAGCCCGACTTGGAGAGACACTCTGAACTTGTCAAGAATCTAGATGAGTTTGACCTTGTTGACATTGGTAAAAGAGTACCTGAACTTGCTAGTGACTTGAGTAGCGTCAAAAACATCTTAATAACAGGTGGTGCTGGTTTCATGTAAGAAAAGACGAATTTACGCCTATACGAATTTGACTTACCTATGTGTATAGTGGTTCTTTTCTTGTTCGAAAACTTGTGGTTTTGTATCCAGAATATCAAATTTTTGTGATTGACAAGCTTGATTATTGTGGTTCTTTACATAACTTGAAAGCAGTTGAAGATTTTCCTAATTATCATTTTGTTCGAGTAATGTGAACAAGGAGAAAAAGTTGTCATAACTGATTGACTATTGATGTGTAGGGTGATATTACTTCAGCAGATTTCATATCCTTCTTCTTAAAAGAAAAGGAAATTGATGTTATATTTCATTTGGCTGCTCAAACGCATGTTGATAATTCATTTGGAGACTCATTTGAATTCACAAAGTAAGGAAATAGGCTGAATGACAAGCTAAAACAAAAGTATGGTTAGGAACAATGTAATGGGTACGCATGTATTATTAGAAGCAGCCAAGATCCATAAAATACAACGATTCATTCATGTCAGTACAGACGAAGTATATGGTGAAGTCATTAATGGTGTAAGTAAAGATGGACTTTATTTTTGTTGTATGCTGATTTTGAATGTAAAGCCTGATTGTCCTGAAGACACCATTCTATCACCCACCAATCCTTATTCAGCAACAAAAGCAGCTGCAGAATGCCTTGTGAAAGCCTATCATAAATCATTTGGTTTGCCCATCATGATCACTCGCTCCAATAATGTCTATGGACCCTATCAATTTCCAGAAAAGATTACATCTAAATTTGTCTGCAGTCTACTAAGAGGCAAAAAATGTTATATTCATGGTGATGGACAGAATTCCCGCAAATACCTGTATGCTGCTGATGTGGCAGATGCGATTGACATTATTTTCCATAAGGGTTCTGTTGGTGAGACATACAACATTGGTTCGCCTTCAGAGATATCCAATCTTGAAATGGCTAAACGATTGATCTTGTTGTTTGGGTACAGGGAAGAACAAATAAATGATCATATTGAGTTTGTTAGGGACAGAGCCTTTAATGACAAACGATATGCCATTGACTGCAGTAAACTAGAGAAATTGGGTTGGACACCAAAAGTGAATTTTGAACAAGGATTGTTAAAGACAAGTAAGTGTGTTTATTTTTCCTTACAATAGCTAATATCCATATAGTTGATTGGTATAGACAATGTACAGATACATGGTGGGGTGATATTTCAAGTGCTCTTATCCCTCATCCTTTTAAAGTGATTCCTTCTTATAATGAACCTTCCTCATAAATTAAAATTAAGCAAAAATTAACATTTTAGGCCTTACAATCTAATTCATGATCTTCCATCTAAATTGACCAAGCCAATAGGATAACACCGCATTATGAATTAGCACGTCAGTTTTTATCTTCCCGGTTAAAACTCTGTTTATTCGGGCATAGTTCAACCGGTATAAACTTTATTCCATTCGATAACTATTTTATGTATATTCTCTTTCGCTTTCATGTCTGTTGTTGATCATGATGATTTGTTGTCCGACTATTTACAAATGGAAAGGACACTTTCATGGCAGGATGTGAGAGATGCTCCTTCGTTATCCAATCATAACTATCGATTTGTAGAAATCTCAAACAGAAAATACAGAAAACCACCTATTTGGTTTTCAGTGAAAGTGAACCGTATCGACGGCAACAGTCAACAAACGACCTGTCACCCGGGTTCTATTTTTGAAGGCACAGTCAATATCAAATTAGAGACACCAATAGCAGCACAATATCTGAAGCTTGTCTTTAAAGGAGCAGGTAGGTAGCACCATTTTATGTGTCCTTCCTGTAACCCTCTTTTTTTTATAGAGAAAATACACAGTGATGTGATTGGAAAAGAACATAAACGAAAAGGAGAACGGTTGTTTGCTATCCGTACTGTTCTCTGGGGCATTCCTGACGATAATGAGATACAGACACAATGGCCTATTATTGAACCCGGTGAACATCAATTTCCATTTATGTGCGAAATGCCTATGGTGAATTATCCTCCCACATTCAGACACCACCTTGCATCGTGTGAATTTGAATTAGTCGCTTGTTTAGAGCGACCTGGCATTCGACCCTTCCAGACAACACCATACTATTTGCGTTATGAGCCCTTTTTGAGCTCAAGTCAATCAAAGCAAGCAGCACTATACCAAGAAAAAGTACGGTTATCCAACGCCTATAAAGCCACTATCAGCCTACCAGGTGGCTGTCAATATAACTTGCTTGATACTCGGTCTATTCCACTTGAATTATCGATTCAACATTTACTGAACAAGCAACAGCCATCTGAAGTACTGAATCATATTGAAGTCTATGTGAAGCGGCAAGTGGATGTGACGCATGGTACTTATTTCCGCTCTGATACCATGGTCATGAGTCATGTAGACCAATCGACTTTTAGACTCAAACGTACAAAAGCAGGCACTCGTACTTTTGCTATCACCCTACCTTTACCAACCCGCATTAACCCAGACTTGGACCAGACAACCCAACGAAATTTCGAAGTGCTTGGCATGACAACCCACATTGATTTTTCTAAGCATATTCATATGAACTATAGGCTGTATGTGACAGCCAAAGTCAAACATGGCTTGATTTGGACAAAAAGGCAATTGTTCTGTATTCCTCTCCATTTCGGTACCATGTCTCGAGGAGAACAAGTGCCGAGTAGTCTTGTGAGTTACAGAGACCCTGTTGTTACGGCTGATACAACCTTATCTACTAAGCCAAGGTTCATAAGAGCACCTAGCTTAGATGAACAATTGCCTGCTTATGATGAAGAAACATCACCACCTGTTTATCAACACACATTTGGATTATTTCGACTTGTATCTACTTGAATAAAAATGTACGTCATATGAATTGCCTTTCTTGGTGTTTACAAAATGAGCTGCAAAAAAAAAGAAAAAGGAAAAACCTCTCTTTTTCTTCTTTTTTGTTTAAAACAACATAAAATAAAATAAAAAAAAATATCATGTCAACACAACAAGGAAAAACTTATCAATTTAAGCTTGTACTTTTAGGTAAAAAGAAAAAAAGAAGTTGAAAAGAGATGAGAAGATTAACACTTTTGTTATAGGCGAATCTGCCGTAGGCAAGTCAAGGTAATATTTTCCATTTCATCGTAAACAAAATAGACTTAAATATTTCCTATAGCTTGGTGATGCGTTTCGTAAAGGACCATTTTGATGAATACAGAGAAAGTACTATTGGTGGTAAGTTGCACTCCTCTCTCTCTCTCTCTCTCTCCTTATTGTATAAGGAGATGATTTTCTTTGTTATGGAGATAATAACTCTTAGTTTTCTATAGCTGCTTTCTTGGCACAGACAATTTCTTTGGATGATAATACGACAGTGAAATTCGAGATTTGGTATGTTGACTCACTTATCTATATAAACTCATTGCTCTCTTTAGGGATACAGCAGGTCAAGAAAGATACAAGGTAAAATTATTATTATTATAGTAATTACAAATTTGAAATTGAAATTTAAAAACACATGTGTATTCTATAAATATCATCTAGAGTTTGGCACCAATGTACTATCGTAATGCTAATTGTGCTGTTGTTGTCTATGACATTACACAAGCTGTAAGTTGATATTCTCTCTTTTTTGACATTCATATTAACTTCCTATGCATAGTCTTCTTTGGATAAAGCCAAGGCTTGGGTGAATGAATTACAACGCCAAGCAGATCCCAATATTGTTATTGCATTAGCAGGTAATAAGAGTGATCTTGAGGCAAGAAGAGCCATTGAGACAAAGGTAAGTTCAAGCGTTGATAACTGATTTTTTTATTTATTTATTTATTTATCATAGACAGCACAAGAATATGCAGATGAAGCTGGTTTATTATTCTTTGAGACTTCAGCAAAGACAGCTGATAACGTAAATGCATTATTCCATGCGATAGCAAAGCGTATGCCTCTTGACCAGCTCGCAGATAACTCTCGCGGACGTAACAGAATGAATGCTCGTGGTGGTGGTGTTGATTTGGAAAGCTCAGGAAATTCCGCTGCTGGTGGTTGTGCTTGTAAGTTCTTGTTCTTTATGCTATTGAAGCTCATGCTTTTTTTGTAGGTTAAATCGAATTCCATCGCTCTTCTTTCTCATTGATATACACCTCTCTCTCTCTCTCTCTTTCTTCTTTTTCCCCCCTTTTTTTTTAAATATATATACACATATGTAAACAACATGGATCTATATTCATTTTTTTTTGAAGTGTATTCTCTGAACTGGGTTTAAATGAAATGCGCGTTTTATAGATGACTATGGCGCGTGTGCTTCTTGGTTTTTTTTTTCTTTTTTCTTGTTTTTCTTTATGTCGCGTATCAACCGTTCTGCTACACAGTCGCCTGCTTTTAATAGAATAGAAAGGCCTTTTCGTTCAGCTACTATAGGAGCAACACCTTCTTCTCTTGAACAAAACACAACAAGAAAAAGTGTATTGCTTTCAGAGAACCAACTCAATAAAGTAACATATTGTTATTTTTTTTTTGTTTTAATGTCTGTGTAGATTAGTCGAAAACTTGCAAATATTCGTCATGAATCATTGAACGTTGATACTCCTGAACCAGATATACCTTCTTTTCAAGCAAGTCCAATATCTATCCAGCATAATTTAGGTAAAAAAAAAAAAAAAAAAATGGGGCTTAAACAATAAGGATTGACATGATATATCATAGGCAATTTTCAACAGCAGCATACCATAGGTGACTTCTCTGTTAAAATTCAAGAATATGCTATTATTGAAGATTTATTACATGTTTTAGTGGTATGTTTATATCAAACTACGATAAATACTCAACGTATACATAGGGTGTTACTGGAGAATATATTAAATGTATATATCCTCAATCATCAAAAGAAGACGATACAAGCAATGCTGATATGGAAGATGTGCAATCAAATTACCCTGACCTCTTTGAACATAATATATGGAACGCCATTACTTATTCCATTGATCCAACACTTGGTAAAAAAAAAATACATATACATATACATACGGATATTCATTGTATTTAGATCCAAGTTTAAAGCATTTAGTAGAAAAGATGTTACCTTTAGCCACACATTACATGTCAATAGAAGCCTTTGTGAGCCAATATTCGAGATTCGAGTATGGCACAGTCAATCATGCATTATGTGCTGGTATTCGAGTGTTTATCAAAGACCACCTTACTTTTGTAGCTCAACTTGAACACGCATTTCAAACATCGCCAGAATTCACTTTACAACGCTTATGGTTCTATGCTCAAGATATTCTGCAGAGCATGAAGATTGTTCATGATTTAGCCATGTGTATTCGATCCATCAAAGCCAATCTGCATGAATCAGAAGCACAGGAACAAGACGATATTGATGCTGTGATTGAAGGTCTTCAGGAAGAAAACAGCGATGAAATTCATATACCAGAAAAGCAAAAAGGTGGTGCAATTCTCAACATTTTATCAGAACGGTTGATTGGACTCAGTGGTAATCCCAAATGCAAACAGATTTATACTGCTTTACTTTCGAAAGCGAGTGTGCCTTATTTTGATGTTTTGCATCAATGGATCTATCATGGAGAAATCAGAGATCCTTATAATGAATTTATGGTGGTGGAGAAACGTAATGTGAACAAAGATAATCTGAAAGAAGACTATAATGACACCTATTGGGAAACAAGATATACTATACGTGAAGGTGTAGTGCCTGTGTTTCTCGAGTCCATGAAGCATCAGATCTTATTAGCAGGGAAATTCCTCAATGTGGTGCGAGAGTGTGGTGTTACGATTGCGAATCCTGAAGAAATGCAAAATGAGATTTCAGTGCAGGATTTAAGGCTTGATTCCCCTTTGCAGAGAACAGATCAACAACAGATCAATATACCTACCAGAAGTGAAGTCTGGGCTGCAGTGGATGGAAGTCGGTTCATCAAGAATTTAGAAATTGCCTATAAATATGCAAATCAAGCACTACTTAACTTACTACTCAAAGACCAACAGTTGATAGGGCGGTTACGGCAAGTACTTGTTGTATTATGATTCAGTCACTCATGTCTTATAGTTCTCTCAAGCATTACTTTTTCCTTGACCAGTCTGATTTCCTTACGTCCTTTTTAGATTTGGCCAAAGATGAACTTAAAGAACCTGCTAACGAAATACCACAAACACGACTCCAGTCCTTGATGGACCTTGTGTTACGTAACCCATCTTCTGTAGCAGCCTATGATCCATTTAAAGAAGACGTCAAGGTCTCCATGAGTCATCTTCGCCTGATTGATCAACTTTTACGTATCATTAATGTCTCTGGTATGGACGCAGCCTTTACCTCAACCCGTCAAGATACAGCTGGACTACTTGAACGCAGTCAAAGTCTAGCGAATATCATTGCTATGCCGCCTAGTAACCGAGAACCTCTTTCGGGTTATGAAGCGCTTTGTCTTGACTACACTGTTACCTTTCCTCTATCCCTTGTGATTTCTCGCAAAGCGTTAACAAAGTACCAACTGTTATTTCGACATATTTTGAACCTCAAACATGTAGAAGATTTATTATGTGGTGTTTGGATGGATCAAAAGAACAGTTTATGGAAATCCCGGTCATCGCATTGCGAGCATTGGAAGTTTCGTATCTATTCACTTCGAAATCGTATGTTGACATTTATACAACAGTTTGCGTATTATGTGACAAATGAAGTCTTGGAGCCAAATTGGGTACGATTAGAAGCAAATTTAACTCGAATCACTACCGTGGATCAAGTGTTGCAGTATCATTCAGACTTTTTAGATACTTGTTTAAAAGAATGCATGTTGACAAATTCAAAACTGCTCCGTGTATGTTGATTGGAAGTTTTTTTTTTTGACGCTCTTCTCATCCTCTTTCTTTAGATATTTAACAAATTGATGGGATCCTGCTTAGCATTTACGACACAAGCAGAAAAGTTTACAAATATATTGACAGTCATGGAAGAAGAACAACAGGTGGATCAATTTGGTATACCAAAGTCAGGTCTGGGTGATACAGCCAGTACTTTATATGAAAGCACCAATCGTTCTTTATCCAAAATTGAAGAATCCTTCTTGTACCATATGAAATTATTGATTGACGCATTGAATTTCTATTCGACACAAGAAACTGTTCAGTTCCTGTGTCTTGTTGTCAGATTAGACTATAATCAATTTTATAACAAGACAAAAAGATAGAGAAAATGTTGAATATATTTACAAAAGAGGGAGAATATACATGTTGAATGAATGGTGGTCTATGTGATATGATAATGAATAAATAGTAAGGAGGAAGGGACTTCAAGCTTGTTCTTGTAAAAGTTCATTTTGGGTCTTTTCTTTGGCTTCTTTCATTGCATTTGTGTTTACTGCCAAGAACCCAATGATGACAAGCAAAGCACCAAGAGTATATTTGAAACCAGGTATGAATCCCTTGAAGCAGATATCGCCAATTAAAGCAAGTGGAATCTAAGTGGCATAATGAGCATCATTGTCTATCTATCATCTGTGCACTTACAGTTAAAGAAATACCCAAAGTAACCACCAATGGAGAAGTCATTAGCATCGATAACAACCATAAATAATCCGATCTATTTAGAATAAGTAACCCAATGGACAATCATGAATGAACTTACAGAAAGGTGCCTACAAAAGCATTCAATAAAATGACAGTCCATAAGGTAGCATTCATAGGTATTTCAAATGTCTCGAAACCAATATAATTGAGAATGGGTATCATTGGCCATAACAACAAGACATTAAAAGCACCAACAAAACCGAAAAACAACGGCATATCAATACGATCTTCACTTCCAATTCTCAATTTCAAAAGTGTTGTATAACATCCGTAAAATATAGCACCTAACAAAGCTAAGAAATCACCAATCAAAGGTGCAGGTACTGGATAACGATACAAGACATGAACGATTGGATCATGAGCAAGTTCACCATGTGAGTTGTCAGCATAAGAGACGAGAGACACACCCACAAGGCAAATCAAGACGGCAAAGAGTTTAATCATGTTCATCTGTTCCACTTTAAAAAGAGCACCGATGCCCAAGGTAAACAAACCTATGTTTAGGTTAACTCGACTGCTTTCTTGGATTTTTTCTCCCTTTTTTTTTTACCTGACATGGAGGCCAAAATGGTACTGCTGCCTACAGTAGTAAAGGCAAGACTGGAATTGGTGGTGTAATTAGCAAAGAACCAAAGAATACAAAATTCTAGACTGAGTTTGATTGTATCATACGTTGATAACTTGTGGTTCTGCTTATCATCAGTTGACTCGGACACTGTGGCTGTATTGTAACCAGCAGACTGTAAAGAAAGATGATCAGTTTGTGCTACATTTACTAATTTTGTCATTCATCGCCTTAAAAAGCAAAAGATAGAATACCTTGATTCCGTTATTATTTTTATGATGATGTGATAATAACCTAGTATGATTCGTTAGTTACATACATAACTGGATTGTATGACTTACTTTGTGGACTCATCGATAGAGTTGTGCTGTTTAGGTTGTCTAAGTCGCTTGAACAACAATGGCACAAGATAGAAAGAAAATGTAGCCGTATTGAGATAGGTGACAAGAAAGGGCTTATTGTAATTCATTTCACCAAATAAGCTCTATAAATATATGAATAAATCGAATTTTCATCTTGATATTAAATTTACATTCATGGCAAATGATGATGACACCCATATAAACACAACGCCCCCAAGAGCAAGAATGCCTCCCCAATATCGTTTTTGGGACAAATGCTTTATGTCAGACATGTATGAGCAAGAAAAAGAAAAGAGATAGATGTTTGGGGGTGAATACTCAATTTTTTTTATTATTATTTTAAAAGTGACTTGTGCATTGGTAAATAAAGCTTTTCATTGGATAAAAATGATGGCAGAATTCAATAATTATGCTTTAGCCAATCATGACATTAAACCATCCTCTCTCTCCCTCTTTTTCCGTCATTGATCAACAAGTTACACCATCATTTCATCAAAAATCGATGAAGTCCATGTCTATTATGAAATCTATATAAACAATGACAGGTTGTGTTTACATAGTTCTACGGGGGGTTGTTTTCGACAAGGAAAAAGGGAATAGGTAGCAAATGTTTATCGAAATGAGCCATATTTTTTAGAATTTTATCTTCTAGCTCCCTTTTTTCAAATTTCCTATGTTGAAGCATACATAAAAGAACATATTTATGCAAAAACATGGCAAGTTTTAAAAAAGTGGGGAAATCGTCATTTTGCCCTTATGATAGCCTTAGAAAATCTTCATTTTTCAATATTTAGCGATTTGTGGACGATAGAGACATTTTTGTTATGACATGTCTTTATACGAATTGCTCCTCTAAGTTTATGAAATACACTCAAAGTGTCAGATTTGCAAAAGTACTATAAAAAATGTACACTAGGGCGCAAAAACGAAAAGCATGTTTTTTGGAGAATAGCTCAAAATATTAGTAGTGAATGCACTGCTTTCTTTACATCTTTCGATGCGCCATGTTCATATTTTCAGACCTTAATAACGCACTTTTTTAATAGCTTTTCATTTTTGGATAGCTTTAGTCCATTATTTTGGATTTCTCCATTTTTTTTTTCATTCTAATTCTTGAAATGGGAAAAATAATTAAAAAACTCAGATGATTTGTTTTTTTCGGGAACACTCTGCTTATGCCAAGCTTTGAAGCATGCCAACTTTTTTTTTCAATTATTTTCGCCATATTCATTCATGATAGTATTAAAGCTGTTGTTTGCATTCTCAAACTATAGAAAAACAGAGTATCATATTGGCCTAATAAATGCAAGAACAATATTAGTTCATCCAGTATATTTTGCTAATAGCTATCTTAATTGTAAGTAGATTTGCGACAACTACGTGGATCAATCCGAACCATTCAAGATGTTATCCAAGTTCCGACAGTCTTGACTCCTTTTCAATCTTATGGGCCGGAAAAAAAACACTATTAGATATTCAATCGCCTCTACATGTTGCCATGATTGGATTTTGCAGTGTTCTTCCCTGACATTCCCGTTTATTTTTCCCCTCTTTTATATATACATATATTCAAGCATAGTCAGCCATCACCTAAGGCATTCTCTAACAACCTTTCATATAAACATAAACAAGAAGAAGAATACATAAAAAAAAAGTTTGTGAATGACAATCTGGGCTTAAAAGAATAATAATTATCAAGCCTTTTCCCTGTCTCTATCTCTTTTCTCCTTATCTTGTTCATCATCTTCACTTTAAACTTATTGATTTAGTTTATACATTTTTTTTTCCTTTTTTTCCTTTTCGCTTCATTTATTTTATTCACCACTCTTTTCTCTCTCAAGCATTAAGGTAGAAACAAAATTAATTGATTGTTACTCAAACCGTTATTGCTTTTTTTTTTTTAATTATTTAGAAAACAATGTCTTCAAGCCGAATTCTGCCTGGAGAATGGATAAAGAATAGACGATATGGTGTCATTATAGACGCTGGTTCTTCTGGTTCAAGAGTATATGTGTATTCCTGGAAAGACCACGAATTTACAAAGTCTTCTTTAACAGCTGAAGAACTGAAAGGCAAAATACCTATTGTCGAAAGAGGCGATCAAGATGGTCTAAAGTGGACAAGTAGAGAAGAACCAGGTAAAACTTGTTTTGAATGCGTGACAATAAGGATTAATAAAGAAGAGGTTAGGCATATCGACTTTTGGGCCTAAGCCCAATGAAGTAGGAGAGCATTTGGATATGTTGCTTGATTTTGCAAAAGAAGTGGTACCTCGAGAACATCATTCTTCAACACCTATTTTCCTTATGGCAACAGCAGGTATGCGCTTACTACCAGAAGATCAACAGACTGCATTGTTAAGTGCTACATGCAATTATATGCGCCAACACACATCGTTCTTTATCAGTGATTGTGACACACATGTACGCATTATTCCTGGTGAACTGGAAGGCGTCTATGGTTGGGTCGCTGTCAATTACCTGATGGGCGGGTTTGATAGTAATATTAAGGCATATACAGACAAAAAGTCTCCGGAGGAAACAGTAGAACAACACCATACCTTTGGCTTTTTAGATATGGGTGGTGCCTCTGCACAAATTGCGTTTGAACCAGAACATCATCAACGACAAGAACACATGGACGACTTGACACGTATCACACTCCATACATTGGACGGTAGAACAGTAGACTATGATGTGTTTGTCACCACCTTTTTAGGGTATGGAAGTAATGAAGCACGTAGACGATACCTTGAAAACAGAGTTAAAAAGCTATTTGCTGATTCAAATGGAAAGAACCTGTTAGACCAACACCATCTACTGCATCTAGACGATCCTTGTCTCCCTACCAACCTGAATATCACAGACACATCTTCCACCAGTGTTGCACTCGCTCTACATGGTACAGGCAACTTTGATCAATGCATTGAATACACGGTGCCCTTATTAAATAAAGATGCCGACTGTCCCACCAAGCCTTGTTTATTCAATGGCGTCCATACACCCGATATCGATTGGTCTGTCAATAAGTTTGTTGGTATTTCAGAATACTGGTATTCTTCACACGATATTCTTGGTTTAGGAGGTGTCTATGATTTTATCGAATACGAAAAAAAGGCTAAAGACTATTGTGCAAGAGACTGGGCAGTCGTATTGGAGGAACACAAGACCCAAGGCACACAGGAAATGCATCGATACCAAATGCAATGTTTTAAATCAGCTTGGATTGTCAATGTGCTACATGAAGGCATTGAGATTCCTCGTATTGAAAACCCAAGTGGTCATCATAATCTGACTGAAGATCAAGCTTTATTAGAACAAACGATTGAAAGTGTAGAACAAAAGAATTGGAATCCACCTTTTCAAAGTATTGATACCATCAATGATATTCAAGTCTCTTGGACATTGGGTGCTATGCTTTTACATGTAGCAAGTAAGATTCCTCTTGTGGATCATCAAGATGGATTCTTGGGTCATAGTACAGATGATGAAGGACCTCATGAAATAGCAGACGGTGTCTCACAAAACCCACATAGTACACCTGAGGAAACTCATTCAACAAAAGAAACAGGCACCACTGGATTCTTTCAAGATGCTAGTAAGACATCAACCTATACAGCATTTGCTGTTGCCTTATTCATGCTTGTTTGTGCCGTTCTGATCTGGTTCATGTTTAAGCGTATCCGAAAGAGACAGTTCAACCGAATGTCTGCAGGAGTCAATGGTGGCATCTTGGGCCATGATCCTGTCAGTCATGCTAGTTGGAATCCTCTTGTGTATCTGAATGCATTGACTCATTCTGTCTCACGATCTACTGTTGCCATCCGACACTGGGCCTCTCGTTTATTGCGTGGTAGAAATGGACCCAAATACACGAGTGTCAGTAGTACTATTCCTGTTGACATGGATACATTTGATGATAACATTGTTGCTGCTAATGAGTCTAATTCAATCACCATTACCATGACACCTGATCGCCTCTTGGGCACACCTACCAAAACACCGAGTGTTGTCTCTAAACAGTATTGGAGCAAGAAACGATACAGTGGTGATAGCCATACTAACAATTTCCGTATGGCTGATGTAGTAGAAGGATCAAGTGTCTTGCCTTTCAGGACATCCTCTGCGCTGGGTCTGGCCAATCGTACCAACAGTTCTTCTAGTTTGACAGCAAGAGCAGGAAGTACACCAAACCTTACTGCTATTGATCGTTCTCCTTCCCCACTAGCAGGCGAAGGCAATATCACTCGATCTCGGTCTCGTATGGGATTTGTGATACATGAGCAATCAGACGAAGAAGAATATGTCAATAGTGATGGTCCTCTATTATCCTCTGACAATCCAGCTACTGCATGGCTACAGAGTAGTAGTCGACTTGCTAGTCCAAGGAATAGCCCTAGAGGTAGTCTAGATGAAAGAAGAAAGCGAAAAGAAGATAGTGATTAGATATAATACCCCCCCTCATATAATAATAGAATGTCTTTCCTCTCCTTTACTTTTCAGTCACATAAAGGAACTCATTTGTCTAAATTAAGTTATTTTTGTTTCTTTCTTTTTTTTATTATAATAATGTCTGACGAGAAAAGCAAAAGACCTTCAAGTAAGAACATACCTAACTCCACCTATCATAAACTTATTTGTTAGACACCGCTTTTAAACAACAACGTCTTAAGGCTTGGCAGCCACTTTTAACACCAAAGACTGTCTTGCCAACATTGTTTGTTGCAGGCATCATCTTTGCTCCGTTAGGTGGTTTATTTCTCTATGAGAGTGAGACAGTAAGAAAAGAAAAGAAAAAGGAAAAAAGCGCTTTGTTTTCATCATGTTGTTAGGTAAATGAAGTTATTGTAGATTATACCCATTGCAAAGATGGAAATGCTTCAGCAGCTTCTTTGGATTCTAGTTTATATTCCTACAAGTTTACTGATGAAGGGACAAGCCGTAAGCATGATTGAATCATACTCAGTAACTGATCATTACATATATACAGAGATGTATGCACCTACCTATCGATTCATAGCCAACACAACAGAAGGAGAACCAGGCACATGTATTGTTCGATTTACTGTACCTATTTCATTACAAACACCTGTCTTTCTTTATTATCGTCTTACCAACTTTTATCAAAACCACCGTAAATATGTAAAGAGTCTCAGCTACAATCAACTTCATGGCGATGTAATTTCTGCTCCAGAAGCTGCCAGTTCATGTTCACCTGTAGGTGTTGCTCCCGACAATAAAATCTATTATCCGTGTGGTCTTATTGCTAATTCTATGTTTAATGGCAAGTACAACAGGCTGTGTATGGTTTACTTATGCTAATCTAGATACATTTGTTGTTACGCTTGTCAATCCTGCTGGAGGTACCACCACAACCAACATGAATTTCAGTGAAAAAGATATTGCATGGCCATCTGATAAAAAACGACTTGCCAGCACACAAATGAATCCAGAAGATCTTGTGCCTCCACCCAACTGGCAAAAACGCTATCCTAATGGGTATACTGCAGACAATATTTTCCAGCCTCAAGAAGATGAACATTTCCAAGTTTGGATGAGAACAAGTTGGTATCCTACTTTTAGAAAACTTTATTCTGCTTTGAGAGAAGGTACTCTTGAAGCAGGTACTTATGAAGTCAATATTACTTTGAGTAAGTTCTATTCTCTAGAGCGACAATGAGCTGATCCATGGTAGATTATGATATTACGGCTTATGGTGGTACGAAATCGATTGTGTTTACAAGCACCTCATTCTTAGGTGATCGAAATTCTTTTATGGGCTTGGCTTGGATTGTGATGGGTTGTGTATGTACCTTTTTAGGTGTTATCTTTTTGGGCTGGCACTTTTTAAAGCCGAGGTAAGAACAAAAAATGCTTATGATCATCATGGGCTTATACGTTCACATAGAAAATTGGGTGATCATGACCGTCTTTCTTGGCAACAATCTGCTCAAACTTCTTGAAAGGGGTATCTTTTATTATATATACATTTATACAAAGACATCTTGAATAAATTGATCAATAGCACATTGAATAGCTTCATAATGCCTTTTGCTGTTGGTAACAAGACTATCACTTAATGGACTATCACTTTCACTGTAGGCTATCACCATATTTTGTTGATGTTGAAGATAGCCTTTCAAGTAATCTAGAGCAGTTTGTTTTGCACTGTCCTCATAGTACATGGCTAAACCACATTGTTTCAACATGTCTCTATAGACTGAACTATGCAGAAATCGAATAAAACAAGATTCGAGTAATACATACACACATAATTTAGCTTCTGTAAATAGAGATGTGTCTATGTTGTCTAGTTGGATATGGTGTGTAATTGTGCGTTTGACATGATCATCCAGATTGATTTCGAATTTAGCATTGTTCATAATAAACGTATTGTAAATATCTAGCGCAGTCTGTCTATCCTTTTTTATCTCAAACTTGTCTGCTTGTAAGAAAAAGAGCTAACAGATATTAGTATTGAGATTATTTGTATTGATTAGACATACCAAATTTTCAAAATTGTATTCTTCTAAAAGGTAGAACAAAAAGTAACATAAGGGTATTTTTGAACCCAATATAGCTTTTAGTCCTTCATTATTAATCTCATTGACGCAGATATCAATAGGTACTGATTCACCAAAGAAGCGATCTAGTTTACGTGATGTGTTTTCTGTCTTGATCTTGTAGATCGCAAGTAGATCGAGAGCGGTCATAAGAGAATTGTTTTCAATACATGCTGATAAGTGACTGGTCATGAATACACTAGTGCGTCTAGAGGAAATGTGATCTTCTACAGCAGAGCCTCTTGGTTTTGATGTTGGTTTTCTCGTTCGAGCACTAGTATTGCTTCCTTGACTAGCATATGATGTTCTACGTATTTTTGTCATGAAAGTACAAAAAAATGTAAAAGAAACAAAGAGAGAAAAAAAACTTTGTAAAGTCCAAAAATACTGGTTTTTTTTTTGTTTTGTTTTGTTTTCCACTGTCAATACGTAATCATTTAAGAAAGGAAACAAGCTATGATTGATATAGGCAATATGAGAAATAGATTAGAATTTTGACAGAAAACCTTGATTTTCAGATAGACTTGGATTAATGTATTGCAAACTTTTTTTTTTTCGTTTTTTTTCCTGCATCATTATCTCTGTAAGAAACACGTCAATCGTAATGACTATTCATGTCTCAGGGGCAAGACACTTGTGATACATAACATCATTTATAAATCACTTCACTTTAAAAAGAAAAAATTTTTTAGTGGCAAAAAAAAAAGTGCCGCTATTTACCATTGACCTAGACTACTTTGAGCCCCATATCTGTCTATGAAAAAAAAGAGAAAGGATAAACTTTATTTGCAATGAAGATAGACTATTTGGGAAATTAGATCAATGTTTAGTGCACTTTATTGATAAAATAAAATATTAAATTCTAGAAATCAAGCAGATCATGAGATACATAAATAATATTTATATAGTTACTTACATTAGATTATGATAAAGAGCAGAGAATAAATTAGTGGCAGATATTAACCAGTCTATGTAAAATATTGATACGGGTACGAGGAGATAGTTGAATAATTTTGTCAGTTGCATAATTGCTTCAACTCGTTATATTCATACCACTACACAATATGACCAACCAATACCAAGTTGTGATTGATGTCAAAGGCTGTATCACTAAGCACTAAACTACGATATCTTAAAATAAAAAACTGAGTGCGTTCAAGTATCATCCTGGCATATTAAACAATTTTTGGATCATGATACCTTTCTTAAAGTTCGAATGACAAAAAACTGTGCTAATTTTTGTTTCGAGTCAGTGTATATCGAAACTTGTTTATCATGCTTATTAACTTGTAAAAAAAAAAAAAAAAAAACTAGAGCCCAGAACAATGCTTGCAGCACAAACACAAATGTAAGACAAATGAGAAGAAAGGCGTATCACTTTCGTAGCACATTTACCAAAGGCAAATAAAGAAGCCTGCTTTTTTTTAAAGTTCAATAATGACAGGTTGAGGGGTCCATTTTGTAGAGTTCTACAAGAGTATTAAAATCGATCGAGAAAAAACAGTGTATATAGTGATATTACATTGCCCCCATAGGTGGCCGGTGCTTTTTCATTACTTCTTTTTTGGGGAAACTGAGATTGGATATCCTTTACACCGCGCGCATACATACACACATGTATTTACCTTGTTGCTTTTCAAACGCATTTTGGTCTATATCTATTTGGAATAAATCATTACTCACATATGATATTCTTAGTTCTAAACTGTCTAGTGAGTATAGTAAAAAAATAATCTCATGTTAAATAAATGTTTTAAAGACATTATAATTCTTGTACAACAGTTGGCTGTATTAAAAAAAAAAATATGTGGGATTGAACATACGTTTTTTTTTCTACTTTGACCATAGAAAGACTGTTACTATATGGATAAAAGTAAGGATTATCCATACATTTAATTTTTATTTTAAAAAAAAAAGGCTGTTGTCTGTGATACACATAAGTTTGAATCAAGGTTTAGTTTATGTTTTCTCTTTCTTTCTGTACCTTTTTTTTTTATAAAACTTCTCTTTTGTTTTTGTTGCTTTGTTCTTAAAGCATACAAAAAAGGGGAAAATTCTCATTATTGTCATAAGATTATGTCATTCAATGTGTTTGTTTATCATGTTTGACACGACGTCTTTTTTGTATTAACATGGACTTCTTCTGATTGTCTATATCAAGTAAAGTGGTTGACTTTTCGGAAACTGACCGGAAAAAAATTAAGTAACAAGGTGAATAGTGATACTATACAAAAAGCAGCTCCATAAAAGTTAAGACTCTGTTGTGATATATAAATAAATTTAACTTTTTGGTACTACTGATTTACTTGCCTTGAAATGGCACCTTCTTAAAAAAAAAGATCAGCAATCCAATCTCGAGAAGAGAGAGAAAATGAGCGACCTAGAATTAAACATTCAAATAAAACGTGCTTTTTTATATTTGATTTTATATTAAACTCATGCAACCTTTTGAGTCTATCAATTCTTGTTCTTATTATCTGATTCTGTTTTATTTCATATATAGCCTTTTTTGCTATTTTGTTTAAAAAAATCATGGTGTTGGTGCGCGATTTTACGCCCTCGCACAAGAACACAATTAGCGCCCACAAAAAAAAATCTGACTCTAATTTTTAAATCTGGCGTAAGGGTAAAAAAAAAGTTCGAGGCTGGCTTCATGATCAGGTTACCCCCCCCCCCAACAAGAACTTTTTTTTTCTCATTTGTATATACAGCCTGGTCATTTTCAACCACTCATGACTCTTTATTACGTAGTCGATGCTCATGCATCATCAGGGTCACTCTACAGCAAACTGCATTGACTCGATTTAAGCTCCGTAGCTATCGTATTCAGGGCCAAAATAAAGAAAGAAAAAAATTACGCCCACATAGAGTGATACAATGGATCCATCGGACTCGGAGGATACACTTGTTAAGCACACATTATTTATATAGAGTTACAAGTGAAACAGGAGTATATAAAATTCTTAAACTGACTTGTTAGAAAAAAAAGAGTGTGCAAAGAGAAAGAGAAACAAAGGCCAAGAGAAGGAAAAAAAGGGGCCATTAAATTATTGCCTTGTATAGACTACAAATCAGAAACTTTGAATAAAGTTGCACAGTTTTGTAGAAATGATCCCCTTGTATAGAATCTTTGGAGGCTAGACGTAGTACTGCGCTTTTTGCATAAATTATACATCTGCCAGACAGTCTCAATTTGAACAGGCCTCGTGCTCATATGAATTGAACGACAGCCAACGGAGAAGCGTCCATAAAAGGCAGACCACCAGCATTGATAACAAGTCCACCAGTATATTACAATAATTAGAGAGAGAAAGAGCGAGGATAGTGCAAAAAAGTGAAGTCAAAGAATGACAGAAAAAAAAACTTTTTTTTTTACATGATAAGCCACTCAAGAAGGGATCGATCGTTTAGAAATACGTTTTTTGCATGAAAATAAATGCAATCAATTTGAATGGGAGCTTTAAAAAACAATCAACTCCGTCTTTGTTTTTTTTTTATCTCTACGGAATTGTTATTGAGTGGATGATAAATAAGCAACGATAACACGTCACTTCTTTTTTAAAACAAAGGAAATCTTCCCCAAAAAAGTAATTCGACACGAAAAAATAAACCGAGAACCACTTTTTTTATTTTATTATTATAGCGATCTAGAAAATGGAATCTCACTTCGACGAAACCTGTCAACGCTTTTTTTATAGTGGCCTCCTGGTTGCTATGGTAACTGATCGAGATGGTGTGATTGTCTTGAAAAGTAAGTTCCATTTTCTTCTTCCATAGAAGCTTAATTTTTATTGTTTTAGGCTCTTCAGAAAAAGTAAAAGATAACATGACTGAACCTATCATTCCCACTACTTTTGCTATAGCCAATAATCAGGTAAGTTATACACACAGAGAGAAAAAATCATGAAGTCATGCTAGAAGGAACCAATAGTAACTTGGCTTATGAATAGGCTTCTAAGCTCGGACTTGGACATAACAAAAGTATCATCGGTGTCTATGATCAATATCAAATTATCCAATTGGACCAGGCACCTTTTGTGATCACAATTATTGCAGAATCCAATGCTAATACAGGTAAACAAAAATGCAGAATTGACAAGCATTGACACAAAGTATAGGCTTATTTAGAAATTTGGGTAATGATTTGTTGAAATTAACAAAACCACTTGTAGAATCAATGAATGAATGATATATAATACCCTTTCTTAATAAAGATAATTTCATGCAAATCGAACCAAAAGATAAAATAAATCGAGCCAATCAAGGACTGACTAGCATTGGCCAACACTAAGAACCAGTAGAAACCATCAAGTTTTATATGATAGAAATGTATGTGTAACAATCAATTTCTTTAGTAAAAAAAAAATATATTTTACGGAATTTATAATTCATGTAATACGCATATTTTTTTTTTCTTTTTCTATGGACCATGAAACTACCATTTATAGATGTGTTCTCGCTTCTTAAAAAATAAAAAACATATAAAAACCCATCGATTTCTTTTCGTTCTTTCCCCTCCAATTTTTGTTTTTCATTTCTTTTTTATACCTACTCAATATCCTTTTACTTTTCCCTCTTTATTTCTTTCTTACAGTAAATATAAAAAATGACAACAAACGGCTGGTTTTATATTCGATCCACAAGCACTGGAAATGTTGTGTCAGCTGCAACAAACACAGATGAATTACTTCGTTCACAAGTCATGGTGACTCCACCCACATTGTCTGACCATGAACTCTGGTGTTGGAAAGGACAATTCTTATGCAATAAAGCAAATGGTTTGGTTCTTGATATCAGAAAAGGTAGCTTTTTCTTAAACGATGAGTCAGTCAGTTGCTAACATAAACAGGTCGCTTGAGATTGATTGAAGATACAGAAATTTGTTTGTATACTCCAAAGCCAGTCGAAGAAGCACACAACCAACTTTGGTCAGTACGAGAAGATGCAGTTGATGCTTATGGAAGACCATTACCTGGATCCTACATTTACTCACTCTGTGGCAATGAGTGGGTGTTAGATGTTCAAACAACCGAAACTGGTGCTCAAAAACTCGTTTTATTCCCTTTGCAGCCTATTGACAATGACAACCAACGCTGGTTGTTTGTTCCTGAAGGTCAATTGGATGTGAACATACCCATCGAAGAAACTTTATCTTTAGCCAAGAATACTTCTTACTTTAATAATGATATGATAACTCCCCCTGGTTCTATCTCTTCTTCACCTGGTATTCCTGCTCCTGCTACTATTGAAACTGAATATCCTAAGGGCCTTACTCCTGCTAAGCGTGGCTCTCATTCTGCTATCTTCTCACTAGAAACATTCAAGGACTATCATAGCCGTGTTTATGCTTCACATGAACCTAATGTCAGGTAAGCGAAAAACAACTGATTTACATGAATTTCTTATATTAAAAATTTACCTACAGTGACAAAGGCATCGCGATGGCCTCTGCTTATCACATTTTTCAAAATTGGAAATTAGATCAGATCAGTAACGATATCATGACTGGTTTTCCTTTATCTTCATCTTCTGAAGTACGTTCTCGTCTTCAAGATTTGACTCAAAACGAGGTATGCATAAACAAAATGAATTATGAACTGCCTTATCTAATTCATGAAATCAATAGGTCTTCAAGTTACTGTCAGATAATGCACTTTATTCCAACAACAACAAAGAAAATGCTTCCACTCTTTCTAGTCGATTGATCACACAGCTATATGATCAAACACCTATATCACCCTAAAAAACCACTTTTTTCCATTTATATATTATGTGTATATCTATGACAATCAAAAAAAAAGTTCTTATATATTATCCCTCTCTCCCCCAACCTTCTCTTTACACGACACCTTTCCTTTTCTAAATAACACATTCCTTCCTCCACTTGTACCAAATTCCTCATCCCCCTCCCCCATCATTCACTCTTATGTATGACATACTCACTTAACTGGCAATCTCCGTTTCTTTATTACTTGTCTGTTTCCGAACCCACAAAAAAGCTTTTTTAATTCACTGCTGACTTAAACATTTATGATCTCCGTTTATTTATTCACACACACATGTAAAACCACATCACTATTTTGTATATTTCCATCTTTTATATATATAGTACTCTTTTTCAACCATATCCTCAACAACAACAATACATTTGTTTATAATAATAAATTAATCTCTCTCTCTCTTTCTCTTTCTCTATTCCATCTATACTTAAAAAAATAAGACTGAAACGGTAGTAACAAGAAAAACGGAAAGCGGAATTACATACACAAAAAGGTCTGATGACCCGTATTATTCCCCTTTTCTACCTAAAGATTCCGGAGCTGTGTAATGTGGCCTAACCGCTTAGAAAATTAGATAATGCTAGAATCCCACACTGAAGTTGATATTATAGTTCGGCTGGTGACTATTGTCGGTCACAGAAAAACGAGTTTGTCAATTGCAAAAAAAAAAAAAAAAAAAAAAAAACGAATTGATGGTTAATGCAAAATTTATTCTCTTTTCTTGTCCCTCACAACTATGCCTGCTTTAACTAAAAGTAAACATGGCACGTATTGGCGGAAGCAACATGTCTATGCACTCATATTGTTTGTAGCAATGGAAACCTACATCGATAGAAGAAAACTGCTGCAGTGAAAATCAACCACACAAGCTTTCTCAAAGATGATCAGAACAATAAGGGGTTATTGATTGTTTGGTTTGAAGTCTAAGATAAGTATATATATGATCTGAGAGCTTTTGTCGCGAAGTTCAAGCAAATATATTAGGCTCTAGTAATCAAGATATGTAAAAACAAGGTAAAAGTAGACTTGAAGCCCATATTTGAAGAGTTGCGGTCTCAAAACTCTGCTTTAGTCAACAGAAGAAGGTTGCTTGATGAAGCCATCAATGTTGTATCCTGAAGATTAATCTTGAGGTTAAAGTGATTCTCAACGATATAGTATTAGAAAAAAATAATTCAGTAATGCAATCATATGCATCACTGCAGAAAGCACCTGATATAACATTGGGTACGTTGAAGTCAAACCTAGCACTATCGCGGAACTTCTGGAGCATTTCACCATTGTTAGTGTCAAACTTAAATACAAGACCATTGAAGGATGAGCTAAGTTCAGTGATGAAAAATGCTAATCCTAAACGTAGAAAGTAAAAAGCTGCTTTCTTTTCATTGGTAGAATGTTTCTTCCCTCCTACAAGCCAGCTGTCATATTAGGCGCCGAGAGTAGAAGTTGGTCTAGTTTGAGTGCGCAAATTGGAAATCTTAAGAGTCAATTGAGTTGTACTTGTTTGTATATTTTACCAAATAAACTAAGAAGATTACAGTAAGTTATGCTCTCTTGTCTAAAGTTACATTAGTGATTCTAGTAAAAAGCTGGTTTTATATATTATGAGTTTCAAAAGTCAAGGCTGCATGAAAGTTTGTCTCTTACTTTAGATTCAGAATATGTTGTTCTCACCTCGTTTCTTGTATTACCATTTTGATACAGTGACAATGATAACTGTAGCCTATGGCCGCCCCCTCATCCCCTCTTCTAGTATTATTTCAAATTGATAAACTGGCACAACTGACCTCGATACACTTGGTGTCATTATGTCTACAATAAAAAAAAGCAAGCGCAAACCTTGTTTCTCGACAATGACCAAATATCAATGAAGCTAAATCATCTTTTTTATTATTCTTTTTATTATTTTTGTTATTATTTTTGTTATTCTTGATATTCATAGCCAAATTTACTCTAAATAAAACCGTACCTTCTTTTTTTTTCAGACCCAAAATTCAGGTCAAGTTACACTGCACACGGATGCATTTTCTTAAACCTTAAAGGTTCCGTTACAAGCCAGATATGACTCTTGTATTTATTCGACTTCCATATTTGTATACTGATTCTATCTATGCATAAAAGAGAAAGAGAAAAGATAGCTCTAGCCCTTCACTTATAATTTTTGTTTCATGGTTTTATTTGACACTAAAATAAATATAAATAGAGTCATAGTGCCGATTTAGATGCCGCCAGGTCATCCTCTTAGCAAATCGTGTAATGTTTCAAGGAAGAAAAAAACCATGATTTGTACCAAGCTCGATTATATACCATTTTAGTGTGTTAGAGAAAATAAGAGTCTTCTTTGTTACACTGAGTCAATGTTTCTTATAAATAATTTTAGCTTCGGACTTTAGTAAGCTAAGCTAAGCTGTTGAGTTCATCATGCTGATAAGTCCCTGCTTCTGCTATGAATCTAAAGATAGAACTATTGCTTCTTTCCAATGTATATAAAGGTATTAAAAAGTATATAATGTAAGCTCTATAGCTCCTTTTGGATAATCAGAATGATACTAACTCAATACTAAGAAGAAATAAAAACAACCTGTGAATTTCATAAGAATTACTCGTAGTCATCATAGTGTTGCATGAACAATTGCTGCTTTAGTAAACGCGCTTATTTGTTAAAGCACCCCCCTTCTTTATTACGATGCAGTACAAGGCTAACAAAAGGAGCTTATCTAGAACGTTCCACACAGCTTAAAAAAAGTTCATTTGTCAAGCAGAAGTGCATTTTTTATTTATGTGATGCGTGAAGAGGTCATTCTTTTTTTTGAAAAAAGAAACCAGAATCATGTGGTATTGATTTCGAGCATGCTTACAAACACTGATAATTGGATAATGACAGCATTGTTCTATGCACATTTGTTTTGATATACTTGAATCATTTATTGAAATAATTGTATGTCTAAATAATAATAGTTTGTTTTTTTGGGCGCATTATGTCACTTTATTTTGTTATGTTACAATTTAAAGTTTTTAAAATTAATGATGACAATATCAAGTTTTCATTATAATCAGTACAACTCTTAGACACCAGAGAAAAACGCTGTTATCAAGAGACATGAGAAAAGGTATATTTAAATGCTTTTATAAATTTGTGATGATTTTACTTGAGAGTATAATAAAGCAAGAGGGCAATTTTGATGAACCGAGTCAAATAAATACAGAAATTAATTTAGTAATTAAATGCAAATCATATTTTTGACTTGGAGAGTTTATAAACAGTCTATCCACAACTTCTGTTCAATCCGTTTGTAATTAACGAGTCCTTTGTAAGCAATTTAAAATCATCGCGAATAGTGGTAGCGCATGAGTTCAGAGACACGACGTACTTATTTTTCAAAATGTTTTGATGAATCGCACATGCGTTGACTAATAATAAATATTTATTCCTGAATGTGTGACGAGGGCAGCATATGAATCTTATCATACATTTTAAGCCACTTGATATTATGCTGTCTGGTGCGTTGATTATCTGATTAAGAAAGAATGTGTGTGTTTAGACTAAAGTGATTTTTTATCATCGTTGCACTAACATGTCGCGCAGATCACTGTATTTTACTATATCACAATGCGTAAACACTCACACAAACTTTTTTTTATAATAAACATTGGTAAAGCGGGCAATGAAAAAAATGAATATAGAGTCGTTTCCAAAATAGAAAAAAATCGATAAATCATCAAATTAGAATTTGATTGAATTGGATTGACTATTTACTAAAAAGAACAAGTAGATATTAAGATCAACTTATAAACAAATAAGAAAAATTGACTCACCAGACTTGAATATAGAAAGTAAATCTTGGTTCAAACAATACAACTTAGAAGGCTAAACAAATAACTCTGAATGACGCGTGTTTGTATATTGTAACAAACACATTGAGCACATCATATGAGCAAAGGCAAACAAAGTCTTAAGAGCACACATGATCTTTCTTATTCAACGACATCAATCTATGGCTCTTATAGCAGTTGTAAATATTTACTCTCCATGCTTTTTTCAAGCATTCATTTGAAACAAATCAGCTTATTAATTATCTCTTGTCGAATATAATCATGCCTTGCATCATTCATTGTAATGAATACATTTTCCGAGGTCGGTAAGAAAAAACACTCGTTTTGTTTCAATGTCTACGTAGTAAAGAATATTTAAAAGTTTAATCCGCGGCTGACAGTTTTATATCTTGCAAGCTATAAACTGATTCAGTCCCACTGGGAATAAGATATGCTTGGGTATTCCTCTCTTCATTCTGAGCCGAGGCAAGTCTCCCAATCATAAGCTGTCGTTTTGAGGATTCTTCTGGGGAGAAAATACCGGGCGAAACTCGTCCGAAGAAGAGTCTATTTGATCAATACTTCTAGAAAATATACCCATAATTTATGTTTTGTAAGTATAAAGGTAGATTCAATATGCTTGGCATTATCTTTGACCCGGCCTATTTTACTAATTCAAGGTATCTTATTTTAATCGATTGTTGAAGGAAAACATCCATACAATGCCACTGCTAGACCCACGTGCAGCTTTTGATTGGTTGCTAGAAAAGAGCCATTCTAATTCATTTTCAAAAAAATAAACTCATATGGATAAATAAATATCATTTATAAACTTTATTGTTTAAAGTAGCCTATTTACGGTCTACTACAAAGTGGGATGCTGGCTTGTAGTGGAGGAAGTAGGTCTATTACTCTTGTTATCGAATAGCCACCCTTAACTTTTATGAGGACCCTGTGTTTCGGTTTACGACAGAAAAAAAAAGCTTTCAAAAACAGCACGTATGAAAACCTTCCATTCTATGCATGTGAGGTCGTATGGAAGCACTTGTAAGCATCCCAGGCCAATCAGATCGTCACTCAAGTTTCCAATCTAAGTACAAGGGAGTGAATCTTGTTGGCTCCGGTTCAATCAGAAAGAATTTTTTTTTAGTTAAATAACCAAGAAACAGAATCCAAGATTTAGCTAAAAAAGTTTTTTTTTTCATTTCTTTCATCACTCTTTCTTTTACCCCTTTACTACTTCGCATATTTAGAATGAGATTCTCGCATACGCTTCAACTTAATGCAGTGCCTGAATGGATTGACAATTACGTCAAGTGAGTTATTGCAAATAGCCTAATGTAGAAAAAATACTCATATTTGTTCATCTTCTGTAGCTATGATACCTTGAAGAAATTAATCTTTCAGTTAGAGAAAGAACGTGTAGAAGACATGAATGCTGGACAAGACCCAGAAAAGGCTTTGGAACGAAGAGAAGATGGAGAAGCAAGATTTTTGACAGCTCTTGACGTTCAACTGGAGAAAGTATTTAGTTTCTACACACAAAAAGAATCCGAACTCTATAGCATGCTTGACCAAATTGAATCCGAGTCTGCAAAGGAGCAATTTGACAACTACAACAATAACGAAGGAACCTTCCACAAAACTGGTCTTTCTCCCTTGGAAAATCTTGACTCTACACATCATCTCCCCAATGCTATTCCGGATAAAAATGGTCTTCACTATCCCGAAGAAAAGCTTGACCATATTACATCTCACCGTCGCAATTCTAAATCTTCCCGTCTGTCCCGTTTGGAGTCTCGACAATCGTTTGAATCACGCATGTCTATGGATCATCATGATCAAATCTTGGTCGAACAACTAAGTGATTTACGCTCTCAACTTATCTTACTTTATATCTCACTATCTGAACTGGAATCCTATGTTGAACTCAACCGTACTGCATTTGAAAAGATTCTTAAGAAGCACGACAAAGTTCTAGAACGTAACTTGAAGTCTCAATATATCAACAAGATGGTCAAAGATAGTAGACCTTTCATGACTGAAACAATGGATGTCCTTAAGAGTCAAATTACCCGTGTCGAAACTATCTTTGCCAACACTTTTTGTAGTGGTAACCGCAATATTGCTCTTCGTCAAATGAAGAGCCATCTTCGAGACCAAGTGACATTTGAACGAAATACAGTATGGAAAGACATGGTTCGCCAGGAACGTAAAGCCCATGGTACCAAAATCATCGAACCCAAGGTTGAAAACACATTCAAGATTCCCTTTACAAATTCCAAAGTAAGCACTGGCTTAGTCCGTCAACTTTGTTGCTTTTTGCTTGCTATTGTTGCTTTTATTATCTTATTGTGTGTCGATTGCTTCAACAACAAACAAGAAAACTACTGTTTCGCTTTATTGATCTTTGCTGCTATCATGTGGGCTACTGAAGCTATTCCTCTTTATGCTACTTCTTGCATGATTCCCTTCTTGATTGTACCCCTACAAATTATGCGTGAAGATGACGGAACTGTAATGACCGCTAAAGCTGCTTCTAAAGCAGTGTTTGCCTCTATGTTTAGTGGCACTATTATGATGCTTCTTGGTGGTTTTGCTCTCGCTGCTGCTCTTTCAAAGTATGGTATTGCCAAGGCATTTGCCTCTCATGTGTTGAGTCGTGCTGGTACTCGCCCTATGTGGGTCTTGTTGGCTATTATGTTTGTTTCTGGTTTTCTTAGTATGTTTATTTCTAACGTTGCTACTCCTGTTTTGTGCTTCTCTTTGATTGATCCTATTCTTCGTACTTTACCTGACAAGTCCCGCGTAGCACCTTGTTTGATTCTTGGTATTGCTCTCTCCAGTTGTATTGGTGGTATGACTTCTCCTATTTCTTCTCCTCAAAACATTGTTACTATTCAATACATGAATCCTAATCCTGGTTGGGGTCTCTGGTTTGCTGCTGCATTGCCTATTTCCATCTTGTCTTTGCTCTCTTGCTGGGGTCTTTTGTTGCTTGTCTACAGACCTGGTACTGACACTCCTCATTTGAACAAGATTAAGGCTACCCGAGAAAAAATTACTTGGACTCAAGTTTTTGTTATGCTTGTCACCATCTTGACTATTGCTCTCTGGTGTGCTGAAACTTCTATTGAATATGCTATTGGTGACACTGGTATTATTGCTGCCATCCCTCTCTTTGTCTTTTTTGGCACTGGTATTTTAAATAAGGATGACCTCAACAACTTTTTATGGTCTGTTGTTGTCCTCGCCCAAGGTGGTATGGCACTTGGTAAGGCTGTTACATCATCTGGGTTATTACAAGATATTGCTGTACGTATTAAGGATGGTATTCAAGATTTACAAGTCATTGCTATCTTGGCTATCTTTTGTTTGCTCATCTTGGTATTCGCTACCTTTGTCTCTCATACTGTTGCTGCTTTGATCATTATTCCTATCGTACAAGAAGTTGGTCAACACTTGCCTGTGCCTCATCCTAACTTGTTGGTGATGGGTGCTGGTTTGGCTTGTTCTGCTGGTATGGGTCTTCCTGTTTCAGGTTATCCTAATATGTCCGCTATTATGCTTGAAGATCTTTCTGGAAGACCTTACTTAACTACCAAAGACTTTATTATCACTGGTGTACCTACCAGTATAATTTGTACTGCATTAGTCTTTACTCTTGGCTATGGTATCATGTCTGGCATTGGGTACTAAAAAATTCACTTCATATCCTCATTTACATATATTTATACATATTATCATTATTGTCGTTTCTTAAAAGCTATATGCATGATAGAATAATGGCTTTTATTTTGTTTATACCGTATCAATTCTCTCTTCTTAATCTTGTACTGTATAATAGCAACTTTTATAATAAAAAATTATATTATATTTCATGCGTGATGCAAGTTAGTTTTACTAGCAGATTTGACCATATTATCCTCGGTATTAAATAGTTATGCCAAAAATGAAAAAATCCGTAGACACCATAGTAAGTATACGGAATATATCCATTGAGTTAATGATTTGATGTCATTGTCAAGGCTAATGTTTGTTTACTATAGCATAAAATAAGTGCTTGCAATCATGTATATGTGTATGAATAGTAGAGGGTAGCGAGGAAGCGCAAGATACCGATCATGAACTTACTTAACGTCTTTGGTCCTTAATTGATAAATTGAGGAAGATAATATAAACCAAATTGTTGATAGTCAGACTAAAAAGTAAACGCGGTTTTTCTAGATCATTCACCTGATTCATACTGTGGCAAAAAGAAGAGGCTCCATTTATTTATTTATTTATTACAACGGGGAAACATAAATTTCAATAGCAACTGAAGCAAAGGAAATCATATAAAAAGGATCCACACAGTAAAAAAAAAAAAAAAAAAGCTCTTGTTAAACTATTCTTCTTATTTTTTCATATATTAGAGAATGAAATTGCCCGTCTACGCTAGATTTGGGTTCGTGTTTGCTGCAGCCTTGCTTGCAACTCATGTCGAGGCCGGATGTTCAGGAGAACTTAAAGTAGTTACACAGCATGATTTGGATCAAGTTCGCAGCTGCAAAACATACAGTGGCAATATTGTCATCGATAATGTTGGAGTCGCTGATCTTAAAGTAAATGGTATCGAATTAGTTGAAGGTGACATTCTTGTCAAGAACAACGATGGTCTCATGAGTTTCTCCATGCCCAAACTTCAAGGAGTCAATGGCCACATTGTGTTTAGCAACAACAAGATATTGAGCGCCATTGATATTAAGCAAGTCTATGCTCTTCGTGGTATTGAAGTCGCTGTCCATCCTGCTCTGAATGAACTTGTGTTTGCCACCGGCTTATCACAGGCTGAAAAGATCAGTATTACCGACACCACTATTACCAAATTCGATGGCATCAAGTTGAACTCTGTAAAAGATATTGAAATCTCAAACAATATCTACTTGAAGAACTTGTCTTTTGGAAATATGACTAAAATTGGAAATATCTTGGTATCAGCTAATTCGCCTTCTATGCAAGTAGACGTAAGTAACTACTGTTTAGATATATGTAATGACTCTTGAATACTACTTAGTTGGATCAAGTCGAATCCTTACATGACGCTACCTTCCGAAATGTGGCCGGTATCTCTTTAAAGAACCTCAAAAAAGTTGGTGGTGATATCTCTTTTATCTCGAATAGCTTCGAATCTCTGACCTTGCCTATTGCTTCTGACATTGGTGGTACCCTGACTTTGACGGAAAACATGCTTCTTAACAATCTATCCATGCCTCACTTGAACCATTTAGGTGGTGCTCTTTCTGTCAACAACAATAATAAGCTTAATTCTATCAGCGCATTCGCTTCCCTTCAACAAGTCGATGGTACTCTGGATATTACCGGTGGCTTTGATGAATTAGATTTCCCTGTTCTTGTGGATGTACGTGGTGGCCTTAACATTCAAACTTCCAGCGACCAATTTTCATGTGACAACGTCAACAAACTCAAGCATGGTATCATCAAAGGAAACGCTTTTATCTGTAAATCTGCTGTTGCTCAACCTCAATCGAATCTTCACGGTGGAAAAGGTGGTGGCAAAGGCGGTAATGGTAACTTTGAAAGCGCTGCCAATACTTTAACCTACCATGCTGGATATTTGACTTTGCTTGGCGCTACTCTTGCTTGCATGATTTAAATTTAAGACCATTGATATACACTAGTTAAATTATATATAATAAAAAGCCCATTTTTATCACAATCCAATGCTCCCTTATTTTATGTTTGCTTTCCCGTAGAACACATACTATCAAATAGCATTATAATATGACGAGGAAGATATTTTTTTTAGTCCAAATCAACTTCCAAGGTAATCTGTATGTTAGCAAACATAGTTTGTAGGCATTCAGAGTATTTATATGGCTATGAAGAGGCTTTATACTACCTTTGTATAGCTATAAAATTGTGTAAATTTATATGGTCTCTTGATGTATATTGGATTCAATTAACGTATCAGCTATATTTGTACACTCTTTCGATAGAGAAGGTCTATTGGATTGCCTATTGGGCAGAGAAGACAAATAATTCAACCCCTGGCCTTTTTCTTTTCTTTTTTCTTTTCCAGCTGTCAAATTAAGGAAAAATGCTTAGAAATACATTCCGCATTGCCCATATCCACCAGACTAGCCTTGGTCGTTATACGACTACGAGTGCATGCGGCTTTTTTAACTTATCTAGAAAATGCTACTATTCTACAAATGCATCTGGTATATACAATATGGATCCACATGACTTGACTAAAAACTTGTAGAATTTGAGATCAAAGAAACCGAAACTGTTGTAAATGGACAGCGCATTCCTAAAGACGAATGGACCAACGTGTCTCCTACTGTCCTTTCAAAGATCAACCGCAAACTGTACCTTCAGCCCAAGAATCCTATTGGTATCATTCGTCAGTTGATCGAATCCAACTTTAAAGATTTCGAGACATTCAATACATTTAGTCCTGTTGTAACTACAAAGCAGAACTTTGATGACCTACATATCCCTATGGATCATCCTAGTCGAACCAAATCTGACAATTACTACTTCAACAAAGACACTGTTCTTCGTGCCCACACTTCTGCTCATCAACTTCAAGGTTTGGCTTCTGGTTCTGACAGATTCTTGATCAGTGGTGATGTCTATCGTCGTGATGAAATCGATTCTTCTCACTACCCCGTCTTTCATCAAATAGAAGGCTTCTTTTATGTAGATAACAACCTGAGTAAATTGGAACAGGAACTCAAGCGTATTCAAGAAAAAGAGACACCCAATATTGAATTGAAGGATGATACCTTGATTAAGCCAGAAAACCCGTATCAAGACTGCCATACACCCGAAGCAGTGGATCTTATTTCAGCTCATTTAAAGCATTCCATCAATGCCATGATTCGAAACTTGTTTGCTGATGAACCAGATCTTAAAGTAAGATGGATCGATGCTTATTTCCCTTTCACAAGTCCTAGTTGGGAAGTAGAGATTCTATACAAAGGAGAATGGCTAGAAGTACTTGGATGTGGTGTAGTAAATCAAAAGATTATGAATCAAGCAGGTTTGAATGACAAAATCGGTTGGGCTTTTGGTATGGGCCTTGAACGATTAGCCATGGTCTTGTTTGGTATTCCTGATATAAGATTGTTCTGGTCAGAAGATAGCCGCTTTATTGATCAATTTACGCCTGGAAAGATCAACAAATTTGTACCTTTTTCTAAATACCCTCCTTGTATCAAAGACATTTCATTCTGGCTTCCTGAAGGAGAATGGAATGAAAATGATTTCTGTGAATTAGTACGTGGTGCAGCAGGCGATATTGTAGAAAATGTGCATTTGGTAAGTGTGTGTGTGCCATTGCCCATTATATACTTATTTTGCCTAGATTGATGATTTCAAGCATCCCAAGACAAACAAAAGAAGTTTATGTTATCGCATCAACTATAGATCCATGGACAGGCAAGTAAAACATAAAGATTTGACAATTATACCAACATATGACAATAATAGAAATGTAACCAATGAAGAAATCAATGCTATTCAAGAAAAAGTACGTTCAGTTGTACAGGAAGAATTCAAAGTACAACTTCGCTAAATAAACTGTCTCTTTTATTATTGTTTTTTTTTTTTTTTTTACTATATTACACGGTTGTTGATCTCTAATATCTACTTGTTTATTTCTTCTTGCCCTTAGCGGCGGCCACCTTCTTGGGTGTACCACCACTAGCAACCACCTTCTTCATGGCAGCTGAAACTTGTTCATCACTTTCGATCCAAGAGATGTCACCCAAATCCAAGTCACCAAAACGCTTTTGGAACTTGGTGAGTTGTTCGCTTTCATCAGTTACACCTTCCTTCAACATTGCAGGGTTCCAAAGTGGGTGATTGCGTGTATCTTTAGTCAAACGGATCTGATTACGAGTAGGTGAAGTTGTTCTGACTGTATAAGTGGCACCATTACTGAGAACAACAGTTTGGAGAAACTTTTCGGGTTTTTTGTATGTTGTTGTAGAAGCAGAACGAGTCTGGATCCATAAGCGAGCAGTGGAAGAGCGCAACATGATGGAGAGAAATAGAAAAAGAAAAAAAAAGTGTCCCTTGTTTAATAGGCAACCTGGCTTCAAAATAAGCAAGTCACTGCTTTTACTATTTTTTTGTTCAACTGTCAAAGCAAACCTGCTTTACGTTGCTTCTATCATGTTCAGACATAATGTGATAATAAAAGACTTGTTTATTCAGAGAACTCGTTTTTACTCTACAAAAACTAGTTTGACTCAAGGTATTGAGCCTATCAAGTCTTTTAGTGATAAAGACGGTGTGACAGAAGTCTATATTGTTCGAAGATCTAAGCTAGGCAAACACAAGTCCAGAAAGACACCTTCTCTTTCTCAAAGACTGAAGAATATTGTGTCTGAAGGCGAATGGAAAGAAGTACCAAAGAATTTGGTCTATAAACGCAAGTACCTAGTGTATGTGTATTTGTATGTTATTAATGCAAAATAGGTGTTGAACCACCCGCTAAGACACAAGTGCCTACGCTTGCTCATGGGTTAGAGAAAATCTTGTTCAAGTAAGTTATTATATACAGATATACATGTATTCATCATTTGATAGTCCTGGTGTTCATTATCTAAAGGATCCTCGAACAAAATACTTCAATTTCACACCATATTTAGAGAATATCACACAACCATTTGAATTTGACTATGATGCACTTCAGTCCTATATCACTTCTTCTAAAGACAAGGCAAGTAGATCCTAATACAATGAAAGACTAAAAGCCATATACACAGAGTCTAAGAAAAATGGCTCGAGACATGAACAAAACTTATGTTGGTTCTACTTCTTCTGTATCTGCAGTATTATCTCATTTTTACTTTGCTATGTCCAACTTCAAACCTGTTGATACCTCCTGTCTATCCAGTTCATTTAAAGATGAAGTAAACAAACAAACACAAAACCAAGCATAACTTACTCTATAGCCCAAACAATTTACCCGAGGAACCCGTGTACCTGCATCGATTTATTTGAGATGGAAAGAAGGTGTTTATGCTATTGATGTTGACAAGTCTTATGATGTGGATGAGTCCGTATTGTCTGTTATGGTAATACAAAACAAGCATGCATTTCTCTCTTTTTTTTTAATTTTACTTGTTTTAGGGTAAATCTCTGGAGAAAGTATTGACACTTGAACCACAATCATTTGAGAAGTATCTTAAAGAGAATTCTTCCCAACTTACAGAAGAAGAGAGAAATCAACCTGAATCTTATGCTTATGGGCAGGCAGGTTAAAAAAACAAGTGGTTATACTCAGCTCATGTGTTATGCTTAGATGGGTAAATTCTTGTTACGATCACAACTTGATTGTTATGATTCTCGTTTACCGAGAGGTACATTTGATTTAAAGACAAGGGCTGCAATGCCAGTTCGATTGGATCTTGCCAACTACAAGGCAGGTTAATCTATCAACCAATAACACCCACTAACTCAAAATAGGACTATTTAGGTTATAGTTTAAAACGCTCGCATGGTCTATATGGTTCGTTTGAGCGAGAATATTATGATATGATTCGATCAGCTTTCCTTAAATATAGGTAGGGTACAAAGTGTAACAGAACATATAGGCTGATTATGTAGTTTCCAAGTACGTATTGGCCATATGGACGGTATTTTAGTAGCGTATCATAACACTCGCAAAATATTTGGTTTCCAATACATCTCTCGAGAAGAAATGGACTCTCGCTTGTTCGGTTCATCCAAATTAGGCGATCAAGTGTTTCGAAATGCATTAGTCATGTTTGAATCTGTGTTGGACAAAGCTACGCAAAAATATCCTCAACAAACACTTCGACTCTCATTTGAGACAAGGCCAGGGGAATCAGGCAGTTCTATGTTGATATATGCTGAAGCTGTGCCTGAAGAAGAAGAGGAAGAAACAGAATCTTATGTGAACGATGAATTCTTCCAGACAAATGACGCACAAAAGTTTGACTATAATCCTTATGAAAAATTAAGTCTATTTCAACTCAAGTCTCAATCATTAGTCAATGGTCGATTAGTTCAAGGTCCATTGACAATTGAAAATCCAGCCAGAGATAAATGGATAGTCCGTACACAACTGAATGAAATAGAACAAGATGAAGATGAAAAGAAACGAACAATGTTTAGATCCATGCGTAAAAAACAAGCTATGCTTTATTCACCTCGAAACAAGAGTCCTATCCTCAAGATGTTTAAACGTATGAGTGAACAAGGTTTACGTGAAGAAGAATTAGAAAACAAAGCTTGATCGGAATTTTATTTTTATTATCATTGAATACACAATTCTAATGGAGAGGGAGATATTTATACAACAAATTGACACTCATGAATGGGTTTGTGTGCTTTAAGACAACGTATGCTACAATAAGATTGAGATTTACATCGAGAACAAACAGGCATGCCTCTTTTCTCTATGCCGCAGTTACCACAAGACATGGAAGAAGAAGAGGCTCCACTCGAAACAGAAGATGTTCTGGAGGGTAGTCTCGGGCGTTGGTCGTGTGTGTAATCGGCAATTAGATGCTGAAGAGCAACACGAGCTGCATGCTGAAGTTTCTGAGATTCGAATTGGCTCGGACGCACGGATACACATTTGCGGTAATAACTGATCGATTTTGATAAGTCCACATCTTCATACAGGCTAGCACGACAATGATAGAGTGTGATACGGATAGCACGACCATAGGCTTCATTTAATGAGTAAGAGGTAATATCTGTCTCTTCCTCTTGATCAGAGATAGGCAACAAGACCAGTCGATCTACTTCCAGACTCTCGTCTTTGATTCTTTTTCCTAATTCACGCATCTCATTTATCAAGACAGACATCCAAGGCAAGCGGCGAGTACGTGACATATCTAGATGGCGTTGAAAAAATTTAGATGTTTGTTGAACCAGTGTCAATAAAAGCGCATTGCAGACAATCATAGGCTGTTGTTTGGTCAAATGAAATCCCAGAATATAGTAGTTGGCTATTTTATCACAGTTGTCACATTTGATCGAATCATGGTGATATTGGATGGAAGAAGCAAGTTGAACAGCCGATTGAACAGATTCGCCTTGTAAAGGAGATTTTTGAAGTGCTTTATTGGGCAGCAAGATTGAAGGCATGTTTGTAGAAAGAAAGAAAAAGAGAGAGAAAAGTAAATAAATAACTCGAGCCTGTTAATTGTGCAAATCTTAATTTTATGTTGATTTCATGGTTACACGCTTCGCAACATTTACCTGTCTACACGTGAGGTTACACGGAAAGTTCTAACAGGGAAAATGGGTGGATTGTAGGCATATTTTGTATAAAAAAACACAAAAGGACTAAACAAAGGTCGAATAAAATATTAAATGATTTGTGTTTCTTATTATTTATGCTCAAAGTAAATTATTTCTACAAATAATTTTCTGCCCAGTCAGGATAGACTATTGTTGCCCGTGGGGTCCTGTAACTAATCTGACTGGTTCCTGATTTGTCGTGTAACTTTCTTATTCTTATTCTTAAGCTATTGCTTGATGAAGAAGATATCAACTTGATAATTACGTCTTTTTATTGTATAACAAAATCTCCTTGTTCACTTCTTTACTCTTGTTTTTTTGCTTGGCAAATTAAAGTTGGAAATGCATATCTGTTTAATCAAAATGTCTAGATTTTGGTTTCAGTGTAACAAGAGTCCTAAAACACTCTCTTTCGAGTTTTCCAAACAGAATTATGCAATGCTTTTCTGTTATAAATATCTCATTGTGGCACTATAGACTAATGTTGTTTGGTATAAACGCATTACATAATTCATTTCTTATTCTTTGTGTCTAGCTTCTTATTACTAAATCTCTATTTGCGCCGAAAGAAAAAAAGAAGCTACGTTACACATTCTACGAAAAAAAAAAAAAGCTGTCAAAATAGTAACAATATGTTTATTGATGACTAAAAAGCAAGGAATATTCTATTTTCTTTAAGAGACAAAGAACTAGTTAAACAATTGATCAATATCTTGTGTCGTCTTATATAACTTGCTATAGACTTGTCTTAGATCTTTCAAGGCAACACGCTGAGCTGCTTGAATATCGTGTTTAATATGATCAATCACAATAGGATTAGTTTGCTCAATTTGCTCCAAGTTTTTGAAAGCAAGTCTAGTACATTTTCGAACATTGTCTTCAGCTGTGGCTCGTAATTGATCGATTTCTGCTTTCAATGCACTCTTAAGGAAGTCTGTGTCTTGTTCTAAATCCAGTGTCTCTAACTTTGACTGAATCAAATCGAGTTGCTTGTCCAATCGAACTCGCTCATCAACTGCAGTTTTCATGATCAATTGGATCTCAAAAGCTACAAGGTCCGTGTCACTCTTGAACGCTTGGGACGAAGTGCCTGTCTTTTCTTTTTTGTTGTTGTTAATTGTGTAATGCTGTTGATAATGTCGCGTGCTTTTTCTTTAGCTTCTTCTTGCTGCATACCCATTTTTTTGTTTTCTTGGTTCTTTTGATCAATATAGTCCAAGATTCGTCTTGCTGTTTTCTTGAATGCATCTTCTATCATAAAGTCTTGGATAATAGGTGCATCTTTGCTATCTGTTCTCTGTCCAATGCGCACATATTCATTGAGTTGAGCATGCCATTGCTGTATCAGCTCCATAACTGCTTCTTTGATCCACGTCCATAGTGGTAAAACATGTTGTTGATATTGAGATAATATGCGCAATCGGTTGTCTGATGTATACATGGCTTGATAAATATAGTCAGTGCTTTTTTCCACTACTGTCTTGACACTTGTGGTCTCGATCCAGTGATTGATTGCTTCTAACTTTTCAACACAAGGCGCTATGCGTGCTTGATACTGATTGTCCCATTCCTGCTTTGTCTTTATGACCCAAGGAAAGTTTGATGCATGTTGATAAAGGGTATAAGGTGATTGAATATATTGGAGCATAGTTTCCTGCTGTTGCCATGAAAAAATGCTAATGACAAAAAGTGCACATACGATACTCTTAAAGATCCATGATTTCACTGGTTTCTATGACAATTTTAGCGCGTTGCTATGGTATTATTTCATGCTTACTTTTTGAGTGGGGTTCTCTTGTCGTGCTGTTTGTAGTGATACAGCTATAATAAAGAAAAAAGTTGATAACTACTAAGGAAAGCAAAAAGTATACCTTTTAAGTATTGATCAACACGTTCAGCAGAGTGATTCTTGGGTGATCTGATCTTGACTGGTGAAGTATGTGAAGATTTGTTTAGAATAGTTTCCCACTCAGTCATATTGTGTTTTGGTTGAGAAGAAACAAATTTCGGTTCTCAAGCAGTAAAGATTTTTGGGTTTTAACTGGCTTTAAATCAACAGGGACCAAAAAAAGAGGGCATGTTGACCATTTATCTAGAAGAGGCAAATGTCAATATATATTCTTAATGTTTTGCTATTCCTCCTAGCATTCAGAAAACATTGTAAACACATCTGATGCAAAGAACGAGACTAAATATATTTTAGGTAACAATAATCAAAAAGCTCTTGGCATCTTGTAGAGTAACAACATGTAAAAAGATATGAATTGTTTATTATATAATGAGTTTATGCAAAAAAAAAAAGCGCTGCCTATGCACTATCAAGTAGAGATTTCTACTTTATTTATCAGAGTAGGCGTTTATAAATAAGATGTGAAGGATTAAGCAGACACGTCAACGTTGGTAGAGTCAGCAGCAACATCGTCAGTAGAGGCGGAAGAATCGTCAGTAGAGGCGGAAGAATCGTCAGTAGAGGCGGAAGAATCGTCAGTAGAGGCGGAAGAATCGTCAGTAGAAGCGGAGGAGTCGTCAGTAGAAGCGGAGGAGTCGTCAGCGGAAGCGCTAGAATTATCGGAAGCATCCTCAGAAGCATCATCAGAAGCATCGTCAGAAGCATCGTCAGAAGCATCGTCAGAAGCATCGTCAGAAGCATCATCAGAAGCATCATCAGAAGCATCATCAGAAGCATCATCAGAAGCATCATCAGAAGCATCATCAGAAGCATCATCAGAATCAGCATCAGAAGCATCGTCAGAAGCATCATCAGAAGCATCATCAGAATCAGCATCGTCTTCAGCGGTATCAACAGCAGAATCAGCAACTTCAGTACCATTGGTAGTGCTGGTAGAGTTAGATTCAAGAATAGAGAAGTAAGCAGAGTAAGAGATTTGGTCGTTATCACCATGGAAAGCAAAAGCATAATCTTGACGAGCAGTAAGGTTAGCAGGAACAGTCCAGGTGTAAGAGGAAGAGCTAGCAGCAATGGAGTGGTTGTTCAAAATATCTTCCAAGATAGTAGTCAATGCAGAAGCATCACCAGCCATTAAAGAGACAGAGTCAATGTTAGAGACAGTAGTGTCAGTTTGAGTCCATTGGATGGTGAAGTTTGAGCCCATAACAGCAGTAGTCTGTAGAAGTTATTAGTTATAAGTTGGCTAGCTAGTTTAGAAACTTACGTTAAGAACAGGGTTAGTGATGGAAACACCAGCTGTTTGGGTTGTGTTAGAGGAAGATGTGGTGGCAGTAGTAGGAGCAGCAGAAGCCAAGGCAGCCAAGAAAGGGGTCAAGGACAAAACAGTAACAAACTTCATGATAGTAAAACTGGTTTCTAAGGGAAAGGAAAGGTGAACTAAAGAAAAAAGATGACCATCAAGTTCTCCTTCTTATATACTTTTTTCCCTCGATTCTCGAATCCTACTATAAAATAAATTGAGTCCTAATTCAAATGGTAAGACAAAAAGGATTTGCAAAGAAGCGTAGCTGAAAGATCGTCTTTTTTTGTGCCTCTTATTGTCTTACAGATACACGTTCTCTTCTTCTTTTTCCATGCTTAGAAATGAAATTCATTCATTTTATAATTTTCAGTATGCCCTTGTTGCTTTGGGCACATTTTATAAATGAATATCTCACATCTTACTCAAATACAAAGAGCCAAATTATTCCCGGAAAAAAAGGACTCTCCGGAACTACAACTTTGATTTAAATATAGAAGCAGAACGTTGTCTATTCTCTTTTATTGACTGAACCGTTAATTATGTACGTCTCGGCATCTTTAAGGTCCAGATCATGCTATAATTAACTTCTTTTTTAGGCAATTCAGAGTTTTGCGGTTTATTTGGTTTTCAAGAAAAAAGAAAGAGAGAAGAATTTGGCCGTTGAATATCTTAATACTATATCTTAGGTTGCCTGTTTTTTCTTAGATAACGTCAAACATTTTATCTCTGATAAAGCACGGCGATCTTTTTTGCATACAAAGTCGGATTTCAAAAAAGCAAGACTTTGTGTCATACTTGTTGGACATTCATCAAAGGGTTAATTTAATTCAGACGACATAGTATGCAATACTTTGGTAAAACTGTACTAGCTGGAGTTGACCCTCCTAAATTCTCCCCCTAATGTGATACATGTCTGAACTATTTCTTAGGCTTATTGTAATACTTTTATTCTTGACATGTGCTCCAAGTCGATCCTCCAAGGATTGTACGACTGTGTTTTATTTGAAGCCATTTGATGGCTATATTTAGTTATAATGCAATGACTCTAGGCTTCTTGGTCTAAACGTATACAAGGCCAATTTGGATGCAATTTATTTTAGTTTCTATTATTCAAGTACAAGCTATGGTTAGTTCATGCAATCCATTATTAGTTAAATAAAATTATAAAATGCAAAAAGATGTGAATGATAATAATAATGGTCTGTTGTACAGAATTCAAAGATTGAAATTTTGCTCATTTAAAATTTAAAAATAATTAATCCAATCACAATGCATCTACTATGACGATTGCATAAAAAAGAAAGGGTGTAAAGGGGCAAGATAGTTCTGGAATACAACAAACAGTCTTCAATAAAAGAGTGGCTTATGGCTGTTCTGGAAAGAGTAGTAAATTCGGTTATGATACATATTCAATTGTTTTGCATCTATCAGTCGCTATTATCTATTATTAACTTTATCAAATGTTTATTCAAACTAACAAAAGAGGAGAAACAGGTTTCTAAACCGAGCTATTTTTTTTTTTTTTGAGAAAAAACCAGTTAAATGTTTTGTAGTATTTCAAAGTCGTTTCTTGACTTAATTTGAGTAATGTCTGGCACTAATGATACTACAAGAATTGAGACACTCTAGTTTGTGAAATATTTGATCTTAAAAGAAAAGGATTTTATCCAACCAAAATACAAGACTTCTTCCTCGTTATTCTGTGTCAATTACAATTCACAATTCAATAAACTGGAAATATTTGGCTTGATTGAGGTCCGTGTACAATTCAACAACTTTCCGATAACAAGATTTCCGCTATGGTATGTTCTCTTGGAGAAGAGGCGGCACTTGTAATCTATTGACCAAATCTTCCTTTGGTTCTCTATAGCACAAACAATACATTGTCTGACTCTTGGTTCTTTTTAGATTTTGTTTGTACTGCATTGCCATTTGAATCTACAAAATATTTTACAGCATCTAAGAACGTTCTTTATGAGCTAAAGATACGATATGTCTTCTTTTTTTCCCTTTATTCAGGGAATACTAGAAAGTTTCATCAACTTTTCAAAGCTGAGTTCATGAACCTTAAATAACAAGCTCCAGGATTATTTTACTTGATGGGTCTGAAGTTGCTTAATGACTCGGCGAATTCAAACCAGAAAAAGAAATAACTTTGGCAAGCATAAAAGGAAAGTTTTGCTTTAATCAGTGATTCTTGAGCCAGATAGTTGAGCCTCTTGATGTTGAAATAAGATAACCTTAAAGAATAAAGCACTCTTATGGTTTAAATGGCAAAAATGAAGGGGTTTTTTTTTCAAAAAAATAAATGAAAGGCGTAGGCCTGGTATCTTACAATTGGTTTGATAAAAAGGCTTTTCTGAATGAATTATTAGCAAAACTGTCAAACAACAAACGAATTAAAGTCTCAAAAATTGGGGGGGGGGAGGATAGAATCAAAACAAACAAACCAGTAGAGCAACCGTTGAAAAGTTTTTTAAAGATAATGCATGAAAAGATAAGGTTCAAGTTCTTAATCGTTTAACATCAAACAATAATCAAAGACTAGAATTGTTAGAGTCTATAGTAGAAAGACAGAAATTAGTGTAAAAGAATATAATTTCAAACTCATGTTTTGACAACAATAGAGGATAGTGTGTGCCTGGTTTTTGTATATGGTTAAAGAGAACATTCAAATCGCGCGTTTGTTTAGCAGAACTTTATAGGGAAAAAACGGAAAGTAACAAGAAAATTGTAGTACCGTCAGAGTGATAATCAAATCCGAATTCCTTTTGATAGCAAATATTTAATAGCGCATCTCTTTCTTTCTCTTTCTCTCTCTCTCTCTCTCTCTTTTTATTTATTCCATCATGGCTCAAACATCTGAATTGCCTGTGCTTTCTTTAGCCTCGCCTAATATACACAAGCTTCGAGATATGAACGTGGATAATTTGTCTTACATGTGGACTGGTAAGGTTTATTTTTATGCATTAAACATTGACTGACATGTAAACAGTATTCTCCAGATGTAAAAACAATTTAGAGAATGGAAGACGATTAGAAAACATAAGTTGGAGAATGTGGTATCGCCAAACATCACTAAAAGAGAAACCATCACAACCTACTTGTTTAAAAGAAGAATCTACTGAAGCTTTTGTCCAGCCTAAACGCCTTGTATCTACTCGTAGTACTGCTGATCCTCCTATTCAACCTATACTTCCAGTGAAACGTAATAGCAAGTTCTTTATCAATGATGACTCTGATGAATCTGATGAGTTTGACGAGTCTGATGACGATACAGCGTATTCAACATATAATACAATGAAATCATATCAAATTGAATCTGATGATGATAATGATGACGATTACAGTGATTGTGGAAGCTTTGAGACAATTGATGAACCTCAAGAAGATCAAATTGATGAAAAAGCTTTTATGATTGAATTTAGAAAAAGATCACCCTGTAACATAAAAGGACAATCTCTCTTGACTATTTTGCTACAAACGCAAGTACCACCCGATCAATCCATATCAAGTAACACTTATCTATCGAAAACTTTATCCGAAAATATCTAAATATACCACCAACATTATTTATTTTGCAGCCAAATTCAAGCCTGTTTAATTATTGCATTTACTCATTTGATCATAAAAAAAAGACAATGAATAAAAGAAATGATTATATTCAACAACTTTATTATCTATCTATGTTTGTGTTTTTACAGAAAAAAAAAATTTTTTTTTACTCCCATTCAATGGTGGCAGGAGGCTTGGAACTAATATCATATACAACACGGTTGACACCCTTAACTTCATTGATAATTCTAGAAGAGATACGCTTCAAGGTCAAAAACCATTCAGCACCAATCATGACATCGGCAGACATAAAATCAGTAGTTTCGACAGCTCTCAAAGCAATAACTTGTTCATAAGTACGCTTATCACCCATAACACCGACAGCTTTGACGGGCAAAAGAGCGGCATAGGCTTGAGAAATTTGACGGTAGAAACCTGCCTTCTTGATCTCTTCGATATAAATGTTATCGGCCAAACGAGCGATTTGAACTTGTTCACGAGTAACTTCACCCAAGACACGGATAGCAATACCTGGTCCAGGGAAGGGGTGACGCCAGACCAATTCATCATCAAGACCCAAAATCTTGCCTAAAGCACGGACTTCATCCTTGAAGAGTTCACGGAGAGGTTCAATCAACTTGAGCTTCATGTCTTCCAAAAGACCACCGACATTATGATGAGTCTTGATAGTGGCAGAAGGACCCTTGAATGAAATAGATTCAATGACATCAGGGTATAAAGTACCTTGCAATAAGTATTCAATAGTACCACCACATTCCTTATCGACCAAAGCAGCTTCAGCTTCGAAAACTTCAATGAAGGTGTTACCAATGATTTTACGCTTCTTTTCAGGATCAGTGACACCCTTAAGACGATCCAAGAAGAGGTCAGAAGCATCAGCAATCTTGAGGTTAATACCCATCTTGTCAACTAACATCTTCTTGACATTGGCACATTCATTCAAACGCATGACACCGTTATCGACCAAGATAGCATGGAAACGGTCACCAATGGCTTCGTGCATCAATTTAGCAGCAACAGTGGAGTCAACACCACCGGAAACAGCACCAATGACACGGCCAGTAGGGCCAACAATCGTACGGATACGGGCAATTTCCTTTTCAACAAATTCTTCCATGGTCCAAGAAGCTTGAGCCTTACAGATGTTCAAGACAAAATTATGGAGAATGTCTTTACCACAAGCAGTGTGAGAAAGTTCAGGGTGAAGTTGAATACCAAAGAAAGGCTTTTCATTGTGGACAACAGCAGCGAAAGGAGCAGTCTTGGTGGTACCAATGACAGTGAAGTTTTCAGCAGCAGCAGCGACTTGGTCACCGTGAGACATCCAAACCTTTAGATCATATCAATAAATAGTGCTTTTTTTGTTTTTTTTACTTTACCTCAACAGAATCTTGAATACCTTCAAAGAGCTTGTCAGCGAAAGGATGATTAGGGAATCTATGAATGTCCAACATAGCATAACCATATTCACGATGATCGCAGGCTTCAACCTTACCACCCATAAGGTTGGTCATCTCTTGAAGACCATAACAGATACCCAAAACAGGAACACCACTGTCAAAGACAGCGGGGTCAACACGGGGAGCATCAGTATCGTAGACAGAGTAAGGAGAACCAGACAAGATGATACCCTTAGGTTTGAAGTGAAGTTCAGCCATCTTTTGAGTACAAGGCAAGAGTTCACAGTAAATGCCAAACTCACGAATACGACGAGCAATCAAGTGAGATGTTTGAGATCCAAAATCCAAAATGAGGATAGTGTCAAAGGCTTCATTCATTTGTTCAACAGACATGTTCCTTTCTTTTTTTTGGGGTTATGGTTTCAAGAAGAAGTGTTTATTAAAAAAAAAAAGTGTTTTTTAAGGGTGATATAGAACCACCGAAAACAAAAAAGTATGAAAAACAATCCAGCTTTTATACTCTCCGAGAAAAAATTTTAATGCAAGGGACTGCTTTTCTGTGCTGATGTGACTCCTTGTTACAAAGTGTCATCAAGAAATTGATGATAAACCATTTTGGATATCGACAGGAAATTAGAAGAGGAACTTGTCTGATAGACAAATGTTTTTCAAATGCAAATCGACATGATTATTACTCAAAACATCCCAAGTTATCTTTAGATACCAACAAAAAAAAAAGAGTTTACTTTGGTAATCATGAGACAACGTATCAATCGTACTAAGAAAAAACCATGCATAAATCAATAAGCAAACATCTAGTACATAAAGTTTAGATAATTTTGAAATCTTTGGTTGAATAAGAATACTTCAAGTAATTAGCTTTGTGAATTAGATCATTCAAGGTTTTCTATGTCGTACAAGGTACCTTTTTATTGATTTTGCAATCAAAAACTGGACACAAAAATAGAGTCTATAATTTACTCTTATCATTTTGAAGGTTTTGTGCCGGCAACTTCGATAAGATGATCAGCAAGACATATATTCTTTCGTTTCTTATGCACACCAAGGTGTAAAGGCTGTATGCTTTTTAAGTTTCCAAGACAAATGTGGCCTTTTAACAACTGGAAGTATAACTATAGCCTCAGTCTTGAACATTTATGATCGATATATTGCCTTTTCGTTCTTTCTGGTCATATCTTTACTTCAAGCAGCAAATATTTTGATAAACCCTTAATGCAAGTAACAATATGAACATTACTTATGTATTTCATGCTCTGCTTAATTTCTAGAATTCGATTCTTAATCTTTTGTTTTTTTTAATGAAGTGTAGTAGCTGTGCCTTAAAATAAAGTTGACATTTACTAATACAAAAAAAATCATTGTTAACTAAGATGTCTATCAAACGTGTGCGCCTCGCTATTGTTCAAAAAATTGCTCTCCTTGATCAAAATACTACCGGCTAAACATCTCAAAGCCAATTAGGTGAATGGGCTATGAAAGAGTTCAATCTGGCTGAGCTTCTTCCTCAACAAGCTGTCTCGAACATTTTGAAAAAAGCCGATGGGTTATACAAAAATGTCAATGCCGTCAAGAACAGCAAAAGCTCGACACGCCCTTGCTATCCTAAACTTGATAAACATGTACGCAACTGCACTGAAGATATGGATAGCAATAGCTTACTAGTTAACCGTCAATCTATCTTGAAGTATGCAAGACAGCTTGATTTAAGCAATTATAGAGTCCTCGAAAGCGAGATCACCTTCTCAGATGGTTAGCTCACAAAGGTGCTCCATAGAATTGGTTTTGAGAGTAGGACTATTCATGGCGAATCTTCTTCAGTCGATGTGACTCTTTAAAACATCCAAACCGAGCCGAAGAAGATTGCCAAAACGGGACTGCACTATTAACAGCCACTAAATAAAACGATTTATTCTCAGCCTCTCGATAAAATCAATCAACTGATTGCTCAGCTACCAAGTAATTAAGCAAGTGAAGTTAAAACAACTCAAGAAAATCAAGATAAAAATGATTGTATTGTTAATACCATTGATAAAAATGCCACAGAAGACAACAAAAAGCGATTGAGGGAAACTCATAAAACTATCTGATGTTTGATATTCCCTTGATGAGCTTGATCTTGAGGCTCACCATCACTTCAGGCAACGATTGATCAATGTCCATACGGAATTAGTCAAATCATGAGAACAGCAAGGTATCTGCTATTGTTTCTTTAAATAATAGAAATATGTATCCGGAAAAAAAGTGAATTGTTATTGCTCTATTTAAGAATATCCAAATCTTTCTTCATCTTTAAATAAAAACATCTTAGATTGAATATCTTCAAACCGGACGGCTATTGTATAGCAACCTAACATTATTCTCAGAAACTCTGCTATGTTTCTTTGTTTTAATATGCCATTTTGAACAAAAGCCTATTTGTCTTTTAAGTTTTTGATTTCATCATTCAACATACCAGCTTTTATATATCCTAATTATTTTGTAAAGACTTTCATCTCTATGTGAAGCGCCTTTCTGCAAAAAAGTTGGACCAAAGAATGAATTTAGAGTATTAGACAATAGTTTGCACTGCTCCTCTTTGAATATTACTCCTTAGGTAGGCGAGCACGAATGAATTCCACTTGTATTTCAGAATTAACCGCATTAAGACAGTCGGTGTTTACTGCATAAAGAAAAAGGCACTTATCAAACATAGCAAACGATAGCGGAAAAGAACACTCTTTCATGTTATCCAATCTTTGGGTCAAGAATACGTTTGTCTATCATTGGAAACTTAACATCTTTTAAAAACCGAAATTATTATGCATAACCATCAACTGCAGGAAAATATATCTGATGATCAAAATGTAACACAAACATTTAAACCAAGGAACTCTTTTTTTTTCCTTCTTCTTCTCCAAGCTACTTGCAGTATGAATCAAGCACAACCACAAACTGGAGAAACTTCTAGCTCAACACTCGTTTCAAAAGAGACCAATAAGCCTCTTCACTCCCCAGGTAAGGTCACGCTCTATGGCTTCTTTATTCAAGTTCTTCGAAAGAAGCGCAGTCTTCATTGAACAACGCGTCAACAAGTACGGTTGCAACAGGAACTAATATCATGCCTACACATAACGCCTCTACTACTACAATTAATACCACAGCAAGCGCTACTACAGCTAATAATGCAGAGCCTACAGCAACACTCAAAGTAGTTGAACCAGCGAATAATAGCGAGGCAGACGAAGAAGCGATTCGAAATCAAAAATTAGTAGAAGAATTTCAATACCTTTTAGAAAAAAGCCAAAGTTTATTTAGTGGATTGAGGTAACAGAATACCATTCACATGAGGATTATGCCAACGTTTTTTTTCTATAAAGAGACCTGCCACCAACAGGAAGCCATCGTCAATGGAGACCAGTAAGTTATTTTATATGGAGACATGTAAACTTATACTATGACTAGTATTTCGAGAAAACATTTGAGGTGTACACAAAGGTAACTACTTGCATCCTTTCTTCATGTTCTAAAGCCCTTCAAGTTATGGAAATTTCAACAAACGCATCGATCCATTCTTGAAGACAAAAGCAACTATGGATTAAAGCGTTGGGAAGTAGGTGAAATTGCAAGTAAAATTGGCCAACTTTATTATCATTACTAGTAAGTATATCATATCTATAGATGCATGTAAGTTGAGCATACATTTAGTTTAAGAACGAGCGAGACGAATTATTTGTATGAAGCTTATGTGTTTTATGAAGCCATCCATGAAAGACAGTACTTTAAAGACGTTCTAGAAGTAAAAAAGTAAGAAATTAGAAAGTGTTGCTAGTGTATTAACAACTACTTTGTAGTTCTGCTTTGATGATTAAAAAAATGAGATACTATGCTCGTTTTATCATTGTCTGTTTATTGTTAAACAAGGACGAAAATGTACGCCAACTTATCACTGAATTAGAAGGTCTAATTGAAGAATACACAAAAAGCTTTAAACCACCCGATGCAAAAGAATGGCAAATGGTTTTAGAAGAAATCAGTACATTTACAGAAGCAGAAAAGAAGCTTGTCCCTATCAATCTTGACCGCACGCCTGATAAAATTGAACATCGCTTATCATCGAATATTGCTGAACGAAACCTAGGTCATTTCCCTAAACTGAAACTTCAAGAAGCTATTTTAGTCGGTAATTATCAAAAACAGATCAAGTTCTCAGAGCTGACCTTGGATATGTATCGTATGCTTCAATCTCTTGAAAGAAAGCCGTTTGTGATGCATCCTTCAGTAACAAACAATACCACTACGAATGAGAAAAAGGAAGCAGCTAGCAAAGAAGATAATACCAATGTGAATAGTAATAATCCAAAAGCGATGACCACAACAGCAACTACAACAGCAGGAGTAGCCGCAACAACAATCACAACCACAGCAGCTGCTCCAGCTTCAGCAGCAACTACAACAGCAGTTCCATCGATAGCAGCAGCTGTTTCTTCAGCCAATAACACCCAGAACAACAACGCGAATGATAAAATGAACAAGCGATCAAATCCACATAAATATCTTTTATACAAGCCTTCTCTCAGTCAACTTTTAGTGTATATTTCCACTGCCTTTAAAGACACAAGCGAGAACTCGGCTCTACTTTTGTATCTTTCAGCGGATGGATGTTCGTATCCTGAAAGAACAATATCAGGCTATGGAGGTGGTGTCTTAACGAGTCAACGCAACCGACAGACCTCTATCGCTGATCGAACAGGCGCAGGAGGATCTACTAGCACAAATGTGGCAGCCAATGTCTTGTCCTCAAATCCTAATGGACCCTCTGCTCAAGCCTCTTCTTCTCTCAATATAATTAATAATAACAATATCAACAGCAATAGCAACAATGCATCCACCCTAGCTAACAATACTACGGCTTCTAACAACAATCTGGCTTCTACAACCACTCAACCAACTGAAGTAGCAGCAGTTCCACCTTCTGCTCATTGTTTGCATCCTGCTGATCTTATACCATTCACACGCAAACCTTTATTTTTGATCGTTGATAGTGACAATAGTATTGAATTCAAGAATATGCCAAATGTATTTGATCAACCTGTGATGTGTTTAATGTCGCCTGTCGAATACCCTTCTTCTGTGCAAGATAAAAGTGAAATCGGCAGTTTGTTTACTTTATTCTTACATACACCTTTGCTTGGTTTCTGCTCTGTGTCTGATATCGGTAATTTGGATCAGTCTAAATGGGATGAATGTGTTCGAAAGATTGATGCTATGGAAAAAGCAATCGGTGCTTTACTCATTTCAGATGCCAGTGTTGGTAAGTGACTCAACAGTGAAGAGAATAACAACTCATATTATGTCTTAGATAAAAATGTAAAGCGTTTTATGTTTGATGATTTTCTTTACTATTTTATTGTTCGATTTGTCCTTTGTGGTATCTTTTTGCGATATCATTCTTCTTTTAAAGACGAAAAGGTAAGAAAGTAACAATACAAACACAAGATATATTCATCTCTTTAAGTCTTTCCCTACTTGCTGTCCATCTTTACCTGAAAGTATTTATGTTTCTACTGAAATCGTGACCATGTTGGGTGATTTGACGGCCATTGCTGATGTAGGTACTTATTTTAGTTTACCTGCTTATGCTTCTGCTACCAACAATACTTCAAATACGTTATCTTCTTCGCCTTCTGCCTCTGTCATCACAGGCAATAGTAATGTAGTTATGGACACAACTCAATAATAATAATAATAAACATTTATTGTTTGTACAAAATAAATTAATCACAGAGAGAAGGAAGTTCATAACTTTCAACGCGTTGCTCAATCCAACCTCTCTTTTCAAGTTTAGCACCTACACCAAGACCACGTTTGGCAAAGGCACGGTAAATATCACAATGGTATTTACCACCAGTCAGCTGCTTTTCGGCTTCCAAGATAGCATCACGAGCAGATACAAAACTAGGGTTACATGGTTGTAACTTAAGACCATCTATGACTAGCTGCATGGCAAGCGTGTTGCCATAAGATGTGATGTGTGTGCGAACTTCTTCAAGCTCTTCTTCGTTCATGGCTGTCTTGTAAGGGTCATTAGGCACAGGAGGGAACCATTCGGGGGTGAATCCGAGACGATCCACTAGATTCCAATAGACTTCATAAAGCATTTCAGCCCATACCTCACCTTTAGCATGGACACCCCAATAGTCAAAGCGGTCCATGATGCGGTATGTGCTAGGATTGGTTGTATTGGAAGTAGAGTATTTGTATTTACGAATACCATCACCACCATTAGAGTAATCGCCCATGCCAAATTCAACATTACGGGTGAATTCCTTGCGCATACGGATACTTGTGGCCACAAAGTCTCCCCAGCCTTCACCCATACCACCTGCTTCACCCCATCCGAGACAGTTTGAGTTCATTGGACCACCTGTTAAACGAATCGAGACACCGTGTGTGTATTCATGAATCACGATACCACTTTCAAAGTCACCATCACGCATTGGCTTTGTTTGATCCCAGACATACATGCGCATCTTACCGTGCTTGCCATCAGGCGGCGTAGCGAAATTAGCATTGTTTCTGCCTGAACCATCTTGAGCATTTGCAATCACAGCATCTCCTTCACCATTATCTTTATCACGTCCACGTCCAAGGTTGTCTTGTTGGAAGTTGCCAGCCTTCTCATCAAAACCGTATCGGTAAAAGAAATCATGAGCTGTGTTGACCCAATAAAAGAGGTTGGTGACTGCGGCATCTTCATAGTCTTCAGGATCGTCTTTTTCAAAGTTGGCAACATAGTCAAACACGATATCACCTTCTTCATCTATATGGCCACTAGGGCGGTAATTACTTTGCCAGCTGGACCCACCATCAGGGTTTGTATGTGTATAAGCGTTATTGCCAATCGTGACATTGTATGTCTTGGCACCTTTTGAAATAGCGCCCTGAGCATGCCAGCCATCAGGACTAGCCCATTTATCGTGAGGGTTCTTGACCAATTGTTGCTTAGAATCATTGGGATCATTGTAACCAAAAGGGATAACATTATACGCAGCAGCACTGGATACCCAATCAACAAGACCCATGATGGTACCATCATGCGCATTCACATGACCGTTGTACCAATTATCATGCAACTCATATTCTAAATCCCAGACTAATTGCAAGTCACCTTTTTCGTTCTGCATGTAGGCCTGACGTGCTTGCACAGGAGATAAGGCAAAAGGTACGTTTTCAAATTGAAGCACAGGTGTATCTTGGGTCTTGAGTGTGTTCATCATAACCAAGTGGTCAGGCATAAGTTGGTCAACCACCGTAGGATCAGGAAGCGAGGGCTTCACAAAGGCCAATAAAGACAGAATGGCTTCTGTAGGAGAAATGACATTAGCATTCTCATAAGCAATGTCATAGAGATAGTCCACTTGTGGAGGTTGGGAAGAGAATACTGTCTGACTGAATGAACTTGAAACTACACGAAGACCGTTTCGAACACGCTTTATAGGTAAACAAATAGGCAGGGGGGTAAGTTATCCAAAAAAAAACAAATGTTTACTTACCGTCAAGAGATCCACATCTGATTTGAGTTTAGGACTAGGTCTTGCGAACGAATTACCATAAGAAATGACTTGTCCAAAACGATCTATATTGATATTGATGTCTCCGTTCAAGACTTCAAGCCCATTGACAATCTGACGCAAGTAGACATGTGTAACACCATTCAAATCAGACTTGTAAGCACTTGTAACCACAAATTCACTGTTTGTCAATTCAGATTGAGCAAATGCGATAGCAATGTCTTCTGGTTGATCTGTCATTGTAAAGGCACTGTAGTCCTTTTGACGCTGTTGATAAGAAGGTACTGTATATTCCCGATAAGGCACTTCAGGTCCAAAACTACGTGATAGGCCTTGAATGTATTGTTTGCGACTTAATTCACCATTATTGACTATGGCAGCTTGAGCTATGGTGGCCAATAAGCATATAGAACAAGAGATAGAGGAAAACTTCATTATAAAAAAAGAAAGGAAAAAGAAAGAGAAAAATTACGCTTATCGCTTGAAAGAAAGGGGGAATGATCTCTCACTTTTTATACTGCTGTGTGATAAAGGTCCGAAAAAAAAAGAAGGCCTAATTTAGATAAAAGACAACATGATTGGACCTTATCCTTAAACAAATATATGTTATCGTTCGCCAGGTGACCCTCATTTTCATTTACTCACGGGAAATTGGTTGCTTTTACAATACAGAAAAAAAGAAATCAGTTGGCGTGTTTTTTCGAATGGATAGCGTTATCATTGTTTGGGAACACAATCATAATAGCACGCAGAATTCAAAACCCAGTTTATTTATTTATTCTTTCTCTCTTTCTCTTTATGACAGAAAAAACAGCAACAGAAGCTGCCAACGACTTCTTTTTAGAGTTTAGAGCAGAAAGACAAGCGATCCAAGATCTTATTGAACGCTCAAAAGACGTGCCTAAAGTAGATCTCACGGCTCACTTTAACCACACGTTACAGAAAATAAACGATCTTGAAAAAAGTTTGACTAAAGCAACTGCTTATATACCTTCTTATGACGAACGTCAATTCTTCTTGGTATAGATAATAGAACATATAACAAGATGATTAAGACTATAATAGCAACTTAAACAATTAAATCAAAAACTGGAAAGTACAAAAGCAGAATTGACACCTAAAGCAAAGTTCTCTTTCAAGTCAAGGAAGAAGAAAACAACACCTACTCCTATTCAACGTGAAACAATACCATCAGAAGAGAATGCAGACCTATTGTCTGATGCTACTGTCTTATTTCAAGATAAAGAGAATGTCGTTCTTACTTTAAAAGATACTAGTTATCCTGAAAACAAAAGCATTGATGTATTATTGTCCAATATCAAGCATTGTGTGATCATTTTAGAGCAAGAAGGTGTCCATATATCTGCTATTCATATCAAGAATGTACATCATTGTGTTGTATTTGCAGGGCAAATAGAAGGATCAGTGCTTATGTATGGCTTGACTCATTCAGTTTTGTATGTGGGATGTCATCAGGTAAAAGTATAACATATGACAAGAAATAAGTGTATTAAACATAAAACAAGTTCCGTATGCATGAAGCACATCATGTAGATATGATGCTACATGTCACTAGTCGTCCAATTATTGAAGATTCAAATGAGATTCAAGTGGGTTGCTGGAACACAAATGTAAGTTATTTTAATATACATCCGAGAGAGACTGATTGGGATAAGTCTTCGCATAATTACTATGACCAAATAGAAGACTTCAATTGGCTTAAGAAGCAAGCTTCACCTAACTGGAAAGTCATGAATCAAGCAAGGGAAAAAACACTGTCTGATAGCATAGATTTGTTTAGAAAGAGAGAAGAAAATGTATTATCTAAAAGAATAGAATTATTACAATAAAAAAAAGAACTTTATTTTCTATGCGTTCTTGGGCTTCATTCTATTCACTACTTTGTTTAATTTAGGCAAGACAAGATGGCCAACCAAGACTCTAGACAATAAGAACAGGATAACAGTAAAGATGATAAAGAGTTCACTGATACAGAAATGGCTAATGGAAGTGCCAATCTCAAGCCAACTTCCATAATCAGTCACTAGATAGAAAAAATTGATTGTCTGTACATCAGTCACTGTCATCACTGATAAAAATAAGGTGAAAGGAGCCAATTCTACACTTGAACTTAGAATACCAAGCACAGAGGATGCTACAAAGAAAGGGATCAACACCTTAACAATAAGCAAAGCCCCCATTAAGAAAGGATCAAACAAAGTAGTAAATCGATAGACACTTTCTAATGAAAAACTACTCAAAGAAGCAACATTGCCAGTACCAAAGAAGGCAACACAGATAAAGAACAAGAACAAAAGAACAGCACGTCCATCGCTTGCTCTTAGAGAACGACTGGGGAATCCACGAGTAGTGTTTCTGTACAAGGAACGTTCTACTTCCAACCATAAGAGAACAGTAGTGCAAAAGCAGACATAGAAAAAGAGTTCACAAGATATACTCAACAAAGTCATGAGAGGTGTGAATGCAAAGCAGATGACAAGCAATCTTGCCAAATAGTCATCATATGATTTTCCTTTGTAAACAAATGGAAAGATACTTGATAGACCTAATAAAAGGTAAGCAACTATAGTAATTAGATCTTTCTTACCAATCACAGTCCAATTAGCATACTGGTTGAAGACAGGAAGACCTTCACGATTGTTAAGACTCATTGAAGTATGATAAACAAGCACAATACTCAAAGTATTCACAAGCAACTGAATAACCATGCTGATAAACAACTTGTTATTCACTCGACTGTGTGCCTTGAGTCTTGCAAGTACAAAACCACCTTCCAAGACACCCGCTACACCACCAACAACACTATAATCTCATGGAGTCAATGAAACCATTGTATCATAAAGTTACTTACACCATATTGATATCTTGTTCTTTTTCTACAGGCAATAAAGTAAACACACTAGTGCAGATGCATGATACACTCCAAGCCAAAAGGAGAAATTTGTGTTCTCGGCGAACCCCTCTTGGCATCATGATTGGCCAAGCTGCTAAAACGACAAAGATAGCACTAAGAATACTTCGATAAAAGAAACTGAACACCAAGGCTTCCAAGAACAACAAGGAGATGATCATCAAACCAATAGATTTACCAACACCATGCATAAAACTTATGCGTAAAGCTTCGAGCACAAATCGGTAGTTTTGCAACACTTGATTCCAGAAATAGACAGGGAAAAAGACATAGGCATAATACATGGTGGGCATCTTTTGAAGCCAAAGCATAGTGTATAAACCAGAGAGAACGATCGCAGAGAAAATATCAATCTAAGCAAACAATCTCATGAGTTTCATCCTATGCATGTATACGTACCAAAAGACGGGTTCTAAGTGAGATTGTGTTTTGAGATGAAATAACAAAGTTTCGGATCACAAACTGAAGGCAGTACACACACCAGCCAACATAGCCTATGGTGACAATACTTCTTAAGAACAACCAATCATATGTCTGAAAGTAACGTAAGCCATTCAGGCAGAGCGACATGAGTTCCTTGGATTTCTCTTGAGCACGCACAAAGTTCTTGTCATGGATCAATGTTTGTATTTCAGACACAAGTAGAATAGGATCATTAGCACCAGATAGTTGACTAAAAGGTCTAAAAAACAGCTCACTTTGTTCTTTTTCATCTACACATAAAATAAGCGTCATGATTCAGCAATACAAGAAGACTTACGGTGTTTGACCTGGTATTGTTCCAACATTTGTCGAGCATTAGCAAAGACTGCCTCAGCCTTTGTTCTTTCATCAGCCTTCAAATAGCTCAAAGGAAGCTCACCCACTGAATTCACAGGAAGATCAATACCAACAAGATGTGCCATCAAAGGAGCAATGTCAGCCTGAAGGATATCGTCACGTTGAATGTCTAATAGTCCCCATGCTTCTGAGAATGTATCATGGCCAATACCAGACATCAAAGGCTCTCTGATACCAGCACCCCAAGCAATGACAGGCGTACGAGTACAGTCAGGGTGTCCATCACCATGTCCGCCTCTGTTGTTCATACCATGGTCTGCAGTAAAGACATAGCTTGTGCGACCATCATTTCCATAAAACTCTTCAATAAGCTGAACCATTTCTTTCACTCCTTGATCCACTAACTTGATGTTATTCAAGTATTCTTTTGACATGGGTCTAAAAGCATGTCCATTTGTGTCTAACCCAAGTAGATGAAGAAAGAAAACAATCTTCTTCTGTCTCAATTTGCTGTTTAACACTGAATCCACTGTCGCATTCGAAAAGAGTTCTTTGACATGATCAAATACCCAGACATCTAGTTTTGAAGCCTCTGTGAAACAACACAGTGAATACACTCCATCTTAGTTTTATTTTATGCTTACCTCCAGAGAAATCTTCATATTCAGGAGGGTACATGAATGTCTCTACCTTCTTGGGGTCACTAGCGCCATGTTGGAACATAGGCAAAATATCAGGGGAACCAAAAGACCATGTATGCTCAGACTGGTTAAAGACAGAGTCAAAGTTAACAGGATTCATGGACCAACCTGAAGTAACACAAGCATGAAAGATCGTCCTTTTTATTGTCGATTTGCTTACCTGTTGTCACAGCACTCACATCTTCATAAAAACCAGCAATAATGGCTACATGACCAGGCCTCGATTCTGTAGGAACGCGGGTATGAGAAACGCCCCAGGTACCTTTTTCTTTCATGATTTGGCGTAAATAAGGTGCTCTTGTTTCGCCTTGGGTGTCCAATTCAAATAGCTTATCAGCTCTTAGACCATCACCTGTTATAGGTGAGTATAGTGATAAGCCATGCTTTCAAGTGTTCTTTACCTACAAACAAGACGAGTCGATCAGCAGCAGGTGTCAAAGGACTTTTGTGAGGCGTCATCCCATGAACAATAGGAGAAGTAAAGTATATGTCAAATATACTAAATAAGTATACTATGTGAAATATCACGCCTATCACTAGTAGCCCTATACGCGATAACATGATAGCTTTAAAAAAAAAGAGGACAAAGGTTAGCGAGCACAGACACAAAAAAAAAAGGGAATTTCAAAAAACAAAGTCCGAGAAATCACCAGTGGAGTAACTTTAAACTTGCTAAGATTAAGACAATCCTTTAGCTGTAAAGTGCTATTTTCACTTTTAAATGTACAAATGACCAACAACTCGATAAAGTCAATTCTTTTTATCATTATGTAAATAATCAATAACAAGATGACACTTAAAAAAGAAAAGAAATAGCTTTGTCAAAATTATCGTTAATAAGAGAGCGATTGAAAGGTTTAGTCATCTATTGGTTATCAACATTTCTGGCTTAAACCCAATAAACTTGCTTCATAACCATACTATCAACATCTTTGATACTGTCATACTAGCCTTGGCTTATGCCTCTTAATTCAAAGTAGCTCAATAATCTGAGAATTCTGATCTATTTTCTTGAACAAAAGTAGCTGTACTCTTAGACCGTTTGAAAACCCAGTATCGAGAGTCTCTACTCAGCTGTATTCGCAGCGTTAGAAATGATCATTTTGCCTCACTTTTCTTTAATGTAAAGAAGTTTTTAATATGTCGGTCTGGTCTTTGTTGGTGGTGCTATAATTTATTGTAGAAAACTGTATCTCTTAGTTGTCAATAGTTATGTCAAATGTCAAGTAATTGAACACATTTTAGAACGGCGTCCTTTACTTATGGCATTGGTATTGCCATCTGTAGCACTGAAAAAAGACAAGAGATACTTGCTCTTTACAGAGTTCTCATCATTGTCATGTAGGCAAATCAAGATTTTATACAATTACCCTTTGCTATTTCAGTATGAAGATAAGAATCAAACAGTATAAATAGGAGACATGATAATAGAGTAAGTCTCTTTTGGCCATTGTTGGTTCAGATTGGTCACTCGTCTTATATTCGTTGTTATAAGGACTGAAAGAAAGTTATGAAACATTTAGTAACCAAGACTTTGGCTTGCAAATTAAGATGGCCAAACAAGGCTGGAAAAACCCTCTCATCCAACAAAGTGCTGAAGCAATTGTACAAATCGGTGGATCAGATAATGAATCAGGTGTGTGATGTGCTCAAATCGGTGAATGTGTCTCTGGTATCCAGAAACGTATTGCTGATATATTTGATGCTATCAAGGTCAAGGTGGTTGGTGCTCATTCCAATGATTAAGAAGCGTTGATTGCAGACTCAAGAGACTAGCTGTCACAGCTACTTTTTTCAAGATATTCTCTCCTGTTTCAAACTAACATCAGTCAATCCATACTGATTTTATCAACAAGACAACATCCTTCTGTACAAGAAGCGATGCGTTGGCTGGGCGCGACATGCCGCTGTTATAGATAATTCTTCTCTCTATAAAATGATTACTTAATGAATTCTCCAACAGAATCATTCCAATTGCATCTCATGGTAATTGTTAAAAAATAATTGTGAGAAACATTCAGGCACAGCAAAGCACACCAGCCTATTCGTTGAGTAAAATAAAGTTTACTTGTTCTTATTTTAATCTGTCTGTGATTCCAAAACTTCCCAAATCATTTTGATAACCTTATCCAAATGGAGTGCAATGTTTTCATGTACTAAACCAGGAATTCTTTCTCGCTTAAGTCCAAGCCATTCAACAGGAGGTGTTGCATCACCCATGACTTGTAATTGTGGCTGGAAATTTACAGTATTGACCGAAGTATAGACATACTTTTCAACCTGTTCATTTTCAGTATCTGCTTGTGTTGCGTTTTCTACAGTAGATGGCATAGTTTCGATCGTAGGAGTAGAATATTCACTCTTGCTTGATACACTCAGGGCAAAAGATGATTTTCTTCGACTGGTTTCTGGAACACTGAGAATATTGTCTTCGTTATCATCAGCATTGTTTGAGCTATTTGGTGTGTTCAATTCAGCGGGAATTGGCAGTTTATCATTGTTCTTGTCACGAACACGATCAAGCTGTAGACTAAACATGTTGATCATTTCTTGAAGATATTTGATCAACCCTATATTCAAAGAGACACCAATACGACCAGCAAAAACGGCGTCAAACTCATAAGCAATATTACGATCTAATTGAGTAGAATCCATGCTGACTTGTGTGCCAGGAATACCAAAGATCTTTGTTCCACCAAGATTCTTGGGTTTAGTAGCAGCTGGTGGTAAGGGAGCACTGTAACGGATCATTAGATCTTTTCCAGGGACATTCTTGGCTAAAGAAGCGCTGGCTAACGTAATGATCAATTTTCGATGTACTCCTTCTGCAGTGCGAGGGAATTCCTTTAAGTCGATCTTGAATTCTCTTGCTCTAATATCTACATTATCGGAGTCTTGGAACTGGCTTGGATAAATCACGAATTCTACAGCTTGAATACAGATAGAAGTCTGGCTGTTGATGGCTGATTTTTCATAGAGTGCCTTGTTATTAACATGACCAACGTCGAATGATGTTTCATGTACGTTTGGTATGCTAATTGACTTCATGCCAGCCTCTACTTTTTTCTTTTGAAGCAATTCATCAAACTTTTGAATCATGGTGATAATGACTGGTACTGTCTTAATAGAGATACGAGCAATAAGTGCATCTAGATTAGCTGAAATATGTAAACTGTATTTGCCAGCCACCTTTTCAAGGTCAATATTGAGCTCCAGCGATTGTTGAATGACATCTAGAATATTTTGGTATTCATATTCAAATTTCGCCATGAAGCCTTCAAGAATCACATAGATCGAAGACATTTCTTGACTAGAAGATTGATCTATGCGTCCCATCACAGCCATGCGTTTGAACTCTGCACTTCCAGACAGTCTACCTTCAGATAGTACATGAATCGCTTCTAGTATCAAACTGAGTCCTTTGCTTTCTTGAGGTGTCGCATGGGCTTGGAATGACAAGTTTTCGGGTCTAAGTGTTATTCTACCAATGTTTTGTCCCAGATCTACAGAGAATTTCATGTTTTGTAAGCGAATAGCAACGTGTTTCGAGAAAGGAGCTGGTGATTTTGGTGAAGAAATAGCATGGACTTGACGATCTACAGCGGTCGTTTGATCTATCAGTTGGCTAGAGGGTCCTTGCTTTTCCATATTGCTTTGTGCTCTAGATTCATCTGATGTCTCGGCAGAAATGGCTTGTGCAAACCAACACTTGTAAAGCACAAGCAAGTCTTGCAAATGTCGCATATTTAAATCGCCACTGATATTAGGAAAATCAACAATCACAGAAATATCGTCATTCAAATGACCACCTTCCCTCTGAGAAGTAAGCATGGCATTAAACAAGATGCGATCAATGCGAGCATTGAGACAGGCTTCAGGTGAGAAATGGTGTTTTACAACAGCTGTAGTTTCTCGAACAGATCCAACACAACTCATAGTACGAGAAGTGGTGTCTTTAGAGAAAGCATTCAACAAAAACTCGCTTTCTTCCCATCCTAAAGAGCAAATGACTTTTGAGACAGGCTGGCAGCTCAAATCGAGTTGTGTCTTGGACAGACGCAAAAGAAGTGAAGCATTTAAATTGGATTCGGTCTCTGCAACTGCGTCCCTATCTGCCTTTCGTTCACTTGATTGCTGTATACCAAGTTTAAGACCGGTGACAACCTCATGCAAGAACTGAACAAATGCAGGTTGAAGTGTATTGCAACTTTCACGTATTAATATGTCAGCATGAAATCGCTTAGGAGCCTCTGCCACTGTTGCATGTGCACCCAGAGGTGTTTGATAAGTCATCCAAGCATTGAGTCCAGGTAAATCAAGCGTTGCCACATTACTCTCTCCTGGTTTTGTTTCGAAACCAGTACGTATACGCAGCGAATTGAAATGTTGCTTTTTCGTCTTTTGAACCTCGTTTGAGTGGCGTTTAGGGTACATACGAATGACACCACTATCGCATTCAAATTGGCTTTCTACATCCAAATGAACGACTTCTGATCTGTTTGAGGAGGAGGATGCAAGTGAAGTAAGTGATGTTGAAGATTTACTATTCTTTGAGTTCAGATTTGATTTGGCTGTAAAGCTATCGACACGATCCATACTCTTGACATAGATGATACTGAGGACATTGATATAATCAGCAATTGTTCCGTCTACATCTACTTCAAAGCCCATCACTTTGGCATCCATTTTGACCCTCTGTATAGGTTTGATATTTGTTGCTGATACGTTGCATGAAATACACGGGAAATTGATTAAATTCATTCGAGGATGATTCTCAGCTATAAAGTGCTCTGCCTTGTTTTGATCAAAACGCTTTACAAATTGCATAGTGATGTTATCAAGTTGCAATGCACCTTTTTCAATGCTCTTGGATAAGAATTCAATGGAGGAAATAGAGAGTAATAAGGCACTTCCATCTCTACATGATTCAGAAATAGGAACATCCGATCGTTCATCAAGAGGAATAGCAATACCTAAACGACGTACATGCAAACAAATCACTTTTCCTTCTAGTATGAATTGTGTTTCATCTTGAGATGCTTTTTGCCATTCATTCTTGACAGAGATGGATTGTACAATACGTTTTGTGTTTGTGGACAGTTGATCTATTTCTTCTTTCTTCATCATCTTCTTTTTACTTAGTTCAGTATCATAGTAAATGTACATTTCAGCAAGTTTTCCAAGCGCTATAGGCTGCATGACTGCTTGTATTCGACAAAAGTCGACAAAAATAGCTTCAAAGTTTTGTTCTGTATGATGAGCATGTGTGCTCTTAGTGCAACCATCCTCTGTACACAGAGACACATAGTTTTGTACACTAAAGTCAGCCAAAATGTAAGCGAGACAGTTACGATGACAAGCAGTATCTTCATGTCCCAACACATCTTCTACAGTGTTGTGATCCAGTGAGAGCGAGAAGTTTTTGGCTTGGAGTTTCCAAGTAAGTTGGCTGGATGCATTTCGTATGTCTTCATTCGTTTTGCTGTCATTTGAAATTGATGCTTCCAATAAATTGGATTGAAACATGCCAATGGCAGAAGGGCTAGAGGCGGAGATACGCAAGCCATCTAGAGAGATGTCCATTGTATATTTGAACACTCTACTGACTTTTGAAGATTTTGATTGCTCGTTTGCTACAGTATCAGCATTTTTGTTGTTGTTGTGCTGCTTTGAATAAGACAAGACTTCTATCAATTCACTGACTTCATTACCCACTAAAGACTGAGCTGTTAATAGGGAATCAATCAGACCAACATCAAGCGACATAGAAATAAGCCCAACAAATAGAATAGACCTTAACTTTAGCTGTTCGCCACCATCCACGGTTTCGTTACGAAGGGAGCCTGTGCTGCGAATACCAGGAATACTAAAAATGCCAGTGTTATCTCCTTTGCTTTTGTTTTTTGCGTCTTTGGTAATCAGATGTATTTCTTGCTTGGACAATTGGAAAGAGTACATGCGAACAGGAGCTAATTTCTGTTGATTTTCATTGACCATCAAAAAGAAGTCAAGTATTCGATATTCTACACTCAAAGAAGGCAATAAGTCAGCTTGAATCAAGAATTCATTCAACAGGAATTGTAGCTTAATATCAGACTTTCTCGACGCTGCATTTGGCTGCGAGGAAGCAAGTGAAAAAGCACTTGAGTTCTCAGGTACGTCTTTTCTTTGCACTTCCCATTCTTTGACCAAGTTTTGAATCATAAAGTGATATCGTCGACCTTGTTCAGCTTGCCATGATTCAACAAAGCCATAGAGTCGAAGCAAACTTTGAGGAGCATGGATGTGGAATTTGTGGATATTTGAAAACACATTGAGTACTTCCTTACTTGCATTTATCTTGTTGAGCTTCTTTGTTGCTTTCGCTATTTGTGAAACATTTGCATTCACATTAGCTTTTTCCAGAAGAACGCCCAACAGAACTGTTTGAGATTTATTACGGCGAGATTCTTCTTTAAATTTGATGTCTACTGTCTGAATACCACCAGCAGCTTCTAGGATCAGTCGTGGTTCAGAACTTAAATTGCGGCGCGGTGTCCTGTTGGAGCTACGTTTTCCAGATCCAGTATCCGAGTCTCGGTCTGCATAAGACGTGAGTTGGAGTGGAGCTAATTTGGGGTTTGAGAACAAAGCTGAGCCTTGTATTTCGGTCACGATTGTATCCATACAAAGTTCTTGAGCGCGAGCGACAATCTGTATTTTATCTACATTGATCAATGCCTGAGCGACCATATCGACTCTACTGAGCATAGCATCAAAGTCAAAGTCTTGGTTAGGACTTGTAAACCTAGTTTCTTGCTTTTTATCGGATGAATAACTACGTAGTTTGGTTGCAAAGACTCTTTCAACCAGTATCATGTGTCTTGCAAAGGCTAGAATGATAGGATTGGTAGAGATATCAATAGAACCCACTCCAATCTTGGTGATAACATCCAAGTATCCTTCAACAATTTCAGATTTACGATAGCCATCAGGCGTAGTATTTGTATCTGCAGATAAGGCAGATATAGGCGACGACTTGAATAAGCATTCAAGTAATAATTCAACAGAGCGAATACAAATACTGTTTTCTTCCTCATGAAACTCTGATGCCTCTTCTTCATAAATCGTGAATTTGAATTGACCGAGTCTGAATTTGGCAAAGTTAGAGGAGGACGTTAAGAACTTGACGGCTTCATCAGTGATGTTTTTGTTCACAACGCCTTCTTGCTTCATTTTTTGCTTGAAGGGTTGAGTGAACAATCGACTATGTAGTACGTCTTCATGCCCGATTTCCCAGTTTCTCCAAAGAGAGAATGTCTGAACGACGTTTTTAAACATGGCGTCTGAATTGATTCCTTGTAATGCACCGCCAGATGTAAGTCTATATTGTAATTCTTCCCGCTTAGATAAAGGCATAGATCGAAGACAGTGTCGCATGCGAGCTAATAATTTCCAACCAACGTCGTTTCTAAAGTTACGAGAACCTAACCTTAGCATAGTAGTTGGAGCTGTCAAGAAAATAGGATCGCCAGCAACAGCTTGAGTAACTGAAAAATTGGCAATTTCATTCACAAATACTTGGACTTGCTTCAAGCGTTGCTCTTGGAAGCTCTCTAGAATTCCCTTTAAGTCGTCGACAAAGACAAGCCATGAATGCACAGCGCCCACTAGAATTTCAACGGATTCTGTGATAGTGATCGTATCCACTTCTTGAATGGTCAACTCGGCAAAATTCGGTTTTCTAGCTCCAAGCCATTTAAAACTGAAACCTTTCACTGCTAAATCCAACATCACCAGTTCGTTTACCAAGGCATCATCATCATCGTCTACTGCGTTATGATATAGTTCCTTGTTTCGCAACGATTCGTACGGAATACCAAAGGCAATGGATTGGCGTTCATGTTGCTTTGAGATGTACTGTACTGTTGAACCCATATCACCTACATCAATATGCACTCTTGATTCTTGTAACACTATGTTTGATTCGGCTACTTTATTCTTCTTTTCAGCGAACGCATAGTCTTCAAATTTGACACTGCCAATCATGTGGAAGTCATTCAAAAAGATATCTGCAGAACAAAGTACGGTATCTTTGGCATTGTATTGTGTCTTGACAATAGATTCTCCATGCAGATAGGAAGGCAGTTCATCGGGAACAGTGACGTTTTGAATAAAATGAAGGTATGTTTGAGGAAGAATGACAGCAAATCGAGTACAGATGTATTGGTCTGTCAGGTAACGTGTTAGTTGCTCAATATACTCTATTTGTATTGAGTCCAACATGGTTTCCAGGTCCCAATCCTATCAGAAATAGTGTGAGCTTCCTTCATCGAGTACTGTTATCACTTACATCTTTAATTATCTCTTCAGTAAGTTCTTGAATAAGCTTGATAAGGATAGGAGTGACCAGCATAGTAACTGGTCTTGTTGCTTCTATGACTGTGGTGGCGACGACCTCATTGCCTTCGCCATATGCATCGGTTGTATCAAACTCTGTATTGATATCTTCTTGATGCTTTTTGGTACTTGAAAAATAGTCTTCTGTATGATAATCATTTTGGTCATATAATGGCCTGCTTTTCTCTTCAAAATCCTAAAGACTCAGTAGTTAGTATGGTAAGCGCATTTATCTCGTCTTTACCTTTTCAGGGTAAAAAGAAGCTTGCGAAGGAGGTATATAGGGATGAAAAAAACCTCCAAAACTAAGTTCTGTATCTTTTCTTTCAATTCTATATCTTCTCAAATAATCACTATAAGGAATTGACGGAGGAATGGCAGATTTCAGTTCTTTTGTAGAGATTTTTCTGTAGATTTCTGTTCTCTGATCATTGGCTTCTATTGAAGAAGGTGATAAGCAAACATGTATCGCAACAACAACAACAACAAAAGTACATACCTTCATCGCTCGTTATACCTTGATCTTCTTTTGATATAATGGAGTAGTTATCAGACAGCCAAAAACTATTGAATGCTGTTTCCTCGGTTTCTTCTTCGTTATCCGAATCCTTGGCAGTATGGAAGGAGTCATTATCTTTGGACAAACCGCTATGCATAGAAAAGCGCTCATAGCAGACATTTTCAAGATCAAAGTCAGAATCATCGCCATCAGATTCATTGAATATAAGCTCACTTGCCGACGAGCTATGACGCGAACTTGACATGCTGCTTGGATTACTATAGCCTCTTGGTCTTCCCTGCCTTGGTGTTGGAACATCAGTATATAGAGAACTTGTATCATATAAAACCGATTTGTCTTCAACCCGGCCTTTTTGGTATTCAATAGTAAGAAACACAATCAATGAGTCAACAAAATCGCTTACCAGACATGAATGGCCTAAAAGGAGGAGCATAAATAACACCCACATGATGTTCATTTGTACCAGACTGAAAGGATGATCGAGAAGCTATCAAATAGAATGAGATACAAGTGCAATAAAAATACAATGCTTTTACATTGAGAATTGGTATCTATGTCTTCATATAACCGTATACATCGACGTGTAGGATAGTCTTGAGTACGAATATAGTTTTGCTGCTCGCTTCTTGCCTTTTGCCAAGATGCAGTATGTCTAAAAATAGTGATATTTAATCCCAAATCAGCTTTCGCAACCTCAACCCATGAATAACTATCACCCTACAAAAAAAAAAGGAAAAAAAAAAGAATACGTTAAGAATCCAATGATCATCTAGATTGAGTCTTTTACCTCGAGAACTTCGTTGTTTCTAGCTTGATCTGGGTTAGCAAGACACCGCGTCAAAAAGACTGGAATTTTGATGGTAATACATTGACTGTATTTGACATTGATCAGATTATTGAATTCAATGAGGACGCCGTCCTTGAAGGAGATATTAGTAGCACTGTTTAAACTCATCAGACTGATATCAATCTCTCGAATATAAGCTTTCAAAAATGTCACATCAGGTAAGCTTTTTGATTCAAGTTCTTTGGAAACCGCATTGTCTTCATCAATCAAGTTATAAGCAAACGTTTGGCCAAAGCAAGCAAGGCCTAACAAGAAAGAAGGCTTAATTTCACCTGTAATACGACCTACATCAAAGTCCCAATGACACAAATAAGTAGCACATTCAGGCAATGGACCAAACAATCGATGGGCATGTACATTAAAACCTAATAGGGCTATAAATGCAAGTATCAAACATTGTATATTTACCATCAATATAAAGGTAATTCTTTGGATCTCTTGCATTTTTAATTCTAAGGTACCCTTGTTTGAATTGAGGGTTTGGGTTGCTGTCTCTGCTCATAGTAATAGGGCTGATGTTCAGATACAAGTCTGATATTTTTGATTGTCAAATTTGGTTCAACATAGCACAAAGAATACTTACCCATATATACATCCAAGTTCCGAAGTTCAAGCTGCAATTCTTGAAACTCCAATTGTGAATAACGAGAACATTCATACAGATTTTCAGGCAGTAACAATACACCATCTTCCAAGTCCAACAAGACGTACACTTCAAAGGGATCCACTTGAGGCTATTATAAACAAGTAAATGGGTTGTACAGCAGAGGATGATTGTTACCTTTGACTCTAGCTGTCTCTTTTTCTGCGCTAACCATTCTTCGTTATTATTCCTTCTCTTTCTGTATTCATCAATTGTCGAAAAATTGTTCCAAGCGCCAAAATAGTTATCTTTAAGCAAGAACAAGTAACGAATCAAGGTACCAAACAACTTGACAGTGGCTCCATTGATTTTGATATAGAGGTTGCAAGATTCGATATGTCGCATAATATCAACTGTGCTATAAGCTTCATAGGAGCCTTCGATGCCTATATTGACAGCAACAGCAGCATGTGCATCATCCTCTCTCATGAACGCATTCAGTGTATGCGAAGTCTGTAACGATAAACCTGCGTTAATATGCTCTGCATTGACAGTGAACTTGATCGCTGTTGTTTCTGGCTGGAATTCAGTAAGAGGTAAGGTTACGCCCACAGTCAATTTGTGAGTCTGTACTTTCAAGAAGGCTACACAAGAACAAAAAAGTGAATACAGAAAAGAAGAAAAAGGATCACAAACTTACCATTATCTTCAATTGAATTAGGATTATTAATCACATTGTGTTCGTTTACACAAAGGTAAACAGTTGGATTTTCTAAATTGAATTGCAATTGGTATGTTATAGGCGTAAAGTGTAGCAAGTCAGCAGGCGGTAATGAAGTCCAATCTTTAGCCACATCTTGTAATAGGTAAATATGGTCACGTAGCAAGAAAATGGTTGCTTTTTTGGGAGTGATCTTGATATTCCAGAGACGATATGCGTTCCATTGAAGAGGAGCAGGCATTTCAATTTGTATCTAAATAAACATTCAGTATTTCCATATGAAACTGGGCCAGCATTTACCTCGATACGGTGAGACTGAACAAAAGATGAATAATTGACACTTGAAGTAATGTCTGTTTCTTTAAGGACCATGTCGACTTTATTTACACAACCATTTGATCCATACACAAACGGCGTTGTTACTTTGATATAAGAACCTTCCCCTGCTTTTAGATCAATCCAGCCATAAGGTCTTGTATAGTACCCGTCCGAGCCTATATCCAGATCTGATGACCCAGAAGCATATTTCCAATCCTAAATTAGGGAGTTTGTTTATGTGTACACATACATTCATCTTCTTGTCCTACCTTTGATTTTTCTCTTGTTGGTACTCTCACTTTTCCTTCATTCATGAATTCAATATAAGTTTCAAAAGAAGTAGGTATGCGTTGCTGACCGGGTTCAAGTCTTGTTGTAGGTGTGTTTCCTCGGTGGGAATTAGGAAAGAAGTAGTCCTGCATTTGATTTCTTTGTCTATCAGCCCACGGACCATATTGTATTGCTGCATCCCATAAATAAATTCGGCATCCCCATTCAGGAGATAACCCACCGTTTCCGATATCAATGTCTGTCATGCCTGGGAATGCGTCAGATGCTTCTTCAGACGATGGTACTGGGCCTACATTGCTTTCACATGAGTAACACACACAATATTATTCCTTTGCTCTACCTGCATAATCAGCATAATAAGTCAAAGCCATTTCATTGCATTCCAACACATTATTGACTCGTGCGTATTCTTCATGATAAGTCGGGTTCTCTAGATCATCATAGCGCGCCTCTGAATGACCTTCTCGAATAATATGTTGTAAGTGTTGCATTTCGCCATACTGTCTTGTTTTTATAAAAGACAATAACCAATCCCAAGCTCTGTATAACAAATGATGCATACTAATATAAAATAAGTCTAACTGTTTATAAGCAAAATCAACATACGTTTTTCGAGGTAAGGGCTTTCGAGCTCTCTCTGCATCTACTCTGGTAAAATCCATATTATCCTTAAGGCTTACTTGCGGCTTTCTTAACACTACATCAAGCACTGTCTTATAGTAATCCATGGATGATCTTGATTTTGAAATACTGTAGATTCCACTTGCTTGAGGCATTTTACACACTATCATGGATTTGATCTCTGTGTTACCAATCATCACAGCGCCTGTAGTACATTCAAACTGAATTGGCATTAATCTTTCTAATAATGAATGATTGTCTCCATTCATCGGAGTTTGGCTTTCGGGATCAAGGGCAGCTCGAGTCTCTACTGTAAGCTTTTCTTGTTCCGTTCCTGCTGTTGTTGAAGGATTTGTTTCTACGGGTGATAACCCAAGTACGCTTTTCATTCTGTCATAAGCTGGTTTGTTGTTATAAATAAAGCATTCAAGCCCTTCCACTTTACAAGCAATTCGACAAGGTGAATGACTTGTTTTTCCTAATGATTGTCAGCATGTATTTGACACCAACTAGCTTACCTTTCTTATCATCTTCTGATTTACGCACATTAAGGAGCCAATATTGAATTGAAAAATGGCCTTTAATGATAGAAATGGATTGATTTGTAGACAAATATCGAAGATTTTTGAATAAAACTCGACCTCCTAATAACGAAACACGTATTGAATCTACATGAAATTAGAATGAGTTCCTTCATGATAATTCACTTATTGCTTACCAACTTCGATATAGGCATTGTATTTTCTCCAGGTATATTGGTTTATAAGGAAAGTAAGTATTTGTCCAAGCACTCGATTGAAGTAAAACAAAAAGAAAATGACCACGACAATCACAACCAGACAATAGACAACAAAAAGCCAAAAGTCACTTTGCGACTGAATGTTGGCATTCGTGGTGGTGGTGGCTGCTGCACTAATCAGGTCCATAACTATGCTAAAGGTAGACAAAAGAGTTTCTCAGTCAATTTAATTTAAGCCAGCTATTTTGATAGTCACATCACTTCCAAAAAGGACATGTTTATTCTTTTTAAATGGGCAATAACCTGATGATACAAATGAACGACATCATGTGGTCTGAATAGACTCTAAATCCTTCTTGAGTTGCACAGCAAATAGTCACTCAATTCCAGTATGGTCCTATAAGAATTGAATGGCATGTGCTCGATACAATATCTCTTTTTCAAGTGCAGTAGAATACATCAGATTGCTGTTTAGCAATTATTTTTCTTTTTGTAAATTAAACATGATCAACAAGTCAATTTAGCTACAATAGGGCATACTTTTTTTAAAAAATAAACCAATTAAGTAAATCTATCTGACTATTGCTATTACTTGCATTACTTAGAAGGCAAAATTTCTAGATTGAAGTATCTGCTATTCATCTTTAACCTGAACAAGTCATGAATTATGCAATTGAAGAGATTGGAGCGGCGGTTCAATTTCTAATTTTTCAAGAAGCTCATGTAAAAAAAAAACTATTGAAAAGCAGTTGAATGGACTTCAAACCGTTAGTATTTTCTCTTATTATAGTAGCAGAAGCTGTAGATTCAGCTATAGGGTATTTAAGTATGAAATAAAGATATTAGTTCTATTAGTAGGAGTCTTCTTATCTTAGCAAAAACTGTTTTTCTGTTTTACAATCATAACTCGTAATTTCTCCAGCAGACTTGTATAAAAAAGCTAGCTATAATATTAAGCTGTTTTTAATATACTGTTTGAGCACTCGAACATGCTTTTATCATCGTTTTTTAACGTATAAAATCGAATAAAGAAGAAAAGTCTAAGTTTTAAATCGAGATGATGGAAGTTGGTTCAAGGAAAATCCATAAAAATGGGCATTTTGACCATATCCATTTTTTGAGTGTTTGATGGTTCCAAAAGTAACAGATATGTTGCTAAACATATCTTATGCAACATCTACACACCAATTCAGGTTAAAAAGCTCATATTTGTCATGCTTTTGTATGTACTAGAATTCAGGGCTTTAATGCTCATTTCTTACGAAAATGTCTTTAATGAGAGCTCTGAAAGTGATATATCATCCTATCCAATACTTGCTATACAGGAACTGTTTTCACTCACTAAAGACATAACTATTCGTACATGATCTCTTTCAATTTTTTTCTTTCTTTTTGCTTTAACTTTCTTCACAAGTAGAGAACATAAACGACTCGCATTACTAATGCTCATCATATAGTACCCTTCAAGGGATCCCCTTGTCGTTCGCCATCAATCACTAAATAAAGTCTTATCTAGGAAATCCACGCAAATGATTCTCACATGGCAAAGCTTCCATGTTGAACAAAGAACATAAAGCAATGCCTTGTGATGAACTTGCTAAAAAGGTGTCTCATACTCTTCTTAATGAGCCAGAAAGACTTGTCTTTGGTTGCCAACCATGGCTTGACGCGAAATTATTCAAAACACGTCTTTATTAGGCGCGTTATTCACGCGCCATGTGATTTCATTGGGTGACGAGTAAATAAATTTTTGTACGCTTTTTCTTTCTTTTTTCTCCTGTTCCCATTTTTTTCTATTTTCTTTTTTTTTTGTGTACAACAAAAAGTATAGTCTACTTGATGAGCACAGACTCAACAGACACTAGAAACGCTCTCGAGTAAGCTTTTGTTCTATCTTGGCATCTCATCTAAATAAATTTCCCTTTTTGCATAGTCCGCTTTCATCACTTGACAATATGGAATCAAGTGTATTAAACAAACTAGATTTAAACACAATGCAACAAGACAATCTTGCTTCAAAACGATACTCTTTATCCCAAGAGATCAAAGACAATTTCTATGCTATTCGTCATATCAATGAAGAAAATGAAAACACGGCACCTACAAAAAAGTCAACAAGAGGCCGAAAACGACTTACAGCAGACGCCAAAACAAATGAAAAGCCTCAAGAAAAACGCAAAAAGCAACGCAAAACAAGAGCAACACTCTATCAAACATGTTCTGGTGTTTGGCCTGATAGCCATCATTCCTTGGGCGATTTGAGTCATGATTACATCAAATCGCTTAGTCAACTTGTAAAAGTGCGGCTCAACCAAGCAAAGTTTAAAATGATGGCCAAACTAGACCACCATCATGAATTATTCAGTTTTTTAGCAGAGGAACTGGTTCCTCCTACACTACCTAAGAAACCTCATGTGATCCGTCTGTCTGGCAAACAAAACAAGACAGCCATGAGTGTGGTAGGCAATGGAAAAAACCTATTTGCTCGTAACAAATCACAACAGAAACGAAGACCTTCTGTGACCTATACAGAAGCGATCTTTGAACTCCCTTCTACTCCCATGGATCCTTATGGCCTGGCTATTTCTCCTTCAAGACAGACACCCAAGACATCCAAAGACCGTAAAAAGAGAACGCACAAAGTACCCAATACAAAGCCGAAGCGAATTACTACGCCCAAGAGAAGATCTGCGGCTGCTGACGTTATTCCTGTGACTTTATCTGACGGTACCTCTGTTTATGTATGTGAACCATGTAACAAACGATACAAGAACCGTAATGGTTTAGCTTATCATATGGAACGTTGTAAAAATACACCCAAAAACACAACTGAGAAAGAGGAAAGCAACAACAGTAGTAGTAGTAGTAGTAGTAGTAGTAGTCAATCAGACAGTCATCGCATCCAATGTAATTGTGGTCAAAACACAGATGACACAATGAACATGATTCAATGTGAAAAATGTCGCTTATGGCTTCATTCTGAATGCGTAGGTCTCTCTGAAGAAGAAGAAGACGCATTTTACTGTAGTAAATGCAAAGAACAATCTGAAGCCAACCAAGTAGGCAAAGATTTATTACAATGCTTACTTGAAGCACAGGCCAATGATCGATTACTTGAGAAAGAAAAGCCCAATGAGGATGATACAGGCAGTCAGCTCTTACAGGAATTCCTTAGTCAAACACCTTTAAATGAAGATGATGAACTGTTTAGTGTACATACAGCTGAAGAGCAGATCAACTCATCTCAACTCCATATCTGGGATGATTTCAATGTCAATTCGGGCTTTGACAAGAACAATGATCAATGGAAACTTATAGACGAAGAAGATCCATTCTCTACTAACTATGACACTGATTTACCCAGTTCTTCTTGGAATATGAGCCTGTTTAGTCAACCACCTTCACTGTTATTCTCAGATACCACACTCAATAGTACATTAGACGATAAACCATTGATGGAAGAACTCACACCAGACACTGCTCAGTGTGAATCAACTACACCTATCCAAGCCACTCCAGATGGCCTTTGGTTCCAATTTGCCAACTTTGATGATGATTATCAACAATGTGAATCTTCTTAAATAAAACAAACAAGCATTTATTAACCATACATTGCAGCAGGCGTACCATTTTCATTCTTTTTTGTCTTTGAAAGAGGAGGTTTTTGTGCTTCAGGATGTACAGCCAATTCATGAGGTACTTTGGATATGCTTGATTTACTCAACATTTGTCGAAGATCATACATGACTTCTGTATCATTGTTTGACAAGAAAGTAATAGCCACACCAGAATTACCAGCACGACCTGTACGACCAATACGATGTGTGTAATCTATAGAGATTAAGCCTTTAATCCAATATAGACATGCTTACCTTCAATTGATTTTGCCATATCATAATTCACAACAAGAGACACATTCTTAACATCAATACCACGACCAGCAACATCTGTAGCTACAAGATAGCCAGCAGAGCCGTTCTTTAATTGAGCAAGAGCCAATTCTCTACATCCATTAGTATTATGCGCTGTATTGTACTATCCTTACCTTTGTTCTTGAGATTTACCACCATGTAAAGTAACAGCATGATAACCAGCATTCTTGAGTGTTTTTGATAGTGTATCCACACCACGTCTTCGATTGACAAAGATAATAATAGGAGCAGGGAACTTGCCAGAATTGAGAATTTCCATAAGACGATTACTACAGACATGAAAGTAAGTATAGATTGGGACTTTGTGTCACTTACGTCTTTTTGCCTTCTTCATTGATCATTTCTACACGCTGTTCAACAGACTCTGTAGCCTGACCTGCTTGACCAATTGTGACTACTGCTTCTCTACGCAAGTATTTCTTGGCCAATCTCTCTACAGCAGGAGGCATTGTGGCTGAAAACATAGTGGTCTGTCTATATTTGCGATTCTGGCCCACTGTTTGATCATCTTCACCTTCAGGCTTCATGTTACTGACAGGCAAAGCATCCAAAATGAAATTGACATCTGCTTCCATACCCATATCAATCATACGATCTGCTTCATCCATTACGACATAAGTACATTGATTGAGCACAAGAATACGTCTATCCAAACAATCCTTTAAACGACCCGGTGTGGCAATAATGATTTCTGCACCATTACGCAAATTAAACGATTGCTCTTCAATCAAGTGCTAACAACTCATTAGTCTATCAAACCATCATTCATTGAATCTACTTACACCACCCACAATCGACACACAGTTAAATCCCATAGGTGTGGCAAACTTGAGTGTTTCTTCTTCAATCTGTTGTGCTAATTCACGGGTAGGAGCCATGATCAAGGCATAAGGGCCCTCTGCCATGTTGTCTTGTGTGATCTTGGGCAGATCAGAAATGTAGGTCAACAAGGGAATCACAAAGGAAGCAGTTTTACCAGAACCTGTTTCTGCAATACCAATAATATCTCTGTTTTGAATACCAATAGGAATTGCTTGTCTTTGAATAGGTGTGGGTTCCTTATAGCCTACTTGTTCAATGATCTTTAGCATTTTCTCAGGTAAACCAGATTCTGCCCAAGAACGGATAGGATGAGGAATTTGACCACCTTTGGTAGAGATGTTGAAATCTTCTTTAAAGATACGCCAATCTCTTTCTTTCATTTGATCCAAAGGCTTCTCTGACCAATGACGCTCATCCCATTTAGCTTTGGCCTCTTTGTTCAGCGACATTTGTTTGAGTGCCCTATTTATGATGAGTCTATGGCATACACAAAGTGGGAGGACTTACGTTGCTCTGTCAATTTCTTCAGATGTTCTACGTTCTTTCATAAGACGATCATAAAATTCAGATTGATGCTTCTTTTGTTCTTTCAAATCAATGCCTGCAATATGTCCACGACCAAACATTTGCGCACTGTGTTTGTTGGCATAAAGGGGATTAAAGTCATACGATGTATCTTCTCCTGCATCCCAATCAAACACAAATTTGCGTTCGTTCATTCTACGGATCTTTCTCTTTTTGCGTTCTCCACCGAAATAGCGTTCCTATTCTCAAATAAGTTCATGATAGAATCCTATTCATTACATACTCGAATGGCCTGCTTTTCTTTTTCCGTCAATGCTGCTTCTTCCTCTTCAAGGAACTTGTCGTAGTCTCGCTGTCTATCTCTTTTACCATGACTATAATCATTGCGTCGTCTATTGTTATCATAACGAGAACGAGAACTGTCTTGAATACGTCTGTATTCATCTTCTGCTGCTAAATCAAAGTTTTCTCTTGCCTTACGTTCTTCTGATTGTTTCTTTCGGATCTGTTCTACTTCTTGTTGTCGTTTCTCCAGTGCTAATTTAGCACGTTCTTCTTTTGTCAAGAATTTAGGCTATAGTAGGGTGAGTTGCATAGATTGAAAAAAAAAGGGGGTGTCTTACTTTTTCAGTCAATTTGCTTTCTTCTTCCTTTTTTTTAATCAGTTCTTCAATAGAGATAGGCACTCGCTTCTTGGCTGGTTCAGGAGAAGCCATGTTTGTGTCTTGTTCAACTTGTTCTGGCTCGCGTCTTCTTTCGTCACGGTCCTTTCTAGAAGAACGACTATCTTCATAGCGTCTACTATCTCGTTTATCGTAATACCTATCGTCACTTCTTCTTATAGGTGAACGGTCGTAATAATGAGACATGGTAATATCAAAGAAAGAAAAAGAAAAACAAGAGAAAAATTTAGTTTTTAAAAGTTGCTACGGAGTTTCATTGTGATACAACTGGATCCAATGCTTTCTTTTTTTTTTATTGTCGAGAAAGTAGAATTTAGATTTCTTCTTCTTCCCCCCCCCTCCCCTTTAGAAAATGTCAGCGACAGAAACAATCACTATGTCTGCTCAAAGCACACATAGTATTAAAGAAGATTCAGATAATGCCAGCTCAAAAGATCAGCCTCGTTTCTACCAACGATGCTTATCGACTGCCTACGCTATCTTGACTCGTTACTTTTTCTTATTTGGGTTGGGTGTTGTGATTGGGTTAGCCTGGGCCTTTCCAAGTGTAGGCAAATCCAATGGTGATATTAAAGCACAATACACTGTTAAATGGGGAGCAGTCATTGTGATTTTTTTACTTTCGGGCCTTGGTCTTGAAGTCAGTGTGATGTTGAGAACAATGTTGCGCTGGCGACTTCATTTGGTCGTACAAGTCATCAGTTTTATTGTATTGCCCTTTGTTATGTATGGTGTGGTTCGTTTCTTTGTATGCGTCCATGCTGATTTGGATCCTACTGTCTATAAAGGTTGGATAATTGCCTTATCTACAAGTACGACAGTGTCTTCAAATGCAGTCATGACTCGAAATGCGAATGGCAACGATGGAGCAGGTAAGTAGGGCCGAGATGGATTGTAGCTTATGATTTAGCTGTATTGAATGCTGCTCTGGGCAATATCTTGGGTATTTTTATTTCGCCCGCACTTATGACAGGTAAGAAAGAATCACAGCTCATTTGGTGTCTTATGTATTAGCTTTTCAAAACGATCCCATTGTGTTTGAACCTGGCACAGACCGTGGTAATCCCGATTATCTAAGTATTTTGAAGAATTTAGGTTGTACTGTACTAGCTCCACTAGTGGTAGGTCAAGTCTTGCGCTACTGGTTTCCTGCCCGGGTCAAGTATTTAGCGGCAAAATGCAAGTTTCCGATCATCAACACATTAGCCCTCTTGGCACTTGTCTGGTCCGTCTTTTCCGATAGTCGGGCAAGTGATGCATTCTCAAACACAGGAGGTGTGGATATTGTAGCGATCATCTTTGTCGATATCGCCATGTATCTCTTTGGCTGTAGTATCTGTCTGTTTGTAGCTCGCTTACCTTGGCCTACTCGCTATCGAAAAGAACCTATATGGGTCACTCGTTGGCGATTCTCTCGAAAAGATGCTGTTGCCATCATGGTAAGCGGTGCATATGTGGAATCATAAGCTCATAGGCTATAGTATTGTGGTGCTACAAAAACAGTCTCGATGGGTATTCCATTGATCAATGTTTTATATGCACAAAGTAGTTATGGTATCATGGGTGTCTTGTCTCTTCCTTTGTTGATGTATCATATATTTCAGTAAGTATTTTTTTTAAGAAATTATTTAATGCTTTACAAGACTTGTTATTGGTAATCTTCAGGTGCCATTGTTAAAGAAATGGATTGAAGAAGAAAATGAGATTACACAAACAACTGAGCAAGTCTTGCCAAGAAATTCAAGTGACTGTACACCATCGTCTACTATGCGAAGAAGAGAATAAATTGTATATATATATATATATATAAAGGTCCAGCCTGGTTATTATTATTGTTATTGTTATTGTTATTATTTTACTTTTGTTGATCAGAATGCATAAAAGTTGGAACTATAGAGTCCATCATCAGGTTATTTGTGCTGTTAAAAGGTGGTGATGTGAAATTGAAATCAGTAAAAGAAGTAGAATGAGGTGGAGGAGGAGGAGGAGCTGGAGAATAGAATGGTACAGAGGAAGTGTTAAAGGATGGTTGTAAGGGAACCTGCCCTAGCATTGTGTTCGCAATGGCTTGTTCATAAGGTGGAGGAAGAGGCTGCTGTAATTGAGGTGGTAATTGAGGTGGTAATTGAGGCGGTAATTGAGGTGGTAATTGAGGTGGTAATTGAGGTGGTAGTAGAATATGTGCTGTTTCTATACTTTCGTGTGTCTTTTCATGTTTTTTAAGTGATCTGGCGTGATAATAAGCTTTTCCGCAACTTTTGAATTTACATACAAAGGGCCGTACATTTGAATGTGTCTTGATATGTGTTGTCAGTGAATCAGGACGAGAGAATTTTTTGTTACAATCTAGTATGTGTCAATCGAATGAAGAGAGTAAATATCACTTACCTGGCTTTGGACATGCAAAAGGCCGTTCGCCTGTATGTGTTCGAAGATGATTGTGCATCTTGTGGCGCTTTGTAAATGGCTTGTTAATTCTTGGGCACTTTTCCCATTCACAACGGTAGGTAGGCTATACATGTGTTGAGCAAAGAAGCATAAACATTTCTCTTTCTTACCTTGCCGCCACCTACATGTGTATCTGAAATATGAGTAGTTAGGTTTTGTAGATCATCAAATATTTCGCCACAACCAGCCCATAAACACGTTCGCGTTACTTCAGGTATGAATTCTTCTTCTAATTCTTCCTCCAGTTCTTCTTCAGCATGCTCAGACGATGTCGCGTCTTCTGTTGTTGGCTGTTTCTCTTTCTCGAGCACGACAAGTCTTGCAATCAATTCCTCCCGGGACATCCCTTGGAACTGCTTTGGATCTACTGTTTTTGTATCATGATGTAATAAAGTCGAATTATTGTGTGTAACTGTGTTGATGAATGGCTGGTGATTTATCTCGGCAGCCATGGTTTCATCATAAATAAAAATAGCAGCTTGTTGTTGTTGTTGTTGATCAACAGCTGGTGTTGCCAAGCTTTCATTGCTTGGGAGAGGATGAAACTCGACATGTAACATATTCTGTTCTATTAATCTCTAGAAAAATAAACTTTGTTCTTACATTAAAATTATTCATGAGATTCAATGAATTATCATTCTGTGGAAACACATCATGCGGAATATTGATTGAACCTAGATGGCTTGCATTGTAAAGTTGTTGTTGCTCAGGCACAGAGCAAGGTGGAGAAGGCATAGAGGATTGTGTTATTGTTTGAGGTAAATAGTTTACAGCCAATATATCATCTTTTAGCTCAAATGGTGGGGTAAAAGAAGCTTGTTTATTACTTGATAGATCTACAAAGTTCATGTTGAGTTTGAATGAGAAAGAAGAAGAAAAAAAGAGAGAGAGAGAAAAGAAAAGAAAAGAAAAAGAAATAGGTACCATTTTTTAATAATCAGATTTTTACAATGGCCAATGAAAACCAAATTGCTTGCTCGAGTCACAGTTTTAAAAGTCCTTTTTAACAAATGGTCAGTTTATCTGCGTGATTGCTTACAGTCACACGAATGTATATAAACATTGATGGGTCTTTTTGTTTGTTTGAAAGGAAATATACCATCTTTGGTTTTTTATGAAAATGATGGTGATTGGTGACTCTTTATTGCCATGCGCAGTCTAGTTTAACAAAAAAAGAAAAAACGCGACAAATAAAGTCGCGTATCTTTTTCTCTTTTTTGTATATCAGCGCGCTCATTGAAAAATTCGTCTAAGGGACAACTTCTAGAACTACGCTTTTCTCTCTCTCTCTCTTTTCTTCACTTTCATATGCTTCTCAAGTCTAAACCTCCTACCCTTCCTACTCGCCGTTCTATTCGTGAAAAATCGTCTCGAGTTGTTGTTCAGAAATACATTGATATCAGTGACGAAGAAGAACTCTCTAGCGAAGAAGAACAAGACTTTCAACCTAAAAAATCCGCAGTGCCAAAGAAACGTACAATAGCACATACAGACAACGAGAGCGACTCTGACTTTAGCGATAAAGAAACGACTTATGATAAGCATATTCACAAAAAGCCTAGACCTGCTTTAAGGAATACTGCCAATGCACCTGCTAAAGCACTTGTTCCTTCTCGTCACAACAAAAACTTTGATGCATTGTCTATACTCCATAAGAAATTCAAAGTACCTACTATGATACCTAAAACAGATCAAAAGAATAAATCTGTTGTTGTAGAACAAGACAGCAACTTTGGAGAACGAAAAACACTAGGCATTCGACGAAGACCAGGTCATCTTATGAGAGCATTGTACGATCATACGGCTGAGGGTGCTATTGTGCTTTGGGATCCTGATCATCAACCTGTCAAAGAAGAATTAAAAATCACAACAGATCATCCCCCAGCCAAAAAGAAAGAAAAGTCTTTATCTGAAATCTTGGGTCTTAAAAAAGAAGAAAAGAAGTTGGTTCATGTTGTCGTTGATCCTACTCTAACCCGAGTGCTTCGCCCACATCAAGTAGAAGGTGTCAAATTTTTATATGAATGTACAACAGGACAAGTGCATCCTTCTGCCTTTGGATGTATTATGGCTGATGAAATGGGTCTGGGAAAGACACTGCAATGTATCACACTTGTCTGGACTTTACTTCAACAATCAGGCGAATTAGGTAAACCCACCATTCATAAAGCTATCATTACTTGTCCTTCTAGCCTTGTTAGAAACTGGGCAAATGAATTTGGTATGTAAAGTACTTTGGAGATCGCGCATACTCATCATTTCCATTAGTAAAATGGCTTGGTGAATCGCGTGTACAGCCCTTAGTCATGGACAAGGCCAATGCAAGTAGCAAGGAAAAAATTTCGGAAATCAAGCGATGGGGAGCAAAGCAAGGCAAGATGCCCAATCCAATTCTGATTATTTCTTATGAAAGCTTAAGAGCCTACAGCAAATACTTGAACAAATCACCCATTGGTCTTTTATTATGTGACGAAGGCCATCGTTTAAAGAACTCTGGCAAGTAGAAACACATATTGTATTATCATACTTACTTTCTATTTAGAATCAAAACTCTTTCAAGAACTCAACAGTCTTCCAGTCAACAGAAGAGTGATTCTCTCGGGTACCCCTATCCAAGTAAGTTTCCCTTTAATAGTCTATGCAAAACATATTCATCTTTTTTTAAAAAAAAAAATTAGAATGATCTTAGTGAATATTATTCTTTACTTGATTTCGCTAATCCTGGTTTACTTGGTACACCTAACGAATTTAGAAGAAATTATGAAAATCCTATCCTTAGAGGTAGAGATGCAGATGCATCAGAAAAGGAACGAGAAATCAGTGATGAAAAAGTAGCCGAGTTCTGGAAGATTGTATCCAAATTCACAATTCGTCGAACCAATGATATCCTTACTAAATACTGTAAGTTGACGATGGGTGTCTATATGTATTAATACGTTCCTTTAGTACCTGTTAAATACGAACATGTTGTGTTTTGTAAGTTATCTCCTTTGCAAGAAGCATTGTATAATGTCTTTTTGACTTCACCTTCTATCAAGACATTGTTACGTGGTGAAGGTAGTCAACCACTGAAGGTAACTTTGATTGTCTTTTGATGATATTCTTATTTTGTTTTATATGTAGGCTATTACTTTATTGAAAAAGCTTTGTAATCACCCTAAACTCTTGAATTTGCCCGAAGACCTTGACGGTTGTGAATCAATCTTGCCCTCAGATTACAATGCTCAAAACAAATTGGATGCTTCTTACTCTGGCAAATTTGTTGTTCTTGCTCGGTAAGTTGAAAACCAATTGACTATGCTTAACATAAACCCTAGTATGTTGGCCAAGATCAAAAAAGAAACAAAAGACAAGATTGTTTTAATCAGCAACTATACACAAACATTGGATCTATTTGAATCCTTTTGTAAGCAACAACAGTAGGTTATCCCTCCATAAAGCATCTATGTGCGTATTGACCTATGTCTCTAGATATGGTTTTGTTCGATTGGATGGATCCATGACAACACCAAAGAGACAAAAACTAGTTGATCGTTTCAATGATCCTGAAGGTGATGAATTTGTGTTCTTATTGAGTAGTAAAGCAGGTGGTTGTGGTCTTAACTTGATTGGTGCTAATCGCCTCGTCTTGTTTGACCCTGATTGGAATCCTGCTGCTGATCAACAAGCTTTAGCGCGTGTCTGGAGAGATGGGCAAAAGAAAGACTGCTATATCTATCGTTTCATTGCCTCGGGCACCATTGAAGAAAAGATATTTCAGCGTCAATCTCATAAACAATCCTTGTCTAACTGTGTTGTGGATGAAGCGACAGACATGGAAAGACATTTCTCTGTGGCAGACATGCGTCAATTGTTTGCTCTCCATACCAAGAGTGAATCAGAAACACACGATACATTCAAATGCAAGCGTTGTATTCAAGGTAAACAACATTCGCCTGCTGAATCCATGAATTATGGTGACTCAAGCACGTAAGTAATATACTATCATAAGATGGCATCTAACACATCTACCTAGTTGGAATCATTATGATAAAGACTTAATTCGCTTGCCAGATCCAATGCTGTTACCAGAAGCACGTAAAGGAATTGTGTCTTATGTATTTCAATATATTTCACATATCAAATAAAAGTATTAAAAGGGCCAAGTAGCCTCTGGCTCATTCTGATAGCGATCAAAATGATCTCTAAAATAAGTCCAGCTAGATACACTCTTGGCTTGAGGATCATATTCAGGTGCATGAGCATAATTTTGTAGGGAACAAATCTCTTTAGCCAAGAAAGGATACAAGTCTTCTGCTGTGGAACCTTGAGGCAACTTATAACCAGTACAATGATAGACTAAATAACCTTGTTTGCCGCCCATTTTCATGAACGGAGCAAATCTAGAGATACGTGACCAATTGACGTCGACACGGTCTAGTGTTTCTGCTTGGTCCAAATCCTCTGTTGTGCATTTAAATGTAAACAATTCGCCCGCTGAATCATGGTTTAGTTGTTGGATAGACACATTCTTGTTTGAATTTACCTTCATACATGCGATTAGCATCATAAACATCAAATTTATGGTCTTCGGTATAGAGTGGATTAGGATAAAAGAGAGGAATCTAGATAATTGTCGATAGATCATTTTCATGTATTCACTTACCTCGGATAAAATAGCCGATGTGCCACCAGATGGATTATGGCGCACTTCAAGTGGGATAGCAGCAGGCAAAGGCATTTGAACTGGATCGTTGGCAATATGTATCACTGTAGTTGACTATGGTTAGAGGTATCAAAGAGACATTGTGATTTACCTGGCAACTTCTTTTCGCCTGTCCATGGATTATCCCAAGTCTTTAGTTTCTCGCCTGTTTTAGGATCAAGATAATAAGTTAATTCTCGACCAGCAATCAACAGTTTATCGTTTTCTATTCTTGCTTTGGAAACGTTCATGCCAACACATTTGAAGATGGTCTTGGGTGCTTCTCCGGGTACAAATGCACTATGAAGCATGAACTGACTTGTTTACTACTTGTTTACTTACAGAACAGAACCTTCCCATTGAAAGAATGTGTCTGCAGTAGGATCATTTGCATATCTCACTCTAATAAGGTCTTTGGCAGTGTATTCTATAAATGAATTAAATATTGTTCCTTGACCATGTTACTTTTACTTTTTGTCATGATAAAAGGCGGGAAGAAATGGATATGTGCGCGTTTCTTTTTTATTGACGAAATTAAACTCCAGATATGTTATTCTTTTTTTTTTTTTGAATAAGCGTAAAAAGGAAGCTAACATTTTATGAAAAAGAAAAAAGATCATGTTCACTTTATAACGATAAACAAGTTCGTTTATCAAACAAAAGAAAAACCAATAACCAAATACATTACAGAATGAAAAGAAAAGAGAGATAAAGCTCATAGCAATTGTATTTTTGAAATCTATACATTTATGCAGAGTTAGAAATAAGAAAGATTTAGTTATTTGTTAAAGCGTTGTTCTTATCAGGCTTATTAAGCAAGTCATCTAAGTCATGATGATGTTCCACAGCAGAAAGAGTTACTAGATAGTCATTTGAGCACCTGTTTCTTTGTTGTTTTTATTACCTTCATTTTGCTCAGTTTGCTCATTTTGCTCATTTTGTTCACTGTGTGTATCTATACATATGTTAATACTATCTGGTTTATCTTTTTTTTTTTTTTTTTACCTTGATTTAATGCAAGTTGTCTAGCAAAATCTTCATCTGATCTCAATTGTTCTTTGGGTGTAGAGGTTGTATGTCTGGGTACATTTAACGTGGGATCACTTCCATACAAATCTACGTCATTGTTATCAGCAAGTCTTGTATTGTTCCTATTGGGTTCTCTAGGTTGCTCAGAAGTGCTTGCCATAAATTGATTGTAAAGATTCATGATCTTATTCTTTGCAGCTAATTTGTGTATTGAGTACATTTGCTAAGAAATAAGTCCCGTTACCTGTGCCCGCCTCAATGACCTTTTCTTTGATCATAGGTAGTTCTTCTATATATATATATATACTAGTGAGATATGCAAAATTTAGTCCTCACTCTTACCTTGAAAGTTGAATAAGGGTTCATTGTCTCTATTAACATTGTTGTTTTGAGGATAATGAGCATCTCCTTCACGAGCCAACTGTCTTGCATAGGCTTCGTCCTGTTGTAACTGGCTTGCGTTGTCTACTTGTCCTGGCTCTGGCTTGTAAGAGGGGTCCGACATACCAAGCAATACTTCAAAAGCACTATCCAAGTTGCCTCCTTGGCTATCTAGAATAGTTTGAATAATTTCAATATCCAAGTCTGGAAAGGCGTCTTTCAATGTCTTGAGAGGACCTGATAATTCAGGAGCAGATGCTGGTGCTTGTTCGTTGTGTGTGATTTCCTGTTGTTCCTGTGTAGACTGCATCAAGTCTTCAGTAGGTTTAGTTTGAGGTTCAGACATGGCGATTAGAGAAAAAGAGGTGCTTCTTTTATGTGCAATGTTCGTTTTCCTCAGAATTAAATTCCTTTTTGTCTCCGATCAATGCTCGCTTTTTATTGGTTCAATGTTCGTACTTGTATCATCTAGTGTTCGCTTTGCTATTGCCAAACGCTGCATGTACGTTTTCTAATAGACATACATAGATAGTCGTTGACCTTCTTAGTAGAATGACTAAAGATCTGTTTTAAGAATAAATAGCAGAACAAAAGATGAGCTTGTCCGTTTTGAAGTGCAGATATAGGTATACAAGATCAAAACATTTATTTCTTCTGCTTCTTGGTGGCACAGAACAGGATATAAGAATCGTCAGATAACCAATGTAAAGGTAGAGAGTAAACAGGGACCTTCCAAACTAGTCTAAATAGATACAATGGCAACTTCAAGAGCAATGTCACTTAAACATATTAAATGTGCAAGCACTTTAGGAAGGAGGGAAATTTGATCCTAATCCTTAAGGATCTTTACATTGGCAACAATCATCACTCTTTAAACCTTAGGAGAGGTAAATTCCATGATATTCGTATGTAAATTATGATCTTAATAATGCACTTCAATTTGTTCATAGTAAGTTTCACTTGTCTACCAAGATTTATTAAGTCAGATTCAACGTAAGAGTTTTGATCAGATTGCTTGAATTCAACAATTAACACAATACGCTTCATACTACCGAAAAGGCTGTAAACCTGGAGACCTGGTTATACGCTTCGGGGGTTGTCGCTTTCCATTTGGCTATTGACCTAATTCATGTTCAGTAAGGGATCAGAAGAAAAAGAAAGCAGACGACTGTAATGGTAAAAAATGATTATAGATATAGCCATCTTTGATGGTTTAGTCGCATGGGCTATAGATGAACAGCAGGAGAACGAACGCTAAATATGTATTTTCAAGACATGCTCTGATTCACAAGCATTATTTAACATTTTGGCCCATAAAGTCAAAGAGAAAAGCTAGCTGTGAGGAGATGATTTCTCTATGTTTACACACCAATCGTAGCTTTGAGTATCCCTTTTGGGATACTATGCTTCAAATGAAAGTGATAGTTTTAGAGTATTATTTGCAGCAATAGTGAAATACTTGCTGAAAGAAGAGACATTATTTCCATCAAATAGATAGATGTCATTCAAGACAAGAAGGCGTATATCCTATAGTTTGGTACGATTTACCATGGCCATCATTTGAAACTTCATGCTTTTTAATTTAAGACAAAGAAAGGCTCTCTAAGTATTTATCTATATAACCACTGCACCATTTTTCTTACACGCTTTCTATCGCCTTCTTAAGTGATAGTTTTAAGAAAGGACTTCATTCGCTGTATAAAACGACAAGTCATGCGTAAATGTATTGATTTTGAGTAGATAGCAAGTAACTGTGAGCATTTCATATAGAAAAAAAGTTTATATATAAAAGATACTTTATCAATTGACTACATTTGAAACAATAAACAGATTTATTATGCATATAAAGATATCATAAATCCTGTTGATGCACGTAACAATGCTCTGACTACCTACAACCAATTTTTGTTAACATCCATGGCACCCTTAGAGAAGATTTGTATCAAAAAAAGTGGCTTGTAAAATTTGACCATTTTTACATCGGATCCAAAGGGAACTAGACATGAAAAAAGCTCGATTTGACAACCCCTTGAGCCTCTTTTTGATGCTACAAGACAAGAAATAGAGCGATTGACAAGCTTAGATACTCAAAATGTGTGTCAAAAGCTTTAGTTTCTCGCAAGTGTGTTTGCTTGACAGTTGTGCTATGAAAATGACATGATAGGAATGAAAAAACTCTGAAATATTTGTGTATATTTTATCAAAACTTTAGCAGCAATTCTACTGTTTTTATTACATTAATGAATGAAGAAAGCAATAATCTGCAACTTTTGTTGCTTCACCAAAGCCAAATAACTACGTCTTTATGCATTTCTCAGAAAAGGCTACACTTTTTTTTAAAGATTTTATTTGCCGCACGTATTAGTGCTCTTGGGAGGGACCCACTAAAAGAGGTGCTCGACAGTTATTTATTGTAAGAAAATATAAAGAAAAACAAAATTGGTACGATAGTACGAAAGTAGAAGAATATGAAAAGGAAAGAAGAGTAGCTATTGCGAGAAAAGACCTCTTAAGATGAAAGGTCATTTTCAGCAGCTATACGCTTAATTTGATAGTGAGTGCTGTGAAGAACAGAGAGATAATGGAATGATTGGTTCTGCATGGTATGGGCCCAATGGGCCTTCCAGTTCTCAGAGAGACCGAAAAGCTATACTTTCGATGCAACAGGATGAAGAATTGGGATTTCTTTTATTTCAATCTCCACCTACAGTTCTGCATATCCCATGTTCATTTAACCCACGTTTACATCACAAAACGTCTGTATTCCTTCCCTTACATGTTCTTTGGCGCTCATAATAGTATATTGTACCTTTTAGAAGTCCTCTACCAATAGATATTATAGGACATCTAGAGCGAAAACGCTCGAAACACAGCTTAAATATGCCAATCTTTGATGGGACATTGCTCGACAACCCATTTTTTTTTTTTTTTTTTTTTTTTTTTTTTTTTGCTTAAAGCATGTTCTCTTAAGCCAAGGAATCAAATCACATGATTGATTTGACTGTTTTGTAAAATATATTTTTTCATCCAGACTGACCCTGATGTAGGTTTGATCCAACCAAAATGAGATGAGATCGCATCTAGATACTTATGACAGAAAGAAAGCGAGTTTACTAAGTCGAATAAGGCGATCCAACCTGAACATTGCCTTCAAAGTTCGTTGTACGCTATAACTAATAAGAAGATGGCCTTTTTATCACATTTCATTTACTAAATGAGTACTTTCCTAAGCGCCATTTGATTTGCATAGCATAAGCAAGCAAATTACACTGTAACGCTTGGCGCCTCTGAGATCAAAAAGAACAGTTCTGGATATGCTTGTAGAAACAGCCATTTATTCTCATTTTTTAAAAGAACCAAGCTAGCATTGACATGTAAGATACGTTTTTTAAGGTTAGCAATCACCAAGAAGCATACTGAAATTAGTTAAACTTGAAAATATTGTCAAGCCTATTTTGCCTTATGATACCCTTACGATTTGGCATCAAAAATAGAAAATCATTTATAGCTCATCACGCAAGTAACTTTTTCTATGACAACCTATGGTAAAAATAGATTATCTAACATATGTAAGCACATTCCAAATGCTATATCAAAAATAATTCTACAAAAAGTGCACATGACGCGCGTAAAGTAATATGAGCTATTTTGCGCTTTAGATCACAAATCATCATAGTTAATAGCGCATTTATGGGCTCTAAGCACAAAAATGAACTACTTTACTTAAGGTACCAAGTTAATTTGGCCTCATCTTACTATATTTCTAGACCATTTCTTGTTTTTTGACCCAAATGCAGCCCTAGAGAGACTTGAAACCCCTTCAGAATCAAAAAATGCTATAAAAGTAATTTCTAGATAGCCAATGTATTGTAGATATGTGACAAGATTGTCATACTCAAGGACTAAAATTAGAGTCTTTTTGGCTGTAAAAAAGCGGAATTTTTTTTTATTCGATAAGAGCTGAAAATTAAAAACAAACAGCCATCCAAAGAGACACACAAACATTAAGGGACTCAAGTTAACGGCTCTAATGTATTTTAACGGTGTCTGAAGCCCATTAAGCAGAATAAGAGCATGGCATTATAAGCACTTTAAAATATGTAATATCAAGGTACTCAAAAGGAACATATCCTGCTGAATGACAGTATCTTTGATCCAAATTCATGTTACATATAATCCCACACTACACGAGATTTGTAAATTATCTATTTTGAGTAAAATTATCCGCTTTCTTGGCTGGAGTTATTTTTAGTATGTTTATTATTATTTTACCAAGTAGCCTGGTTATCATGGCTATTACGATGGTTAAACAACCATTCTAAATCTTCTTTGGTATCAGTATGAGTAGTACTAGCTTCAGAATCAGCAGCAGAAGTTGGAAGTTGAATAATTTTGTTGGAAACAAGCTTGAAGAAGGCATCCCATTGTTCAGCTGTAGTAAGACTAGAGGCAAGAGTATTCAGTTCAGAGATTTGTTCGGAAGCAGAAGGGTAATCGGAGGTCAATTGTGTAGTGAAGGATTCCCATTGACTTTTGAGTTCATCAACAGAATCTGTGCTGCTTCTAAGACTTTCGATTTCAGAGGCAATGTCAGTATTAGGATCAGAAGAAGACTCATCATCTTCTGTTTGCTGTTGATCATTAGTGTCAGCATTTCTATGAGAAGTAAGGAATTCCAATTCGTGATAAACACTGTTTTCATGAGTGTTACTGATAGAGGAACTAGAAGTAGAGTTGTCAATGTAGTTGTTATCATTAGTGTAATCACCATCAACCACACGAAGACAACCGTAACCTGATCTTCCGGTATTACAGTCTTCCTAAATATGGATGTTAGTTATTTTTAAATCTGAGTTTGATGATTTTTTAGACTTACCTTTTCTTGGCAACAACGAATACAGAATCTTTGAATATCAGGTTCAATCAAGTTGACAAAATAGTTGTAGCCCAAACATTGAGCAGATACAGGCTTGCCATTATCATGGTTATCGTATTGTCCACCACCGTCAGTTTCGCCCAAGTCATATTTTGTACGATCAAAGAAGCCTGTGATTTGAACATAATTGCTCTGTTTCAAATAATGGGCAGTAGTAATAAAACCTGTGTTTACGTCAGTTATCATGTTGCAAATACTATAGCTTTACCTTCAGGGAATTGAGTAGCGTTCTTGACAAGGCTAGTGTTGGAACAGAAAGGAATACCATTGTTTTCATTGATAGCAACCTCGAGTCCAGGTTGAGGAGGAAGGAAAATACAGAAATCTTGTTGACTCTCGATAGTGGTTAAAGGATAATAGTCATTTGAGGTAATAACATCTGCTTGAACAAACGAAGAGGCAATAGCAAGAGCGCTTGCCATGAAGAGGCTAATAGAAAGTTGCATTTTAAAACGAATGGAAAGAGTAAAGAAAAGTAAGTTATATTTTTTTTTTTTTTTTTTTTTTGCTTTTTTAAGGTCTAGTAATTAAATACAAGTTACACAAACTATTAGAGGATTGAAAATAGCAACAAAAACGAGGTAGGACTGCACTCCGAATTGCTTAATGCAGAAAACAAGCCCAACAGAGCATTTTTATTTTTGAGCCACCCAACTGGCTTCTATTTTTGGTCTCTCTTTTTCGGATAGTTTTTCTTTTGTAAGAGAAATGACAAAGATAGTAGACAAAGCAATATGGAGCATTGGACCTGTATTTATAGCCATTGCTGTCTTACTACTTGATATGTGTGTACTTGCATTCTATCTTGTCGTGTTCCCATATCACCACGCTTCTGCTTGGACAAATGGTTCCTTAGCAAGTCAAATATATACTTTGCTTACTCTTCTCTTTACTCTCTATGTTGTATACTGTATTCACTTCCATTATTATATGGCTATTAAAACATCACCTGGAGACATGGAAGAATATAGAAAGACAGACAATCAAGATGCTGTAGAGGTAATCAGCCCTTGTTTAAAGTTTAGTCCTAATCTACTCAATCTTAGAACACTTCTATGAGAACAATGTTACTTGAGATGGAGGAACAATCACAGTTTCCAAAGACGTGTAAAAAATGCAAGTATGCAAGCACTTTTATAAGTCTTACTCATTATCCTGTATAGGTCATTTGCCTAAGCCTGAAAGAGCACACCATTGCAGTGTTTGTAACACTTGCATCTTAAGATTTGATCATCACTGTAAAGTACCATGTTTGCCTTGTAGCTTATTAATCATTCTATGTTTTAGGTCCTTGGATTCACAATTGCGTTGGTCATTTCAATCATCGTTATTTTGTACTTTTCATGACGTATCTTGTATTTGCTGCAGCGTATTATGTTGCTTTTGCTTGGAGACCATTTATGATCTGCTTAGATTTTACGCAGTTAGATGTAAGGATGGCTTTAACTTCTTCCTCCCCCCTCCTCCCTTCACATATTGACTGTTTTAGTGGCCCTATTATTTCCCTCGACCTTTATTGGCATTTTCTTTTATTCTTGCCATTTGTATGGGATTAGCTATTGGTGCATTGTGTTTATGGCATTACTATCTTGTAAGATATATGCACATAATAGAACTTCAACTTAACATTAGATTGTTCTATAGATTTTAACAGCCCAAACAACTGTAGAGTTCTATAATAACTATTATGACAAAAGTGTCTGCAAATCTCAGGGTGAAGTCTTTGTTAACATGTACAATTTCGGTCCTGTTGAAAACTTTAAGCGTTTCTTTAATATTGGTGATCAATAGTAGGTCTTCAAGTAACATTTTCGTGTACTCATACCATGTTAGTTCTTGGTACACTTTCTTTTGCCCTATACCTATACCACCTAGAGTAAGATATTGATATGTTGACAAATGCATGTGAAAACTAACCATATGTAGGGAAGTGGACGTGTATTTGAAAAATGTCAAGAATTTTACTTGTTACCTGAATCAAGACAAAGGGCTCATGTAGTATATCAACAAGAAAGTCAAGAGATTGAAGATCTTAAAGATGCTTAATATTGTAAAATCAACCTGTTTATATAATATGCTTTCTCTCTTTTTCTTTTGTAACGTATAACTTATGCACTATCAAATGTAAATGAAATCCGAGAAAAGCCTTTGTTTACATGTAAGGAGAAGGAGAAAGAGCAAGATTTGATCTATACGTATGCAAATATATGTATCTATAAATAAAACAAATGTATATGTATGGTATTATTTTGCAACAAGTTTACGTAAAGAAATGACAAGCCAGCTATTACTAAAAATCTTCTTCTTTGTTATTGGAGTGGGAGGAGGAGGAGGAGGAACAGAAGTATCAATGGCGGTCTTTTTTCGCTTATTGTTCTCGGAAGAAGTGTGTTGAGATGGTGTTGATTTTGGGCGCTGCTTTCGTTTGGGTTGCTTAGACTGTAAAAGCCGATGTCGGCGACGTTCTGCTTTTGGATCTGCTATAATCAGACTAGACATTCGGGGAAACTCTGAACTTGAAAGAGGCTTATTGTCTCTTTCGTCGTACGAAATAGTGATTGAACTTGAAAGACGGCTCATTGTTCGCTTTGGTCGCTCCACATTGCTGATAGAAGAGGTAGTCATCAACATAGGAGAAGAATGGTTACAATAGCCCTTTTTATAGGCCAAGAGAGCAAGTGGGATATGATCATCTTCTACAATCGTACTTGAATGTTTCTTTTTGTTGGAGTGGGATGCAACATCTTGAGCAAAAGATACTTTTTTTGTAGGCACGGCATCATTATGGTAGCTGTGTGATTTTGTTAGAGTACGGTGCTTATTGTTCTTTTCGTCCATCATAATAAAAAGAAAAAATGAATGATTAAACAAAAGAGAGACAAGACATTCTTTTTTAAAATCTGCTTATGACTATAATTGTAAAGAGTCAGTTGATTGCCATTTTCAAGCTGCGTGCATGTCAACAGACAAAGGATTTCATTGGCTAATATTAAAGAGAGGGAAAGCATATTTATTTTTGTGTGTGTGTGTGTGCATAAGTTGAAAAAAGAAAAGAGAAAGGTATAGTTTAACAAGCATAAAAAGATGAACATAATTAATATTAAATCATGCCATTCTTTTGGCATCCATTCTACGCAACACTTCTTGTAATTCAGACTCTGGGATCACAGGGCCAGAACCAGAGCACTTAGCCTTCTTTTTCAGTTCTTCACATAGTTTATCTACATCGAATTCATCGAAATTAGGATGTTGGGATAGCCGTTCCCAGATTTGAGAGTAAGGAATCATTTTTAAGCCAGAGTGAACAATGGGGTCTACAGCATGGTCAAATCGCTTGGTTTCTCTTTCAGCAAAACTGACTTCTTCTTCGTCTTCAATGGTATGATCATCATCTGTAGTATCAATGCTACTGGATTGATGTTTTGATGGACTACTGTAACGATGAAGGGAGTCAAACAATGGGTCATACACAGAGCGTCGTTCAGTAGATGATGTCAAGGCAGAACTAGTGGAATAATAATCTTGATCAGGAGAAGGTTTTCTATCTAATATTGAGGGAGGAGGAGAATCGCGTCTAATGATTGGCTTTGATGAGGGAACGTCAAGACCAGCTTCACGTAACTTGCTTAGGGAAACATCAAAAGCAATGGCAGCACCTTTTAGTGTATATATTTCAGCTTCCATTTTCTTGACAAGCGCCTTGAGTGATTCATTTTCTTGTGTTACGCGAGCCATATTTTCATGGTGCTTCTTGTCCATATCACGAATTTTGAGTTGGAGTTCCTTTACATATCGCTCTTTGCGCTCTCGAAAGGCTCTTTGGGCAGCTCGATTTTGCTCCTTACGTCTTTGTTTTTGATCTCCTCCCTATGAGAAATTTAAGTCGATGTTTTTTAAGAATGTGTTGCTTACTTGGAGACCAGAAGATTCTAATAGTGTATCATTACGTCTGTTTGTCATACTCGCGCCTTCTATAGAAGTTGTTAGATAAAGACATGTTTTCTTTGCTTTTTTTTTTTTTACCTGGACTTTCACTTTCACTGGGTTCATTGTTGTGATATTCATCCATATCTATTTAAAAGAACGATAATAAATACAAGAGAAAACAAGTTTAGATAAACTTACGAAAAATCTTGTTTGCATGAGCACTGATGTCAAAGTCATGAAAATCAGAATTCCATTTTCTTTTCTCAGACTCGTCATTCCATTGTTGTTGTTGTTGGGAAAGTAACATGGTATTGTTAGGAGGTTCAACTACTTGTGTAGGTTGAAAATTATGCCAATAATTAGGGTCGTTTTCAGTCATTATTTTGGAAGGAGTTGAAGGAAACTTGGCAGTATCAAAAAGTAGAAAAGAAAAGAAAGAAGAGTTTTGCATTTTTTTTTTAATTCCAAATTTTTTTCTCTCGTTCTGTCCCCCTTCTTAAGCTTTTTTTTGAATGTTGCACCAACTCCGAATAAAAAAAGGCAGCAGAAATATGCTGTCTTGGTAAGTCATTACAAAACACTAAGCCCCGTAGATCTCAGGTCATGTCTATATAAAAAAATGGGACTTTATAATAGACTAACCTTGTAATCAATCGAAAAGAAAATTTTTTTCCTTTTTATTGTTATGGTGAAAATCTTTAATCCTGGGTAAAAAAAACATACCTTTCTTACACGGAACATACCAACTTTTATCGTTTATGTTCAGACAATGGATTCAAACACACACGTACACACGAACACACACATGCATTGAGCTGCTACAATGTCTTATTTAATCCAAAATAAAATAAAAAGAGCGGGAGACAGTACAACATTTTGCCATGAAGAATTCTGTATCACAAACAATTGCTAATCATGGAAATACACAATCGGTGAACCCTCTTTAGTAAGTCCACATTTGGTAAATATGTTTCCAACCGTCCGCTCTTTTTTTCTTTTTGTCATGAATCAGGATTTGTTATCCCGAGAGAAACAAAAGAAACCACTCAAAAAAATGCTGAACCTATTTGTCATCCGAAAAAGCAGTGGGATTTAGTGATTTTAACAAGTAAAATAAGCCTGCATAAGAAGTTTATTTGAAAAAACGATGCTTATCAAATGATGGAAAGCCTAAATCCGCCCTTTTCTCTCGATTAAAACTTTATTTTTTTTACAAGTATCGATTATGAGAAACCTGCTTGACAAGCGGAAAAATTATTGATTTATCCAAAAAAAGAGAATTGTCCATTTTTCAGTTCTGTTCTTTAGATGAGGTAAGCAATGTACAAGTTACACCGTTCATTTCAATGTGAATTTGAGCATTTCGTTCTTGGCAGAAAATTGCCCTTTCACATTCTTATCTTTATGTCGTCATGCTTACTAAAGAAATAATAAATTGAATGATCTCGTTTGATCTTTGTTTGTTGTAAGCAAGAAAAAAAAATATGGGTATACACCATAGAAGAAACAATGAAATTGTATAGTATTTTTATGCTAGACTCCTCATCATAGATATTCTATAGGTTATCGGCATAGAGAATGTCCGGTATAGCTATACTTGAACAATAAAGGAGTCTGTCTGTCTTTCTTTCTATTTATTGACAAGCTTGCTGGGTACGGATAAACAATAAAACACCACAATGGCATGAATACATATAACCAGCACTTACTGAACTCATATATATATATATATATATATATATGTTGCAATGACTAAAACTAAAGAATATGGTCATAATACGCTAAACGAAGTGACCCCACTATATGCAATATGACAATCGTATTGACAACATACCTTTTATTGCTTTACCAAGAAAAGACCAGAATGATAGCATATCACTGCAAGAAACCAACCTCATGTCAACTCGAGAATAGACACATATAAGTGCTCAATTCATGAATATGAACAATCCCATTGATTTCAACCAACCCAAATATGGAAAGTAAATTGGGAAGCTTGGGAAACACCGTGCGATGAACTCTTTTATATTATACACTTCTCCTTTCCTTTTTTATTCACTAGAGACGTTGGTCTTTCTCTTTTTTTGTCTTCTCTCACTCTTTTTTCTTGTTTATGACTATGGCAACAACACAAAAGGTATATACTCTTCATCACTTTCTTTACTGACTTGATTAGGAACATCGACCTATCCCTTTTGCAGTCTTGAAGATTCAGTTAAAGAATCTCGTAGAACAACACGATTCAAGCGGGCGAGGCGTTTTGTTTACCAAAGACTTGTTGACTTTGATTGATAGATATGAAGTATCTGAAGAGGTCACCTTGCTTACCGAAGTGCAAAAGAAGGCTATCTTGCCTTATACCCTCAGTAACCCCGACTTGGAAATGACACCTGATGATATCCTCAATCTCTTAAAGATTGTCTGTCCACCTCTACCTGTAGCATCAATTTCTGCTCCTACAAAACCACCCATGAGAACAAGAAGTGCTTCTATTCTAAAGAAATCAATGCCTTGGAAAAGAAGGCCTTCAGCTGTTGCTTCTGATATACAGGATAAAGATGAAGGCATTAAAGAAGAGCCTATTGTAATTAAAGAATGATGTCAACACATATATATTCTGACCACCACTATTGTTTCTAAAATAGAATAAAACACCGCCTAGTACGACAGAGGAAGAAGAATCAGAAAAAACTGAAGAAGAACAAGTAAGCAAACATAAGAAGGCATACAAGACTTATACCGAGTAGTATACAAATCAAAAAGAAGTAGCCAGATATTACCGTAGATCCCTAAAACTCACCCAAAGATTAAAGTACTCTGAGCAAAGCTTAGCGTCCATGGCACGTGATAATGAAGATCGTATTGTTGAGTTACAAAATAGGGTAGATGACATGAATCTAGAGGTAATTCGGCAGAGAAAGGAAATTCAAGAATACAAAAGCAAAGAAAAGAACAGTTTGGACCAGATTGGTGCTGTAAGTCGCATGTAAACTAGACAGCTGTATTGAACAAACATAGTTGGAAACACATATTTCAAATATTCAACGGTCTGAGACAGATCAAAAGCAGGTGTATCTATCTATAAAGACGTTGTTTGATGAAAAATGTCGTAAGTTAGAGACACACATTGTTCTTTGTTTTAATAGTCAAGCAATTTAGAGGAGGCACAAAAACTCCATGAATTATTAAGACAAAAAGAAGCAGACCTTGAAAAGACAGAGGATTTATTGAGTACTTTTCAACATGAAGTACAAGGACTTAGTGAAGAAAGAAAGCGCTTGATTGAACTTCAAAACTGTCTTGAGTTAGAGCTGGAAACATCTGCACAAGCACATCAACAACTGGCAGAACAGAAATCAGAAAATGAAAAACTGAAAGAGATCATTGACACACTCAAAACAGATCTGGATGAAGCACTTTATCATCAAAGCAACAATAGCGATTTCTCACTTTTGTCTTCCTCTTCCTCTTCTTTGCTGGTGGAGAAAGAAGATTTACCTACACCAATTAAGGTAAAGGTGAAGTTATGGTATTTAAACTAATCTTGTTAGACATTGGAAAATGAATTGACAGGCAAAAATGAAGTATGAGCACTCTCTATCGCATCAGAAAAACTCATCTTTGTATAGGACATACGATTAAAATACGTACAAGACGAAAAAGACTATTATAAAAACAGAGCAACAGAAACCAAAAAAGATCTTGATCGAGTTCAAAGTGAATTGGATTATTTAAGAAAAGCATTGGACTCGGAGAACAGGTTGCTTGTGAATGAACTGGCTGAACTACGACGCAAAACAACAGCGGCAACAACAATAACAAATAACATTATTCCACCTTCTTCTTCATCTACTCATACAACCATTGTTAATATGGAAGAGAGCCCATCAACATCAATACCCATTTTGAACTCTATTGAACTCAACATACCTGAACCTCCTATTCATGATTTATGGTCTCCTTTGCGTTTGCGTCAATACAAATCTGTTGGCAAGAAAAAGAGAACAGTACAAGACTTGCATGAGGTAAGTAGGAAGGAACAAAAAACTGCCTAAATCAAACACTACCAGACATTAAGCACAAGCAATATTGTGATTGCAAGTTCTGATCAAAAAGACCGTACAACAAAGATCATTACAAAAAGAGACGACAAGGTCATTACAAACACTGCTACTTTTGCCTTGTATACACTTTTTGTCTATTTCTTTGGTATTGTGACATCTACTTTTCTGTTAGATGGTGGAAACCCTCAGTCAGGCTGGGAGCAAGCTTTAGCTGTAGCTACTTCTGGACAAGTACCGAAAAGTAAGGTTTTGGAGATTGTCCTCTATTGGATTGAAAAGCTATTGTTTGAACCTCAAGGATTACCTGTTTCTTAATATCTTACAATAAACATACTACTTTCTTGCATTAAAAGTCGTTGATAAAATTGCGTTTATTCTTTATTATACAGAATATCATAATGTCCTATAGAGAGCAGTTTAAGATCATTCAACAATATCTGTCTTTTGTTTACCTGGTCTGTAAATAAGTTTGATGGCTTTCTTTGACTTTTCCTTTTCATCTTGCTCAGATGGCCAGAATTCATGAATGGCAGCTTGATCATCAACACCACCATCTAAATAAACCACTTGAATAGGCACATCTAAAGCTTTGCTAAGCGCAATGATCTGTAAATGATCAGATTCCCTTCCAAAGGCTTCAACATGCATAGAGCAGAATTCATCAATAGAAATCATTTCATCAATCAAGAATGGCTCGTATTCAGCAGAATGAAGTCTGAGATAGGCTGAAGCAATAAAGCGGAAATGCATCACAATAGCATTACTGATTTCGTCTGATTGAAAATTGACTAAAAGCATATCAGGGTCATTTGGGTTCAAGCCTTTAAACTGTTGTACTGCCACATCATAAAAGTCTTCAAAAGCAAGTTTTTGAAATCCACTGGTTTCTAACAAGTTTTCTGAATGCTTTAGCTTATTCAGATTGGCTTCATATGTTGCCTTGTCTTGCTTCAATGCACTTTCAAACCAAGCAAAAGCAAAAGCTAGTATTAAATTAGTTACTCCATCAAAATTAAGAAGAGAATACCTCTAAAAAAGCAGTTGCCTATACAAAAGAAAAACGTATTTAGCACAAAGATATATACGCGCGTATCACAACTTACCATCACCACGGCACCGTCTTATTTTATCATGTTGATGGCCAAGATTCTATTCAAACAGTTATTATGCAATACAAAAATTGCAAATTACTTGCATTAATTTTACGCAAAAATGGTTCGTTGTCCTTAAATTCTTCCAGTAAATTTGAGACAGGCTCTTCTTGACAAACTAAGGGTATCTTGATCGCGTTTTTTTAATCTAGTGTTGTAAACTACTTTATACCTTTTGAGCTTCTTGGTCTTTAATTTGCTGTTCGAATTCCAAAATTTGTTCGTCAGTAAGCAAAGGTTCTTGTGCGTTGTTGGACATAATAGTAGTAAAAGAAGAAAGAAGAAAAAAGCGACTTCTGATATTCAATTCTAATGTTACATTTTTCACAATCTTTTTCTTTTTTTTTATTTTACAGATGAGCACTCAAGAAATCAAGTTTGATGCCTCTGCTGCATCCGAAGAACTTGCTAACTATGTAAGCAGCCTCTAGAAAACAAAGGAGTAAAAACGCTGATTTTATTCTATATAGTTGACTGAAACTGCAGAGAGACTTGTAACTATATGATTTTTTTCCCTTCTTGTTTGATTTACTCACTGTCTTAGCAAACACGCGTTGAAGATATTACTGGCAATATGGAAAAGAAATGTAAGAGATATAGTTTTAAGATGCCTATACTCATTTTATGGTTAGTGGAAGAAATATATCAGCGTTTAGATAAATTAGAAAGATCCTTAAAAGAAATGGAGCCAAATACAATAGAAGCAAAATAAAATCGATAAGGGTTTCCCCCTTTTGACTTTTGATTTATTAGCTTAGTTTTCAGATTGAACCCATTCAACGTTAGCAGGCTTCCAATCAATCAATTCGTTGGCTTGAGAGAACCACATGCCAATTTCCTTTTCAGCACTTTCGAAGCTGTCACTACCGTGGATAATGTTACGACCGACAGAGACCTATAATACCATCAATGATTTGATTCGCATAGAAAAGGAGCAACTTACACAGTATTGGCCTCTGATAGTGGAAGGATCGGCCTTCAATGGGTCAGTGGCACCGAGAATAACACGGCCGGTACGGATAACATCGGGACCTTCCCAAACCTATTTTGTTTATGTCAGAATTAAAAAGTGGGCATACCGTTGCTTACCATAGCAATGACGGGAGTACCACTGGTGATGTAGTTAACAAGACCAGAAAAGAAAGGACGAGACTTGAGGTCTTCGTAGTGTCTTTCAGCCAATTCCTTGGAAGGAGCAATGGCCTTCATACCAACAAGCTTGTAACCCTTGTCTTCGAAACGAGTGATGATCTTACCGATCAAACCACGTTGAACACCATCAGGCTATTATTTTTTGGTTTAGACTTGATTTTTCTTCAGACTAAATTACCTTAATAGCAATAAAAGTACGTTCACTGGCAGTACCCCTATAGATATAAATAATTAGTCATTCAGAAAAAAAAAATGAAAGGGGGAAATCCATACTTGATACCAGCAACAGGCTTGGAGTCAGCAGAAACGGGCTCTATAAATAAAATTTGAGTACGATTTGTTTAGTAATTTATTATGCATTCCTTACTTTGAAGATAAGCGTAAGAGAGAGCACTAGCAGTGACAACACCAGCAGTAGCAAGAGCAAGGCGTTGAGAACCAGCAGCAGCAGTGGCACGGCTAGCAGTGGCAAAAGTACGAGCTATATACACGTCAATACACGCGTTTTTTTCTAGATAGATTTAACTTACTCTTCAAAGAGGCAGTAGCGGGTCTGACAGCTGTCAATAAAATCAATTAACATATTTGTCTTTTTTTTTTATTTTGTTAATATCATTCATTACCGAAACGGGCAGCGGCACGGGCAAGCATTTTTAATACGTCTTGATTAGAAGAAAAAAGAGTAGAAGAGTTTAACCAAGGCAACTTATATATACATTTCAAAGTCATCTCTTATTGGAGAACTTAAAATAGTCCGGGGTTGTTTAATTGCATCACACAGAACGCGCCTTATACGTTACTATCGACTTCGTAAAAAAAAAGATAATGCGTTTTGTATACAGAGTTTCATAAATATTTTTGTTTATCTATATAAATATAATATTGAGTACCACTTCAATGTATCAAAGTTTTAAAATAAGATACCATGTTAAACGTGCGAAAGTCCATGACAGGGAATATTTCTAGCCCAATCGCTTGTTTCAACATTAACTTTATGCATTTGACAGAAATCTCAGAAGAGCAAGTGGCTTTGAGTTCCGAGGACTAAGTGGTGACTGTTTTGCAACTGAATCGGACCGTCTAAAATTTTTTCTGGTATAACAATTGGATCAATATCAGACCGCTCTTGTTCTTTCCTTTTCTCCTTTGTGAGCTTATAATAGTTGAAATGTCTGCTGAATACGAAGGTGCTATCGGTATTGATTTAGGTACTACGTAAGTTAATCATTGAATTGCATACCAAGAGCATTTGTCTAAGACATTCATATAGCTACTCCTGTGTTGGTGTTTGGGAATCCGAACGTGTTGAAATCATTGCCAACGAACAAGGTAACCGTACTACTCCCTCCTACGTTGCCTTCTCCGACAGCGAACGTCTTATCGGTGATGCTGCTAAGAACCAAGCTGCCATGAACCCCAAGAACACCGTCTTCGATGCTAAGCGTCTTATCGGTCGTCGTTTCGATGATCCCGAAGTTAAGGATGACATGAAGAACTGGCCCTTCACTGTTGTTGACAAGAATGAAGCTCCTTTCATTCAAGTTGAATTCGAAGGTGAAACCAAGACTTACTCTCCTCAAGGTAAAAAAAAATCCCAAGTAAAAAATTTTTTTTCTGGGCAGAAAATTTTTTTTTACTTGCACACACGTTAATCAGTTGTGTGTGCTCTTCCTTGTGACGTTTTTTCTAATGACAATGTTATATAGAAATCTCCTCCATGGTTCTTATCAAGATGAAGGAAATTGCTGAAGCTAAGCTTGGCAAGAAGGTTTCCAAGGCCGTTGTCACTGTTCCCGCTTATTTCAACGACAGTAAGTTTAAATTCATGTGAATTGTGTAGAAGAAAGATAAATTAACCTTTTTTTTTCTTACTAGGTCAACGTCAAGCTACCAAGGATGCCGGTACCATCTCTGGTCTCGAAGTCCTCCGTATCATTAACGAACCTACCGCTGCTGGTAAGAATGATTGAAAAAAAGTGACAGATAATTAAAATAGTATATATATAGCCATTGCTTACGGTTTGGACGCTAATGACAAGAAGGAACGTAACGTCCTCATCTTCGATTTGGGTGGTGGTACCTTCGATGTCTCCCTTTTGACCATCTCTGGTGGTGTCTTTGCTGTCAAGGCCACTGCTGGTAACACTCACTTGGGTGGTGAAGATTTTGATAACAACCTCGTCAACCACTTTGTCCAAGAAATCAAGCGTAAGCATAAGAAGGACATCACTGGTGATGCTCGTGCTCTCCGTCGTCTCCGTACTGCTTCCGAACGTGCTAAGCGTACCTTGTCTTCTTTGACTCAAACCACTGTTGAAGTTGACTCTCTCTTCGATGGTGTTGACTTCCAATCCAACATCACTCGTGCCAAGTTCGAAGAAATTAACTCTACCGCTTTCAACGGTACCGTTGAACCCGTCGAACGTGTCCTCAAGGATGCCAAGATTGACAAGAAGAAGGTTGACGAAATTGTCCTCGTTGGTGGTTCTACCCGTATCCCCAAGATCCAATCTCTCCTTCAAGATTTCTTTGACGGTAAGGAATTGAACAAGTCCATCAACCCTGATGAAGCTGTTGCCTACGGTGCTGCTGTCCAAGCTGCCGTTCTCACCAACCAAGCTGGTAACGAAAAGACTCAAGACCTCCTCCTTTTGGATGTTGTCCCTCTTTCTCAAGGTGTTGAAATGCAAGGTGGCATCATGGCTGTTGTTGTTCCCCGTAACACCCCCATCCCTTGTCAAAAGTCCAAGGTTTTCACCACTGCTGCTGATAACCAAACTACTGTCACTTTCCCTGTCTACGAAGGTGAACGTTTGATGACCAAGGAAAACAACCTTCTCGGTGAATTCTCCCTCTCTGGTCTTATCCCTGCTCCTCGTGGTACTCCTGAACTCCTCTGTACCTTCGATATTGATGCCAACGGTATCTTGAAGGTTACTGCTCAAGACAAGACCACTGGTCGTAAGGCTGATGTCACTATCTCCAACTCTGCCCGTCTTACTGCTGCTGATATTGACCGTATGGTTGAAGATGCTGCTAAGAACGCTGAATCTGATAAGGAACGTGAAGCTGTTGTTCAAGCCAGACAAGACCTCGAATCTTACGTTTACCAAGTTGAAAACAACATCTCTGACCCTAATGTCAACATGAAGCTCCGTCGTGGTGACCGTGAAGCCATTGAAACTGCTCTTGCTGAAGCTATGGAACTCATGGAAATCTCTGCTGACGAAGCTAAGGCTGATGACCTCAAGGCTGCCCAATCTAAGTTGAAGCGTGCTTCTACTCGTGCTTTCGCTCACGTTTACTCTCAACGCCGTTAAGTTCCCTTCATTTCTTTTGGTTCAACTAAATATTAAATCTTGTAAAAAAAAAAGAAATAGTTTTTTGTTTTTAATTTGTTATACATATAAAAAATATTCTGGAGTTTGGCTAGGATTGTAAAGAGAAATATGCTTTGTATCGTTACATTGTTCCAAAGATACTTTAATGCAATCATATTGTGACATTTGTTTGAGATATAGATGAATTTTTTATAACCATCTGCAGCATTTCTTATGGTTAGACGTATTGTTGATCAAATACTAAGCAAGATCAACATTCACTTTAGAATTGATATACTAATGCTTTGAAAAAATTGTCAATAATCAGCTATCGAGATAATTCTATTTTTGCAGTCAACAGAGTATCCCCTTAATTTTCAACCGAAGAGGTGCATGACACTGTCTTTTGTTTTGAAGAGGATTTTTTTTAAAAAAAGTAAAAAGATCGACAATATTGAAATAATTCAAGAGAATGAAACCCTTTGATGTAGTTTTAGTACAAACAGTTTTGAATGATGCATACACGCGAGAGGTTATATGATATTTTTGGATATGTAAGGGAGATTTATGCATACAACAATATTCATCCTTTAATCCAGAAAAATTTCCATAAGTGTATAAAAAGACAGGCATACACAGTTCAAGAATAAGGGATAGATCCAAGAAGGAAGAAATGAAAAAGAAAAGCAAGAAGAAAAAGAAAAAGAGGAGACTGCAATAGGAAGACATCACTTGTGATTGCTCTTTCACTTCTTGTTATTGTCACAAAATAAAAACTGTTATGAAGAAAGAGCAATGCTACAGTAAACTTAATATGAAAAACCTTGTTTATTGCCATATTTATAAAAAGAGTTTACATTGTTACTGGAAAGATAAAAAGGATGATAGCCGGATTCTAATATGACTCCTTTGAATAACTCGTCTTATTTTTCATCCCTTCTTTCTCCTTCTTTGTTTATTGTTTGACTTGAAGAGTGAAAAAAAAAAAAAAAAAAAAAAAAAAAAAAAAAAAAAAAAAAAAAAAAAAAAACTGAAAATCTGATGAGAAACACAGTTGTCTACAGTTTTATTATTTCAATATCAGTCAAAGTCAAAAAAGAAAAAAGAGAAACAGTGGCAATAAACGTACATATATGCATTTGTTTGCCAATAACCATTTACTCCTTAACGCACACTCAACAAAGTGTGATGTCAATAGTCTAATAAAGTTGTAAATTAACGAGAAGGAGGTCAAGAAGTGAATGGAGGAGAATTTGAAAAAAAAAAAAAAAAGATATTTGCAGGCAATAGGGGAACATGCCATTGTTTTTGTTTTTTTTATTATACTCACGCATGCACATGTACTCGTTAAGAAAACTGATGTTTTATTCTGCTTTCGTTTTCTGGGAGAAATATTAATAGTAGATCTCTTTTTCATATAAAAAAAACCTTGTTTCTTGTTACATGTTTTTCCTTTTTCTTTTCTTTCATATTCTTCTTCTACATAAACATGAAGACAAGCTGCACTCTACCTCCAATTTCAGACATCTTGAGTCCTCAAATCCAACATCAAAACAACTTAAAGTACTATCCTTACTCTCGTGATTCACCACAAAAACATCAAAGAAAACCATCTATACTTCAGGTGTCGAATTTGGTAACCCCATCGTTTGAAAAAAATGAAGAAGAGCAAGTCAAAGCCAAACGAAAAAGAGCTTCTCCATCACAACTCACAGTTCTCAATTGCATATTTGAACAGACGTTTTTTCCATCAACAGAACTGAGAATAGAACTGGGGAAACAACTCGGAATGAGTCCACGAACAGTGCAGATTTGGTTTCAGAATAAGCGTCAGTCCATTCGAACAAAAGAAAGGGTCATGAATCAAAAGCATCACGCAATCGCTTCACCTCCCACCTCTCCATCTGTTCAGCATGAGATACCCAGTATAACACGACAGCAACAGCATAAGCAAAAACCAGTTCATATTTTACTTCCACCATTGAGGCTACCTCAACCACCTACGTTCCCGCTGACACCTTCATCGTCTGTTCAATCCAGCCCGACTTACTTTGATCAATCTATTCTGTTTCGTGACCATTAACAGCTTTTTTATTCAAGTATATATGCATACATATTATGCTTTGTGCTTTGTGCATGTGTTCATTTCTAAAAAATATATATATATATACATTAAGATGTGTATGCATACCCTTATTGTTCTTAATCTATGTTTCTTATTCTTACTCTAATATATACCTTCCTTTTCTCTGCCTCTATCTCTAATTTTGAATATACATAATATGCTACAACAATAGCAATAAAAAAGGATTTATATGCTCCATATATTACGATAGACCATTTACTCATAAACCAAATAAAATATCATTTGAAACTATTGTGTATATAATAAATTTTACGAATAGACTATTTCTTACTATGTACGTAGTACTCCTCTATCTGTACTCCTTTTTTTTTCTATACAAGGTAAGCAAGTCAGATTTTCATTTCATTAAACCTTGAATGTATTAAAAAGCATTATTTTAAGTTAAAATTTCATGTATTGTTTGCCTGCTTCTTATTGTGAAATCAGACATAGTGTTTTATTAAATCAAAAAGACACAAGGATAAGATATAATTGCAAGCAATGCAATGCTAGCTGTTCTTCAACAAAGTTCTGGGCAATCCTACACTCACTCAAATGTATAGGAGGTCTACTACTGTTGCTTTCGAGGTATCTTGTACGCTTGTCTAATTTATGGATTATGCATGATTGTTTATAGAGTTTTTGAGCATCCTTGTTTTAAATGTGTCTTAAATTTACTATATATGATCTATTTATAAGGAAAAACTATTTGCTAGAAGACGGTGCATACAAACAATAGTGTGTATTCCAAGCAAAGAATAAACATCCCTTTATTTTTACAAATACAGGGCAGCTCATTTTGCATTATATGTCGAAAGTTTCAATCTCGACAAACCTCGACCAAATAGATAAATTCTCAATGCACGCCTGTGCCTTTATTTTGGAAGAAGAAACAACTAGCTATAGATTTGATTCTCGGTTAAAAATACGACAATACATGACAAATCAAACAGGTTTTTTTTTGTTCAATATGTTTGATATAATGAACCAAAGGAACTAATTATATATGGTAATATTATTTTTTTTCATGACTATCAAGGCAAGTTCAATATATTAAACTTTGTTTTCTCTATAAAAAAGGCTTTAAAGAGATTAACCAAATCAGCGCGCTTTTTAGACTTATTTTTCTCCTGTTCAATATCAAGTTTTTTTTTTTTTTTTTTTTTTTTTTTGATCCCTCAAAAATCACTAGTTTGTTTGTTAGTATATTATATTTTAGCTGATTGTATATGTTTCTGGTTATTTAATCCAGCTGTTTGTAATCCTTTCATATAAAGAACAAAACACAGCGAATTTTTTGCGTGCCATTGCAGTCCATACTTTAAATTTTTCCTTACATTCATGACACTAAAACGGGGTAAATCTTGTATTCCTAAATTGTATGGAGACATTGAATACCATAATGACAGTAATAGTGGCTTCTATTAATTGTTTATCCGTCGATTAAAATGAACGTCGCTAGTTTTTTTTAGGTGAAAAAAAAATAATTAAATGATTACTGAATTAGGTAAATATTGACGATCTCCCACCAATCCCATGAATGATGAGTGTTGTTGTCATACAAACACCATTTGTTCTTCTTCACTTGTAGCATTGCATTGAGTAACAATCAAACAAGTATAACAATGATCTCATTGCAACAATCATTTTTCTCCTTTGTGTTTCAAAGAATAGTTTGTACTCGCTTGCTCGGACCTCATATGTTAAATTAGACAACTAAGACTGGAACCGGGATCTCCGATAAAACAGAAAGAAATCTATCTTTGTGTTCATTGCTTATTTGAAAAAAAGAAAAAAGAGGAAGCGTTGAAAAATTAGTTCTGAATACGATACAGAAAAGGAAGGAGGGCAGTCAAGAGCGAATTCTGCTATTTTGTTAAATAAATAAATAAAAAAGAAAAGGGTCCCTTTTTTCATAGGGCGTGGGTACCTTTGAAAATAAAAAACAAACTCCACTTGTCTGTCTGCTCAAACAACTAGTTGACCCTAGTCTATGATGGTTTTCAAAGCAAGCACGTGACTTGGAAGTTGCTTGGGCTTAAAAAGAATCCATGATTTTTTTTTTCTCTCCTTTTTTCTTTTTTCTTCAACACAGTTCTTTGTTTCGATAACAAGGATTTTTTTTTTAAATTTATACCTTTTTTGAAAAAAGCTCTTTATATATATATATATATCTTTTCTTCTTCTTTTTTCAGCTGGTCCTGTTAAATTATACATATTTAATCCATTTACATATACTCAAAAAAAAAAAAAAATACACACACACTTTACATAAAAGGAGAAAAACAAACAATGACTTTAAGCAAAGAATTTACTAAGCTCAACATCAAAGGTAAGAGAATTAAAAAAAATAAAAAAAAAACTCACATTTTTTTATAGATACCGAAGAAACAACCAGGAGTTGTTCACAGCTTGAGATCGATAATGCTTATCTTAAGCAGCAAAACCAACACTTAAACAGAGAATTATCATTTGCAAGATATACTATCAATGCGTTAAAGGGAATTGCCAACCAAAGAGATGTAGCTCTTGATGAAACCAGGCAGGAACTGGAAAAAGCTTTGCAGCACATCCAACTTTTGACTTGTACCTTGAGACAACAACAAAGATATAGCAACCTATCTGGTATAGGCCTTGTTCAAGATACTGATTTGTCTGACGATCAAGAGTTGTCTGAAGAAGACGAGTTTGAAGAACAAAAGCAACAACAGCAGCAAGCACAGCAGCAAGCACAGCAGCAACAAGCACAACAACAAAGACGTCGTCCTACCGTCGACATCATGTCCAAGCTACCCTTACGTCAACCACCCTCTATGATGACGGATCAGATTTTCATGCCCGAACATCATCACGTTAACGACGCTCATAAGGTCCTCTTGCATTATTAAGTTGATGTTGAATAAAGATGTTTCATTGGTTTATTTTTTTTATTCTTGCTTGTCTTTTTCTCAGACAGAAAGGAAACAGAAAGTTACCTACGTGTCTAGAATGATCTATTTTTGCGGATGTTTATTTAAAAATTATACTTTTTTGGTGTTTTACTGCAGATCATTAAAAAAGCAAGTATTCACATTATTAGCACACTTGCACACTAGCACAATCGGACATAGGTCTGAAAAAGTGTAGCCTAATTCTAATTTAAGTGCTGTAGAACAAAGAAAAAAAAAAAAGAAGAGAAATCAACCTTTTTTTTTTTCCTTCTGTCTGTTTAGACGAACAGGATTTCTGTTTTACAGAAAAAAATGACAAAGAAGCATTCCAAATAAATGTGCCTAGCAACTTTGGATCTTGATACAACTTTGCGTGGCACAACTTTGTATCAACTAGGTTTACATGCTAGTTTTATTTCGAATTTGCGAATATTTCAAGTATGCTCATGGGCCTAAATTCCTATTGGATTTTAAACCCCTTAATCAACATGAGTAGGTTGAACACTTACACCAGTCAGTGTATGCATGCATACAGTTACTGCTTGTATGCTTTTCTTTCTTATATAAAAACAAGTATGGCGGGATTCCAATGTCTTGCAGCATGAATTCTTCATTGCTATAAAAAAAAGACTCGATTTGTCTGAAATATCGGATAACACAAGATAAAGGAGCGCTTTTAGCAAGCTTGAAAGGACTTCTTTTTTTTATTTTATGAGAAGCATATTTGTTTTTGCTATTTCCCGAAAAGAGCAGTTGTCATTTGTGATTCCAGGTCCGAGTGAAATGATGATGAAATGCCATATGGATGATATTGACACTATGAGGCTTACCTAAAATTCCCCTATCAATGACAGTAACAAAAGAAAAAAAAAGCTATTTTGACTAGCGTCTTGGTCTTCTCGTTTAACATGATTATTTATAGAGTAAGAAAGTGATGTTTTGACTTGGAATATCTGTCAGAGCATGAACTCCTCGTGTTTGACATAATGTATCTTTTTCAGCAAATATGAGAATGCCTTTGGGGGCAGAAAAAGAAAAAGAGCCAGAAACAAAATGCTCAAATTAAACTGATAAAGGCTTGGAGATTCTCTTTCGCTTGAAAAATGTGTGTATATGTTCGTGTGATGTGTCCACATTCGCCAAACAAAAAAATTCAAACTCCACTCTTTTTCTCCCCTTGATTTAAATTGTCTCGTCTTCCCTTTCACTCTCTTTTTCTTCATCCAGTATGTCAAGGATACTAAAACAACCTTCTATTTCTGTCAGAGCACCTAAAAGCCGCTTTCAGCCCAAAGAGGAAGAACCTAGTAAAATAGGTCAACGTGTGACTATACCTAGTCTAGATAACTTGACTGGTACACTTCGATATATGGGCCCAGTGGATTTTAAGACTGGTGTTTGGGCAGGTGTTGAGCTTGATTCAAAAGGTCAGGGAAAAAATGATGGTAGTGCGCAAGGGTAATGGCTTTATACAGACATTGACTTTTTAGAAAACCACTTACAAGTGTTATTAGAAAGAGATATTTTACCTGTCCTCCAAAGTCTGGTATCTTCATTAGTGCAAGCAAGATAATCATACAGCCACCTGCTTTGCCTATCTCTAAACCATCCACTTCAGTTTCAACGCGTCGCTCTAATTTGCCAATAACGAGAAATGGGTCTAGCAATACAGCTACACCAAGAATGAGAGCCTCGAATTCTTCTACCACATCAAATAGTAGTGTCAAAAAGACTTCTACTTTGCGCTCTTCGGCTATCCCCACTACATCAAGCGTAGCAAGACCACCTAGTATGACAAGATCGCCTTCATCTCCTGCACCACCACCATTATCAGCTTCTGCACCTACAAATACCACGATTGAATCATCACCTTCTTCTTCATCTTCTTCTGTTCCCAACAAAAAGTCAGCTCCTACTCCAACCCCTCCTCCTCAAAGAAAGCAACAAACACCCATGCCTTCTACACCTACACCACCTGTTGTAAATGAGCACCAAGAAACTACAAATCAACTGTATGAAATGCTAGAAAAAGTACAACGCGAAAGAGATCAGTTATTGGCTCAAATGAAAACAAAGGAAACGGCATGGGAACGCCTTGTGTCTTCTAGAGAAAGTTTGTCCCTGCAAGTTCAAGAAAATGAATCACAATGTCAACGTTTATCAAGAGAATTGGAATTAGCGCAAAGCGAAGTCGAACGTTTACAGCATAGTCTAGCAGAAAGAGATGCTTCGATTGCAAAGAATCAGCGTGATGAAGAGAAGCAGACACAAGATCAAAAGCGCATTGAACGATTAGAGACCCTTGTGCGTGACCTACAAAACCAACTTGAAGCAGCTAAAGAGGAAAAAGTGCAGCTGAATAGAGAGCATGCAGGTGCTGTAGAGCAAGTGCGGAGAGAATTAGCAGCTAATGAGTCTATGACGGCTTCTTTGGAAAAGGAATGCGAAGAATTAAGAAGAGCTGGATTAGAAGCCATTCGAGCTTATGAGGATTCTGTGATACAGATCAAGGAAAAACATGAATTAGAATTGAAGCAAAAAGAGCAACAAATTCAGCAACTGGAATACAATATTGCTGACCTGAAGCATAAGCAGAGCACTTTGTTTGACGACGATGAGCAAGATATTGATACACGCTTAAATGAAATGCGAAATGCCTCCATGAGCCATACTATGAATGGCAGTAGTACAGAAGCAGATCAAAGACACCGTCTAGAAGAACAATTAGAGCTCGCTATGGCTGAATTGGATCATGAGCGTGTTACTATTCAAACATTGCAACAAGAAATGGAGCAAATGAAAATTGAACATGCTCAAGCTAGACAGCAGGCTTTGACAATGGAACAAAAGTATGAAAGCCTACAAGCTGATTTCGAGAAAGAATTAAATGATAAAAAACGTTTGATTGAAGAAGCAGATAATGCATTTGAGGCCCAAGCCAAAGCTGAGGACGAACATTATCAGATGAAATTATCGAAAATGGCTCTTGAAAAGGAATTCAATGAACTGTTAGAATCAAACAAGCAATTGGAGCAAGACTACAACAATTTGATGGATGAAATGCTGGCACTAGAAAAACAGGCTTTGAAGAAACCTGTCGATGGTGGATTAGCAATTGTAAATACATCAGCTGATACAACAGTTTTACAAGAAAAGATTCAACAGCTTGAAAAAGAAAACGAATCCCATCGCAATAGTCTATCAGCAGAAAAGAAGCAAGTGACTCAACTAAGTAAAGACCTAGCAGAGCTGGAATCCCTAGTTGAAAATCGTGTGTTTGGTGAAGCAGACTTGGAAGAAAAGCTAGAAGCCGAGAGAAAGAAAGTGGCTTCATTGGAAAGAGAATTAAATGCACTAAAGAATAGAACGAGCATGCACAGTAAAGATATCCTTATGTCACCTACTACTATAGCAGGTCCTTCCCCCACACCCTCACCACATCAGAAGCATAATTCTAATGATGATAATCTCTCCAAATATTGTGAATTGTGCGATGGATATGGTCATGACGTTTTAGAGTGCAAAAACGAATTGTCCTTGGCTGATGGTCAACTAGTAAGTGAATAAGCGTACAAACTAAGAAGAAAATATTTACGTATTGTCTTAGTTTTGTGAGAATTGTGATGACTTTGGCGATCATATCACAGACGAATGCCCTAATCAAGATGAAACTTTCTAAAAAAGACATACTTGTGTATATAAAGAGAACTGTAAATCAATCTATAATCACTTTTTTTTTTTACTATACTTTTTCACTCTCTTGTAAAGAAAGCGTTGTACACATTGAAGCATAACAAAACGACACAGAAAAGAAAAATATAGTAGTTGCTATTTCATGATTAATTACAACAGGTAAAAAAAAAAAGGGCTTTGCTTGCTTTGTATACGTCTATTTGTCAATTTTGAACTATAGCTACAGCGTCAATAGAAGGAAAGTATCGAGATCTAAAGAAAGGAAGAAAGTTGATATACAGAATAAAATAAAAGGTCCTATTTTGCTACTATAAATTACTTTATACTCATGTTTTGACTTTGACATAGTACCTGATTTACTCAACCTGTCTTATTCATCCTGTTATCTATTACAAAGCCGAAACCTCCTTTTTGTGATAACAAGAGCTTTCAGATTTTCCTTATGATGCCTATGGACCCTATTGCAATTTGCATGAATAAGGTGTGTTTAGAGTCCGATGACATGTAGCAACATGTCCCCTTTTTTATCTTTTTTGATTGATTTTTTTGTCAAATTAAAAAGGTCAATTGTCTCTTTTCCTTCTCTCTCTCTCTCTCTCTCTCTCTCTTTACTTTTCTTTTTTATTTTATTTTTCTGAAAAAAGATAACAGACATGTCTAATGAAACCCTTTCTTACTTGCATAATATCTATTCCCGTTTAAAATCTAGAGGGGAAAGGATCTTTTCTTCATCCTCTTCAATTGCTTCTTCAGCAAGCAGTGCTTTTGTTCAGACACCGATAAGCGAAACCGCATATTTTGACATCTACAATCATGAAGTTGATATCAATGTAACTGAAAGTCAAGACTACTGCATGATTGATACATCAAAGACTATGTCAACTAAGCAAATACTAAATCTGATAAACAGGCAACCATTTGCTTTCTCAGAATCTCATCAAACAGATATAGTGTGCGAATTCAATACGTTGCTTATTGAAATCAAATCTGTTTGTCATCGACTTGATAAATGTCGAAAAGCAATTCAGTTTGCCCAAACAAAAGAAACCATAGGGAAGGATTTAATCCACATTATTCATTTTATAATCAATCGGTATTATTGTGATCCTTTGTATGGCAACAGTTTTATATCCTTAATAGGGCTTTTGATGGTTGCCCTTCAAGTACTGGATACAGAAGATGAAGTGCAAAGACAATTGATGGATGAAAACCATATTGGCCGCATTATTATGATGCAAATGAGTGCAGTGCTTGAACTAGTAAAGAGCACATACACGTATTATTTGTCTATTGATTCGCAAATCGAATTGTTCAAAATTGCACTTGATTATCAATTTGAGCGAGAAGACATAAATCATATCTGGTTCCCAGTACTGAAAGAGACCTGCTTACTGTTGACTAGACGAGATCCAAACTGGGACTGTAAAGGTGAATATGACAATATCTGTTCAATGGCCACTAGTTTGTTGTTTGATTAACTCAACTACACAAGAAACCTTTGTTTTCGTTTTCCTTTTGTGTACTTTTGTTTTATAAGCATTGTTTGTAATAAAGCCCAAATACTGCGGCACTGTACTCATTCATTTATTGACAGACACGTGTTCAATGTAATTGTGTATTTAGCTTCCAAGCCATAAGGTGAACCTGTCAAGTTTCAATTGAAGTTAAACAGTACAATATTAATTTTACAAGTGGCAATGGACGTCTAGTCGACAATTATCGTAATATACTAGTACATTATTTGTAATAGCAATTTTATTATATAATGATACTTAAGACAGAATAAGAACGGTGTAATAAGATATAGTAGTATTATAGAAGCAAGTCTATCTTTTTGTAATATTAAGGGGTTATGAATAGGAATGAAAATGTATAGGTGTATGAATAAATCTAAATGGGAGGAGGAGGTTTGGCTCTTGAGACATAGTTACTGGGGAATAAACCAGAGACAGGATTGCCCGAGCCATCGTCTTTGTATCCCATCCACCATACATTATCAGTGGCATCTGTCACAACAATAGGTACATGTGCATCAAAAGCCAATTCACCAAATTCTTTGGCTTCAAATGGATACTTTGCGTAATAAACTTTAGGTGCTTCTTCAGTAGCTGCTCCACCGGTATTGTCACTCTTAAGTGCATTTGCTAAGAGTACACTAAAAGGAACGCCTATACTACCGGAGAGTCCACTTGAGTTTCTCAAACGACTTGCACCACCTCCTGCAGTAGATGCATCAGCCATGTCCATACTGTGACCGCGATGTGTTTCAAAAGCAGTGGAGTAGCCAGAAGTCATGGTATCTCTATTGCTATAAGCTCCTGCACCAACAGCAGCACCAGCAGCACCAGCAGCACCAGCAGCACCAGCAGCACCAATAGAAGGACCGGCATCGCCACTCAAATTGGCAGCATCTAACATGGCCAATAAACTAGAAGGTCTATGCTTTGGTTTCCATGCTTTCATGGGATCTTGATCATACGCAGCCACGACCGTATTACGACGTTTAAAGAACAAAATGATAAATGCACAGCCAATCAAGACAAAAATAATGGCTAGTGAAATGGCAATGGAGATCAAAATAACAGCAGGCACAGATAAATAACGACGATGTTGTGAAACAGAGGTACAACATGGAACAGCAGTAAATACACGGCCAATGGTACCTGAAGAACCATTGGTAGAGGCAGTCAAGAGATAAGGATGCCAATTGGTACCATCAAAAAAGGCAGCACTGCTGCTTCCAAAATCAGGAATTTGTAAGTGACCCACGGCCAAAAGCATGGTATCAGAGTTGGCTGGATAGCGTGCAATAGAAGCATCAGAGGAAGAAGAAATGGGAGCCCACAACAACTGGTTAATTGAGCTTGAAACACCAAGGTTGTTAGCGATAGTGGTAAAGTTTTGACCGTTCCAGACACTAAGGTAGGATGTGTTTTGCGACGTTCCTGAAACAAGGTAGGTTTGATCACTTTGATGCACTACGGATGTAGGGAGCGTAACTTGATTGTCACTAGGTGCTGCATTCCAAGAGGCACTTGAAGAAGTAGTATCAATAGTAGCTAAACTTGATTTCGATTGACCTACAGTTAAATCACCTACAACCGTAAGGAGGCCATTATCGTCTACCAACATGTCATTGACAGTGCCAGAAATCCCTTGATTTACTTGGTTCCATTGACGCGAGTTTGTCGAGAGCTTACAGATAGAGTTGCAGTCGAGTAAACCTGCATAAGCAAAATCACCAGCAACATAAATCGATTTCCCATCTCCTGAAGGAGTAATGACTTTAACCAGACCAGGCTGCTGATTATTTGTAAATATACCATTGGTGGGCAACAAAGTCTGTTTTTCCAGATCATATGCAGCAAAGCTTGCAAGAGAGATGGAATCCACGGTACCACTAAATTGACCACCGATCAAAAGGGTGTTTTGAACAACAGATAAAGCACGGATGTCTCCTTGAATACCTTGAAGCAATCCCTGCCAGGCTCCTTGATTGTAAATAGCAAGAGAATAGACAGTGTTGTTAAGATGGAATGAGCCAGCCAATACAAGTGAGTCTTTCCAATAGACACCAACACTGACGCGAGCGGAAGGATCTGCTTCTGTAATGGAACTAAACTGGTTAGAACTTAGAGAGATAGCATCTTCTACACGGTATGTTTGCGCCGTCTTGATGTCACCAAAATACAGTTGAGTGTTGGAATCAATCTTGAGTCGATTATTTACTGGGCCCAAGATAAAGGACAAAGGTGTTTCAAATTTCTTGTCACTCAAATTCCATTCAGCATTGTTGAAAAGTACTGTATTACCAGTAGCATTAAATGGTCCAGACAGATGAACAATGTTCTCATCTAACATATACAAATGATCCACCTTGTCATTAACACCCTAAAATTGTACATTGTTAAATCATTTTGATAAAGTTATTTGCACATACCTGATCCATACTAGACCATGTATTTGTCTGAATATCATAGATAGCAACATGATTCAAATTGCCATCTTGTTGAGGAACAAGTGTATTGTTAAAAGCACCTCCTATAACAAGATCTAAAATAAAAATAAAGTAAAGATAAGTAAAGTAATGGCAAAGGAAAAAGCACTTACGGGAATCAACAAGCAATAAAGCACTGACATTGCCATTCAAGCCATTGCTCACTAAAGGTTGGAATGCACTTAATGCAAAATCATATGCTACTAAATTACTAAATGTGGAATTCATGCTAAAATAGCCACCGATATAGAGTGTAGCATCATTGGACTGTAATGCATGCACAACAGCATTAGAAGGCAATTGTTGTGCAAGTGCGGTCCATGTATTGTTTATAGGATAGTAAACCATAAGACTGGAAAGCGAAGCTCCTGTGGTGTTTCTGATGAATGCCATAGAATCGCCAATTAATGAAATAGATTCTGTAGAAGATGTTGTTGCATTAGGTGCAATCTTCATAACCACTGAAGGTTGAAATGTAGAAGTAGAGGCTGAAACAGTGCCTGAATAAATCAAGACTTGTTGATCTGACACGATATTTTGGTCCAAAAGGTATGTTGTCACGTTGCCTGGTGTCATTTCAATTGTAAGCTGAGCTTGTGTGCGTTGGTTACAAGTACTTGTGCCTACACAACCTGGTGTAGTGATATAGACATCGTAAAATCCTTGGCCGGAAATGTAACTAAGATGTATATTAGCTTACAAAATGATTAAACTTTATATGTGCTATTTACGGTTTATAAGTGACAGACGCATCTGATGTCTGTAATTCGGTTGTAGGTATTGTAGAAACCAAAAAATTTTGATAGGTACTATAAGAATAGATTTGTGTCCAGTTACCAGTCGTAGTAGCAATAGAAGCACTAGAAGAACCAACAGAAGCATCGCAAACACCACTTGATGCATTGTTGCTGTTCGTAATTTCTGGTTGAAGAGTAACATCTAGTGATGCAGATATTAAACACTATTATGTTTATTTTAATGCTTTACCTGATCTAAATATGCTGACACCGCCTAAACCACCAGCAGATCCATACCAAGTATCGATGTTGATTCGAATACCATTTGTTGTTACTGGCTGCATGACAGTAAAATCTTGGTATTCAATGGACGAATCATTTGATAAGAAACATTGCTCCGAACAAGTTGAGGTTTGTTTAGTGATAGGATCTGTGTACGATAGATTAAAATACTGGTTTGAACCTAATGAAATGATGCTACACATAAGGTAAGACGTTGTTTTGTGCACTTTGAAGACTCACTTGAATATGTTGGTGTTATCACCACTAACGTGCGCATTTTTTATACGAAATACAGAAGGTTGAAATGGAGAGATAAACTCAGCTTGCCAATAGCCAGGGACACCATCTTGAAGCAACCATGGTGACTGAGAACAAATCACACTAGAGGGAGTTGTGTAATTACCAAAGTTGGCACCATTTCCACTAGAAATAGTCTAAAAGCAATTAAGCAATGTTGTCAGCCAAGAATATACTTACTGCTGATGAGACCAAATTGATGGGGCGACTTGTGTTTTGATTGAAAAATTCACCATCGCCTGTGGCATCAAATCGTCCACCAAACACAATAGACTGCGCATGTTGTACAATAGAATAGACAGGGCCATTAAATCCTTTCCAAGGTAAAGGTGACCATTGATCGTTATTCCATAAGGCAATGTGGCCAGAATATTGTGATGCATTTGTGTTGATGGGGGCTGTAAAATCACCACCCACATAGACTGCACTAGTATTGCTACACAGAAGAGATGTTACGGGCCCATCTAAGCCTTGCTGCAATGCGTAGAATTGTCGGGTTTGGGTATCAAATCGAGCAATATGGTTATAGGTTGTGGTATTGATTGAAGTAAAGTTTCCAGCTAATATAAATTGAGTGTCCGATAATTGACAAGATGTCTGAACAGATCCATTTACACTGGCGAATAACTGAAATAAGGTTTTGCTGTCACCAGTAGCTAATACAAGAGCATTCGTGTCCAAAGTTTCGAATTGGTTGGGCTGTTCATAGACTGAAAGGCCAGCATAATCACCAATAAAGCCCAACTGTCCTCCAACTGAATCTAGCTCAATCGAGGGTACCTGCGCAAAGGACTTGCAGCAGAATAAAGTAAAAATAAGGTACCATAGTATTAAAACCATGACCTGTTAGTTAATGAATGTAATATGGGGTATAAAAAATCTTTTTTTTTATGAAAGAAAAAAAGAGAAATAAAAAAAGGGATTCGTTACAAGAAAAAGAGAAAGAGAGAGAGAAAAAAAAAGGAAGGAAAAGGAGAACAAAAAAAAAGGGAATTGAAATTATAAATTGATTTAATTTTATTTTCTTACTGCTTTGTTTCTTTATTTACGTTGAATAAACATAAACACAATGAAAATTATGCTCTTTGTAACTGTTACTATATCAAAGAGACCATTTTTTAAGTGAATATTTACTCTTGAAATAAGGAACGTGTAAAATGTACATACGCCTGACCGTATTTGGTATCAAGGGCACTCCTCTAATTCAAATTCAGATAATTCAAATTCCCGATAAAGGTACACACTTGTTTCAAACCTGTCATCATTACTGTTAAACATTTTGGTATTTTCATATGAGTGCAGCTTTTGGTAGTTAGTTTTGCCAAGTATGACTGCAAGCAAGTAAACTAGTGGCCTAATAAATAGATTGGCATTAAATAGTAATATATGAAGACACTTGTAAAAGAATATAAAGTCAAGTTTGAAAACAAACAACAAAGGAAAGGAGCAGCTATAATCTCTTTAAGTCTTTCGTAAACAAAGTCTATCCTAACAAGAAGTGGGATTTTCATAATGTATAGTTGAATCAGATCATATTTATAAATGAATCCCCCTTTTTATTGGCTATTACTTTCACAGATCTTTTTTTTAGATTGCCGCTAAACCTCGATGGATAAAACTTGTTCTTTCACTAGTTATGTCGCAATACTTGATAGCTGTATGGGACTATGACGCAGAAGGCGAGTTTGAACTTTCTTTTAAGCAAGGAGACAGGATTAAACTATTGGAAAAACATAACGACGACTGGTAAACGTTATATTTCATGTTATTTATATATGCTTATGCTTTTTTTCTTTTCAAATAGGTGGGAAGGTGAAGAGCTCTTAATCTCGATGGAGTTGTATTCATAAGAGTTTGATATAGGCGAACTTCGAGAGTCTATTGGTTTTTTTCCTGCAAATAGAATAAGGTTAGAGACTACAGAAGAACTAGGTAAGCAGAGACTTGGCGTTTAAAGTGGTTACTGACCCATTGAAAATAGCTTCTCAGAGCAAGGTAAAGGATGTCTCTTTTTTTATTTATTTTATAATCTTTTGAACATGTTAGACGACGCAGTGCGAAAACGGGACAGCCGAGGAAACAAAAAATATAGACCAAAACTTACCTTCACCTTCTCTTCGACACCATGACTCAGTACAGTCTGAGACAGATGCTATTATATCACACGAAGCAATCAAATCTCCACTTCATCCAGTAGCATCAGCACCAGCAATATTGACCGAGTCTCCTTTACCACAAGGATGGGAGCATGCTTATGGTAAAGAAAAAGAAATAAGCATTAGATATATACTTAATTGATTATAAAGATGAGGATGGAACAATTTATTATTTCAATGAAATGACAGGTGAATCAAGATGGGATAGACCTATTGAGGAAGAGGAACAGAATCAACCACCACCGCTCCCACCTCGAAACAATGCTGCAGACGATAACTTGGATACTTTGATAGAAGGCATCAAACCAGAAGAACTTCAAAAACTCGAGTTTGATAAACTACAAAAAGAATGGATCCGACATAAAGGATATATACAGATGAAAATGATTTCTGATAATGAAGCTGGTAACAAATTGAGCTCTTGGAAAGTATATTATGCAGTTTTGTCCAATGGGTTTTTATTGTTGTATAAAGAAGCTCATGCCAAGAACAAGGTAAAAGAAAAAAAAAGGTATTTAGAATGACAGACAGCTGATTACGGATAGAAATCATCCAAATCGCGTGTGCCTATAGGTAGTTTTGATTTAGATTCATGCAAAATAGATCCTGCAGGAAAACAAGACACAAAGCGCAAGCATGTCTTTATTATCTCCACACCTAAAAAAGTCAAATTGTATGTTCAAACCACAAGTGACAAAGAATTTTCATCTTGGCTTGATGCTATCATGAGAGAACTGATAGCGCGTAAAGAAGGACAGAATGAAGACTCAGGTAAAAAAAAAAAGCCTTTCCTCTGTGTATAGATATTTATATAATGTAGAAATATTACGGCTGCTAAGATCTCTTAGTATTGACGAAAGTCAAATGAAAGTAAACAGAAAAATAGTACAAGAAGACGAAAACAAAAAGAAGCATTGGTTCTCTTCAAAGCAAGGCACTACAGCCTATCCTCAAAAATCAGATTCAAGATATGTGTATGGACAAGCACAGCCTTCTGATGGTGAGCGAAATATTTTGATAAGCACAAACCAACCTCTTTTATAGAAAATGACGTGTTTGGTGGTTATTTGCATATGGAGGAGAATGGAGACATTCCTCGCATTGTCTCCCTTTGTGTTAATGAAGTAGAGGTTAGAGGACTGAAATCAGTGGGTATTTATCGATTATCGGGACCTGCATCTTCTATACAAAAATACAGGACCATGTTCAATAATAGTAAGTGTTTTAATTTGCTGAGTGTTTTCCAACCTGTTTTGATTATATAGAGGAGCCAGTTTTACTTAAAGAAGAACATGATATCAATGCAGTTACCGGTTTACTTAAGCTTTATTTTCGTGAATTGCGCAATCCTTTGATGACATACGAGTACTATGAATGGTTCCTTGATGCAGCAAGTAAGTACGACTTTTTAGATAAACAAAGCAACTCAATGCTGTCTGCTTAGGAATGACTGATTATGAAGAGAGAATGTATCAAATCAAATCGGTGATTCACAGTCTGCCAAAGCCAAACTATTTGGTGCTTGAATATTTAATGCGACATTTAGGTCGAGTGGCTTCTTATTCTGATATCAACAAGATGGAAGCTTCTAATTTAGCACTTATCTTTTCTGTAGGTCTCTTAAGAGCACCACAAGAAGATTTAAGCAGTATCATGATGTCTGATCTACAAAGCAAAGTGATTGAAGCTATCATTCAACAAGTAGATTGGTTCTTTGAAGATGATAATGAAGAATAATACCCCACATTTAACTAGAAATATATATATTATGTTTAATTCAATTTGGCTGATCGAACTTCAAGATTATCCAAGTTTTCTAACACTTCGAGAACAGAGTTGGTATTATTGGTGATATCAGGCTTATAGTTTTCTGAAAATGAGAATGAATGTCTTGCTTTTTTCACTGGTTGATGTTTCAAAAACTAGGGAGGACTTAGTATATGCATTTCATTAATGTTATCTTTACTTACTGCTCCTGTTGCTCCTAAATGGCCTTCGTGACGTAAAAACAAGGCTTTCATTTCCCCTTTAGACCAAAAGTTAATAGCATAAGATAAAGAGTTCATTGTGATTGGGTGTCCTAATAAGTTTTTTTTTAGTATCTGCCTGTGTTGTTATTGATTTACCTCGAATAAAGCATCCACCAAAATAAATACGCTTAATACCATGTTGTTGAGCATTTAAATAGGCAATTTGACCAATGTTATTGCTGACCATATACAACAAGCTTTTTGCAATATCAGCAGAAGCAAAATTATTTTTATCCTGACGAGCACCTTTTTTAAACACTTTGCCAAAACTCGAAGCTATCCGCGATGATTTGAGTCCAAGTTTACTATAATCAGAACCATATATATCTCCCACTAGTAAATCTACATTTCTATTGTCACCAGATTTCGAGATCTCCAACATGTCTATACAAATTATGAGCACTTTTGTTCTTGTATGCTTTTGTGTATTACCATCAAATGAAGATGCATCCGTCAACATAGATAGTAAACCCCAAAGTGTACCACCGCCCAGCTGTTACTGTTAGTAAGCATAGTAAGATCGTCTGTATACTTTACCGAGGTACCACTGATACGAGAAAAGTCATGTGGTCCAGGCCCATCCACCTTGAGAATACTCACCCCAGAACCAATATTAACAAGCTATATAAAATATTAACACATAAGCTGTCAAATACCATAAATTTACCATATATGGGTATACGTCTTTTGATTTTTCTTCAAATCGAATTGGATCAGCATCAAGCTCATTATAGGTAAAGACTTCATAGGGTATCTCTGTAATAAAGAAACTCAAACCTAGTAATCATGATAAGCTAGCTTATCAATAGCCTTACTTATTTTACCTGTTATCAAGCATTCCATTTCATCCTCCTTCTGAACAACTACACCAGGTAGTCGTGAAGCTAGTTTGTCATAATATAAATGAGCACCACCTCCTGTCGCTTTCAACACTTGTTGTTTAGCACCATTGCGTCTAGCATCCTGTAATAATGCCACGATATAGTCAATACAATCATCTACTTTTTCTGTTTCGAATTTTTTGAAATGCAAGCGGCCTCCTTGACGGTCTGCCGATAAAGTAAAATAAATAACTTTGGCAAGTGAACCACCAATCTATGTTATGTTAATAATAAATTGAGAGAGTGATATGCTTACATCGACAGCTATTTGAGATACATGCTCGGTTTGGTTAGGCAACACGATGTCTCTTGTTTCATGAGCAGCATAGAATGCTTCGGATACACAGGCTCCAACAACATTCATTGTATATATATATAAAAGGGGAACAATAATAAGAGAAAAAGAAGGAAAAACAAATATAGAATGGCTTGTTATAATCCTATTAAATCGGCGCCTTATTAAGAAGTTCTGTTCCCAAGATTTTAAATAGTGTTGGGGTAACCAAACAACTATTTAGAAGAGCACTAAACTTATTGCTGCTTGCTGATTAGTGATGAAACATAGTATTATTTACTAGCTAAATTTCTTTTTGAAAAAAGACAAACAAATAAAGAAAGGAACCATCAGAATGCTGTAGAGTAAATACGTGTAGTAATGGGATATTTTTCATGGGAAGAAATACATAAACTCAGCACTGACTCTTGGTCGTTTTATCTTTTGCTAATGAAGAATTACATAAGCACTCCAATTTTCTTCATGTTTACGTGGAACTAGTGTATTAGTACACTTAAGATACTTGCCGAGCAGTTCACTGTCCGCTAGTTCAATGAATCAAGTGTGCTTTGACAAGATATTCTACTTGAATTGGCATATTGATGATGCATTACTTGTTTAATCAATAGAGACGACAAGATAAAAATACTTTAGCATCAAGGATAAAAAGCCATACAGACCTTCTACTTTTTCTTAAACATATAAAGGTAGCATAAGGCCTGTTTATGCATAAATGCTCTAAATACCTACCATACAAGGTGCCTTTGGCGACTTGTAAAAAATGGCCAAAATAACTTTTCGACTAAAGGGTACAACAAAAAATAGAACTATTGACAAGATTAAATACTCAAATTGTGCGTTCAAAGCTGTAGTTTTTGGTAAATGTGTTTGCTTGCCAATTTTACTATGAAAACGATAAGATACGAATGAAAGCCTTGTAAACGTCTTTGCCTATTTTCTCAATATTTTAGCAGCAAACATTGTGTGTCCTTCACACCAAAAGACTGAAAGAATAAATATCTACTTTTTCCACTGCATCAAAACTACAAAACTACATCTTTATGCGGTTCTCAGCAAAAGCTCGATTTTTCATATGGCGAGAAGAAATGGTATTGGCTTCTATTTGCAATCTCCGCACCTACCCATTCTGTATGTCCTAGGTTCATTTACCCCCATATTTACATTATGAAATGACAATCTTTCTATTTCTCCATTTTTTTAGCACTCAAAATAACATAAGATGCTTTAGAGAGATCCATTGCTGAAAAGTTCTATATGACACCTAGAGCAAAAACGCTCGAAACACAGCTTAAACATGTCAATCTTTGATCCTCTATTACTCGACAACTACGTTATCAAAACAGCTCATTTTTTTTATTTAAAATATGTTCTCTTGAGTCCAGGAATCGAATGGTACCATTGGTTTGGCTGTTGTGCGAAATTTATTTTTTGACCGATGGGGGATCGAAAATTTTTGGAATGCCAGATTGACCCCGATGTAGATCTGATCCAACCGAAATGAGCTGAGATCACGTCTAAATACTTTTAATGAAAAGAAAGTGAGTTTGCTAAGACCAAAAGGTTGACTTGATTTGAGCATTAGCTTCAAATCTACATCCAAAGTTCATTGTACACTGTAATTGGTAGAAAAGAGGTTCATTTCAGCAGATATTGCTCTATACTACTGTATAAGTGATTTATTTTCTCTAAACAACTGGACTGTTTACCTCAATAGAAGGCACATCAGTGCCAATAAACTTGTACTCAAAACCTCATTTCAAAGTTCTTTGCTGATATAACTGGATCTTGATTTAGATTAGTGTTGATTGTAAAACCAGAAAACCAAAAGTTATTTATCAGCATGCATGCCACATGCGACAAATGTCCCAAGCTTAATAAATGATTCAAACCAAGAACTATCGGTACAATTATGGTGCCATTCTTCCTGAAAACAAATCTCATCTTGGCAGTTCAATGGCATAACTAGAAAAAAACTTTTCTTTAAATAATAAAGCAAAAAAAAAAAAAAAAAAAAAAAAAAACACTTTTTTTTTATGTGTGTTTTTGTTGGCAGTTACTTGATAATGACTATTAAATGCTACATATAAAAATGTAACGTAATTTGCGTTTCTTCATTATCCATGACTAATAGCTATAAATTACCACATAGTGCACTGATTGTCATAATTCCATTTTCCTGCCTTACTTTTACATAAATGACAAATTAGTTCAGAAAGAATTGCGATATTGAATCAATCAACAAAGTCTTACAGTTTTGAAATGAATATAGGGCCTTGGATTCTTCATGTACTGAAACTCAGTGTGTCAATAAATAAGAATAATACTGCACCAACGATGTTCTAGAAGCTATTTTGGGTTTTATAAACGGAGTTTATTGTGAAATACACAAAAGTACATCATTCTTTTTCTTTTCTCTTTTCTTCTTTTCTGCAACACTTTTTATACTATGACAGGATACCAAGCATTTCCAGTACTAAACCAGCAATTTATAGTTGACAAAAAATATCAGTTTATTCGTGAAATGGGCCAAGGTGCCTATGGTGTTGTCTGGTAAAAAGAACAATAATGAATATAACGTAACTGATTTTTTTTTATAAAGCGCTGCAAAAGATACCGAGACAGGAGACCAAGTTGCTATTAAAAAAGTGAGAGAGATTAGGAACTTCAAAACAGAATCATAATACGCGTATGCATCAATAGGTTTGCCGTATCTTTGAAAAGACAATTCTAGCTAAAAGAGCCTTGCGTGAAGTAAAACTATTGAAATTCTTTAATGGACACGAAAATGTAAAGGATAATCGAAGCAAATGGTAACAAGGAATTAATAGTGTATAGATTACTTCTGTTTTAGACATGGATATCGTAAATCTGCAAGACTTTAATGAACTGTAATATAACAGCCAGTTGAACACGACTAATTATTTCCTACAGTTATCTTGTGCAAGAACTTATGGAAGCAGATCTTCATCAGATCATAAGATCAGGTCAACCTTTAACAGATGCACACTTTCAATACTTTGTCTATCAAGTCTGTCGAGGACTCAAGTATATTCACAGTGCAAATGTGAGTGTTCTATTCGTAACCAGTCTATTTTAGTTTCTAATTCTTTATTTTAGGTGCTGCATAGAGATTTAAAGCCAGGTTTGTAAGCCTTTTTTGATGATTAAGCATAACAATGACGATAGGAAACTTGCTGGTCAATGCTGACTGTGAACTAAAAGTAAGATTCAGCATACCTTATCAGTAACTGACGCTATAGAAAGATTTGTGATTTTGGGCTGGCTCGTGGTTATTCCGAGAATCCTGATCATAACGTAGGCTTCATGACAGAATATGTAGCTACAAGATGGTATCGAGCACCCGAGATTATGCTTAGTTTTCAGAATTATACCAAAGCAAGTACGTATTCCATTGTTTGTGCAGTTCATTCATTTAGTATAGTTGATATGTGGTCTGTTGGTTGTATTTTTGCCGAAATGCTTGGCGGAAGACCTTTGTTTAAGGGTAGAGACTGTAGGTAGTTTGTGCATGTGTGTCTATATGTACCTATTTTGAACAATGAAAATAGATGTTGATCAATTAAACCAAATCCTTGGTATTCTTGGTACTCCCGATGAAGAGACGTTGGTCCGAGTGGGCAGTGATAGAGTAAGTAGCCTATTGAATTCATTCCAGTAACATCCTATAATAGGCCCAAGTTTATATTCGAAGCCTTCCTCGAATGCCAAAGATCCCTTTTGAGAATTTGTATCCCAGAGGTAAATCAACCAACACGTCTGTAATGCTCATTTGTATGAACAGCAAATCCTATGGCTATTGATCTCTTGAACAAGTTGTTGGAATTTGACCCTTCAAAGCGCATCACTGTTGAAGAAGCACTTGCTCATCCTTATCTCAGTGCATATCATGATGAAGATGATGAGGCAAGTATCAAATAAGAAAAAGTATTTTTTCTAAATGATGGGTGTAGCCTACACATTCTCAGACGTTTGATTTTTCATTTGAAGTTGTTGACTCGGTTGATGAAATGCGTCGTATGATTGCACAAGAAGTTATGTCATTCAAGGCAAACAAACAAGATTCTCAACGTCCTACAGCCAATAGTGGCACAAACTTGAAAAGACGCGAAAGGTTAGTTAACTTAATCGTTATGTTTATTAAGCGATATAGTTTGTCTGCTCAAGACCGCGAAACATTGGCAGCAGCTCAAGCAGCTCCAGCAGGTACAGCTGATTCTGGATTAGCTGGCATAGGATCCGTTGCTGAAGCAGCTGTTCATCCACCAACAAACCGTGATATGCAAGTAGATGATTTGGAAAGAGAATTAAGTGGTGCTGTTTGATCTCTATTGTATAATATACCTAATAAACAAAATCCTTATCTGTTTCAAGATACAATGATGAGCAAATGATGTCAGTTGATAAAGAGATACAACACTGTCATTTCTTTTTCCCTCTGTCTTTTTTTTTTTCTTTTTTTTTTTTCTCTCTCTCTCTCTCTCTCTCTCTCTTTATTCATATGGTTACTTACCTATTGCCTAAACTTCTTTACGTCTGTTTATACAGCGTATTAGGTTCTGCTATACCTTATCTATCCTTATTCTATGCCGATGTACTTCACTTGCCTTCTCAGCAAATAGGTATCATTTTAGCCATTGCTCCTTTTATTCAGAGTCTTGCTTGTCCTTTCTGGACTTATCAAGTAGACAAAAGACCAGAATGGCATGGTAGACTCATGGCCATTTTGATGTTTATTGGTGGCTTTAGTATACTTGGACTCATGTTTATTCCTTTGTTCTTAACGCATGGTTCACAATCTTCTGTGTTATTGATTACTGTTGCTCTGGCAGTCACTTTTGCTTTCTTTGGGCAACCAGTTACTGTATTGGTAGACAGTGCTGTACTCAAAATATTAGGTGATAATGCTATCTATTATGGTAAGTTGGATATTCAAAAAAAAGGGGGGGGGATGCAGAATTGTTAAGCTTCAGTATAGGAGACCAAAGATTATGGGGGTCTGTTTCAAACGGTGTCTGCATTTTACTTGTGGGTTATTTTATTGGATTATTTGGGATCAACTGTGCATTTTATATATTTGGCGTTAGTGTAGTGGCTTTTATTATCATGGCACTATTTACTCGAGTTACCTATGTTTCATCAGAAGAGACAATAGAGAATGAGCCCTTACTACAGGATGGGAACAAGATCAAGGGATTCTATACTATGGATCCAACAGCTGCAGATGAAACTGACCATGCAGGCAATGGTTTTGTTCATTCTGACATGCAACGTGTGACCAGTATAGCAAATACATTACTAACTGAAAGCGGTGCTGGTGGCGATCTCCATTTGCAGAGAACAGTGACTTCTTTGGCAGTTCGAGATGTACAAGATGAAGCCAATGAATTGTTGGATCACATGGACAATTTACCACCATTAGGTCTTGCATTATCCCATATTCCTACAGTGGATACTTCATTGGCTGCCTTTGCAAGCATTGTTGAAGAATCTGAACTTGCTGAAGTTGGTCCTAGCTTAAAACACACTATATTTGGATCAGTTAAAGTATGGACATTTTTGTTAATGTCACTTTTGTTTGGTGTCTTTTATTCCATGATCGCCCAGTTTTTGTTTCTTTTTTTGAAGCAAGATTTAAAACTCGATTCTTCTGTCATTGGTTGGACAGGTCCTCTTGGCGGTATTACTGAAGTGTCAACGTTTTATGTTTCCCGACTAGTAAGTTATGATTTAGGTTTTCATGTGTACTTATAATACCTGTAGCTATCTAAAAAATTTAGCGTTGAGAGCCTTGTTACTGTTGCTCATTTGACAATTATTTTAAGGAATTATATCTACGAAATTCTTCAACCTGGTCATCCAAGTACAACAATCATAGCCCTGGCTTTACAACTCCTAAATGGTATTTATTGTATACATAATTTAAGAAAGCTAACATGATACAGGTTTCTCATATGCACTAATTTGGTCCACTTGTGTGTCAGAAGTAGATCAAATGTTCCCAACAAATCAACGGGCAATTGCTCAAGGCCTTTTGGCTAGTTTCTTTAACGGCATTGGGTTTGGTTTAGGCTGTATCTTGGGAGGGTTTGCATATGACCATTATGGTGCAGCCATGTTGTTCAATTTATCTATTGCTGTGAGCTTAATTAGTTTGATTGTGTTCTGGAGCGGGAGGTTGTTGAAGTCTCCTTAGTTCTCATACCCTTTTAAAAAAATCTAAAGAAATATATCCACTCTATTGCGCATGTTTTTTATATATGAGGCCCATTTTGGTCTATCTCTCTATGAAATAGGCTACACTCCCTGCCCCCTTCTTTTTTACATGGCCATATTGTGTCAGGATCATTTTGTGGGCTGTAACGGTAGAGTCCTAATAAAGTAACTTGTAAGGTGAAAAAGAACACATTTACATATGTATCTCTTTCGTTTTCCTTCTCTCCTAAAAACAATTGGCTATAACTTAAAAAAAAGGAGATCGCAACAAATATGTGTAGCGCGTAAATCCATTTAATCTACAGAAATTACACAAGAACGGGCTTTTTCCTTTTATATGCATAAAGTTTATGCATAACAATTGGTGAAGGTTGTTGCCGGGCCTCTCCCCCCTTGAAAGTGATAGTCGTTTCAAGTAAAATAGAAGCTTTGTGTTCTTCTAAATGACAAAACCTTCTTTCTACAAAATAGAATTCTTCTTGATTCATTCTTTTTAGAGATAGCTTATTTTTTATTATGACAGAAATATCATATAGTCCAATCAAAGCCTTGTCCGCATCTTTGTTTGATTCATTATAAATGACAGGACATCTTATATTTTTAGTTTTGATGCAGTTGGAGAGTTTGTACCACTTGTTATTTGAATAGGCTATAAATACACCAATTTGTTTTGTTCTAGTTTTTTCTTTCTTCTCTTCTATTCAATATCTAATTTAGTTAACAATTTTCAAATGTTACCTACTATTTATTCAGTATCCTCGGATAACAATATTGATCTTGAATCATTAAGTGATAGTGGCTCCTTTTCATCCTCAAGCACTTCCTCTACTACTTTGGTGATTCCTAAGAAAACCAATAACAACGATAAGAAAAAGCGCTATCAATGTAAAGAATGTCACAAGAGTTTTAGTAGACCAAGTCAACTACAGACTCATACATATACGCATACTTCTGAAAAACCATTTCAATGTCTCAGGTATTTGATTAACAAAAGTGTTCCTGTATACTCATGTTATCGTTAGTCCTAATTGCGGTCGACGCTTTTCTGTCGTATCAAACCTGAGACGTCATTTAAAAGTTCACCAAAAGCCTCTGGTTCCAAATACATTGTCACCAGAAGATAGAATACGTTGCGTGCAACGTCTAATGAAACAATGTAGCAACACGTCTTCTAAGAAAAAAGAGCAGAAACATCCATATTGTCCACAAGAGTCTAATCGGCAAAGAGTGTTGTTTCCTTCTCTATTACCAGCACCATCGTATCCACACCACAACCAAAGCAGAACATATAGTCCCAACTTACCTGCCATTCGCCACAGTACAAGCAGTAGCTTTAGGTTTGAATCAATCTATCCAGTTCATGATGTTCTCCAAGTCCCCTTCACATCCACTTATCATGTCTATGGCAATCCTCAACAATGGACAGAGCTAGGTGATATTTAATTTCTTTTTTCCCTTCTCGCCTGCCTTAGTCTTGAGATAATATTTCTACTATTAAGTTTCAACCATTTGTTTTATATTGACCATAACTTGTCAACCATGCTTTTTCTTGTTTTTCAATCCGCAGTAATTATTAACATATGCTATTGTTTAAATTGTTTCAGTTCATTTTTTCTTTTCCTTATGTTTCCCTCTCTTTCTTTCATTATGAATTTATATAGGCAATAAAGAAATGTAAACCTTATTTCAATATTTTCATTATCCTTCATTCAACCTTGCTATTTACATGTGAATTTAAGCTTATTTTATGCTTTGATACTTTTTTCCTATTCGTGCATTTTGAGGAACAATCAATATCAATTTCAACAACGATTCGGTTGAGCTATTCGTGTCAACAAACATGAGTGCGGACAGATATATGCCTGAAATTTAAGCTTCCTCTAATGTAACATGATAAAAAGTAACATTGCTCTACGTTAATAAACAGTGACACAGCAAAACCGAGAAAAAAAAAAGAGACCAAACATATCCTTTGTTTACTTCCATATATGCATGCATGGCCCCAATAAGAACATAAAATCTTATTGACTGGATTGGATGTCTTAGTAACTTTAGTAACGGAAAAAACACACTGCAAATTAGGAACATTTTACATTCTTCTCAGAAGTTATTCATCAACTTTAAGATTCTATTTGAAGACTTGTATACCCAAAGTTTAATTATAAAGATAAAGTCGAAATCATCACAAGTCTTTAGAGATAATACTTTAAACTTTTTATATAATCAAAGTGGGTCAAGGCAATTTGATTTAGTACTCATTGAACCCTACTTACTGCTCTATAAAGTAAAAATATATAGCTTTTGAACTAAAACGTTATTTGGGTTTAAATTGTATAGGGTTTGTCAATGCTTTATTTTGCAACAAACAACAGTGTGTGTGTATGTGTGTGTGTTTTTGTATTTTTCAATTGATCAGCACAATGACTATCGTCATTAACTTTGTTCAAATACACTGCCTTATAATTTAGAATGTCAATACTGAAGAGTTCTTAGTTTCTGATGCCTGTTTGCATTTTGGCTTGCAAAGCATATGCTGCTTCTTAGACAAATGTCCTGCTGTCGAAAATTTAGTTCAATAATTTCAAAGAAATAATCCCGGCAATTCTCTTTCTGATTTACTCTAGAGAGAATACAATATTTAATGGATGGGGTCAATGCAACGCAATACATTCCAGGTTTGTCTTCAGCCTTGAAGAAGCTGTAAGCAAGTTTCATTATGTTTTTGAGCGAGAATAACACCACTTATGTTCATTCAAACAGATAGCCCTGCACATTCGAATGTCTGTGGTATGCTCCAGTAAGCAAGATTACATTTCTGTGTAAAGTGCTGCACCCTGAAGCTGAGCAAGAAGAATGGTATGTCTCTAGAAGAAAGTAGTGCCACTGTCGAGAAGCTCAGTCAGGAGTAGGAGTCAAGAATGCGGCAATATCATTCTTTTGGCAGCTTCGATATTGACGAGGAGAATGTTTTTACTAACGATATAGTATCTGGGGGTCGTTTGTCTACTCATAATTCGAGTTTGAGACATGTTGGCTCTCAAGGCTTCTTGCAATTAAAATTCTTTGACCCCATCCTTGATGCGCCAGTAGAAGGCTTACATTACTTGCCTTCGGGTGTCGTCAAATGCCTGTTGTAATATCTTGCGAAGACAACTCTGGCAGGTAGAGTTAATGCCAGTAAATTGGTACGTTTGAGAATATGACCTGAAAGCAACAATTACAGCCTGTCGTATAGCATCTTTGACACACAGGTTCCTTCATTCACAACGATTTTTTTTTCAAATAAAGTGTATCTTGGCAATAGAATTCACTGATCCTGTTGCTGGTAAGGATGTCTTTGTTTTAAGCGAGCCACTGGAGGTTTTAACAAAATTATGTTCTTTAGCGTTCATTCATGACGCCTCTTCACCATACCTTAAGCACTATGTTACATCTGTAAAGACGATTGTAGAGGATTTGGACAAAGCATTATAGGAGCTTGATCTGATTGCAGACAATCTAATACCTTTCCTTACTCAATACCTTTATCATCTTCATAAGGATATCCGTCGTTTTGATCGTACTCTGCAGTTCGAAATTGAAAAGGGTGGAATGTTTAATAAGTTCATCCGTGAACAATTATCTCACACTAACAAGCACTCGACGTCGAGAGGTGTTACTGTCAGATTTGGTAATCAAGAAGCACTCAAGCACGTAATACGTAATATGACTAAAGCATTAAAAACCATATCATTGCTAATGGTGTAGCGTTCCGTCTAAAGTTTCTTGGTATCTGCGAGTATGCATTTATTTTCTTGCAATAAGCTTCAACATTTTTTCCTTACTCGCTTTAAACACGATGACATCTATGTTATGCACTGTTCAATCGAAAAACAAATAACCTTCATCATGAAAAGTTTGAAGATGCTGTTGAAAATCATTGAAACATTTTGGTGATCATGCACATCATGTAACAAAGAGCTAATCAAAGCATATGTTCCTCCTACACATCTTTCATTGTACTCATTGATTGATATACACATAGTGAATTGGCTAATTGTCTTTCCCAACGAAAAAAGTGTAACTCTACACAAATCAGCAATAAAATAAGCTTTTGTATATCAAATATTAAGGAGTTTATTATGTTTGTTTTCTAGCGTTCTTAGTTAACCGAGCGTTTTCACTGTCATCCAAACTATAAAAATATACACGTTAGTAATTTTTACAAATGACACAATCTCGACTCACTGATCATCATCATCCTCTTCTTCTTGATCTACGTGTAACAATGCACTTTGTTCACCGCCTCTTCCAGGACGATGATAGCCAGATTTGTTCTTGAGATCAGACAATTCAACATTTTTATGAATAGGAGGATGGTCTTCTTCTTCATCTGTGAGTTCACCACCTAATTCGAAAACAGCTGCATCATCTTGAATATTTCTGCCTCTATTGGGATTTTCTGGATGCTCTGCACGTCTCAAACGTTCTTCCAGATCCAAAGCTTCTTCTTCGTCTTGACTGATTTGCATCAAGCCATAACGAGCATTGTTGCTAGTAGGACGCCATAAGACCACAATCACAAAGAAAACAATGAAATACAACACGTTCAATAAACCGTCCAACATGACCCAACGGAACTTCCAGTTTTTGGCAGCCCAATCAATAGCCATGCGGCCTGAAAAGGCAAACATATTCAAGATAAAGATAGTGACAACTGCAATAACAGAGAACAAAAGGAGGCGATAAAGTCTCTTGTACATCAAGACCTTGACATGTTGTTTACGGAGTTCAAGGTCATGAATTGTGCTTGTAATTGAATTCAAGGTCCAGACATAAAAGATAGTCATGGTGATGGACAGAGGGAAAATGACCAGCAAGATTAAGAGACCTGCTGTCTCGGGTGTCAAGAGCATAGTACCAAGTGTATAAATTACACCAAAGAAAAAGTGTGTACATGCCAGAATAATGCATTTCTTCATTGCTGAACCAAGGCTGGGTCTATTATTATCATATTTTAATTGTTAATTCATGTATGATAGTCTTTGTTAACTTACTTGACAACACTGTAACCCATACATACAATCAAAAGCATAAAGAACGACATACTGGTAGACAATGAGTTTTCAAATAGATACTGTTTGGTCTGCTTACCTTGTTCTTCCTGCATTCAACAGTGCTACAAGTGCCAATAAGCCATAAGCTAAGGAATAATGAGTCTATTGTGTATATATTCTAGCAACGTACATGTTTGACCTGTTTGATTATATGCTTCCCAAAAACCAAAGTTGAAGGCCATTTCAACAATAAGATAGAAAATAGTAGCTGACAAAAAGTGCTAAACATAGAACAAAATCAATCACTTTTTTTTTATAAGTTATGTTGTCTTTACCTGAACAGGGAGAATATCTGACCAGTTTCTATAACTTTGAATGGCCCAAAAGATACCAACTGCCAAATAAACACAAGCCAAGGCGCCATACAACTAATTGATACGCATAAGACACGTTACAGATATATGAAATGACTTACAAGTAATTTAGGATAATCTGTAGCTGGTAATTCGCCATAAGGAAATCGCCATTCCACCCAAGCCTCAAAATAGGTTTCATTTTGTCCTCCTGCAGGGACCAAAGCCACGCAGTAATATCCAGTATAATCTACCTTATACAAGGCCATCTCGGTTTGATTACCTGTCATGTTAATGGTGGAAGTCAAGATACTTGTGCTATTGGCTTGATCGCTGGGAATATTGGTAATGAATTGACCGATTTCTGAAGACTTGCAGAGTTTATGCGAAACAGCTAATTGATCACAGACATACACGGTCTATAAAGTCCATCAGAATTCATTTTCAAGTTTATGTTGTCTTACTTCTTTTGCTTGCTCATCATAAATGCCAAGTTTTTCAAAGTCTTGCCATTCATAGATAAGCATGGATACTTTTCCTTTCGATTCATGTCCAATAGAAACTGCCAAGCCAAGCCAAAAATAAAAAAAAAATTAGTCTTTCGAAAATATAACTATTATGTCGTACTACCTTTGATATAAGGCTGTGAGCCACCAAGAATAGCCTCCTTGCTCCATACACCAGAACATGAAGTAGCTGAAAAGTCATTACTTGACTATAAATTTATGCAAATTAGATATACATAAGTTGGTGTTTTTTTATTCCTTACTAGATACACTTCTTCAGCATTTAAGATACTAAAGAAGGTAGACAGTAAAATGCATAGTATCGGCAACAGTTTTGCTGTCATTCTTTTGAAGAAAAGACCAGTACGAAAAGAAAAAAAAAAGGTACAACTGTTATTTACAGAAAAAAAAAGACTGTCTATCTCGTCTTGACTCTATATAGTTTTCGATAAGAAAGAGAGGTTTATCTTGTAAACTTCGAGATTCGTATGTTAAAAAAGAATAAAGAGTAAGTAAAAGAAAAACTAACTTTCATGACGTATCAAACTATTTATTTGCTGTTATTCGTGTCTCATTGGCAAAAAAAAAAAAATCAAGACTGGGTTTCAACTACTTTGTACTCTTGAATCGCTTTGAACCTGGTCGAAACATAGAAGAAGCAGAAGTGAACCCACCAAACTTGTGCTTAAACTCAAACCCCATGCTATCATTAGTACTAGTACTTGAAGATGCGAAGGGAGTCTTTTTCTTGTTGTTTGTGGTCACTAATTGACTATCAGGCGAAGGAGTAGGCTTGTTAATTGTGGTAGCAAGCATTGTTCTCACTATATCATTCCAGTCCGGAGCATTTGTTGTGTACAACTTCCTGTCTAGTCCTCTCAAATAACGAGAAATCTCTTCTACGTGATAGTTTCCCCATGAGGTTCTTTCTTCAGGAGAAATACAGTACAACAAGACTGTAACACAGGTTAATTATATATGCCATTCATTATCCGTTTACCTACACTTGGATCGAGTCATGCCAACATAAAGCAAGCGACTATTTAAAGGAGATGAAAACTAGTTTTTTCCTCAAGCTAATTACCCTTCTTCATTCGGATCTTCTGCTCTGCTGAGTGGAATAACACCCTCACTGCAGGTAGCAATGAAAACACAAGGCCATTCTAAACCTATTGATGGAATGAGCTTATGTATTTTCATTTGTATGTACTACCTTTTGATGAGTGAAGTGTGGCAATTGTAACTTTCTAATAATAGAATAAGAACTATGTTTGCAAAGATGGTGAACGACTTACTCCTCCTTCTGCTTCCTCTAGTTCTTTTTGATTTGAACACAAGGCACAGTATTCCAAGAAATCAGCAACAGGATCACTGCTAACAACACCCATATCCTCTTCTTCATTGTAATAATCAGATTGTGATTGAGTTTGAGGCTGAGGCTGAGATTGGGGCTGGTATTGAGACTGAGGTTGTTCACCATCCATATCATCCTCACTAATGTCAAAAATATAAATGTCAGCTACAGTCAAGAATCACTATCATACATACCACTCCACTATTGTAAGGTCTAATTCTTCAATATCATTGGGCTCTTCTTCCAGTTCAATCACTGTCACACCATTGCTTTGGCCTTCAGGATCATCGTTTAGGGTTGCGTCTATTGCCTCATCATCCTCAATAGCTGGTTGCTTCTTTGCAATAGAGATCAATTCACCAATATTACTCCAACGAGCAACATGGTCTTGGAAATGATGTTCCTTGAGATAATCTTCATATTTGATCGCATTCACAATATAATGAATGATTTCAGATACTTCTTCCTACAAAACTATCGTTCAATTTTATCTTTTTTTTTTTTTTTTTTACCTATCTTACCCCTTCATTCATCAAGCGTTTGGCTTCAATGCTAACATCAACCAAACTCTTTAGTTTTCTTGATACATTGGCACTTACAATAGACTTGGCTTTTCCGTCCACGATTTTTTGTAGGCTCTCGAGTAAGCTGATGTTTTCCTGTGCACTGAAGCTGACAATCTTTTTCAAGGTAACTTCACCAACACCTCGTCTAGGCACATTGACAATTCTATTGAAACTTACATAATCGTTAGGATTATATGCAAAGCGCAAATAACAAGTAATGTCCTTGATCTCAACACGGTCAAAGAAACGATCACCGCCAACCTATAAAATGAGATGATGAAAAGGCTTTTTCTTTTCTTCTTTTTTTTTTTCTCACTCTAACTTACAATACTAAAAGGAATATTGTGGCTTCGAAATACTCTTTCAAATTGTTGAGAAATAAAATTCATTCGCATCAATACAGCAATATCCTTATAATTGATGAGACCTTTAGAATAAGTGATGATTTGTTTGATTTCTTTGGCCACTAGTTTTGCTTGGCTTTCTTCATTTCTAGTGCGTATGATGGCTATGGGCACGCCTTCAGGATTGTTTGTATACAAGGCCTTGTCAATACGAGATCTATCTGTATGGCCTAGTCAGGACCAACATGTATATGGCAAAGCTTTACCTTGAGTAATGACATGTAAAGCAGATTTAAGAACAGTAGCTGTACTTCGATAGTTTTGTTCCATATTAATGGCAGTTGTTCCTTTATAGTCTTCTTGCATTTTGTTAAAGTTTTTAGGCTCTGCACTTCTCCAACCAAAGATAGATTGATCAGGATCTGATCCAGGCCATTAGCTCTTTATTTCGGTGGTCTCTCCTTATATACTTACCGCCAACGATAGTCACTGTTTTTTCGTTCTTTTGTTCCATCATGAGTTTGATTAAATCATATTGAACTACGTTGGTATCTTGATACTAGACAAAACAATAAGTTGATGTTGTGCTTCAATGTATACCTACTTCATCAACCAAAATAGCTTTTACGTTGCTTAAGACGTCCTTTTTCTTTCTAAATAACTCACAGCCCTTAATCAACAAGTTATCAAAGTCCTGTATAATCAAAAGTCAGGCATGCATAAAAGAAGAATGTAACTTACAACAAGATTGAGTTTCTTCAACTCTGATTCATAAGCAGTAAACAAGATAGCAATATCTTTCTTTTTGAATTCAGTACCATATAGATCGCTATACTGTGCTGCTGTTAAACCTTGACTTTTTGCTTTACTGATCAAACCCCAAATAGCGCCTGATTTGTACATCAGTCAATCTCTTTATACCACAACTCGACATGTACCAACTTTCTGCTCTTTTCTAGTAAAATGATCAATTGGCAAATTAGGATCTGCTCTAAGTCGAGTGATAATTTCTTGGCTAGTATATACAGGTTAGAACATAATAAATGAGTTACTACTATCTACCTAGCTTGTGTATCGGCAATGGTGAAATTAGGCTCAAGATCAACAATTTTGGCAAACCTTCTGAGAATGCGTGCACACAGGGTGTGAAAGGTACCTATCAACAAGTATTCTGTGTTCTTTTTGCCTATCAATAGCTTTAAACGTTCTTTCATTTCGTTGGCTGCTTTATTGGTAAAAGTAACAACGATGGTATGTCCTGGCTTGATGTTTTTTTCTAAAATAAAATAGGCTACGCGAGCAGTAAGGACTAAAGGAGAGATAGGTTAGAGTGATAACTAGAAACATAGTTTACCTCTTGTCTTTCCAGAACCAGGGCCAGCCAAGATCTGCAAAGTAGTTGCATTGGATAAGACTGACTGCTTTTGAGTCTCGTTTAAGGACTCTAGTGTCTTTTTGAAATAAGCTTTTTCTGGTTCCATATTGAAGAAAAACAGCAAAAAAAAAAAATTTCAAGGTGACAGACATGAACTTTATTGAGCGCAATCTCTGGCACAGACATTCTGCGATTTGTTCATTTTTTGACCGCCAAAAGCTAATGTAAATCGACTGTGTGCTAAATATTCAAAAGTCAAGCATCATACGTTTAACTGCATCCTATTTTCTTAGGTTCTAAATACAACTCTTAGAAAACACTTCATTTCTAGAGACCCCCTCGCCCTAACGCATACGCAGGTAACAATGTCAGAGGAGTCTGGTATAGTTTCCAGCCTCGAAAGTGTTTATGTGCAATCAATTTCTGCCAAAAGGCTCATCTTGATATCAAATTTAATGATTTAGTTCAGAGTTCTATGTAAAAGATCATGTATGCGCGTTAAGAATTTAAGTTTTACTGTATTACAGCAAGACACTAATCTATCAAACAAAAGTTTAAGTTCTTCAAGAATTTCTTTATTAATATAAAAAAACAAGTACAAGTGTATAACAGTTTGAATTCTATGATTTAATACAGCTTCCAGGAATAGGCTCTTCTTTTTCAGCAGGAGTAGCAGGTGGAGTAGAAGCTTGGATTACTTTAACAGGAGCAGAAGGAACAGCAGCTGTATTACGGTTGTGAGCCATATGAGCCTGGACAAGATGACCAGCCGCTAAAGCAGCACACAAAGACAATTCACCGGCCATGACAGAAGCACAGATAACACGGGCAAGACGACGAGCATTAGCACCAGGTTCAGTAGGATGGGGACCACGGACGCCAATAAAATCAAGCATGGCTTGTTGAGGAGGCAAGATCGTACCACCGCCAATAGTACCTACTTCAATACAAGGCATGGTACAAGAAATATGAAGATCTCTTTCGTTATTCACAGCCTTCATCAAGGTGATACAGTTGGAACTTTCTACATTTTGAGCAGGATCTTGGCCAGTAGCCAAATAGATAGCAGTCAGAATATTAGCAGCATGAGCATTGAAACCACCCACAGAACCAGCCATTGCAGAGCCCACAAGGTTTTTTGAGACGTTCAGTTCAACAAGAGCAGCCACAGTTGTCTTGAGCACCTTTTCAACGATATGACCGGGAATGACAGCTTCAGCGACCACTGATTTACCACGTCCTTCAATCCAGTTGATAGCAGCAGGCTTCTTGTCTGTACAATAGTTACCAGAGAGTGAAATGATTTGCATATCAGGATATCTTTCAGCAATTTTGCTTAAAGCTTTTTCACAACCTTTAGAGATCATATTCATACCCATAGCATCACCTGTAGTAGTAGAGAAACGAATATACATTAAGCGACCAGCAAGGGCAACCTTTAATTTACGAACGCGAGCAAAACGCGATGTAGAATTGAATGCATTTGTAACGATATCTTCACCTTCTTGTTCAATCCATCTTTTACATTCAGCAGCGCGAGTAATAGTAGGAAATTCAACACAAGGACCACGCGTCATACCGTCAGCAATAACAATTGTATTAGCACCTCCACCAGCGTTAATTGCTTTACAGCCTCTGGCAGTAGAAGCAACCAAGCAGCCTTCAGTAGTTGCCATAGGAATATGAATTGAGTCACCATCAATATTCAAAGGACCTGTCTATATTAGGACATGACAAGATAAACAAATAAAACTTACCTGCCACACCTACAGGAATAGGCATGTAGCCAATGACATTTTCACAGCAAGCACCCATGACTTTATCATAGTGATAATTTTTGACAGGAAGCATACTTCCTTCCAACGTCTTTGTACGAGAATCACGAGAAATCAAAGCACGGCGAATATGAACAGCGCGTTCAAAATCACCAAGGACTTTCTCAAGTGCATAAGGGGCCATCTTACCTGCCTGAACAATCGAGATAATTTCTTCATCAGTGATGGCTTCTGGTGTACTAAGTAATGCCAACACTTGATCTAAGGGACGAATCACATCGGATTGATGATGGTAAGAATGACTTTGCTTTCTTGAGAGTTTTGTTACTGCCTTGGACTCTTTAATGGGCACTTCTACTCGTTCAACCACCTTCTTGATGACCACTTTAGGTTGCTTAGAAGTGTTTAAAAAATAGGTATTGAGGAAGAGGGAGAAGACAAGTAGAAGAATAAGCCACTTTGAAAAAACGGGATGCTGTATGTAGACAGCATAGACGTCAAATAAGCTTTCAAAAGAGGATTTCATATTAGATAATGTAATAAATCAAAGGAAAAAAAAGGGGGAAAAGGGTACTATAGCATAATTCAAGTGTCGAAATAATTGATTGAGACACTCGAATACAAAATAAGAAATATCTTTTTATTTTTAAAGTAAGCGAAAAATTTTACAGTCATAAAAAGAGCACCGCAAAACATGGATTCACAAACTCATGGAAAAGCAACAAGTAGAATTACTCGCTCAACAGCCTTAAGCAGAATCAAAACTTGTTCCACAAATGATGGGTTCAATGTCCCATTTTCATTCTTTGGAAGTTCGTCCTTCTTATTTCTCAGTTTATAAGCCAACAGTTGTCGCTTGATTCTCCTTTGTTCGATTTGTCTCCTACGACTAAGGGAGAGTGTCATAAAGCAATTGAAGACATCAGCCGCTTGGAACCACCCCCGATCGCTGGATAAACCAATATCAATTCAAGCAAAGAAAATCTCAATTAAACATCTGCAATGTCTTTTCTCAGGTGTTCTTTGATCTCCTGGGATTAGAAATTAGTAAGGATACAGAGAATCAGAATGTGCAACACTGTTTGTACAATCAGGCACCAAAATAGTTCTGCCCTTATTGGTTGAGCATAAAGCTACGTCACTTTAGATGAAAGCCTTGATGTGTTTTTAAAGTCAAATCTGGACGAGTTATTATGACTTTTTGACTTTTCAAATTTAGTAAAAAAAAAAAAAAAAAAAAAAAAAAGTACTAAACCCTTGAATTTGAAAGAGCTCACTAAACAGAACTTTTATTTATTTCTTTTCTATTAAGGAAGGTTTAAGAAACTAAGGTTCTTTTCAAACTGTCTCCCACTCCCAAAAAAACATAAATTTTTAAAATTCCATGTATAGTAATGAGGTATTGAACAACTAGTCTTTTTGATCTAAAATCAGTTTCTAGCACACTAAACACTTCAAGGATAAGCTTGATACTTCTTTTTATGGTTTCCCTCAAAGGGCCGCATCTTATATAGTACAAGAAGAAAAAATAATAATAAATAAGGAGACATGTTTTATAAAATATTATCATAATTCAGCATCAAGAAGTACTGTTAGCTTATAAAATTATTCTCACAATAGATGTCGTTGGAGTGAAGAAAAGATATCAATAACGATTGGATCATAATTGAATTGCAACTGTAGATTTAGATTGTCTAGAATTGAATTCAAGTACAGCCATGGTGTTGTCAAGTAGATCATTTTATTGTTCCTCATAAAAAAAAGGGAAGGCACACTATACTCGGGTAAAGCCAAAAGATAACAGAAATAGATATATATTAAACACACAAAGAAGCGTATAGACATGAACTGTTTTATATCAAAAGAAAATGCAATGCAGTATCTTTGAGTGTCTTGTACTACACCACAGCGCAGCCGATTGCAGATTTCTTCCATCGCTTGCGCTGTGGTGACTAAAACGTAGGTAATAAAAAGAGAAATGTAAGGCAACTCTTCTAAAGAGCTTTGTACGACTTGAATGCCTTATGCATTACCTATTTATTTTCCACTTTGTCTTCTTTCAAAATAAATTCGATACATAATGATTGAATCACTACAATTAAATATAAAGTATCGAAGATACCTATGTAATTTAACAAATGCAACAAGAAGCTACTATAGATACGCACAGCTCTAGATAATAGACTGAAACAAAGCTTTTAGGGACTTGTGCCTTAAGCGGCCAATCTCACGAAACAAACGACAATGACGATGAAGGTTTTGCAAACTCATCTGATAACACAAAGCAAGCAGGTCAAGCAAACCAAGTCAAGTTAATACTTGAGAGTCCAGAAATTCATAAGAGAAAAAGGTGTCGCTCTCATAGAACCTCATACGATATACCTGATTACAACCAAGATACAGTGAGTTACTTTGATGGCACACAAAGCTGTTTTGAGCTGACGTCAAAAGGTCAAACTATTCCTGTCCTTGAACCAAACATTTGCAATGTCTGCAATTACTGTCATGTTTGCGATTGCTCATTTACAATCAAATCTGAGTTCAGTCATCATGTTCGATATGTGCACAAAATGCCTGTTCCAGAGTTTAATGAAGACTTTCTAATATAATGTAGTTTATGCGATTGGACTTGTAACTCTATTTCTATTTATAGAAACCATCTTGAAGACATACATCGGATCCTGGTTCCAGCTCACTCTAATCCCAAGCTTCAATCATTAGCCATGAATCTTGGCAATCATTGTGATCAATGTAAGCTAACGTACTATACACGATCTAGTTTTCTGCATCATCTTGATGTTGTACATGACTTTAGAAAGAGGAGTAGTAGTACTGAACAAGCTTCAAAAGCTGAAGCAACAGATATCGAACAAGCCAATTCAAGAGGATATAGATGTGCTTGCGATTATTGTAGTATTGAATACTAAGAAACAATGTTACTCAAGAAGCATGAGAATGTAGGTACGCCTGAATATTGCAAGCATTGCGACATTGTCTATGATACAAGATGAGCCTATGAAGCCCTTCTTTATGTGTATCATAAAGAAGCAGACTCAATGTCGCCACCGTTCAAACATAGAATTGGTCCTAATCTCAATGATTCCTGCAATTGCTGATATGTCTGCTGTTGCACTTACACGACAAGCACATCTAAACCATATATCATATTCGTATTCAAAGTTTTACTATCAACATGTTAAGCGATCTGCCTAAGATTGATTTTGTGATTTAATACCGCTTTATCTGCCTTAGTTACTATACGAGTCAAGAAACTTTTTGGTAACCTATTCTTGGTAAGCATTGATTTTTGGAAATAAAGTGTCCATTTAAATGATCTAGAAACGCGTCCATAATTACGCGACTTATTTTTTCGTGTCCGCTGTCTTTTTTACATTTTTCTTCCTTGTTGAACACTCTGTATGGAACTAGACGAGTATTACGATATTGACTCCATATTAGCAGAGCACACAGTAAATGCCTCTAATTTAAAAGAAATAAAATTTTAAAAAAACTAAACTTCTTAGAAACTTCCTTGCATCCCACAACACGATTTCAAAAAAGAAACAAACTTGAGAGGAGACGATACAGAAGTAGCCAATACTATATTGTAAAGCAATATTTAATACAGTTTATAGGTAAATCATGGATCTCGTGTTGAGCTGCCTTATTGGATAGCAAAGCCTCTAGCACAATACACGTAAATATGTTTAAAAAGTAAATCCACAACTTGTTAACTCGACTTTAGTTTACCCGGCAACGTGTAAGCATGATTTATCAATGAAAAAAATATACACACAATTAACACAAGCGTGCAGCTCCTTAATATCAATTGAGTTACCAAAGATATATGGTACCAAAGTGAGGAATGTATTGGACGTCAGTGCCACCAGTGTTGATTTCAAAATGCTTTGTCCCTATTTTTATTTATTCGGTATTAAATTGTTAGATTTGGTTGTAGATGATTCTTTAGCTGGTGTGTTAGAAAAGGTACTCAATTTCTCCTGGTTTTTTTTTTCTTTTTTTGCGTCATTAATATGTATCATGTAGGCATTTCGATCAAGATTGAGAGAAATTATGGATTATTCACAAACAACAGGCTCTGCTACAGGACAAATATTTTTACAGAAATTAGACGAAACAGAAAAAGAATGCAAGTGCTTATGTTTTTTAGTATCAAGTAACTAATTCATGAAATTAGTATTTAAAGCAGGACAAGAAAGTGCAGCCAACTTCAGACGATGGAGAGACAGAGCCATTCATCATATTAAAGTAGCTGATCTTGGAGTGCGGTCCAAAGCCCGAATGGAAATGAATTCCTAAGTGGACCTAATTGAATATATGTAGACCAAGTGAAAAAGAGAATAAAAGAGCGCGAGAAAGAGCTTTGTTCATGAAGCATTTTATAAGTAAAAACCATTATGAAAATTTTATTGGCAAAGATAAGCGTAACAAAAACCTTTACCATTCAATATAAGCTTGACATGGTTAGCTAACCTTGGGAAGTCTATATTTTGTCTTGAAAAAAATTGGCAAACAATTTATTAGCATGATGGCACTAAAAGTGTATTAGTAGCCTGCCGCAGGCGCGAGTGTTTCTCGAAATAAACCATCATTTCTGTCTTCTGATTCCCATTTTTCGAGTTTCCCATGTTTGAGCATGCATAAAAGAACGCATTTATGCAAAAATATAGCAAGTTTTGAAAAAGTCAAAAAATCGTCATCTTGTCCTTATGATCCCCTGAAGAAATTTTCACACCTTTCTTTCGTCTAAAGAATTTTCCAGTATGTTGGTTTGGTCACTCTTGGTGTTGCTCTAGATTTTGCCATGATCCCTTATGGAAGATTGTATCTCTTAGGTATCAGCAATTGTGTCAAGTGCCAAGTAATTGAAGACATTGTGGAATGGTGTCCTTTACTTGTGGTATTGGTATTGCCATCTGCAGCATTGAACAAGACAAGATATAAAGAGTACTGACTCTCAGGAGCGACGAACGAAATATTTGATATATCCTTTTAGGACATATTAAGGGGTAGTACAGGTGATGACTATTTTATTGAGATTATATAAGACTCATATAATCGTACTGAATGCTTCCACAAAAGCATTGTTTTAAAGATATTTCATATGACTAGTCACTTTGCTTCACATACACTAGTTTCCATCTATACGATGATTTTGTTTTTTTCCAAATAAAACTTTCATCCAATACATAATAGAAAAAAAAGAAATCTTCAATTTTCACTATTTTGCGATTTATGAGCGACAGAGACATTGTAGACATAGCATGTTTTAGTAAGAATTGCTTCTCTAGGTCTATAAAATACACTCAAAGTGTTAATTTTGCAAAAGTACTATAAAAAGTATACGTTACGGCTCAAAAACAGGAAACACATTTTTCAAGAATAGCTCATTATCTTGATATTCAACATGTTACGTTCTTTACACCATTCGATGCGTAGTATTTGCAGCTATCAGCTTTGTTAATACGCCTATCTGATAGCTCTTCTTATTTAGACACTTTTAGTCCATCATTTCTTTTCTCTAAGCTGTGTTTATTGATTGAGCCGCGTACACTAAGAGTAATGGTTAAAGTGAAGAGGCGGGTGCAATTGAGATAATGCTAAGAACTAATATAAAATATAATAACTAAATAAAAGCACGATAAAAGAAAACAAAAACTTAAAATAAAATAAACAATGTAGAGGTTATAGGAGTGAATGGTATTGATCTTCTTCAATGGTCTGACGAACATTGGATCGGATGCTTCCCAATATTGCTGTGGGTACAATGGGGGGGGGTCTTGTCAAAGATAAACCTCATATGAGCAAGCCAGATTTGTGAAAGAGTTACTATGAAGACTCTGTATGGTTTGATTCCTTTCCATTGGCAGTACCAGATGTACGAGAAGTCCAGGGACAGAAGAGCCTCTTGGATATCAGATATTGAGGTGGTAGGCCATAGGGACTCGAAAATTAGTTCCTGCCATACCTTCTCTTTAGTTGGACAATGTGATAACAAGTGGATGTTTGAGTTTTTTGAAAATATGCAGACTGGGCAAAGAGGGGAATCAAACACTTGAGGCATAATAAAATCACCATTTCTAAATTTCTTCATTTTTTTGATTTTAGTTTTTGACATGAGAATGCTGATTTAAACTCAGATTTTGTTTAGGAGACATTTCACTTGCACCAAGCTTTAAAGTATGTCAGCTTTTTTTATTTCATTCTAAAGCCTTTGTGGGCTGCATTGATAATTATGGTTTTATCTGTAAACAATGAAATTAACTTGTGACATGAGTGTGTTACCTTTGAGTTTATAACGATATAAATCTCGGCGTTTACTGTCTGTTGTAGCAGTCATTTTGACAGTTCAATATCCATATCCATGAATGAACCAAGTTTATACAAAGCATCAAAGTCAATGAGAATACAATTATTATGCTCCTGTTTTCGTCTCAGGTACTAAGATAGTTCAGCCGTCATTAGTTGATCGTAGAGCTACGTCACTTAAGGTGGTCAAAATTTAACCAAGAATGCTATTTTTTCTTTTAGCCCATCATTACAAACAAACGCACGGTAGGGCTTTGTAACGTGCAGGGTTGGCTCTTCTGCGAACAATCTCTGTGAGCTTGGCGGTTTCCCTAATACGTGACGCAGCTAAATGGAAAAAAGAGCTGACTCTTGTATATTATTTTTTATACAAGAGGTGTTCATCGAGATTGTTTTGCTTTATTGCGATGCTTAGAATTGATGTGTGCTATTTAGAAACTATTGTTTAGCTAACCACTTTGTTTTTTTTGAATTATTTCGATATGCAGTTTTAATTTGCAGAAGATGTTTGATTGTTTTACACCACATCTTTAGTTATAATCCATGATTCAAATTTTATTTTTTTCACTTTAATAAAAATTCTGCTTTTTGCTTCATTCAGCTCCTTTAAAGAAAAACGAACCGAAAAAAAAATAGATGGAAAATGTTAAATAATTTTTCCATTCGGTGTAACCACGAAACGTGATAGACTCGCCACCAATAAAAACACAAAGAGTTTTTTTCTTTCATTTTCTTTTTTTCCTTCGTTTGTATATTATGTCAACTCCATTAAAAAATAAGACAAAGGATGCAACACCACGCCTTGTGTTGAGAACTTACAAAGCAAGCGATCATGAACAAATTGACCATTTATTTTATAGTACATACTTTGCACTAGTACCCGAAGGTGTCAAACGTAAACTTATGTCACCCGTCTTTTGGGTGCTTTGGATAGCATTTTATTCATACTTACTGGGTATTGTGCCTGTTTTGCTAAGCGGGATGGGTCTTCCTTCCTGGGTTGCTACTGCTCTCAAGATTTTCTTAACGTTTGCTTGGCTTGCTGTCTCTTTTGCTGGTGTGTTTGTCGTGACAGATAGATTTGAAGTAGTTGACAAAGTAGAATATGTTCGCCAAAACGACTTGAGTGATCCCGAAGTATATTATTTGAATTGGACAAAAGAAGAAGTTCAAGTTGAGGACAATGATGTCTCTACAAAGGGAAAGAAGCGTGTCACATTTGACAAAGATGCTAAACCAGCAACCGAAACCATTCGAAAGCAAAAACCAGCACATGAACAAGCACCTTCTCATTTTTGGATACTCACTTTGGATGGTCGTCCCTGCGGCATGGTTGGTTTGGCTCATTATACACAGCAACTCTTGTCAAATCGACCTGTGCAGCCTCCTGCTTGGAAATTGTTATTAGCGGCTGCTTGCAATCGATACCATATTCCTTTACCTGCCTATTTACAAAACTTGCATGAAAAGGTATCTGCTATTGTTTTTGCTGAACCTCATGAAGCAAATGTTGCTACATTACAACGATTGGCTGTGAAGACGGAATATCAAGGTTGTGGATTGGCTACTTTGCTGGTTGATAGAGCCATGTCTTGGGCACATGAAAAAGGACTGGAAAGAGTAGAAGCAGTGACGAATGAATTAGAGGGTCATGCTGAGCATATCTTGAGTGCTCAACACGGTTTCAAGTTGATCAAGAAGCAAAAGAAGGGATGGTTTGGACAATATGAAAAGAGATGGTCTTGCGATGTAAAGGAATGGATGGCAGCTCATCAAGAAGCTGCTAAAATTTATAAAAAGGAACAGGAAACACAGAAATAGATTAGAGATTTTGTATATACATATATATATATATATATAAATAAATGTCAAGACAACCTAATTGAAAGTAAAATTTAGAATTGAAATGGTCATGAACTGTGAATACTAGCATTGGGATGCATATTTTGCATTATATTCTATCATTACATTGTATTCTCATGTCATTTCGTGTCAATCACTAACCATTGGTTATGATAAAAACAAAGAGAATAATTGACCAATTTTTTTCAATCAGGGCATGTTATAAAGACGCTTTCTTTCTCGAATTTGGTTTATTTGAAATTAACAGTAGGATATAATAAATTGAGGTAAATATTTACAATTAGAATTAAGTTTTAATATTCCTTCTTTTTCTTTTGTGCTAAGTCCATAGCAGAAGCAAGGCTTGTAACAATGTGGTAAGCTTTAATCAGATCCAAATAGTCAGGATGTGTCGGCGTGGTATGCTTCAAAAGATCTATGAAAATTGTTAGACGATACACGGATAAACCTTATCTAAACTTACCGGCTAATAATAAACCGTATCGGGCAACACGTTGAATTGGAATAATTAAATAGTCTTTTAGAGTGAACTGGCTTGTTTCTTTACGAGAGCTTAATTTCTATCATAGTATTAGTCTATGTTTGATAAGAAAAAATTTACCTGTCGGAATTTACTATAGGCTTTATTGTTGCCTTCGATGCTATCCAATAGCTTTCGATTGCCTCTGTAGTCTATAGCACAGCGCAAAAAGACGACAAGATCTTCAGACATTTCCACCAAAGTTCTTCCTAGGCGAGAAGCATTACATTCAATCCCCTTGGTATTGTTTTGAATGTCGTCTTCAGTAATCGTACGAGGATCAAATTCTTGGACATTTCGGATTTGAAGATGTCGGATACGGTTTATTAGTTTCGCCGAGAATTGCATTAGATCAAAAAGGTTGGCAAAAATATCGGCATGGCTTGGTTTAGTAAACGGAGAGCCATTCTCAAAAGCGAAAATCAAGAAATCATAAAATACCTAAATGCATTGTTAATATTCATATGTCAAAAAATAATAATAATAATAATAATCAACATACGATTTTTGTGTAGTACAATTGGTTCCAGAAATTGACTTCTGTCAAAAAAAACTCTCGTAATATAAATTTTCGGGTTAGCAGGGATCGTTCGGCTTTATCCATTGGCTATATAGATGATATATAAATAAACTCATTGTAAATTCATACGTGTTGATACGTACCATATCGACTGGAGCTGTCAAAAAAGGCAAAAGGTTACGTAAACGCTCTTCTAAAACATGATGCCATGTCATGATGGCTTTTGCTTCACGCTTCCAATTTGTCTTGCGATAAAGTTGATATTTGCGAGGCTTGATCAATGCAAACTCAACAATAGGTTCTCTTGTGACAGGATCAAATACATTAGGTATATACAGGTATTTTAGTGTGTCTTCACACAGTGAATCAAAAAATGAGTTTGTATGTGTCATCAGTTCACCGTTAGATGCTGCTTCTGCTGCTCTTGCTTTCGCTCTTTGGCATGGCTTAAATGCTGATTTCTTTTCAACTGGATGTCGGTACCTTCTGAGAATAGACATGTTTCGAGTATGGAATTCTGTAATGGCAATAATATCATTCTCTACCAATGTTTTGGATGAGCTTGAACTAAAAGAAGAGGAAGACCGATCAAAAATAGGGCAGCTCGAACGACGACGAATCACTGGAAGTGAAAAGGTATCATTGATATCATGAGAACTTTGAGTAGAGAGACTAGTGACATCGGATGATTCTGTTGTTGAGGGACTTGTTCTATTGTTGTGATCAAAGATTTCTGAGTCTGAATGAGACCCTATAGTAGAGAATGATTCATGATCTTCCAATACTGAGGGTTCTTCTACAAAAGCGGATGTTTGCTGAAAAGCAATGGAATGTCGCTTACTGTTATCGTCAAGTTCCCAAGGTGGTAGTGAAATAGGAACTTCAGGTGACCAATTCACTAATGTAGGCATGATAGGTTCAGGTATTATTGGTTGGTACTGGGATAGGGTATCTTGAATAAACGATGCTGTATTTGTGCGCTTGGAGAAGTGAGGCATATGAAATTTTTTAAAGACCTGACTACCAGTATTGTTGCTGCTATGTATTTTAGGTCTTTCTGAGTCACTCTTTTCAGAGAGCTTTTCCGTACTACTGTCATGACTGCTGATAGATGACAATGGACTACCTGTCAACTTTGGCAGAATCGAATTCAAGTTAATAGATGACGAATGATGATGCTGTGAGTTCTTTCCATGAACAGGAAGAGCTGGTAAGCTTTTGTATTTTCTAATATTCTCGAGCGGCCTTTTAGGTGAGCTGCTGCTTTTGATATCAGTGACAGATTTGTCTTTTGGAGAAAAAAACTGCTGAAATGCGTTCTTCTTTAGTGCAGTAGTTTTGGTGTCTGTATCAATCGATAAGTTAGGCCGTTTGATTAAAGGACTAGGATGTATACGATTGCGTTTTTCTGCAACTTCGTTATTGATAGCTATTGAATGCATAATTCTCAATCATAGAATTCAAGAGAAAAGAAGAATGAAATTTTTAATTTTTTTTGTCTTTTTTTCAATTTCAAATATCCAAGGGCCTATTGGTTTTGAAATGCTCAGGTTTCACTGTATATTAGTGCTACACAAAATGAGATTCAACCAACCATAGTTGATCTACTAAGCACAGAGCTAATACAAAGCCAATAGATCACTTTCATTGCTGGAGAAACCATTGAAATAAAATACACAAAAGGGAAATTATATTACGCAAATGCTGACAAATTCAAAATAAAAGAGGATTCTGGATTGTCGCAAAGAACAACATGCGATAGGAGGAAGTTTGACTCCCAGTCTATCAAAAAAAATCATGGTTCCATTGTTTGTGTAAGGGTGCATACATCAATTATAACTAATTTTCATATGATCCTTGGTTAAACCGCTCTTCAAGGTCAGGGATTTACACTTTATTCAAACATGTTTAACACACTTTGTTTTGAGTAAAGTTAATACATACAACAAGTTGTCATGTTAATAGAAAACTGAGGGAAAAAAAATAAAGGTAAAAAATGTCTGACATATGTAAAGTAAACATTGATCATGCTTTAACACATGTCAGGGATCCGGTATCTTTTTTTATATTATTAAATTAAATATTTATTTATTCACTGTCATCATCATCAGAAGAGTCAGCTTGATGGTTAGTCAAGTTTTTGTTGGATGTGATACGTTCTAGAACAGCCCCTACAATAGAAGACTGTCGATTCAAGTTACGTATAGAATCAGAGTGGTCATCGTCCGAATCTTGTTTGTTTTCGAAATCACGACGACCATAGAAAGAGCCCACTGATGTAAGGACAGACTCTTTGGAACTGAGAAGAGCGTTGGGTGGCAGAGAAGGTATTTCTTGAGGTGAAATAGGCAATTGAATACTACCTTCTTCAATGCTTCCGTTATGATTAGCCATGGTATCGCGGAAAGCAAATGGTAATGGGATTTCTTTGATGGCACGGAAATTACCGCAATTGTTGATATGCTATATCTATCAGTATCTCTATTTATGCTTACTTTTTTTAACTTACTTCGTTTTCCATACGAAAGAAATTCCATTGAATACGTCGATAGGCTTCCATTAAAGCAGTGAGGAATCCAATCATTTCACCTTTAAACCCCAAACTAGCGGCATTCAGCGTCCAAGCAAAGCGCAAGGCAACATTAAGAGGAGCAGCTACATAATAAGTCCAACGATAAAACACGAGATCGTTTCGCAACAAGAAATGCTTGCTGTTGGGCTGCAATAGTCCCCAATCCATTTTGATGTCCCAAATAGAGGTATAGGTAGAATTAATCACAGAAAATAAAATCCAGATGACTTCCATGGACTCATTCGCTATAACATTTTGTAAATTAGGTGCATCATGAAGAAACTATGTGATATACGTACGATACATTCTTCTGTAGCCTGTCACCAACGTAGAGCCAATAACTGTTATGTATTTGAGAGCATTCACAAGATGTACTTTTTCGTTCGAGTCTTTAAAACGACGGATACATTGCAAAAAACGCCACCAAGGAGGAAGACAAGCCAAAAATGGCGTATACCAAAAGATCTTGACAGGACAATGAGTTGTCATATCATTCCAATGCCAATTATAAGCACAGACAAAATACGAAAATGTCCAGAATGAATAAGCAAGACTGTTGAGCTCATCAACAATAAAAAAGTCGCGAAATTCAATAGGAAGACTATAGCTTAGCAGAATACGGCCTAAAGAAAGACCAAGCCAGCGACGAGAAGAATAATAGAGAATTGGGAAAGGACATGTCAAAATAGCAACCATGATGACAAACAAAATAAGAGGACACAATTCAGATGGGACAGTAGGTGCAAATGTTTGAGATAAATCAATATACATCATGATTGCTTGAATCAATAGTATTAATGAAGGCAACTAAATAACAAAACATGAGCTACCATTTAACAGTACTATATTTACCTCTGCAAATTCGTGATAATCTAAGTTATCTCTAGGATCGAATTCGAAAATAAACTTGTAGTTGATATGAGAACGTGTCCAAACAAGTGTGTTGATAGAGAAACCTAAACAAAATATAATAGGAAGACTAAAGCAGGCATAGATTTGTAAATTATATTCCAAGTTGGGCAATTTTTTTACAACATGAGGATCAAAAGCCAATTGAGCTACCCTTAATAAAAGTGCTAAAGAGAAGCCGATATAGAAGCCAATTCTCCATGTAGTAGGTGTATAGTGCTAAACAATGTAGATGATTCATATTTTTTTTTTATGTATTAATGTAATTACCTCATCTTTTTCGGGAATTCTAAGTTTTGACATACCTCTTCCTCTATGTCCTTCTGCAAATTCAGCTATATACAATTCCTTTATATACATACATGAGTCTTTCATACAAACTTATTCCTATTACCTCTGTATTATGTAAAAATTCGTCTAATTTTTCTGAATTCATCCAGTGATATTTATTGAGTTTTTGCATGTATAAACTACTTGCTTTCCACCCTGCTGTCTTGTCAAACTTTTTCAGAATCTTTTGAAACCCTGTAGCATTCAGCACCTATTCATTTGATTGAAGTTAGTGTAACTTGTTTCATTTTCTTGCCTTGTCTTGCCTTATAAGACTTTAAAAGCTCTAAACTTCGATAATACTCGGTAATTGCTTTTTAAGTCTATTCCTAGCAACCTACGTCTATATGTTACTTTTTTTCTTTATGCCTATATTAAAATGGCTTACATTATAGCTAACATGCTGATCACCATTGTATTTAACAGAAGGTGGTAAAGCATTCTCTGTAGTATTCGAATCTGAAGACCCTCTTCTTCTAAACCAATTGATGGGATTCAGCCCATCTGCTGACATAATATCGTGCGATACCTAATGTTATACATGAGCAACACACATGCACAAGTTATTATTCTTACATCTATCTGAGATAAATGTGCTGCAAAATCTCGAACCAATTGAACCTGCATTTTGAGTGCATCATATTTAGCTTCAGCTTCTTTTTCTTTCTCTATAAAATAGCATTAAACATTGACTAAGAAAAGAAATTAGTTACAGTCATACCATCATAGAACCTAGAGATAGTTTCTAAATCTTGATCCAACATGACAAAAAAATATCGTTCAGGCTCACTTGCAAATCGAGGTGCTTCATTTAATACACTGTTTGATTGCAATCCAACAACTACATATAGAACATGAATTTCGTCCCTTTTTTCTCTTATATGTGACTTACCTGAAGTAGAAGGTCTGCTGACACTTAGCTTGTCTAATTCTGTGTCTTGTTTTCTAAAACGAGTTGAAATGCGTTTTAATAATCCGTTTCCAAGTCTCGGGCGATCGTCAAGAATAGAAGAGCGTCGTCGAGGTATTCTCGGGTGTGATCTCGGTAAGCTGTCTGTCCGTTGCGATTCAGCATCGCCCAACATAGTGTTTTCAAAATGAATGGATTCTTCAATCTGGTTTAATTTTCGATACTATTCTCAAAATCAATCATATGTTTCTTTAAATTAAACTTTACTTTTTCGATTGCTTTAAGTCTCTTTTTAAGACCTTTGTAATTGATATAGGCCTTTCTCCATTCTGGAATACTTTCTGATTCCAGATATTTAGCGAATTTCATAATATAAACACTCCCGAGTTACCGTTGTCTTGACAATAATAAAAAGAGAGAAAAGGAAAAAAAGGTTGACAGAAATAGACTAAAATAAAAATAAGTGGAGTCTAAATAAGAGACACTGGAACCACATAATTACACACGTGAGCGAGTCTTTTGGCTGAAGAAAAAAACTAGATGTGTATCACGCTTATTATCAGCTAGAAAGAATGACATCAAAAAAGTTTTAATATAACACAGTAACAAAAAGACAGTTTGTCTAACCATAACGAAATGAAATGACGGCTTTTTTAGATAATAGTAATGCGTGAGAAAAAGACAAGATTTATTATACATTATATATTTACAAAGTGTAGGGGGTATCACAACAGGCAACGATTTAAATACGCATGGTATCCTCTAACAGAACAGGTCGATTATTAGGCAAAATTTGATTGATATCAAATCCTAAATCACAAAGAAACTTGGTCATTTCTTCTTGACTAATGTATAGATTCCAATGCAAAAAGGTCAAAAAAGCCAACTCCATGCGGGTGATTTCTTTAATGGACCACACGTCACCTGTTGCTCGTACCACATGCTTGGTAGAGAGACAACGATCTTCACTGTATTTGCTAGCAACTAAGAGTGAAGCGACAAAAATACGATGGGCAGCCTCTGCTTCGGGTTTGAATCCTAGATAAAAGATTAATTTCTTTCTTTGTTGCTTCATAATTTCACTTTACCTGCTGGCAATGATTTTCTAAATCTTTCAGCATACATAAGAGCCATCACAAGATGGATTGGCTGGACATCACATTTATCTGTGATAAGTTGAATAAACGGAATTAAGTCTGGTAAATGAGTATTCCTTTTCTTGACTTCATTATTGTCATTCGTATTGGTCTCAATTTTTGCATTGACATTAGGAAACAGAATAGCATCAAAAGAGGATGAGGCAAAGTCTATGCTTATTGAAAAATTGATTAATTTCAGGGACCAAAATATTGGCTAAGGTAGCACATATTAAATCAGATTTAAATTTACCTATGAAGCCTGGAGGGATAGCGTTTCTTGTGATTGTTGTAGGAAGTGCCAGCATTGAGAGGGAGAAATTCAGAGAGTGAAAATACCAAAAAGAAAAAAGAAAAAAGAAGAGAAAAAAAAGTCGAAAACCTCGAAAATGGTCGTCTTTTATACTTTTTCTCGTCCAAACGAAAAGACCCGAGCTAAAAAAAAATTATTGCCGTCAGATAAAAATTGAAATTGAAATTTTGATAACATGATTTATATGATACATTTTGTAGCCCTTGCGTTTGAAAGATAAAAGAAAAACGAAAGATAAATATTTGCTACAATTGTTTTTTGTATAGGTATGAAAGATAAAACAGTTATTATTGCTATTTAATCAATATTTTTTTTAAAAAAAAATTGTTATCAAATGAGTCATGAAGACCAATTAAAACTTAGTGCGATTTTAGTCAGCTTAATTTATTACTCGAGAGATAAAAAAGCTTACATGTCTGTGCACAAATGCAATGGTTTCACCATCATTTGAACAGAAAAAGGTGCTTGAAAATATAGTTTGACCTAAAAAAGGAAATACAATTGTATACTTATTTTAGTCATCTTGTTGAAATATACTTGAACAAGCACAATGTGCCAAATAGAAAAAAAAGGTATTGTTGTTTATTTAAGCTATTGCCAAACTGGTTTACAAAATGCTGGAGATTGTCTTCCAAGTACTTGCTTCATTGATTCGTAAATTGGGTGCTTTGATATTGCTGAACTTTATTCTCTTTACTTTTGCTCTACAAGGCAACATGCTCTTCTTATTTGTTTTGGAAGTTTAGACAATTTTAAACTGATCAACCACTACTTCCAACTTATTTTGAGATTTAACTTCAAGACTTTTCTGAGTGCACAGAAAGCAGTTAATTTTCTTGATCCTTTGGCCATTTCTTTGACAATTTGTTTTCGATGACGAATAGTTCCAGACACTGATACACAAATTTTCTTGTTCAATTCTGCATTGCCATTGTCCCGCTTGATTAACGCCGCCAATGGCTTTGTATTATATTCCTTCTTGGAATAATATATTGTGGTCTGAATTAAGAATATCACAGTCCAGAAGTTCAAAATCATTCTTAGAATTCTCAAGAGTTTCCTTAGAAAAAGTATAAGCGGAATTATCAGATGTACTGCTTTTTATAAGCATATCTTTATCATCATTGATTCTGGTGATATCTACATCAGCCACATTAAACTTATTTAGTAAAAGTGGTTACAATTAAAATGAGTTGTTTATGCTGAAGCATCTTACAGGTGTTTTTTTTTTTTTTTTTTTTTTGCAAGTCTCGGATTAACTCTTCTCAACTGTAGTTTTCTTTTTGAAGGACAACCCATTGTTGGTACTGTCAAATAAGAGAAAAAAAAGACTTCAGGGATACGGATCTTAAACTAAATGGAGTATATCAAAAACACTGTTACACTATGATTATTCTTTGTGTCAGCGCTTTAAGCAGAAAGAAATGTATAATCATGTTGATATATCTCTAACAGTGGACAGCAATTTTAGCTTTTACCAGAGGATAGACTGATTATATCGCTTAATGCACTGTATTTCTATCCCCCCTCATACCCTCAATTTGTCTGACAAGATGCCCAAAATTTATTAATGCCTGTTCAATTGCTTTAAGCTAGCATGACTCTATATTGATTTTGCATAATAAAAAGAAAAGGCTTCCAGTTACGTAATGAAAGGAGATATTTGTCTTTTTTAGTTAATGTCAAATTACTCGCTTACAATTCATTAATACAAGGATGTGTTGATGTGAATAACAGAGTTATAATTGAGAGACTTTAGCCTGATCTAATAAAAACTGAATCTATCCAGTAGCTTGTTGCGCATATTTATTGTTTAAACATCTCTTTCTCCTTCTTCATAGACTGCCTTGACAGTTGGAAAACGAAGCGAGATGGCGCCGTTCTCTTTAAAAGATTCTGAAAAATAACGTACAGTGATAGGTTTCCCAATGATCAAGCTTGGGTCTTCAGCATATGCAATGCGGGATTGCATTGAAAAACCAGAGCCAACGCTAACCGTATTGCCTTTGTGTTCAATAATGACATTAGTAAGTACATTTTTGTTCTCCCCTGTATCAGGCATTCGCATCATTCCAGTTTCAATCCTCTTAACAGTATATTCTGCATCTTCCCATTCCTTTAACTTTAGCATATTCCGTCTATATATTCGAATGAGTGTATTGCTCCTATCAATGTTTATACTTGCGTTCTTTTGCCTTCATAAATAAACTCTTTTCTCAGTATTAATCCTTCCCAGCCAGATTGAATCGATCTTTCTTTCATTTGATCTAGATGCTCAAGACTCTTAATAAGTGTTTGCTTGACAAGCTTAACATGTTGTAAAGGCGCTTCTATAAATTTTTCGAGTGCTTGTTGTCTTTGGCAGAATGTTTGATCTGATTTTGCTTGAAAAAAGTCTTGAAGATTAATAAGATCAAACACTTGATAGATAGGATTCTCCATCTCTTCATTCGTTCGGCGCACTTGGCCCATGGCCTTTAAGAAATCTTCATTGAATGTATTCTCGTCGCTGTAAGCACATATTTCACCATCCAATACAAATTCTGATGTGTTTTTTGTTGCCTCAAGTCTTTTTTGAATCTCTTTTTTGACTTTCCCAAGTGAAGTAAACAGTCTTCCAGTTCGAGAATAAAACTTGATGTTCGGTTCATTATTTTTGTAGTCAATCATGGTGATGCAACGAATACCGTCTAGTTTCTGAGACATATACCATTTGTCAGAGAGGTTGAAATTCTTGGTTGAGAATGAAGCAGCCAAAGCAACATTAAAAGATGTTGGATTGGTCTCTGTATTGTCGTGAGACAGAATGTGTCGAATAGTTCGAGTAGATACGCCCATTTTGAGGTTACGGTCAATGATATGCCAAAAGGTATTTTGTTGAGCTTCTGTTTTGCAGTAAGTATGGTAAAAAGAACCAATAGCTTCACAAGCACTATGGCCAGTTAGTTGGCGAGAAGACAAAGCATCCAACAACTGGTTCAAGTCTTGATAAGAGCTATTGGATCTAACATTTGTATGTTTCTTAAGATAATTAGATACTGTCTTTGCCGAGACATAGTGTCGTAGGTGAGGGTCATATATGCGTTTGAGGGTAGCATGTGCGTCTGGGTATTTCAATAATATTGCACGCTTCTCAAGTGTACTTGAAGTGCTGTTTACTGCTTTTGATAGTTGATGGATAGCATCTAATTGTTGCACAGGGGAATGTATTTTTGTTGAAAATAATCTGAAAAACATGTCTATTTCAAGAGAAAAAGGAGATAAAAAAATGTTTATTTATGCAAGAAAAATGCAAATCTAAGCCACCATTATTTCTTTTCTTTAATCATTGTATAAAAGAAATAATGAAAAGCTTCACCCATTGTCTTTATGTTGATAGTCCAGCAATCTCTTTGAAGATGTCTTTTACGGAAATGAGGCTGTCCAAAAGTGATGTATAGGAACACACCGCTTACTTTTAACGTTCTTTGTACTTCGTCCACTTCTCCTTTGACATCATTAATTAATTCTTCTGAAGGGTCCCAAACATCTCCTCTATCGCACATTAAAGCATCCATAGTACCTGCATTTTCTTAGTTTTATGCTATGTATCTCTAGTGTATACCTTTATCAATAATGGCATCAAACGATTCATCATCAAACTTCAAATCACGAATATCCATTTCTAACCCTGTCATAGATTTAAGTTGATGGTTGCTAATATTCTATAGTTACATGTCATTTCTGGTTTGTCGACACAACGGCTCTTCATGTTCTCGATCACAGTTTTTGAATAGTCAATATTGGTAATGTTTTTGTAGCCGTCATTGTACATATCTTCACCCAAAGCTATCAACAAGATAAATAAATAATTATTGCCATATGTTCAACTTACTTGAATTGCCACAGCCCAGCATTAAAATTTTGGCTTCTCTGTTGGGAATAGCCTCGTTAAGAAGAGGCTTTAGTTCTGCATATGTCTTGAACCAGTCAAATGTAGTATCTGAGTCTTCTCTACATAGCCGAGTTCAATAAAGTTACTTCCAACAAGCTGTTTCCTTACTTTTGATATCTCTCTTCCCAATATTGTTGTGTTTTGTAAGCAGTTGGGTCGTCAGGAACAACCTCTAAAGAAGTAGAAGCAACCATAATAAAGTAAAGAAAGAAAAAGAAAAAAAAGTGTCAAATGTTTTTTTTTCAAGTGTTGCCCGGAAAACAAGCGTTGTCCGATCACTTTAGGGTTACAATCAGGCACACTTTCTGTTTAGTCCCGGCTTTTAAAACCCGGCCAAACATAAGCGGACCTTACACCCCCTCCCCTCCTTCTCTCTCTCTCTCGCTTTCTCCCTTAAAAGTGTAAGCATCAAAGGTACAAAACACGCTATAAAAATAAGCGATATACCTTATTTATACATTTTTAGCTATATAAATACGCATGAATTCCATGACACAACCTAATCTGAACGATTTCGTTTCCGGAACCGCAAAAGATGCCAACGCGAGAGCAAGCGCTTTATTGCAGGTAGCCTAAGTATAGCAATACGCGCTTTATGCTAACTATATTTTAGCGCGCTCGTTTTCTACAGTCTATGGGAGCTACAGAAGAAAATAATTATGAGCTTGCACAAATAAGCTACCAGTTAAAACTTATGCAAAATGTTCGACGTCCGAATAATCCAGTTTTTCAACCAGCACCAATACCAGTGCCTTCCCCAACTTCTACTATCAAAAAACAACCTGTTGAAGGTAAGACTGTATTGAAAATGATGTGTATTGACTTTGTTTAGGTGTACAGCATAGTGTGTTTACACCCGCTCAACTAGCTGCTTTAAAATACCAAATCATGGCATTCAAATTATTGTCCAAAGATTCACCTTTACCCACGCATATCCAACAAGCTGTATTGGCACCTATTCATACCCTCGCGGCAGAATCTTCGCCTTTAACACCCACAACCTCGAAATCACTACCCCTCCACCTATCAAGAGAAAACCATCTAAACAAAGCATATCCTCCCCTTTAAGATCATCTATTCCAACTGCACGCACCAACTACAATGCCTATGTATCTCCTTACAATTTGATTCCCAAACCTATTTCATCTTATGCACATGCCTCAAGACAACAAAGACTATTAATACCAAGCTTGTTACCTTCTGGTCTTGATGCGAACCATATTATTTCTGAACGAGAAAATCGACTGAAATCACATATTCAACACCATCTTCAACACCACTCTCCCACAGACAATATCAAGGACAAAATTCGCATAAAATCGCTCTTATTACTTCAAAAACAACAACAGTTGCGCCAAGAACTTGTTTTGGGTGTCTCCAAATCCACTGTCTTGGCCACATCCGTAGACAGAACAGCTTATCGACGCATGAAGAAGTTCTCGCTAAGAGAAGCAAGGCATATTGAAGCAGCTGAAAGACAACAGAGACAAAACAGATACCAATCCTTACGTGCAGCAGAACAAAGTCGTCTTTCTGCTATCTGTGAACATGGTGCCAACTTGGTTGCATATAACAAGATCAAGGAGAGTAAGATGACTAAATTAGGTCGTGCTGTGGTTCAGTATCATCACCATATTGAAAAAGAAGAGCAAAAGCGTACAGAGCGCATTGCTAAAGAACGTATTCAAGCTTTAAAGAATGACGATGAAGAAGCTTATCTGAAATTGATTGATGAGGCCAAAGATACTCGTCTTACACATCTCTTGAAACAAACTGGACAATTTTTGGAGTCCTTGACCAAATCTGTGAAAGACCAACAGAATGAAAGTAAAAGTATGGCATCTTTTGGTGGTACATCTGTAATTCAAGTAAGTAAATACGGTTATTGACCATCAAGGCTTATATATATATATAAAAAATATAGGATGAAGACGAGGCAGAGGCTTCTGCAAGTGCAGATTATTATCAAATTACACACAAAGTTCGGGAAGAGGTATGTCAACCTTCCATTATGGTTGGCGGTAAATTGAAAGACTATCAAATTAAAGGATTGCAATGGATGGTGTCTCTTTACAACAACAATCTCAATGGTATTCTTGCTGATGAAATGGGTTTGGGTAAAACCATTCAAACCATTAGTTTGATTACTTATTTGATTGAAATGAAAAGACAAAATGGACCTTTTCTTATCATTGTTCCCCTGTCGTAAGTATCTCGTATATAACAAGAAAAAAGCATTAATGCTTTCTATAGCACATTAACCAACTGGACGCTTGAATTTGATAAATGGGCTCCTTCTATCAGAAAAATTGTCTATAAAGGTCCTCCTCATGTCAGACGCGATCTAGCAAGTGTTGTAAAAGGTGGTGGTTATCATGTCCTATTGACCACATTTGAGTATATTATTCGAGACAAGAATGTACTCAGTCGAGTCAAATGGCTCTACTTGATTATGGATGAAGGCCATCGTATGAAGAATGCTAATTCTAAACTGACCGTGTCCTTAAGACAACATTATTATACTCGCTATCGTCTTATTTTAACTGGTACTCCACTTCAGGTAAAAACAAAAACATGTATTATTGTGCTATCTTGTATTTATACTCTATACAGAACAATCTGCCTGAATTATGGGCTTTGCTCAATTTTATTCTTCCCAAGATATTCAAGAGTGTCAAAAGCTTTGAAGAGTGGTTCAATACACCTTTTTCAAACCAAGGTGTTCAAGACAAAGTAGACTTGAATGAAGAAGAACAACTGTTGATTATCAAGCGTCTTCATAAAGTATTGCGTCCTTTCTTGCTCAGAAGACTCAAGTCTGATGTGGAAGCTGAATTGCCCGATAAGGTGGAGCGTATCATCAAATGCAAACTATCTTCTTTGCAACTCAAGATTTACCATCAATTGAAAAGAAATTGTGATATCTATACAAACAATGGTCAGAATGCGTAAGTATGTCTGTGTGTTATACTCTTCCTTACATTGTTTATAGCCTAATTCCTGTCCGAGGACTCAATAATACACTGATGCAGCTTCGTAAAGTATGCAACCATCCATTCGCTTTTGAAGGTGTTGAAAACACATTGAACCCAAGTGGTAAATCCAACGAGCTGCTTTACCGTTGCTCTGGTAAATTCGAACTCTTGGACCGCATGCTAGCCAAACTCAAACGAACAGGGCACCGTGTCTTGATCTTTTTCCAAATGACACGTATCATGAGCATCATGGAAGACTATCTCAACTGGCGTAACTATCGTTATTTGCGTCTTGACGGTTCCACTAAATCTGAAGAACGATCTGCCTTACTTCATCAATTCAATCAACCTAACTCTCCTTATTTTGTCTTCTTACTCAGTACAAGAGCAGGTGGCCTTGGCCTTAATCTGCAGACAGCTGATACAGTCATTATTTTTGACTCGGATTGGAACCCTCATCAAGATCTTCAGGCACAAGACCGTGCTCACCGTATTGGTCAAACAAAAGAAGTCCGTATTTTTCGTTTGATTACGAGTAATTCAATTGAAGAAAACATTCTAGCAAGAGCACAATATAAGCTGGATATTGATGGCAAGGTCATTCAGGCTGGTAAATTTGATAATCGAAGTACAGAGGAAGACCGTGAAGCCTTCTTGAGAAATTTATTGGAAGACAAAATTGATGGAGGCAATGATGATGAACTGGACGAAGAAGCAGACGATGAAGAATTGAATGAAATGTTGAAACGGTCTGATGAAGATATGGTCATTTTCAAGAAGATTGATCTTGAGAGAGAGAGAGCTGAGACAGACATGTATGCACGTCGAGGTTACAAAAAGCGATTAGAGAGATTGATTCAAGAGGATGAATTACCTGATATCTTAACACAAGATCAGACTATGGCTGTAAATGAAGACTCTATTCTTGAATTTGGAAGAGGACGTAGAGCAAAAGAAGAAGTACGTTATGATGATGGGTTGACAGAAGAAGAATGGCTCGAAGTAAGTGTGTGTTTGAGAGATTTAGAGTATATATCCAATTACTTGTATAGGCTCTTGAAAGAGAAGAGGAAGAGGAAGCAACAAAGAGTCGATCAAAAAGACGACAGAACCAAGCATCAGAGCAAGGGGAACAAGGCAGAAAACGAGGGGGCGATAAAAAGACAAGCGAAGTAAGAAATGTAGTTCCTACATAAACCATAACTTATACTCTTTTTCTTTTTGTTAGACGGGCAGAAAGCGAAACAAAGTAGAACAAGTCGATCGTGTTCCACCATTGATTAGACAACAGTTAACTCGAGTATTTGAAGCATGTTACAAAGCTGTTGAAGAAGCCGTTGAGGAAGATGAAGAGTCTTATCGTCCAAGATGTGAATTGTTCATGGATTTAGTCAGTAAGAAGGAATACCCTCTTTACTACACTTTAATCAAGAATCCCATTTCAATGAACATGATCAAAGAGCGTATTCATTCAAGCTATTATGAGACAGTAGCCGAATTTGAAAGTGATTTCCATTTGATGTTTGAAAATGCTCGTACTTTTAATGAAGAAGGATCTGTTGTATATGAGGATGCGAATGAAATGCAAGTAAGTATTTTAGCAGTCATCAGTCCTATGGATACTAATATATCCCATAGAAAATATTTGATCAAGAACTTGAACGACAATGTCCTGGGGGTGCATTGCCCAACCTGTATCATCAAAGAGCCATGAATGAAAATATTTTTACAAACTATGCGCCACAGGAGACATCACTGCCCAGTCGATATAAGAACAAGCCTGCATCTAATCGTAAAAAGCGATCAAGAACAAGAAATATTATGGATGATGAAGAGGACGACCCTTATGAAGAAGACGATGATGATGAGGAATATTATGAATAGATGACAATACTGTATCATCTTGTTTATACCAATAAAGAGAAACGTAGCATAACTCTACAATGAACAAATTACGTTGGAAAGCACTTAAGAAAAGTAATCATTTTTATGTATGCATATTGAATTTAAGAGAAAGAGAAATAAGTTTATTGATTATTGCGTCCTTTCATGAGGTATGTATATGATGAATAAGTTCTTCTTAGTCGTAAGATGTCATTGATTTCATTTGATTATACAAATAAATAGCACCTCTTGAAATAGATGCATCCTCTCTAGCAAAAATTATGCAAACAAAGAGAGCGTAGAGCCTGTCTATACACGCAGCAATGCTCTAAATACCTATAAATAATGTTTATTAACGCAAGAGGTACTTTTGGTGTTGATTTGGACCAAAAAGAAACGACTAGTAGAATTAGGCCAAAATATGCCTTTTGATCAAAGGATATTACCTATAAAAATCGTAATTTTGCCAACCTTTGATCTTCTACTTGACATTACAAGGTGAAAAAGAGAGCCATTGTCAATTTCAAATACTCAAAATGTGCGCAAGAAGCTCTAGCTTTTGTTCAATGCATTTAATTACCTGTTCTACCATGAAAATGATGTGATAGGAGCAAAAAACCTCATATACATTTTTGCTTATTTGCTCAATACTTTATCAGCAAAGCTATTATGTTCTTTATATCAATAGACTTGGAAATTGAAGTTCTACAATTTTTGCTACTGCATTAAAACCAAAAAGCCGCGTCTTTATGCAGTACTCAGCAAAAGATTGGTTCTAATGCAGCCTTTTTTTTTCTTAGTGATTTCTATCATTGCTCCGCGTAAAGTTACCCTAATGACACTCAAGAAACGGGCGCAATTTATACGGAATTATATTATGCGATTATGCTACAAATTAACTAGATAGAATAAAATGAAAAGTATGCCACTGTTATGAGTGGAAAAAAGGTAAAATAAGGATTACAGTCTTGTGTGTACTTGCTTTTCATCTGCAAGCAGCTGTAAAGAAGTATGTGCTTGTTGTAGGATGGAGTAGGCATCAAAAGAGATGCTGTCAATTACAGATCTCCAGTGTGTTTTCCAGACTTGCGAGAGGGCGTCAATGACAATGTCAACAACGGTTAAGTGTTTCTTTCGTAAACAATCTATTCTCGAGAAGTTTGGTTTAACAAGTGTCTGAATAACATCTTCGACAGTGGTCGTAGGCCAAAGAAATTCGAAAATGAGACTGTTCCAGAAAAACTTTGGCGGACAATAGAAAGGGAGATGTTCATTTCCAAGATGAATTGTGCAAATTGGACAAAGAGGCGAGGGGAACGTATCAGGGATTATGGAGTGAAGAAATTGGCTTATAGGTAGTTTGGAAACAAGAAATCGGTACATCATATTACGAGCAACTGATAGCAGAGAGCAGCTCCAAAAATAGACCTGAAAGGCAATTCTAATGCAGCGAGAAGATTTAGATTTGCTTTCATTTTCAATCTCCGCGTGTAGCCATCCCGTATGTCCTAGGTTCATTTACTCTCACATTCACACTAAAAAATGCCTATATTTCTATATCTTCATGTTTTTTTGGCACTCGAAATAACATATCGTACTTTTTTAAGCTCATTGCTAACATGTTCTATATGACATTTAGAGCAAAAATGCTCAAAACACAGCTTAAACAAGCCAATCTTTGATAGACCATTGCTCGACAACCAGACTATGAAAATCGTCTCTTTTTCATTTAAAACATGTTCTTTTGAGTCCAGGAATCGAACGGTACCATTGGTTTGGCTGTCGTGTAAAACCTATTTCTTGATCGATGGGGGATTCACGGAGGTCCGTGAAGATGAAAAAAAAACAAAACTCGATCAGAAAATTTTGGAAAGACCCAATATAGATCTTATCCAACCGAAATCAGGTAGGATCATTTCTATGTATCTCTGAAGAAAATAAAGTAAGTTTACTAAGACGAAAAAGTGAGCTTGATTTGAGTATTGGCTTCAAAAACGCAATCAAAGCTGATTGTACACTGTGAATAACACAAAGGAGGTCTTTTTCGGTAGACATTTACTAGTAAGTAGATACTTCTACTAGTATCATTTGATTGTTATAGTATAGAAGAGCATATCATATTATGCTACTTGGTACTTTTGAGGTCAAAAAGGACAGCTTTGGATAGGATAAATGATGAGTGTCATGGAAGAGGAGAGTTCGGTGTTTCAAATATCAATTGGTTTCAGTATCCACCGGGACATCAACTCCCTCGAACATTTTTAGCACAAAAAAAAAGACTTTTTTCTCTTTCTTTTTTACACCCCCGCAAAACAAGAAGAAATTCAAAAAGATGGGTATTTTTGGCTTTGGATCTAGCAGCACTACTGAACAACCTACACAACAACAATATGAAGAAGACTTGTATTCACCCACTGCAAACACTTTTGAACAAGAACAACAAAATTCATTTGGTTTAGAAGACTCTGGTTACGAAAAAATGCCTGACTTTATGTCAAGTATTAGCTTGGACGCCAATAAACTTCAACCCATGTCTCTTCAAGGCCTTGATTTCTTGCAAATTGAAGATAGTGCACCTGTTTCTTCTAGTGGTGGTTTTGCACCCTCTCGTAATTGGACAGACGATATGTGTTATGGTACAGGTACTACGTATTTAGCAGGCTTGACTTTGGGTGGTGCTTATGGCTTGGCAGAAGGTCTTAAGAAGAGCACAGGCGCTCCTCGTGTGCGTCTCAACACGACTCTCAACACAATTACTCGTAGAGGTCCCGGTGTGGGTAATGCTGTTGGTGTGATTGCCATGGTTTATAATGGTGCTAATTCATTGTTGGATTATTCAAGAGGTACCCATGATATCTTTAACAGTATTGGTGCTGGTGCTGCTGCTGGTGCTCTCTTCAAGAGTACTGCTGGTAAGTGAATGGAAAGAGAGAGAGAGAGAGAGAGAAAGAAAGAAAGAAAGAAAGAAAGAAGAAAAGTGAGAGTATGGTTTATTAATGATTTTACAGGTCCCCGTGCTGTTGCTATTTCTGCTGGTGTCTGTGCTGGTGTTGCTGGTGCCTGGAGTGTTTTGGTTGATACCTTGACTGGTTAAAATGTATACATAATAATTGTTTAGAAAAATGTTTATATATAAAAAAAAGAAAGCTTGTTCATTTAGTCTTCTTTAGAAGAGGGCATCTTCTTTCTTGTGGCCAACGTGGATAAAGGAATTGAATCTTCTTCTTCTTCAGTATCTTGATCTTCTCTATGATATGTCCTTCTGTTATACTGTTGTTTATGCTCAGCACAAGATGTGCCTGATAAATCATAGACACTATGACTGACAAATCGTCGAACACCTTCTTCTTCATCATCAATGGAATAATCAGCATCACTGTCTGATACAAAACTGCCTGAATCATAATACCCTTCTGACTCGTCTTCTGATATCACTGCATTAGGATCTTGCGCTAATAATCGCTGTGTTTCTTGCTGTCGTTTGTATTTTGAAGAAAAGATAGAGGGCCTTAAATCATCAGGATCGCGAGGTGGCCAATAATAAGGTAGTCGAGGATCTGTGCCCAGTGTCACAGGGAAAGAAAGACCATCCCCTTGCATTGGTTTAGGCCAAAGCCAAGTCAAAGGCTGAGGACCTAATACTTCACATAGATTGCGATAGATCCCTAGATCAAAAGGATACTGAATAGGTAGAATCTTGCCTCGTCTGATCAACCCTTCTACTTTGCTTCTTTCCCATGCCTCAATATTGCTCTGGTTCCTGGATAGACAATACAACTGATACACTGTCAAGATGCCTACACAGAATACCACAATAAATGCCAATACAAAATTGAGGACCATAAATATAATCTGAAGTGTGTTTGGCTCAGCATCAAACTATAGATATGCTTATTTAGCCATCCTTGTTCCCATAGATTGAATTTACCTGAAAATGGCGAATGGCTTCCATGATGGCCCTTACTCTACCTATTAACAGAGCAATTACGTAAGAGCAAGCTACGACGGCATAAATAATAAACCGAACAAAATGTCCATGATTGTCGTATCCTACACAATTATTGATCCAAGGACAATGGTGATCCATTTTTAACACACAGCGCTTGCAGTATCGACAATGGTGACTTCGTGGTGGTTTATATACTTTGCATGTCTTACAGTACCGTGGACCTGTGATGCCTTCAGACGTGATTTCTTTTGACATGACAAGAGAAGAAGGTGGTTCCTACAGAAAGAAAGTGTTATGCGTCTAGGATTCAAAGTAGAACTTACCCAGTTGGATGGAATCTTGCCAGGATCAGTAGTAACTGAGAGATAATAGTTGTAGTATGTCATAATAACCAATACATTGAAAGGCAGTAACATAACGAGACTTGTTATACTCCACCAGCCATAAGCAGGTAAAAATAAAACAAGTTGTGAAGAATAGGCAATGATGGTAATAAGCAAGACAACTCCTACCACAAAGATTTCTCCCGGAATAAACTCCAACATGGAAAGAAGGTAAAAAAAAGGGGGAATTGAAAGTTATGCGCCCTTTTTATTGACCTGTGTTTGAAAACAGTATTGTTTTCACAAAAAAGAGAGTTCAGTATGTCTTGTTACATAAAGAGAGTATGACTAGTAAGGTCCATCGTAGCATAAATGTGTTATTGTGTTTAGCATAGGTATATGAAATGAAACTGTGTATTAGTCATCCATTCTGATTGGACAAACCCTAATTTCTTTGGTCTATAAAAAAGGTACCTCTCCCCCCCCACTTGCAGAAGACGCTGTCACATTCACACTTTATACTTTTATGACTCTCATCGCAAGAGCATTCTCAACAGCTGTTCATCATAACCCTTTCAAACTAGCGATTGTAGGTAGTGGTCCTGCAGGTTTCTATACAGCCCATCGTTTATTAAAGGAATGGCCTGATTCACACATAAGCATGTTTGACAGTTTACCTGTACCGCATGGTCTTGTTCGTTTTGGTGTTGCACCTGATCACCCTGAAGTGAAGGTAGGTAGAAAAAACCTAACAAGGGAATACTGATGCTTTTCATTAGAATGTCATGACCACATTTGACAAAGTGGCCGAAGACGATCGGATCCGTTTCTTTGGTAATGTCCCTATTGGTACGGGTTCGAGCCAGAGTTTAAGTATACAAGACCTTCAAGCTCATTTTGATGCTGTCTTATTATCCTATGGCGCGAGTGAAGATAGAAAGATGGGCATCCCCGGTGAAGATGCTTACGGCGTTGAGTCGGCCCGAAGCTTTGTAGGGTGGTATAACGGACATCCTGAATTCAAAGACCTTCGATTGCCCCTGCAAGATACTGAGACAGCAGTTGTAGTGGGTCAGGGCAATGTAGCACTGGATATTGCACGTATCCTATTGACCCCTGTGGATGAATTGCGCAAGACAGACATGACAGAATATGCTCTCGAAGCACTCTCTAAAAGTAAAATTAAGCATGTTCATGTCGTTGGTAGAAGAGGACCTGTGCAGGTAAGAAAAGAAGCTGATGACCAAAGACTCAAAGAAACCTATAGGTCTCATTTACTTCAAAAGAACTAAGAGAACAAATGTCTATTCCCGGTGTACAATTCAATGCAGATATGGATTTCATCCATAGTCAAATTCAAGCATCAGAAGCTGTCATTAACAAAAACAGAGCATGGAAACGACTGATGGCCCTTTTGGAAAAAGGCTCACCTACGAAACAAGCCGAAAAATCATGGACAGCCAAGTTTTTGCGTAGTCCTGTCCAAATCTTGACCAACGATACAAATAGAGTGACTGGTATTCAATACGAAATCAATCGTTTAGAAGGTCCATTAGAACATCCAAAGGCTGTTGGTACAGGTGAATATGAAACACAGATGTGTGGTTTAGTCTTGACAAGTATTGGTTATAAAAGTATACCTATTCAAGGTATTCCGTTTGATCACCGTCAAGGGCGTGTACCTAACCGTTTTGGTAAAATAATGGATCAAGATGGTCATGAATTGAATGGTATGTATACAGCTGGCTGGTTGAAGCGAGGTCCCACTGGTGTGATTGTGTCTACAATGGCAGATGCCTATGAGACAGCAGATACTATAGTAAATGATCTAAAGCAACAAAAGCCCATGCTGGTCCATTCTAATAAGGCAGGTGCAGAAGGGCTTCAGTCTATCATGCAAGAACGTCAAATTCAACCTGTCAGTTACCAAGATTGGAAGAAGATTGAGGCAGCTGAATTTGCTATGGGAGCCAAACTAGGTAAACCCCGTGAAAAGTTTACCAATGTTCAAGATATGCTGGCTGTTCTTGGACAATAAAGTTTATCTACTCTCCTCTTAAAATTATAAGCCTTTCTTTCCTTCCGCTCCCCTCCCCCCTTTTTTTTTTTTTTCTTAAACAGACAATATGGGATCACCCGTGTTGACAGACAAACAACTGGCTAACTTGAAGCTATACAAGTATTCAAGTATAGACAAGTCTTTTCTAACTAAATATGTACTTCGACACTATTGGGACTTTGCTATTGAACTCTTTCCTTTGAATATGGCGTAAATAATCTGCTATGTCTTTATCAACACACTAAACTTACATAGTCCCAACTTGATCACCCTGACAGGTCTTATGTTCATGATCTTCAATGTTATACTTGTGCTTGTCTATGTACCTACGATGGAAGCCTCTGAAGCTGGTCCTGCATGGATCTATTTCTCATTTTCTATTGGTCTATGGCTATATTCCACTTTTGATAATGTAGATGGCCGCCAAGCCAGAAGGACAGGTACATCAAGTCCGTTGGGTGAATTATTTGATCATGGCTGTGATGCACTCAACTGTTCGTTTGCAGCCATTATTCAAATGGCTGCTCTTGGTTTGGGTCATTCGCATGCTTCTGTGATTGTGTATGCGATTGCTATGGTGGGATTTTATCTGTCTACGATTGAAGAGTATCACACAGGTACTTTGTATTTGGGTTATATCAATGTACCTACAGAAGGTGTATGTATGCTCTGTATCATGTATATTATCTCTGGTCTGTATGGTCCAATGATTTGGCAATCCCAGTTGGGGGATTTGATGGAAAGTACACCCACAAACATGGCATCAGTGAGGCTGATTGATCTCTACCTGTGGCTGCTTGTTGCCTTGTTCTTATTGACGCATGTGCCTGTATGGTAAGTGTTCTCTCCTTAAGGCGTGTTGATTTATGTTGTTCTAGCTTTTATCGTATGTATCAAGCATGCAAATCAAACAACAAGCCTTTTATTCAGTCTATGGTCTATGACAATTGGCAAATCACAGTCTATACAGTCTCATTTTATTTATGGGTCATTTCTCCATTTTCGTTTATTCTTTCTCATGAATATTATGCTCTTTATTTGTTAGCTGTAGGTGTTGTCTTTGGTCGTATTTGTTCCAAGATTATTTTAGCCCATTTGACCAAATCGGACACACCTCCTCCCACTGGACTATTGATCCCACTTGTGATAGGTGCTATTGTGGCCAATGTGCCTTATGTCACCACCATGTAAGTATAGCATAGCATGATGACTGTATTCATGTTCTATTAGGATCCCTCTGTTTACACCCGAAACAGAATATGTGTATATTATTGTTTATTTCTTTGTATCTTTGGTCTTGTATTTACGTTGGGCTGTTCTTGTGATTGACAGCATTTGTAATTATCTCGGCATTCGTTGTTTAGTGATTCCTGATCAACATGCTAAATTTTATTAAAAAAAGAGAGGTTGAAAAAGGGTTGGATTGAAAGACAAGAGTGCTTCTTGATCCAACTTGAAAGATATATGTTAATATTAAATAATAAAATAAAAGCTTACTTTGTGTTGTCCTTGACAAGCAGCTTCAAATACTTGATAGACTTGTTTGATGTCATCACACATGGCTTGATCTATCTATAGTTGTCAATAAGAGAGCGTATGTTAATGTTTATTGTTTACCTTTTTGTTCATAGTAAAATGTCCATGATTTAGCAATACTTGCCATGATCCTACCTTTGTAATATGGAATACTAGATTCAATATCAGTAAAGACCATGTTGATTGCATAATAACATACCGTGGCCAACATGTCTTTATGACAACCCTTAAAGCGTGTGCAGCCAGTACATGGATCTGTTTTAATTTTGGATGAGATGATACCATACATAAAGCATCTGTCAAGACAGGCACAAGGGCCTTGAGATATTGAACACCCAAGATGCCCAATGCTTGGTATAATGTACCAATAGGTACTATCAGAATAGGCAAAAACTTGATTTTTTGTCCAGCATAAGAAAAGCCTGTCAAGACACCTTCTGTCAAGACGCGTTCATAGAGTTGAATACGGTTCTTTTTGACTTTGGCTATCAGGTCAAGGATACAAGGATAAGTGGCTTGTAATAACTCAACATCTCTTTCTTGAGATAGATAAGTCAAGCATTTGAATAAAGACTAGAGGCACATTAAGGATCAATTGGCATAGAGGGATAAGCCTTACCTCAAGAAATAGATTGTCTAGGCCATAACTTGACACAAATGAAGCGTCTAATTTGAGTATCATGTCATGCACCATAACTACACCTTGTTTCTTATAGTCTGGATCATAATCATCCAATACAATCAAGAGAGGAGGCAACAGTAAATGTATGCTGTCTTGTAGTACAGTGGACTATGAAGCATATATCAATAGGCTGTCTTTGTTCTGATTGGCTTACACTTGTTTCCCGAGTAATCCAACATAAGGTCTCGAGTATCTCTTGTTGTTTCCATGGTTGATTTTCGTGCAAGTCTGGTTCTGTGCCATATTTTAAATTTGGTCTTTTGACAAGTGAAGAGTGTACATTGGCTTGGTGTTGAAATACAGGCTGAATTTTACCTTTGAGTATATCTTTTATATGGTATTCAAGTATGTGGCTCTGTTTATCATGTATTGTATCACATCCACATTCATAGGAATTCATAAGAGGAAAAAAAAAAGAAAGATGAGAGAAGATACAACATAGCGGAGTTATTATTTTATAAGCGTGTGTGTGTGTGTGTGTGTGACTTGGCTCTTTTTTTTTTTATCGCGCTTTCTTTCGTCTCCTCGCTTTCCTTCTTTCTCTCGCTGCGCGGGTTGTATTTCAAACTTTTTCTTTTTCTATACACTCGATCTTCTTGTGTAGGATTCCTTTTTTTCTTTTTCATTCCTTTTTGTTCTTCTTTTTTGCTAGTTGTGTATATATCGTGTGTTGATTGTTTGGCATGATGACTGACGTTTTCATTTTATTAGCTTCATTCTATATATTTTTTTTTGTCTAAAAAAAAAAAGAACATTGTATATATAACATGACGGATATTATGGATGACAGTTACCGAATGGCAGAGAATGGTAATAAGACTGAATAACACGCAAATAGAACTAAGCATGGATATGTAGAGTATTTCCTTCCTGATGGTGAAGAAATCTATGAAGACGAGCCTATTACGTAGGTTATATGACAACAAGACAAAAACTGTTAACGCTTTTTCCAATAGCCAAGAAGACTGTTGGACAGTCATTTCTTCGTTTTTTGAAGAAAAAGGTCTTGTCAGACAACAATTAGATTCGTTTGATGAATTTGTACAGAATACAATGCAAGAATTAGTGGATGAAAATTCAAACCTTGTACTTCAGCATGTGGGTGGTGATGGTGATGTGACAGTAAGTATGACCCCTACAGACATCATGTAAGCTAACATTTGACTAGAAACGATATATTATTGATTTCGGTCAAATCTATCTGTCAAAGCCTACCATGACAGAAGCAGATGGTAGTACGCAACCCATGTTTCCTCAAGAAGCTCGCATTCGTAATTTAACGTAAGTTTGGTATACTAGACTATAATCAGATACTGAACAATGATGAATAAGATATGCTTCTCCTCTCTATGTGGATATGAGCAAAAGAACACAGATTGCAGTCCCTTATGATCCCAACAACCCCAACAGAAACCCCAATGACCTTTTCCAAGACGAAAATGGGTCTGAACACGCACCTATGACAAAAGTGTTTATTGGCAAGGTAAAACAATCAATTCTTAGACACATCCAGAATAACAAACTATCTAGGTGCCTATTATGCTTCGATCCACGTATTGTATTCTTCATGATATGCCTGAGAGTTCAATGCATGAATTAAACGAATGTTCTTTTGATATGGGTGGTTATTTTGTCATCAATGGTTCTGAAAAGGTCTTGATTGCTCAAGAACGTATGGCTACCAATACAGTCTATGTGTTCTCCAAGGCACCACCTTCCAATATTCAATACACGGCTGAAATCAGATCTCAACCTGAAAAGGGATCCAAGAATGCTTCTCCTTTATTTATCAAGATGATGCGACCTTCTGCTGAACGCGGTTCTTCTGGTCAATGCATTCGTGCTGCTTTACCTTATATTCGCTCTGAAGTCCCTATTGTGATTGTGTTTCGTGCATTGGGTCAAGTTGCTGACAGAGATGTATTGGAGCATATCTGTTATGACCGTAATGATTATGAGATGCTTGAACTACTTAAACCTTCTATTGAAGAAGCCTTTGTGATTCAAGACCATGATGTGGCCCTTGATTTCATTGGTAAGAGAGGGACAACAGTGGGTGCTACCCGAGAGAAGCGTATCAAGTATGCCTCTGAAATCCTTCAAAAGGAACTTTTGCCTCATGTGGGTACAGCTTACAAGACAGAGACACGTAAATCTTATTTCTTTGGTTACATGATTCATCGTTTATTGCTGGCTGCTCTTGAGCGTCGTGAACTCGATGACCGTGATCATTACGGTAAGAAGCGTATGGATTTGGCTGGTCCCTTGATGGCTGGTTTGTTCAGACTTTTGTTTAAGAAACTGACAAAAGATGTGGCCAAGTACTTGCAGAAGTGTATTGAGTCCAGCAGAGAATTCAACCTGACATTGGCTGTCAAGTCCAACACGATCACCAATGGTCTCAAGTACTCTTTGGCCACAGGTAACTGGGGTGATCAAAAGAAAGCCATGCAGTCTCGTGCTGGTGTATCTCAAGTATTGAACAGATACACATTTGCTTCTACTTTATCCCATTTGCGTCGTTGTAATACACCTATTGGCCGTGATGGTAAGATTGCCAAACCTCGTCAGTTGCACAACACCCATTGGGGTCTTGTCTGTCCTGCCGAAACACCTGAAGGTCAAGCGTGTGGTCTGGTTAAGAATTTGGCTTTGATGTCTTATATCTCTGTGGGTTCTTCTGCTACGCCTTTGATCATGTTCTTGGAAGAATGGGCTATGGAGAACTTGGAAGAATTGAGTGCCAACAGTATTGCTGATGCCACCAAGGTCTTTGTCAATGGTGTCTGGATTGGTATTCATCGTGACCCTGGAGAATTGATTCATTCGCTTAAGCAGATGCGACGTTCAGTTGATATTTCGCCTGAAGTCAGCATCGTACGTGACATTCGTGAAAAGGAACTTCGAATGTACACAGACGCTGGTCGTTGTTGTCGACCTCTGTTCTTGGTTGAAAATCAACAGCTCAAGTTGAACCGTGAACATATCATCCGTCTTCAAGACACAGAAGATGAATATGGCTGGCAGAATTTGATTGCAGATGGTGTGGTTGAATATGTGGATGCTGATGAAGAAGAGACAGCCATGATCTGTATGACCCCTGAGGACTTGGCTGAATCCCGCATGACAGCCCAATACGGTGCCCCTCTTCAAGAAAACAGAGATTTAGCCAGTCGTGTGAAATCACAAACAGGCAGCTACTCTCATACCTGGACTCACTGTGAAATTCATCCCAGTATGATTCTCGGTATCTGTGCTAGTATCATTCCTTTCCCAGACCATAATCAGTCTCCTCGTAACACCTATCAATCTGCTATGGGTAAACAAGCCATGGGTGTTTACCTGACGAATTTCCAAACTCGTATGGACACACTGGCCAATATTCTGTACTATCCTCAAAAGCCCTTGACGACCACTCGCTCCATGGAATTCTTGCGTTTCAGAGAACTGCCTGCTGGTCAAAATGCCATTGTGGCCATCTTGTGTTACTCTGGCTATAATCAAGAAGATTCAGTTATTATGAACCAAAGTAGTATTGATCGTGGTCTCTTTAGATCTTTGTTCTTCCGTACCTACATGGATGCTGAAAAGAAAGCAGGCATGATGTTTATGGAAGAATTTGAGAAGCCTACTCGCGATACCACATTACGTCTCAAACACGGTACTTATGAGAAATTAGAAGAAGATGGTTTGATTGCACCTGGTACGCGTGTCTCTGGTGATGATATTATCATTGGCAAGACAGCACCTATTCCTGCTGATTCTGAAGAATTGGGTCAAAGAACAACCACACATACAAAGCGTGATGCTTCTACACCTCTCAGATCTACAGAGACAGGTATTGTAGACCAAGTCATGTTGACTACCAACCAAGACGGTCTCAAGTTTGTCAAGGTGCGTGTTCGTTCTACCCGTGTACCTCAGATGGGTGATAAATTCGCTTCTCGTCACGGTCAAAAGGGTACGATTGGTATTACGTATCGTCAAGAAGATGTGCCCTTCTCTGCTGAAGGTATCACACCCGACTTGATTATCAATCCTCATGCTATTCCCTCCCGTATGACAATTGGCCACATGATTGAATGTCTGTTGGGTAAAGTGTCTACTTTGACAGGTAATGAAGGTGATGCTACACCTTTTACAGATGTGACTGTGGAAGCCATTTCACAGGCATTAGAAGCTCAAGGCTATCAATCCCGTGGGTTTGAAGTCATGTACAATGGATTCACAGGTCGTAAATTGAATGCTCAAGTGTTCTTGGGTCCCACTTACTATCAACGTTTGAAGCACATGGTAGACGACAAGATTCACAGTAGAGCAAGAGGTCCTGTACAAATTTTGACCAGACAGCCTGTGGAAGGTCGTTCAAGAGACGGTGGTCTTCGTTTCGGTGAAATGGAAAGAGATTGGTAAGTTCATGAATATGGAAGCACCTATAATTAATTGTCCTTGTTTAGTATGATCAGTCATGGTGTTGCTCAATTCTTGAAAGAACGTTTGTTTGATGCTTCAGATGCTTATCGTGTCCATGTATGTGATATTTGTGGTTTAATGGCCATTGCCAATTTGAAAAAGAACAATTTTGAATGTCGCGCATGTAAGAACAAGACCAGAATTTCACAAATCCATATCCCATACGCATGTAAACTCTTGTTCCAAGAATTAATGGCTATGAATATTGCTCCTCGTATGTTTGTAGACGCAGATTAAGCTTTTCATTAAAATAAACTTAACAATTATTGTATTTGTAATACATATGGCGTAAGACCACGTCATTAATTGAAACTCAGAGAACAGTATAAATTCTTTTGTCTCTGGTCGATAGGAACGTCTTTCTTTATCTCTTAATAATGTGTCGTCGTGTTACTTGTCCTGAATGCAAGAAATATACTTGGGCTGGTAAGAGAAAAAGATCATGAAAGCAAATCATTAAATCCATCTAGGTTGTGGCCAACATATCGATCAAGCTTTAGCTGGTTTAAAGGATGAAGAAATCTGCAAGTGTAAAGAAACCAAACATACTGAACACATTCCCACACTTGTCAAATTGAATGAATAAAGAAAAAATATAGTTGTTTATATTACAAAAGAAATATATATATAAAAAAGAAAAAGATTATCCTTTTAATTGGCATTCACACCAAGAAGCATATTACCACCATTTTGAGAGTTGGGCAAATAAGTAACATTACGAGCTTGAGAAAGAGTGCTTGCGATTTCTTTACTGGCTTCAATTCTACGGAAAGCAATAAAACTAGCCAATTGTGTTAGTCTTCTGTTTCTCACCACCACCACCACCCATGTTCTATCTATATTTCTTACCCTTCGCCAGCCTTAGCAAGGGCTGTAGAAATCATTTCAGCAGCTTCTGAATCACCTTCAGCACGAATAATAGCAGCTTGCTTTTCTTGTTCAGCACGTTCAACAATGAACTTGGCACGTTCAGCTTCTTGTTGAGCAATTTGCTTTTGTTCGACAGCATTGGTGAATTCTTTACCAAATGTCATATGGGTCTACAACAATATAAGCAAAGCCTGTTTTATCTATACATACACACTTACAATAGAAACATCTTCCAAAGCCAAGTTAAAGTCTTTAGCACGCTTGTATAATTCTTCACGAATCTTGGCAGAAACAACTTCACGTTGAGTAATCAATTCAGAAGCATCAAATTGAGCAACAATGGACTTCAAGACTTCATTACCAATAGAAGGCAATACTCTTTCATCGTAATCAAGACCCAAATTTTGATAGATGGAAGGCAAATTCTTGATTTCGGGACGGTGGAGGACACGAAGAGTCAAGGAAACCATTTGCATATCCTTGGAACCTGTGGTAGTGGAAATATTACGAGGCTTGGTACGAACATCAAACAAGACAGCACGTTGAAGCCAAGGAACCAAAAAGTGAGTACCTTCACCAACAGAAACAGATTTAACACCTTGAATACGATCGAAAATGACAGCTCTGTAACCACCCTGGACTGTAAATAAGCATGGTAAGTTCATGGTTCAATAAGATAAGCATACTTACCGTCATACATGGCAGATTGAGCAGCACCAGCAGCAAGACCAACAGGGATAGCCCACTTTGCAATTGTTCCAAGAATTTGAGCCATTGTTATCAACAGTAAAGAAAAGTTGTAAAAAAAAAAAAAATAGTTCACGCAGTAGAAGAGGGGGGTTCAAAAAAGGGCATGGGGACTTTTCATTAACCAATCAGATCGTGGTAAAGAGTGTGACTTGTATTAGCCTAACAAACACTGTCATGGCAACCCGAGAGTAAATTATGCATTCAGGCACACTAGAATATGAGTAGAGACTCTTTTTTTATGAGTCAAAAGTAACATATAGACAGCTTCATTTCTTTTTTTTTTACTTTTCTTTATTTTTAAAAAGGGAGAAGGGTCATTATTTTCTGTTGAAAGAAAGAAAGCAGGTTATGTCTGCACAGACATGAATGTCATCATTTCATACTATCTTGTATGACTTGTACACTAAAATACCATGCCGCTATATAAGAAGCAATATTTATCTCTCATTTCTCTTCAGTAGCCATTGGTTCATAACTGGATTAAACAGAGTCACAGCAACGCTGGTAATGAAATTTGCGCTGCAATCCAAAAACATCTCTTCCTTTTTGTCATAACTTCAATAACCCCCTCCTCCACTCAGATGGCACAAGTTCGTTCAACACTACGACAGGCAAACAGTCTTCATCCTAAAATAGTCACTACTCTCCATATCAATGACACCAAAGACTGTTATTTTGATGTAATTTACGTATTACCACCCAGTGTCTTTGTGGATCCATATCAACTTCAGGACTTGACACCTTTGATTGGCACACCCACTATCTTTGGCGAGCACGACCTCGAACTTCCACTTGAGAAAATCAAAGAAACGCGCGGTAGTATTGTGATTCTGAGACAATCCAAGATACCCACTGTATTGGAACTTCCGCTTCACTTAAGATACCAACAACCTTCTATCGAAACAACAGAACAGACTATTACCATACCAGCTCCCTTTGCAGGCTGGACCTGCGGACAAAGTCAATGGCCACCTTTATCAGATCAATTCTCGTTGGTGCCACCTGCTCCTGCTAGTACATTTACCTATCTGGACCATGACCCTACAGCATCACTTACATTGTCTGTGCCAGTGGGTAAGATACAAGATGGCTGGATGGTGAGTTGGGGTACAGTGAGTATTGTGTTGGTTTGTACTTTGTGGGTTGCTCAATCGATTATGACATCAATACAAAAAAGAAAAAGAACAGAAGCAAAAGGAAAAAGAAGAAAATCTGAATAAAAACGGGAATTTATTAAAGATCAATAAGAGGAGCTTCTTCAACAGGTTGTTTGTTATAAGTAGGTTGCTGGGTATGGTTGAATGGTGGCTGGTTATAATAGTTATTCTCGATGGGCGAAGTGTAGATTGGAGGAGTATAGAATTGTTGTTGTGCTTGTTGAGCTGGTGCTTGTTGAGCTGGTGCTTGTTGAGCTGGTGCTTGTTGAGCTGGTGCTTGTTGAGCTGGTGCTTGTTGAGCTGGTGCTTGTTGAGCTGGTGCTTGTTGAGCTGGTGCCTGTTGTTGAAGTGGAGTCTGTTGTTGAGCTGGTGCCTGTTGAGCTGGTGCCTGTTGTTGAAGTGGAGTCTGTTGTTGAGATGGTACTTGTTGAGGCGCTTGTTGATATTGGGGCGGTGCTTGTTGATTCACATAAGGTGGATAACCGGGCGTTGAGGGCATACTTGTTTGCTGTTGATAATAAGGTGCTGGAGAGGGAGGTACATAAGATTGCTGAGACTGAATAGGGTAGTTTTGTTGAACAGAATAAGGTAAATAATTGTTCATTGATGGATAAGACTGCAAAGGCATAGGAGATGTAGTTCTGTTACGCTGTTGATCCAATCTATCTTGAATCAATTTATCATAGGCTTTGACAGCACTGTTCAATTTAGCATGGAGATCAACAAATATTTGATGCTTTTTGCTTGTTTCATCTAATGACTTGATAAGCTTAGGCTGTAAAGCACCAATTTGAGTATACAGTGTATTGATCTGTGTATCGTTAGACACATCACCACCAGCAGATTGAATACGGTGCATTAATGTAGAGAACATTTGAATGTTTTCCATATCAACACAAGATATGTTATCCTTGTTATATTTAGGTAGAGCTGTTTCTTGGCTGACATGTATGTCTTCAAGTGAAGCAGCAATGGCAGCAGCTAAATTAGCTTCTTCCTCTACTTCTCCAACTGTCTTTCGATTGAGTTTCTTTGGTGCTTTTAGTTGAGATTCTTGTAAAGACAATTCAATAGCCTTTTGTAGATCATCTTCGAATTGATGGCCATCGCTATGACTAGTCATGATGACATCTTTTGTGTTTTTACTCTTGACAGAAGGTGTATAAGTAGGCATCAAAGAAGAAGAGACAGAAGCAGGCGTCTTTAACAAATGAGGCACAGCTTCTTTATCTGCTACTTTGGATAACTTGACTTTGATATAGCAGCCATCACAGACACGCACAGTGTCATTAATACCGAGATGGGGCAAAGGGAGGCTTTTAGAGGAACACTGTTGACAAAAAGTACCGCCACATTGTCTGCAATGATGCTATCAAATAAGGAGTCAATGTATGCATTTCTTTCCTTTACAAGATTACCTTTCGTGTGGTTAATGTAAATGTAGTTCTACAGCGCTCACAGCAATCTGAATCTGTCCATTCAGGAGCCTAAATGTATTCTGTGAATAATGGCCATAAATCAACATACGAGACTTACAACTGCTGCTTCAAGCAAGGTAAAATCAATCCTTTCAGTTACAGGTGGAAATACATACCCCTCAGCACGCAACAGGTCATAAGTACCAGAGATATAGCTTAAAGAATTGTTTCCTTTAGAGGCAATACCCCATACTTGAATTAAATACAAAACTTTATCCTTTACATCTTGATTACACCCAGTCTAACAAAACATCATGAATATCTGTCTTAATATTGTCTTGACTTACAGGTACTTTAAGTAAATGTGTCATTTCTTCCATAAATTCTCGGGTAGCTACTTCTTTTACAAAGCCACTACCACTGTTCTTTACGCATATATCTACCAACTTATACTGTTAGTCCATATCTTGGCTAAATGACTCATATTTACTGAAAGAGTAGCAAGGATAACATTGGGGTTTTTATGGCTTAGACGTTGCTTGAGTGAACGCATAGCATCCTTAGAACTAACTCGTTTGCTTCTTATCTGGTCACTAATCTCGAGATGGAGAGCAAGGTCAACTTGACCAGCAGGCAATAACTCTGAAGTTGCTTTTTCTATATTTTTATTTTTGTTTTTTTTTTAGAGTGTCAATAGAATCAAAGAAGCCTATTACCAACTAGTTCATCAAAAGCATTTGGATACCACCAAAATGAACTCATATTTATTTCTTTAAAAAAAAAAAAGAGGAAGAGAACAAAGCACTTTCTTTTTTTCTTTTTATAGCCAATTATTCATCACATGACTTATTCATTGTATTGCTCTAGTCGTTGTCTTTGTCTGGCATACATCTCTTCTACTTGACGACTAGCTCCATCTACAAAATCATCATTGATCTTCCAGAAATCATGCTTCTTCAAGGCATTGATTCTCTCTTGATCAGTCTAATAACACAATTCAGTATGTATTTCTAGTACATAGGGCCTACCTTATGGTTAACATGAACAATGTAAGGTTGAATTCCTTTGACTTTCTTAAGATCGAAATAATTAGGGAAATGAATCATATCCAACAAGACTAGCATGCCTGCCTTGACATCTAACCTTGATTGGTTTAATGCATAATTGAATGCTTCTTGTTGCTTTAGACTAGGATAAGCCTCTTGAATTTGAACTGTACTTGCTAACAATCGCTTGACTTCTTGACTGGGATCACTGCGCAAAAATACAAGGCCTGTATTGACAGTCTGTGGACTGTCTTGTGTAGCAATTATCTGTGTATCTTCGCGCATATGAAGCAATGTATGCATATATTCCCTTGTACGAGCGTGCAACATGACTTGATTGGTATCAAGCATTAAGGTGTGTCTATCTTGCCTATAGGCCAATCGCTGTAATACCCATGTCTTGACATGCGATAATCGAGCCTCATCTAGCAATAGCTCTGTGCTATTTCTAAACAAGACACTATCATTGACAAACCACTCCTCTGGGATTAAGACAGCCTTTTCTTCATGGCCAGTGACAACCAAATGCAAATACAGTTTTGGATCCATACAAAATACGACAAACTGATCTTCTTTAGCTGCTTTCATGAGTTCCATCCAATTGTAGAGCTCTTTTCTTGTTGTGTAACCTGCTATTGTGATAATCACTGATTTATCTTCATATGTATTGGCCTCTAATTTATCCAGAATATCTTGTGGTATACTAGGCATTGTCTCAGGCACAAATACAGGCGTATTCTCTCCATGCTCAACGAATGTTTGATTATGAGTTAAACCAGAGAAAGAAGGACATTGACAACTGGATGGTGAAATGGATGAGTTTGTTTTAAAATATTCTTGTTGATCATTAATCAAGTAATCAGCTTCTGCAGATGCTTTGCTTGTCGTGCGTTGACTACTCTTTACTTGATAGAGCACAAATACTAGAAACAAACAAGCAAGAATAATTCCATAGATATTGAATCGAGTAGATTGCATAAGACGTAAAAAAAAAAGAAGAGAGACAAAAAAAAAAAAGAGTAAACACTTCTCTTTTTTTTCTCTCTCTCTCTCTTTTTCTCTCTCTCTCTTCTTTGATGAATGGAACACCATTGTCAGCTCTTTTAGCCAAATATCAAGAACAGAATACAGAAATAATAAAGACAAATGTGAAGCTCAATGAGAGAATAGCGATTCTTGAGAGTGTGATTACACAACTTCAACAAGAGAATCTACAGTTACGCATAGATAATGTCAAGCAAAGACGAAAGATACCCAAGACTCGAAAACAGAAAAAAACGATACCCAATATAAATGAGCCTTCTTCTCCAGTTGTTTTGAGTCAAAAACGTAGCTGCACAATCAAACCTATTAACTATGTTTTACCGAGCAAAAAGTCGAAATTAAGAAAAGGCGATCCTTTTACATTTGGTAATTAAGTTCTTTATAATAAATCACACTGTAAATAGCAATCTTGCACTTGACTTAAACGGGTCTCTATCCAGTCTGCAATACTATTCAAGGATCCGGTCTCACCATGGCTTTGTTTTTTATCAAAAAAGGGATAGACAGTCAGTTTGTTGGAAAACCAATAAGGCTCATTCAGCAGATCCGCTGTCTTGTCTGTGAATTGCTTGAGTAGTGTAAATTTGGTAAAATTGATCAGGTTAGGATGGGCATTCAGAAATGTTGAGTTTTCATTCAGAAAAGTATAGTCTTTAAGAACAACGGGCAGGAATGGAATAGCAGGCGATTTGGCTTGTTGTGTCTTTTGTCTATAATATCGCATATTCATAGTCACATCCAATAGTTTCTGGAGCGAAGCAAAAGTGTTCGTATCCCTACTGGATAAGGATTCCCATGTCTCTTTGAGTTTGGGTGCACTGGCGAGTCCCATTGTGATGACCATACAGGTATGGAAGTTGTTCAATTCAAAACATAACTACAATCAATATGTTAGTACAATAACATTCAAGTATATATTTACTTTAGCTATTTCTATGAACTTTCGAAGCAGTGTTCTCTTAGGCTTCAAATAGGTCAAACTACAGATTTCATGCACTACCCAATGACCCAACATATTGGCTCGTTTGGTCATCAGTTGTACATGATCTATCTCGGTTGGGTGCTTGGGCAAATGATCGCTCATAAATCCATTCACAAGAATTGATTTGAACAGATAGAAATCAGCCAACGTTAAATACCGTGCAATGTCTTTGGATTCAAGAGAGACAAAGGAAGACAAAGGCGTAATAAAGTAATTTTGTACATCTTGGTGAATGAAGGAAGAGTCCATAAGTTGAATAGGTAATGAAGACAAAGTACTAAAGTTAAATAAACTGTTGGATGGACGACGTGAGGTAGGCTGAGGTGTACCCATAGGCAAAACTGTTTCTTTGTTATCTATAGAATCAAAAGGCAAGAACCCTGCATCTGTATTGCGACCCTGATTCATGTGTTCCTCTATTTTTTCCACTTGATGTGAGTACTTTTTGAGCGAACTACTGCAGAGAAATGAATGAAGCTTTCTTTCAAGTTCTGTATTGCATTTAAAGTCTTGATATTGAATTGTGATCCATTGATGAATGACATTCAATACTCTATATATATATATATATATATATACATATACTGTAAGTCAATGTAACAAATATTTGACCTTACTTTGTCTGAATAGAGGTTTGCCATTTGGAAAAATACTCGTATTCGCCTGGCAAAGGCGTTAGATAAAAACGACTTATTAGTTGATCAAGCAGGTCTATAGAAGTTATAAAGCTGCGATGATTTGACAGATAAGTATCTACATAATTCATGTCTTGGACTGATTCATCAGCCAATTTTTCAAACAGTTTCTCTGGTGTGCCAGCAACCACTTGAAGTTTTCCTTGTATGATTTCGTACAATAAAACTACATCCCCATCTTCTGTCATTTTAAGCAGTTTGCTGTCTGATTTATCGACCTTTTTAGACAAGCCTGGTACTCCTGAATATAATAAGTATAAAATGATAAAGACATTTCTTTATGCTCTTACATACCCAATGATCTGCCTAGAATGGCTCGCTTTATTGTCTAATGTATTGGTTTGCATGAGTCCAAGCGAAATATTAGCAATCCATACCTCATTATGCTCCTTTCTTTGAATACCCAAGAAATGACTCCATGAACTGCACAAACACAAGTCAACGATAAAAAAAAACACACACACACATGCTGGAAACTTACCTTTCATCTAAAAATACAGGTTTAGAAGGTTTTTGACGATAATATTGTGCATTTTTCTTTGCGTTGAGTGGCATGCTAGGTATCTCTGTCTCTTTAGGCGGTAAGGGTAAAGGCATACTGCTTCTTCGAGGAGGTATAGGAGGCCTTTGTTTACTTTGTTTATGAAAGAAGCCACTATTGGTCGTTGTTTCTGTGACCCTTCTCTTTTTATGACTTGATGTTTCGTGTGGATAATGTGATATTGACTGCATTATGGCCTTTGTTTCTTTTCTTTTAGCTAGATGAGCATCTTTTGGGGGAACAGGGGGTGGTAGTGACAATAAGCAATCTGCTGTCTGTTCTTTGTCGAGTATAGCATTGTTTTCGAATAAAAAAGTAGGTTCTATCAAATGTGTTTTAGCAAGTTGGTCTGTTATGTCGTCCAAAAGCAATGAATTAAGCGTCGAGTTAGAAGATACAGAAGAATGTGATCGAGCAGAAAAATAAGACGAGGCTGGCGAATTCGGTTCGTCCATGATGGTCAAGAAATTCTCGACGGTGGGTAATGGAGGCAATGGTAAATTTTTCCTCTGTTGTGGATCCATGATAGGCTGACAGCGTCTTTTTCGACTTACTTGATGCGATTCTGGTTGTGGCTGTCTCTCATTATCATCCATCATAGGATAAAATGCTTGATAATGATCCACTAATTGTTGACAGGGCAATGGACCACTCATGTCCTGATCATCCCAATGAATATTTGTTTTCTTGGCAAAAGGTGGGACTAAATGTAAACGACACTGTTCGACAGACATGGAAGAAAGACGGAAAGAAAACACCTGCATTCTCGCCTCAGCAACATCATGCTATAAATTGATACAATTTTTTTAAGGAGACATATAAAAAAAAATCAATTGGTTGTGTTACCTGATTCATGTTGTAATCACATTGCTTCTTAGTAGAGAAGAACATATCTTTTAATAATCGTTTAGAAGATGGTCTTTTTAGGCGACGATAAAACCGCATTCGCTTAGTTGGTTCATGACAAGTATTATCTGAGTTTGATTCAGGTTGATCCGAATAAGGAGGGGACAATGCTTCGTATGATATGCTGCTTTGCTTCTTGTTTGCCGGTAGATACTCGGGATCGTATGTCGGCTCACTAGAGTATCGATTCGGTGGTAAGCTCATGAATGAGCTAAGATGTTGCTTCCACTTATGTCCTACTGAGCTTGAATAAGATGACAAACGAATTTGTGTATTTTCCTTTTCACCTGAATTACTATTAATTTGTTTCATCAGTAACATGCTTTTTTAGACTTTGGAAATAGACCGAGTCTACATACCGAGTGTATTTATGACTATTCATGACCGCAGGCTGTGAATAGCGTCGATAAAAAGACAAAGCTGCTCATCATAATAAATTCTTTGTCCTCTTTAAAGAATCAAGTTGTATTAACATACCTTCATGATCATGTCGTTTTAATGGGCGTTGAGAATAGCTTATTAGCAGGTCTACAAGTATGTCTATATGGTTTGTAATACTCTTTTGCGTATTAAGCTTCTTCTAAAATATAAGTATGAGGACGATAACATGTGTACTTATTACTTTTGGAGGAGAAGACTGTTCAAGTATTTGTACATGATTCAAAATTGCACTGACTTGGGTTTTTATTTGTTCTTCCATTTGCTTATTTGATTTACTCATACGTTTCTGTGTTGATATGATAGCATCGATTGTTGTTGAAAGTAAAGTAGATGCACATGATACAGAGATCAATTGAGATTTTGTGTCTATAGGGTCCATTGTAAATGCGCCAGTCATCGTCTTTAATAAACTGATGATAGAGGATTGTAGTATAGTCCATAATTCTTTAATCTACCAAATTTTTTTTTAAAAAAATATCAAGGTGAGCTGTCTTTGTATGCATTTGTCTGCAGTTACCTCTGCACTTTGTTGATACTCAGAAAAAGGTATTTTAGATGGTATCAAATAGGTTGAATTTAGTTTTGTTTGAATGGTATATGCAATTTTGTTCATTTCAACAATTACTGTTTGGTATGTATAAATATGGAACTAAAAAAAAAAGTGAAGAAAAAGGGGATAAACAAGAAAGCTGTAAAGGAAAAAATCCCTGAACTATGGAGAATTCAGTAAGGATGGATTGCCACAAGTCAGCACAACATGTTTAAGATCGAAACACAGCCGAGATTCTTTTCTTACCGACAGACTTCAAATATTAACTGGTAAACTTAAATATGATTAAAACTCAATTCCTCCTGAATTATAATGTCAACAAATCAAGTCATCTCTTTTGATTTGTAAAGCGTAGTTGCATTAAATCATTGAAAGTTATATTGCAAAGAAAGTTATCGTTTCTATTGATTCAAATGCTATGTCCCAATGCGATATTGCTATATCTACACTTTCTTTTCCTAAATAACATGTTTCTTTTTTTTTCTTTGATTCGCAGGTACCTCAACCAAATATATCCGTTTTGTCAAGGAACATCATAACCCCTTTTATATATGATGGATGTAGTTTATAAATATAGTAATTGTGATGGTGCATGCACATACTTCCATCTATAACTGCTGATGCATGTATATGTGGATTGAGTTAGGCTGAAAATCACGTAATATCTGTCATCTGAATGAACACCTTATTGACCTTTGTCGCAAAAACTCAAGCCTACATTTAACCATTTCGGTCTTTTTGTTTTTAATGTTTCTTTTTGGTATAAAAAACCCAGTTCCTGCGTTCAAACTGTATACTACTCCCATTTGTTTGCAATTGTAGAGAATGTTGCATATCATGACTAAAGATCTTGTGATTTCTTGATTGACACCAGTCTATGTCACTTCTCCTTTCTTTCTTTTTTTTTTCTACTGCTGGTGTTGATTTTATGCTTACCTCAAGGGATGCATTGATCAGGCTGTAACGACTTCGTGTTTGTTTGAACTTTACATAATATGTTTGGTAATATCTATTCTTCTCTTTAATACAGATGATTGCTATTCTTGACAAAGGCAAAGATATAAATTCAGAAAAAGAGTAATTAGCTGTAAAGAATTGAAATAACGGAATAAAGTCGAAGGACTTTTGAATTGCTTACTTTGATTTTTCATAGATACAGTAAGAACGGTAAATTTTGTCACTTTGAGAAAATTGAATGTCTGTAACCAAAAAACAAATGTCACTTTCCAAAAATAATTGTTCCTTTATGTCTAGGGATTTTGTCCTTTTGAAATAAGAGAAATGTCACAATAAGTTAAATCAAATTGACCTAAAAATGATGTGTTTTTGACTTCAAAACGTTTAGAATGGAGTTTTATTACAACATTGAATGATTTGTCGTTTAGAATGACTGGTAAAGTTGTATAGAATTTCAGAAGGTATGGCATTACATGCCTCAGCAATTCTATCAGGCATTTTTTCTTCATTCAATAGTTTGTGGCGTTTCAATTTTCCTTTCAAGATTGCCCAAAACTGTTCAATTGGGTTTAGCTCTGGCGAGTAAGGAAATAAGTACATTACTCTATAACCTCTACTCTCAATTTTTCTTATCATTAGATGAGACTTATGAATAGTACAGTTATTATTCATTACAAGATAACTACCCATATGACTCTCATCCATGTCCATGATATCCAGAAGCTCATTCATAAATTTCACAAAATGGGTAGTAGTTGTACCCTTTGCTCCTAGCTTGTTGTTTTCGACAGTGGTCCTCTCCTCAACATCAACGTACTCTATGGTAGGCTCTTTGCTCTTTGCCTCCTGCCGTCTTTGATGTTTGAGTTTCTGGGCCTCTTTGCTTTTTAGGTGGTGGTTTTTTCATAGCAACATGGATAACACTACTACAGTGTATAGCACCGATAATGGGGAGGGAGGAAGAACGAGTCTTTTCGATCTCTACTTAGTAGGTGTTCCTACAGCCGACCTAGCCCAATTGTTTCTCATATTGATGTTAAATCCAGCCTCATCAATAAAGACGCAGTTCTTAGTATAATCCAGATCTGAGTCTTTCCATTTCATGAACCACTCGTAATAACCTTTTATATATAAATGTCATAAGTAACGTCTCTTCTAATAATAACCTGTTCAGTTCCTATACAAGTTAGCTACTCTCATACAGGTAATTACTACAAACGGATGATCGTTCTTATGTTCCATCTTTTATTTGTTTATATCAATTAATTACAATTAGCGTTCTGCTTATTGTTATATAACTAATTGAATAGTATTAACTTGTGCAACAACTTTTATAGAATTGATTTTATAAGTGTGAACTATCCTCAAATACAACAAATTCCATTAAAGCCAACAGTACAGAAGAATCAGGTAAGTAAAAGCCAGAAAACAATAAGCCTTTTTTATTATAAGTCATAGAAGATCAGAAAAAAAAACTATTGCTCAAAACGCAAGGCACAAGTTCTACCTTTGTTCTTGTTGCTATCAATGAGATTGTAGAAACATGGATGTGTAGGACGAGAGTTGCTAATCATTACATCAATTTCCGAAGCAGGTACGGATTTGCACAATCGCCAAAATGATTCGGATACTTGAGCCAAAGATTGAAGGTTTTTCAAGGATATAAATGATGACAGTTCTTCCAATGAACGCGGGAATAATACTTTTGCGATTTCATACATGGTGTAGATGCCATCATAACGTAATCGCATCAAATAGAAGACAATGGTAAATCCGTGAATCTGAAAAGCTAAACATGCATTCCAATGGTGGGTATCGATGGCTTCTTTGCAAAAGATTCCTAAGCGCAGGAGATCATGGCATAGATCATTGTTGTTTGTAGTGGGCTGTGCCACTCTTGCTTCACCAAAGCCCAGGCTTGGCCCATACGAGAGTTGGCATCTGGTCTTTTATCACCACTAGCATCCGATTCGATATTGGTCAAAGTAATACTACGTAGCCAGCGATGTCGTTTATTGAATGGCTGAACACCTACAACAATCAAATTACTAGATCATAAAAAGTGAAAAGGTTAGTACGAAACATATACGCAGCTCATGATGTTTTCTACTTCCTCTGGTAATCATCTACACAGGATGATATTGCTTGTTTGTCCGTCTAGATGTGAAGGTTTTTTTACGCGAGGCAATCGGAAACCCATTCCAATGCTTATGTTATAGTCCAAAGGGACAAAACAACGTCCCAATGCTACCGTTTAAGACAAAGGAACAGTAGAATGGTCGTTCAGATGATTCATAAACCAGCTTACTGAACACAAACATCTCTTTTGTTGCTCAACTGTGAAAACAAAATGAAAAAAATTTCCCATTACAGTGAAAATAGAATTTTTAATCTTGACAAGAGAAATTTTTCTTGAGATCAATAGAAAAAAAATTATTAGCAGTAGAAGAAAAAAAAAAACCAGTGGTGTTTTTTATCTTATTTATAACCTTTCCATGTTGCGACATTTTGGAAATTGTCTTTGGGAATGTCGAATCCAACCTCTACAGTTTTTTGCTGTAACTGTTTTTGCTGCTTCTTCAATTCTATCAGCAATCATTTCGTTCTTTCCAAGTGGAGTTTTGCCAACTACTGACTTGTGTCATCATACTATCTAATTAACGATAAGAGTGAAAGATAAAGGAGTAAATCTTTTACACCATAGCCCAAGAAGTGCTAATTCGACTAAGTCTAATACGACACATTTCATATAACTGAATTTGGGAACAAGAAAAAAGAAACTGTAATAGTTTGTTGAGCTTAAATAGTTTCATCTTTCTATTTTGAATAAATTATCTTTTATCTCTGCTATTCTTCAGTTACACACTTATAACTATTTCATGGTGAGGCTCCCTGCCTAAGAATTCAGTATTAAAAGGTCAAACAGCAATTCTATTACATCCAACAAAAAGCGTTCTCGCGGAGACACCTCATCTACTTATCCAGCTTTTGTTTCTTCTCGTCGACAATCCACATCGACTGTCAGCTCAGTTTCTTCTTGCATCTCTTTTCACACAGCACCTGAATCGTTTTACACCATGTCAGGCTCATCAACTTCACCACCTCTTGCACCAGCGGTGGGCGCACCATCTGATTTTGCACTTTATCTAATTCAAGAGCGTGCCAAATCAGTACCAATGGCCACGTATGATCTTAACAACAGCATTCGTATCTGGCTTCGTCAGTTTGAACAGCAAGCTCGCATTCATGGGGTTATCTCTATGGATAGTTGCACAACTCACTTGACTCGTTACATGCCACTAGTTATTCAGCAATGGATTCCCACACTTGCACCAAGTATCGTTTCATCCTGGGACCTACTAAAAGAGGCTCTCATTACTCGTTTTGGTATCCCGGAGGAGGAAGACAACCGACTTCTCCTGAAACAACTGAAGGCGTGTAAGCAACAACACAATGAATCCATTCGACTTCATGCGGCGAAATGGGAACATCTGTTAAGTCTGATCACAACTGCATACACTGAAAAAACAAAAATCACCTATTTCATTCAGTCGTTGAATTCCAGGGACACAAAGCTCACTTTAACCTCACTTGTATTCTCAATGAAACTTGATCATTTGAGTCATGTTATCAATCATGCGATCGAGTTGGAAGTACAAGCTAAGCTCTTGGAAGAGCCGGAAATAGTTACACAGCATAATTCGGGCTCTGATCCTATGGATATTGACTACATGTCTCAGCAACCATACAGCAAGAAGCAATCATCTTACAACAATTCTCAACCCAAGCAGCTGCGTGCTTATGACAAGCATGGTAATCCTATTTGTGATGTGTGTCGTGGAAAACACCGTACTGTGGATCACAACAAGAACAAACAGCACAATCACAACAACAACTATCAGCACAAACAACACAAGAAGGTTAATCATGTGAGAGAGTTGAACTCGGTTCCTGCAGAGACCCAATCAACTTCATCTTTCTCTGTGGATATTAGTCATTTTGCATCAAATTCTCACAAGCTTCCACGTAGTACTATTCTAATAAAGGATAAGCCTATTTCTCTTTTGTGGGACACTGGTGCAGACATCAATGGTATTCAATTGGAACTTTTCACTCATCTGCATGGACAACTGAATAGCCAAGAACGTGTTGCTTATCGGGATGTCAACAACAATATCAAGACAACATGTGGTACAGCAACAATTTCAGTCTTCAATCGAGATATCAAGGTTCATGTCATCGATGGTCTCAGCAGCCCATTGATCGTTGGTTGGAACACCATTAGCAAGTTCAAAGGCAATATTGATAGTGACGCTGGTATTGTTTCACTGGTTATTGATAACAACACTATCAAGATTCCTCTTGACACTAGCAAGGAACCTCATATCAGCACTCTGGACTCAGCTAGCAACAAAATCACTCAACATATATTGGACAGATTTGACAGCATCATAGCTAAGAACCCTGACAAACCTTCCGTCACTAATGTTATTGAATATTACATTGACACAGGTGATCATCCACCTATCTATTGCAAGCCAAGAAATTTTCATCCTGATCTACAAGCTCAAATTGATGAAAAACTGGAAACAATGGTGGATAATGGTCTTCTGGAGAAGGTTGCGTTCTCACAATGGGGTTCACAAGTTCGGCCGGTTGAAAAACCTGATGGTTCCATGCGTTTTTGTGGCAACTACATTCCCATCAATCGTGTTACTAAACCTTTAAACTATCCTTTTCCCAACATGCATAACATTCTCCAATCTCTGGGACAAGCGAAAGTATTTAGCAAGGTTGATCTAGCTCAAGGTTACTTCCAAATCCCAATCAGGCAAGAAGACAAGGACAAGACGGCTCTTGTTACAGTTAATGGTACATATGTCTTTACTGTTATGCCCATGGGAATGCGTAACTCGCCAGCATTTTTTCAATCACTGATGGACAAGGTCTTGGGATCGTTTCGCTATGTCTGTACTTTTGCATATCAAGATGATGTCATTATATATAGTCGTACTGAAGAAGAGCACAAGAAGCATATTGATCAAGTTCTCACTGCATTACAAAAAGCAAATCTATCCATCAAACTCACAAAATCTGAATTTTTGTTAGATTCAGTAGAATATCTTGGTTTCATTGTGTCTTCCCAAGGTGTCAGTGCCAATCCAGAAAAAGTCAAACCTATCATTCAATATCAACAGCCTACAAATCTCACTGAATTGGAAAGGTCTCTGGGTATGACGGGTGTCTATCAACGTTTTATCAGCCAGTATCAAGTGAAAACTGAACCATTGCGCCGGTTGAAGAAGAAAAATGTTGATTTCCAGTGGGGTTCTGAACAAGCTGCTGCGTTCGAACAACTGAAGAAGGATTTGTGTCTCCTTCCCACCCTCCGCCAACCTGACTTTACGAAGACCTTTGAATTGCATACTGATGCTGCATCTTCTGCGGGTATTGCTGTGATTTTGTGCCAAAGACATGACAATGTTCCCTATCCTCTGGCTTTTGCGTCGCGTGCTCTCACAATCCATGAACAAAGGTATTCTGTACGTGAACAGGAGTGTTTAGCAATCATCTTCGGAATCAAGCGTTTTCGTCCTTTCCTAGAACGAAAGATCTTTTTTATATTCACTGATCACTCTAGTTTACAATGGATTCTAAATGCTAAGGATGATGTTTCCGCTCGGGTGTGGCGTTGGATGATGTTCTTACAAAGCTACTATTTTGACTGTTGTGAACATATATGAATTCATATGCATAGATCAATAAATGATGATCATGGCAAAAAACCAGATCACATCTATGGCAATTGCAATGGATCTATAGTCACTGACATTCACTCATTCTACTAGAAGTACTACATCATCCTCATAGACAGAGATTATGAACCTATTGACTCTGTTATTATTAATGGCCCTTATAAAGTGACAGTTAGAGCTGACAAATACATTGGTATTGGCATTTGACAAATACAGTATTTTCGGAAAGTATTCGTGCACTAATAATTTTTCGTTTCGTGCAATAAAAATAAATAAATCGTGCGGACTTGGAAAACAATTTCGAGCAAAAAAATTAAAGTCATGGTGCAAAAGTAGAAAAAGAGTTGGGTCAAAAAATTCATGCATGGTGCACGAAATTAATGTTTATTAGATTGGCTTTCTGTTCAAACAATCATCAAACATAGACATAGAATGTCTACAGAACCCCTTCAAGTCGCTCAAAAGGACTTTGTTACAGGCGTCTGTTATTCTGGAGGTGTGTTGTATACACAGCATTATTCATCCCTTCTTACACTAGTTATGCCTTAAAAGAGCAAGTATTAATATCATGTATAAATATATCTTTCAATCACAGTTTTATCCGCAGCTTCGATGGATGTCTTCTATCTTAGTTTAAACATGTTAAAGATCAGACCATCACATAATCACAAATTGACATCTGCATCAATACCAATGGTAGACGAGGTCTGTGCCCTGATCATGTACCCAGTTCTTGTGTACCTTAATCCACTCAACCGATTAGCTAGTGTATACACACTCAGTCCCAAATTAAGGATAATCAATTATCATACAAACAGTATAAATACAATACAAAATATAACCTTTAATAAAGAAGACTTCTTTTGGCCGTTTTGGTTCTAATCGACTTATTGATTTGACCATTTTATTAGTGATTATATCACATTTTTTTCGATTAAGAACGTATATTTATCTCTACTTTATACTACCTACCTTACTATGTCTTCTCCTACTTCTGATTCTCCCATGGATACTTGTCAAGACTATCCTGTCTCTTCTTCTGGTTTTTCTCGTACGGCTCTCCCAGCCACTTACTTGGAAACTCTCCAGCAAGCAGTCAAGGATCTGACAATTGAACTTGTCATCTTGGGAACTAAGGTTGCTAATCCTCCTGAGGGTTGTGATATCACTGTTTTGCGTTCAGATCTTGTTGCTCGTACTAGAGATCTTGACCTGATCAAGCAAGCTTTGGTAAAGGTTCAAGGCCCTGCTATTACTACTCTGTCTTCTTGGCCCTCTGCTCCTTCTTCTGTTCCTGTCTGCCCACCTAATTTACCCATTTTTCAATGGACAGGTGTGGTTCATGACCACCAAGCACCCATCTTTTTTGATGTTACGGCTTGCCTCGTCCGCTTTGAGGATGTTCTCTTTGCCAATGGTCTCAATCTTGATGATCATTATCGTCGCCTAATCCCACAACAATTACCAAACATTGTTAGGAAATGGTACGAACAGTTTGTTGCGGTTCATCCTATACAAAGTCCAACTTGGTGCGACTTTAAGGAGGCCATCACTCTTCGCTTTGGTCGTTCGACTGAACAAGATCGTGCTGACTGCGCACTCAAACTCGTCAACATCTCTATGAATCACGGTGAATCTTTTGCTGCCTTTGTCGATAGATTCCGCGATTTACGTCGTCGCTCTGCTGACCAGAGTTTGCCTGTTGCTGTACTCATTGACAAATTCTTCAAGGCCATGCCTGGAGCTCTCCGTGAGCGTGTTTCCCTTGCCCGTGCTACTTTGCCTGCTGAAAAACGCTTGAGCATTGATCACTTGATGCAAATGGCTCTCGACATTTCCAAGGACTTGCATGAGATGTCGTTCATGGGTAACAAACCTTCCTCTGGCTCTTCTGGCTCCTCTCCTTCTGTTTCTGTCATGTCTTCTAAACACGCTGTTAAGTCAGGAAAGATCACAAAGAAAGTCTTACCTACCAGCAGTGGCAAGTACTGTGAATTACATAAGGTCACCACTCATCAGACGAGTGAATGTAAAGCTTTGTCGTCAATCTCAGCCTCCTTGGCAAGCAAGCCTAGTTCTTCTTCTGTCGCTGTTACTGGTTTTTCCAAACCAAAAGGTGAAAAAGAAAAGACTTGTTTCCGCTGCGGGGCCCCAACTGGTCCAAGAACCATGTGTGCAACTCCGCTGTACCATCTTCGAACCCTAGGTTTGCAATGATGAAAGCTATCGAGTCTGCTTCTTCGAATTTATCTTCAACAGATGATTCATTACTTGACACTTCCTCTTTGGCTGTGTACCCTCGCTCCGAGTTTGTCGCTGGCTCTTCAGCTGGTTTACCTGTTTCTTCTTCCTCCGCCGCTACATCAGCGATCGCTGATCCTATGGCCACCACTTCTCTTACTTCCGCTCCTGTTGCTCCTCTTTCTTCTGCTGAAGAAATGGAACTTGACGAGTGCTTGGCTACTGCTGCCCAAGATTGTAAGTACACAAAATTTTCTAAATTAACAGAGCAACGGTCTAACGCTCTACTTATTCCTATTGTTATAGAACATCATGCAGTTTATGCCATGGTTGACAGTGGAGCAACACTTAGTGTCATTCATCCCGAACTCTTTGCCTTGCTTGGTAAGCCTTCTTTGCCTTCTAGTGGTATTGTTCTTCTTGGTGATGCTAGTTGT